ATAACAACAATAAAGAAGCGGATTGATACGCATAAAACGAGCCCACTTGATCGGATAGCTAAAGCATACGAAGTTTGCATGAATCAGTTGTGATTATACAGAAAGAGGTACATGATTTACGGGCTGCAAATGAGAAGGAGAAGCGAAAACGTCAAAGATCTAAAAAGCAAATATCTCACGAAGGAGACCTTACAGTACAGGAAGCCCAGGAACTAATAATAAGTCGAGATCAGGCATCTCGATCTAATCCGGCTGTATCAGGTGAATCCGAACCTCAGGCTTCTCAACCACGCGTACGAGCGCCACCGAAGTGCAGTGGATGTGGGATTATTGGGCATAAAATCAATCGATGCTCAAATCGTACTACTAGTTAAAAAATTGTATATATTTTATATGTGGGTTAGAAATTCAGGCTTGAAATTTGTATAGAGCGCGTATTCCGGGAGAAACTGGCGGTTGGGTGTCAGTGGCGGGTGGGTGTCCGATTACGTTAGTCAGTTTAGGTACGTGCGTAAATGTACCCTAATTAGGGCTACCTAATCAGCCCCACTACCCCGGAATGCGGAGTCCTTAGTGATGTGGAGTAACTAAGTTTTAAGCTACGTACTTATGGGCTTCCCCTTGCGCCTTCTTCCCCGACATTTGTTAGACCGCAAAATTAGCTCCGCGAGGCATCATGCATCATGTCAAACATCCCCTCTAGCAATAGCAATAACCGCCACGGAGTCGCGGTACACACAGGCACAGGACAGAGCAATAATACCGATAGTCATGATAACAATCCAGTCAAACGCCGCCGCAGGATCAGACTGGCCTGTCAAGCGTGTCGAGATGGTAAGATCCGATGCGACGGAGGAACCCCAGTATGCGATACACGCCGGCGCAAAAAGAATCGATCTTAGTCTTTGCGTTTATCCTGCCGTTTATCCTGCGGCTGAAGGGAACTTGAATTTCTCGTAAGTTGTTGTAGAGAGTGAAGCCACAAGGGAGCCAGGCCGCTGACTTCTCTCGCGGCTTTGTTTTGTGTGCAGACGCAATGTACAAAACAAGAAGTGCCAGATGAATCAGACCTAGTCTGGCGTTAGACCATCTATTGAGAATACTAATGATCGTTCTACCGTGACTTTGGGTTCTAGTACTGTGACCTTCGCGACATCCGCTGAGAAAGTCCCATTTACGCCGACCGGTCCTGCTGTGCAAGAACAACAAAAAGGGAACCAAGCAAGACAAGAGGCAAGTAGAGCCCTCAATGGTACCTCTTCATGGGCTGCAGAACCGTACGAAGATATTAGCCCTGGCATTGTCGGTAGCGCGAGCAGCATCGATTTCGTGGAGAACCCGTTGCAAGGTGCTTCGAATCTAGGCGTTGATGTTATAGGCCTTTTACCAACCGTCTATGATGCGAGAGTACCCATTGGTACAGCTCGAAACACACAAAGTTATCTGGCAATATAAGGCACCTGCTGGCTGATCTTTCGCTGCCTTCCAAGCCGTTGGTGGACAGTTGTCTCCAACTATACTGGAATGACATTCATCCACACAAATCCCACTATTTCAGGAGCAAGCATTTATGAAACAGTCAGTATTATCTAAAATGGCTTCTACTGTCTCTCAAGGCCTGCTTGTGAGTGGTCTAACGGAACGACAGATATGGTCATTTTTGGGTCGAAGGACTGACGTCTAATCAGCTATCCACCGGCTCCCCCTTAGAGAATGGAGTTTCTCCAAATGACAAGATACTCTTTGCAACAATCAACCTAGTCCTCGCTCTAGTTCAGCAGCGAACACCCTCAGAGTCGCGAAGAAATAATCCAACTACTGAAGAGGTGTTCTCTAAGAGGGCTGACAGATTACTCACCCCTGAACTCCTGGGCTAGAGTCCATTGAAGTGGTCCAGGCATTGGTATGGAAAGCTGCATATTTCAGAAAGGCTGATATGACAAATCGGTCATGGATTGCTGCTGGGACCGCTATTCGAGCTGTTCAAGCCGCGGGCCTGTATGCAGAGTATCCTCGTGGGAGTTAATGAAAGAGAAGAGAGAAAACGCGAGTGGTATAGTTGCGTATTAATGGATAGGTTTGTGGCTTTTTTTCATTCCTTTATTCGTTCCATTTAAACCGTAATATTCAAAACTGACAATCCTTAGGTTCCAGAACACGGCTTATGCGAGCCCGACAATGATCTCAGAGCCTTTCAGCCTCTCATATCCAACGGAAATTGATGACGAGTTTATAAGCCTCGATCCTAATGACTCTGATGCCACTCAGCCAGACGGTGTACCATCGCGAATGGCCTACTTTGTCTCAACACTTAGGCTCCTCGACATTAGATATCAGTTTCAACAGTGCGTATCGCAGCTCAATGAAACTTTGAAGGTAACATTCAAATCTAACATGAATATGTCTCTAAATCTCGACAACCTCCAGAAAAGGATTCGCATACAAAACAGTATAGCGCAATAATCGAATTTGATGACCACATCGGTCGTTGGCATGAGAAAGTCTCGTCGTGTCTACGAGATCCCAGACCTGATTCCAAAACTCCGAGCGCTGCTTGTTTTGTTCGTCAGGGCAACTACTTGAGATGCCAGTATGTGTAAATGGACACTCCTCTTGCTCCTTTTACTTAGACTTTTTAGATTTCTCCACTTACGTATCACTCTTCGTCGTCCGCTTACTGTAGACTTTGCTCGAAACAAACTTCAAGGCCACATACCTCTCTGCAGCAGGTTTTGTGTCAAGGGTGTTTTGAGACTTGCATTCGTGCAGCTCAGGTTCTCCTGAACACGATCGAGCCGAATATTGGAACTGATCCATTCCCCCCCGGCTGGTATATTGCTTCCTACCGTGGGTGAAGTCATCATGTAGTATACTCATATGGCAATGCAAATTGACTTGCTGATACCAATAATCAATAGACCTGTATAGTGCAGGGGCAACCATGGCCATTGTCCTTTTAACCCCAGCGCTTCAGGAACTGTGCAAAAACACGTCATTACAAGAGCTTCAACAAGCGTTGACGCAGTGCCTGAACTGTTTTGCAAAGTATGATCGTCTCGGTATTCGATTTGCCAGAAACTGTATCATTTGACTGAGAAAGATATTTGCAGCAGATTATGGTAAGTCTAGCCTACTTGCAATCATCTTGAAAGATTCCGTTACAAAAGCTCACCAAAGATACGTAAACAATCAGGAGGAACTGCAACTATGAAGACAGGAAACGAGCCGCAGATCTCGTCTGAGTAGTCACATCAAACCCGACAGAATATAGGAAATCAGACTGTATCGGCGCCCATGAATACTGGTAACTATCCAACAACAGATCCACAAAATGGACTCACTGCAGTGAATCAGGAGAATATGGATCCTTGGTGGATGAATGAAGATTTCCATTGGCTGAACACCTTTGACGCATTTGAAGATTATGACTCTGCAGCAAATCTAAATGAGGTTTGGAGGTTTATGGAGTAGGATAGGTGAGAAAGATCCTTCTCGTGTATCAACCGATCTATGTAGGTAGGTAAGCTTTGAAGTTTTAAGATATGTTTGTAGATACCTAGGTAATTGTATTTTTTCAAACATTACTCCAATAAAGTAACTAGTGCATCTTTTAGCCTACATAGGACAAAATTAGCTGGTAAAGTCGCTCGGTTGAGTCGGTTCGTTTCAATCTATAAAGGTCTGCTTCACCAGGCTCTGGTAATTCCAGCCTTTCTCAAAGCAGATTGATACTGTTCATATGCATCAAACATTCCAGACTCCTGGAAATACGTCTCATAATGGGCAATCATCTCTGTCATCTTCTCGGGATGACTTTCGGCCAGATCGTGAATCTCACCCTTGTCTTTCGACAAATCATATAATTCCCACTTCCCTTCACCGCGAGGAGGAGGGAGGAAAACAGCTTTCCAATTTCCGACTCTCACAGCAGCTATGCCTAGCTGCTCCCATCCCACGATATCCTTATCTTGATCGTATACATCCACATCCGCGTCTTTGGCGGCCATCAATGGTATCCAGGACCTACCACGAATGGGTGCCACCTCCCTCCCTCGGAATGTGTTACCAGGCGATGATATTCCGGTCAGGTCGAGGACAGTGGGTAGGATGTCCATTACAGTCGTGAACTTATGACTTATTGTTCCAGGAGCAGACTGGACTGCGGGAGGGTAGCGCACAATACATGGACAACGGATTCCCCCCTCGGTTGTATATGATTTGACACACCTGGATGGCGCGGTTGCTGCAGACGCCCATTGAGGTCCGTACCAAACAAATGAGTTATGATTTCCAAGATTCTGCAAGGAATTGTCATAAAATTTCTTGATCACATCCCCCATCGTTGCTCCCGCCAGGATGGGGACTGCTTCAAGCAAATTCCCCTCCGCTCCATTATCGGAAATAAAGATTATAAAGGTATTGTCGAGTTCTCCAGTTGACTCCAAGTACGAGTAGGCTCTTCCGACATTCACATCAATCAAATCCACCATTGCTGCGTATATCTCCATAGCCCGAGACGATTTCTTCTTCTCTTCGTCTGACAATTTCGCCCATGGCCCTGTACCAAGCGTATGGATCGGTGCAGGTTCTACATCAGCCGGAACAAGACCATTTATGATCAAGCTCTTTAGTCTCCGGTCCCGAAGAGCGAATGGACCATCATCATACCAGCCACGATATTTCTTGACGACCTCTGGTGGCGCTTGCAGGGGCCAGTGCGGCGCAGTGAAGGCGAGGTAGGAGAAGAAAGGTTGGTTCTTTTCATCCTCAGTTCGATTTTGTAAAAACGAGAGCATCTCATCCGTGAAGCTATTCGTAGAATAAAAGTTCTTAGGCAAGTCCGTATCGCCGTCTATGAAGGTGTCGTCACGCATCCATAACCCCTTATTACCTTTCAGAAAGGCTCGAGGTTTCTCTGTTACTCCGTACAATTGTGGTTCGTGATTGTAATGGTTTCCCGCACCGGGCAACGTCGTGAAGACCTTGGTAAAACCTCTTGAACATGGTGCTACTTCTTTGGTTAAGCCAAGATGCCTACAAATTCATGTCAGAACTGGTCGGATTAGTTGAAAGTCTCGGTAAAAGGATAACATAGTCGTACCATTTCCCAGACATCATTGTGAGATAACCATTATCTTGCAGAATCTCGGGCAATGCAGCCACTCTGAAGTTTAGATACCCTTCATACCCAGGTTTGTCTTTGAAGATGTCCGGGAACCTTTTCATTCTCTCGGCCATAGCTCCGAGGCCTGCGATATGCGCATCCGTACCTGAGAGAAGCATTGCCCGTGTTGGCGAACAGGAAGCTGCTGTATGGAAATCGGTCATTCTCAGGCCTTCCATGGCCAACTTATAAAGATTTGGTGTGTCTATCTCGCCTCCGAAGGGAGATGTATCGCTAAATCCGAGATCATCTGCGACGATGACTAGAAAGTTGGGTTTCTTTTCGCTAGACATTGTGTCTTACCTTTGCTTCTCAACTTGAACTTTCAAAAATCTGTCTTACAATTATCCTCTCCGTTGTGGGCTAGATTTGAGAGATGCCATTATTTATTAGTGTCGAAATTAAGCTGTTTAGCGAGTGCTCTTATTTCCCCGAACCGGATCCAGCATCACGACGGAATACCGGAAGTGAGGCCCTTTGCTCCCCGTTGGAGAAGGAAGAAATATAGATCCCAATTAATCCTTGTTTTCACATCTTGGAATGAATTTTCATAAAATCCTTGGTGGATAAGTAATAGAAAGCAACGAAATGGGCAGCGAATAAGAGGTTCAAAAGGAACATAGACATTGGTCAAGCGAACAATCAATATCTCACCATGCCTCATCCCTTCACAAAATTTACAAGAGAGACGCCACCGAGCGGTCTACTAGTCCAAGAACCGAATCTCGTAATATTCATGCCAGACCAGCTGCGATGGGATGCCCTTGGATGCAACGGAAACCCTATCGCAAAGACACCCAATATCGACCGATTCAGTCAACGAGGCACTCGGTTCACCAACTGCTATGTGCAAAATAGCATGTGCACACAGAGCCGTTGCTCTATGTTTCTCGGTCTCTATCCTCACGTCTCCGGCCATCGTAGTTTGAATAATATGATCAAATCCTGGGAACCAAACATGTTTCGTTCGCTCAAGGAAGCGGGCTATCATGTTGCTTGTCTGGCACCAAGGGGGGACACTTATGCTCCTACGGTGACGGAGCTTAGTATGAACGAGTACGGGTTTATAGAGACCCCTGATATTCTGCCTGGTTTTATGATGGGCCCAAAGGCAACAAGCGAACATGCTAAGAAAATAGAAACGGTTGACAAACTTGCACCGCGGCTTTTCTATAAGGGGCTCCGAGACCAGAGTGCTATCCTCGACTACGATGAGGCTGCTGTTCGATCTGCAGAGAAATTTCTTGAGCATCCTCCTGAGGGGCCGTGGGTGCTATATCTGCCGTTGATCTTCCCTCATGTCCCTTTCCAAGTCGAGGAGCCCTATTTTTCGTTGTATGATCGAAAGTCGATGCCAACTCCTGCTCGACTCTCAGAAAAGGTAGAATCTTTTGTTTCCAGTATGATGATTGACCTCATTCTTATTTTTCTGATTATTTTGTACCAATAGACAGGCTACGAGCCCAAGTATATGGAAGCAATGCGCCATCACTACGGATTGGATAAAGTTACTCCAGAGACCTGGGCGGAGATTCAAGCAACCTATCTCGGCATGATATCAAGACTAGACGACTAATTTGGACGTGTCATTGGCAAGATTGATAACCTGGGGCTCTGGGACTCCACCGTGACCATGTTCTTCACCGATCATGGCGAGTACCTGGGTGACTATGGGCTAGTTGAGAAATGGCCGACTGGCATGTCTGATTCACTGACTCGCGAGCCACTAATCATTGCTGGAGCCGGCCTTCCTCAGGGTAACACATTTGATGATATGGCCGAAATGGTCGACCTTGTTCCTTCTGTCTTTCAGCTTTGCTCTATCCCGGAGAGCTTCCCTACGAACGGTAAATCCTGGATTGCTGGCATTTTACACGGCACGCTGCACAAGGAATATGCATTTGTTGAAGCAGGCTATCTAACCAGCGAAGAGCCGCTGATTGAGACGTCCCCGTTTCCGTACGACATCAAAGCTGATCTTCAACATAAAGACTCAGTGCTAGCAGGAAAAGCCGTTGCAGTCCGAAATAAATCGTGGACGTACATCTACCGATTGTACGAGCCTGCTGAACTATATTCACGAGAGCGAGATCCCCAGGAATTACATAATCTGGCAGGTCTGCCGGAATATCAGCCAACAGTCAGATTACTAGAATCTGTTGTGTTTCGCTGGATGGTAGAGACCAGCGACTTTTTGCCGTACGCTGTTGATCCCCGAGTCTCCAATGTGGATTTGGAAGATCCCAATAGTCAGTGGGAGAGACGTGTGAAAGCTGCAAGTTCTAAAATAATAAGTTGATTGATTAGTCACCTAGGTATATAACCAAAATTGTTGCTGTATATGAATTCAAGTTGCCATATTGTGCATCCTTTACTAAGTTTGTTTCCTTCAACGCAAAGCCCTAACTCACCCGACTGCCTTTGCAACTCAGACGGTTATTAATATCGCTATAGCAATCTACTGCGGGCAATTGTAAGAACCTAAAATGGACCTACCTAATTTCTCTGCCACCGTTGATTTTCTCTGATGTAAATTTTCTGCGTCACCAATCTCCACGTTCTACCTAGGTAGGCAAAATGTAGAACCTGAAGCCCTTTCTTACAACTCATGGATCCCTTTACACGGCTTTCTGTCGAACTCATCTGCGGAATCGTCCGATACACTGCCAACTATGTTAGCGTAGAAAGCCTCTTGTCAGCCTTACTTCAAATCAAGGCTCTCTTCTGCGCTGAGTCAGTCTCACAATCATGCAGGGCCTAATGGTATCGAATCGCATCACTTCAACGCCCGAAATACAAAAGCTATTTCGAAATATCTCTTTTATTGTAGTTTCTCAGTTCACTGTACTAGTCTCGACGAGTGCATCCATCGGACACGTGAGACACGTAACGGTCTTCTCGCTTAGCAACATATGGACAATGCGGAAGTGTCTCATCAGATGATCCATATTGCAGGCCGAATCCAACATTTAACATGTATCTGTCTCTCAACTATGCGGCGGAACTTCGTCACCGCCGTCGGAGCCTCGCTCGCGGGTCCAATGCCTGGTTCTGTTCGAGCGAAAAAGCCAAGTGAATCCCTCTCTTGGATCGAGGAGTATCGTCTGTGTTGAGCTCTATGGCATCTTCGACACTTCCGACCTTCGGAAAGCTGCGGAAACACGAATTGGCTGCCTGAAGAGCAAAAGTGATGAAAAAGATCTCGCTGGGGTTAACTGGAGCTGGCCTGTGGAATCATTCGAAAGATTCGATGCATATGCTGTGTGGAACGATCTCCATCCGTTCTTGGTTGAACATATTTGGACCGTAGGCGCAGTACTTGAGGGTTTGGGCCTCCGCCCATCATCATCACCATACAGACGCTCCGATCAACAGGAGCAACAAGAGTCTTCCATACGAGCCGCCTGGCATTCCAATCCAGAAACACCAATGCCACTTTTCCTGTCATTCGACCTCCTCACCACATTGGCAATGATAACAACTACCCGACCTGGTTCCAACTTCCCACCGCCAGCGGCCGAGAAGATCCCAGTTACCGTTTTCCTGACCTCTACCTTCAAAGTTCTACAGCGAGCCCTCATCGCAGACGATGTGTTCCATTCACTCGGCATGGCCCTCTCGCGGGCTCGATCCGCTGTCACTGGTATGGTAGAATTTCAACCGTATAGACGTCTGGGTGTGCTTCTGTGGGATAAGTGGCGCATGTACTCTGTTGGACTGATGCCGAATACGGCGCAGATGCGAGTGCCGACTCCGGATGGGGGTTTTATTGAAGTGAATGATAATCGAGAGACTATACAGGAGCTGCAGGCAAGATGGTTGGCGTCAGTTGGGAAGAAGCTGTAACATACGGAATGCCGTAAGGATACATGGATCCGTTCATATGTGTGCTTGCTAAAATGTATTTAATGAGTCTGATCCAATACTGCCAAACCCAAGTCGCTTCTCCCATAATTATTTGCCGAGCATGTTTACAAAAAGTAAACCAGGTTGGCAACGGAGCGAGGATATGAGCACACTCTACCATCGCCTTCACCTTGAACGGCACCAACAGCGCCATTACGATGTGCTCTGAACTAACTAGGTACCAACCCCTGCGAGTCAGGCATCAGGCGCCGTCCTTGGATGCTTTCCATATATAGACCAAGTATCGAATTATCTAGGTAGAAAATAACTGATTGATATGTTCTGCATTCTAGCAGATTGGAGATTAATTGGTTCCAGAACTGCCTAGGTACGATTGAAATCATAAAGCTCTCCTTTAACCGTGATCGAAGGCCTCCCACTCATCATTTCGCTCCAAAAGAGATGGGAAAAAAACGACTTATATAGAAGTCTTAACATTTCCCACATGCAATGCAGCATTCTTTCCCGTCTCTCCCTCTATATCATGACCAACCGACTCGCATGCATTCACCGCATGATCTTCCATGGCTGCTATTTTATGACCGATACTTTCAATTCCAGGTTTGTAGTCTATTCTTCTCCAATTATTAGTCTTATCTTCCTTGAAAGTTGAAAACACATTGGAGGATCTTGGAATATTGAAAATCAACTTACCGCGGAATTTTCTAATGGTAATCTCGCCGTAAACATCTCATCAACTCTCCTCAAGCGGGCGGCCCATAAGCTCCGGAAAGTAGAAATAAGCCCACATCAAACCTAGGAAGCCGATAGTACCGTATACAAAGCCAAGTTTTAAGTGAAGGTTGCCGTAATCAATATCAATGAGATACGGTACGGTGAAGCTGACCACAAAGGCGAAGATGTTCTGGAACAACCAGCCAACTACTGCAGACTTGTCGAGTAGTCGAAGAACTGGTATCTTGGAGCCAGTCCCGGGGCCCCTAACGAAAGAGATTAATAATTAAAAATCCTCCTGAAATAAAAGGCATATTCCGGAAAGAGGTCTGAATACGTACATTCCACCGAAGGAGAAGGAGAAGAAGAACGAATATAAGATTGTCATTGCTACGATCCCGGCTTCTTGTTGGAAATTGACTATTCCCAAACCTAAGCCGCTTATGGTGGTTAAGGTTGCACTGCATAAAGAACTGAAAATAAGGTACATTCGACGACGACCAATTCTGCCCACGAGGAAGAAGGTCAGGAGCGGCCCCAGTACATGGATAGCGTGGGAAATCAGCGTGAACTTGTATGGATCTATAGTCCCCAAGGTCCTAATGAACACAACCCCGTATTGAGTTGCGAATGCCTGCCCCGTGAGCTGATTGAGACACTGAACAATGACAACGATAGTTGTTCGACGCTGGGAATCTTTTATTAATCGCTGCTCTCCTGCAACTGGTAAAGCTGCATCAGGGGGAAGACGAAGAGAAAGAGAGAATAGAAAAAGATAGAACTCACTAAATTCGTCCCTCTGACTATATCGCGCCAACTCCCCTTTTCGACTTCCATCGCCAATGACTCTTTCATAAGCGCGAGATCTACCTCCGGTGCATAGTCCGGATTAGAGCTGTAGAGATACCGCATATACTTCAGGGCCTGTTCATCTTTGCCCTTTCGTAGCGGCTAACGAGGCGATTCAGGCAGCATCCAGCCATAAAGAATGATAAAAGAGGGGATGACGAACATAACTGCAATGGGGATATTCCAGTTGTAGTCAATCTCCAGTCTGGAAGTGCGATATGTAATACACGACATAATGACAGAGCCAAACACATGATTGAAGATGTAGCTAATCACCACCGCGCCGCGCACTGAAGCAGGCGCAATCTCAGCTTGGAACATGGGCACTACATACCCTTCCATGCCAGCGTAGCCTTGCACAAGCAAACAACCTGCTAGAACTTGCGCATAGCTTTTGGCACAGTAAGAAATGATAACTCCAATCAAGCAGATAAACAACATCAAGAATATGACCAGACGACGACCGAAGCTTTCACCGGTAAATCCTCCCAATACAACTCCCGCTGCGAAAGTAATCCGCGGCAAGCTATTTAGTAGACTAAGTTGTGTTGCTGTAAAGAAGTGCTTGTGTGTTTTGGGATTGTATGATCCGAACCGTCTTTGAAAAGCTATACGATCATGATTAGTCTTATTCTACCTAGTCTCTGATCAGCCATCCAGAATAACGATTATAACATCTGTCCATAGCTTGTATAGTGCTATATGCAACATTTTCCATACCGAAGTTGAAGACACTCAGACTCATCAGGATGGAGCACACAGCCAGTCTCCATGTGAAGTGACGGATGAAGGGTAAATTCTCGACTTGCATGATAGCAAGGTCCAGTTTCAGGCAGATATCGCTTGATTCCAGAGATAGTATGCCATAGGTTGACATGGCGAGAGAGATCTAGTGTTTTGACCGGGTTGTGTTGCTTTCTTGTAGGTTATGTGCATCGACGAAAGTCTGGGGAAAGGTGCGATACGAACCTTGTTGCTCGAATCTGGGGTTGCGGGGAAGTGGAGCAAGCAAGACCCTGCTGCTCAAAGATGACAAACCCATAATCGTGAAATTCCAAGAGAACTAGTACTATACTCCAAAGCAAGAAGGGTAGAAAACCTGGGGATAGATGCCGAGCGACGGGGAGATTAGCCATGAATCTACCCTAAATCCCCACGTACTTGGATCAACGCGGACAGGCAGATTTGCCCTAACTAACTACGGTTGGACTACTCTACTCCTGAATGAAGAGATTTGCGGGCATCGGCTGTGTCTAGATATTCTTTACCGTGCGATTCTCTTATCAGGTGGCGAGCCTGCGCGACGAACTATGGAATATCAAGCAACCTTGGGAGTGAACCGAACTCAGGAAATATGACTGGGATTGCTTCCAAAAAGGGGACTGTCGCTTCATTGACAAAGAAAGAAATCAAAAATCAACTAGGTGAAATGTCCTGACCCCCTCTTCTCCCCGTGCTCGAACTACTCAAGTCCTTCAAATCCCTCTTCCACGCCAATACCACCATCTTAATATCCAACAACTCCTTATTCAAGCTGTTATTCCGACTCTGCAACACCGCCACCTTCTTATTCTCAACCCTCAACGCTTTAACCCTCGACTCCAAATCGGCAATACCAACCTCGAGCCCTCGCTGCCGAACCCGGGTCCTATCCAGAGTCCGTCGAAGGACTTCCATACTAACTTCGTTGTAATCTTGCATGAATTTATCCATCTCCTCTTGCCCATCTCTCATGCGACTATACGTGCCACCGCATAGGAGAGTATCAGCATGTAATGTAATAGTTGATAAAATCACCTCTTTGAGATCGTTATAGTTCCCCGTTTCGTTGTCGAAGATTTCGCGAGCGGCGGCTACAAACCCCATTGTCCACCAGTGACTATATACCCAGTTTGTGAATCGTGTTTGAGCGAGGTCTTTCAGTGGGTGGATGAGGTATTTGTCCGCGATGGCGTAGACATGTAGTGATTTGGGGGGTGAAGTAGGAGATGATTTTCCTTTGCTGCTTCTGTCTAAGACATTGCTATTCACATGTCCATGTCTTCTTGATCGAGAAATGTGTCTGTCTTCGTCATTATCGTTGGTGTCATCGTCTTCATCAATCCCCGTATCCATCTCCGAATAATGCTGTCTTATCCGCTTAATTCCATTATCGCAACAGTCATAACCCCAGTCCTCGGCATCATCATATCGATGGGTATACAAATACCGAATCATCCGTTCCACAATCTCTGGATCATCATCAGTGAGCGTTATAGAATTCGTCGATGCTTCCTATATCTCATTAGCCATTCTCCACCTATGCTATAGTTACTCTGTTGCGAGAAAGGGGTAGGGGGCATACAATAAACGACCCCCGACAAGCAGCCTCAAATATCCCCGATTGAGGACAAATAACAGCGCGATGAACATGGAATTCCGTCACTGAACCCTTGACTCGAATCACGAAATCGGTATATTGCCTGTTCTTGTATATGCCCCAGATCAATGAACGGAAAAAGTATGGGCTGTCGTTTGATATACGATGGTGTCGGCTTCGAAGGTATGTTGTTGGATGTTGCCCATGAGACTCATAATTGTCCTGGGAAGGTTCGGCTGGAGAAATGTTGGTTTCAGTGGACATGATTGATGATTATTTCCAAGTTTTTCCAGGTTATGTCTGGTATAACTCTGTCTCCTTGGGATATCGAGCCCTAGAGATCAACTTTCAGTGCCATTGAGGACAATTGAGCACCGGACAAGACTGATTGCTCGACATTGAGCTATTCAGAGAATAAATCAATCCCGAAATAAATCTAAAGCTGGTTCCTGGGCCCATGGTTAAGAGTGATGATGTATGAGGTTATTCGTCATCGCCGGAAACGGACGCCGGCCGTAACCCTAATCACCACTCCCTATTCGTGTCAATTGTCATACATCCAGAGCATTTATTTGACACATAAATTCAAGTTAAAGTAATTATTATCAATGGTATCAAATCCGAACTCCTAGAGTAAACAAACATCCCAATATTTCAGATAAGTACAGGTTAAGTTTTCACCACAACCCCCAGCCCTCGTCTTGATATACATCTTCTTCAACCACCGAAGAGTAATCACGGTCATTACCCGGCTTTTCAAGCTCGTCCTCGTTCATGTTGAAAAATAAACGATCAAAAGTACGAGAGGAACCGTTTTCTTGCTCTGATGTTGACTTGGAGCCTGGGATAAACTCCCATTCCAATGCATTCGCATCTTCACCCAGTAAGAAATGGCCCAATACCAGTACCGAGTTAAAAATTTCTCGGCCGGTGGGTACAATATGTTCAGGAGGGAGAAGGAAGCCATACATTCCTTTGTCACGTAGTTTGATCTGATAGGAATATTTGGCATGGAGTTGGTGATAGAACCAGTCTAGAGCACTGCCGCCAGTACTTTCGACATTGGCCGAGACTCGTTGGCCATTCCCTTTGTCGGTAGTCACGACTCCTTCGCAGGCTGATTTCACAGCGTAAGCTTCTTGGTTGGTCATTCTGATTGCTTTGGCAATACCGAATGCCAACTCCTCAAGGTTTTCCAAGGTTGGTGGCACGGTCGAGCAGGAATATGAATAAGGATAAAGAATTTGCTGAGAATAGGAGTGTAGATCCAAGAAGCCAATAAAGTCGGTTCTCTTGTCCTGTGTCTGATTGTAGGCCCACTCGGCAATAGTCCTGGTCTCAATGCTGTCAAAGGGGTTGTTACCAGCATAGCTCTCGGAACAAGGATTTGCACGCGTCCCCTGGCCATCCCATTCATAACCCCAAGAACGATCGAGATCTATTCCTGGACAGAAGGGAAGCCCGGTTGGCTGTCTGTTCTTGCGCCAAAGACGATCCATGTCCCATGAATAAACATATCCATCAGGATTGATGGTAGGAACAAGAACCCAATCAAAGTCTTCTAATAATTTGGTTATCGCAACGGAGTTGCCAAACTCCGTCACCAATTGAAAGGCAATGTAAGCTACCGTCGATGTGCTGATCCATTCACGTGCATGCGATCCCCCTACAATCATAATTGTTTTCCGTGGTCCCTCCTGCTCGTCATCGCGCGAGCGTACACCAAGTCGAAAAGCAGGAATGTCTCGGCCCTCGTGAGTAACTCCAACATTGACCAATTGCGCATGGGATGGGAACATGGATACGATTAAGCGCATCCATTGAAGAATAACGTTGAATGGCTGATAGTGATCGAAGAACAAATCGGCTACGTCTAATGGTCGCGGGACTGTATGGCAATCGGTCTGATCAATCGTGTGGCGTTGATAATCGCGGGTCGGGTATCGGGACTCGTAGATCGCCTTTGATAGATCTTCAATGAGCAAGGTGTGGGATTTTTGGAGAGATTGTGGAAGAAGCCCTAGCAATGAAGGAACCTGTGGGAGGTGAGCACAAGTAAGACAGAGACCTGACAAGCACTTCAACTGCTTACAACTTCCTTTGCCATCCGAATATCTACATAATTCTCATTTGAATCCCAAACATCCAGAAAGAGAATATTTACGGCATCTGCCAAAGCCTCAACTTCCTCCGTGCTGTGAACTTCCATGCGCAAAACGATATCGCTTCCGTACCGACTCCATGATTTCTCCGGCCGAGGTTGCGATCCCACTTTGTTTGAGTGCTTTTTGTCAATGCCCCATATCCGTTCGATCACAGTGTCTCGTAGCCAGGTAAATGGACCCCGAGAGGATGCAATTTGGGATTGTGTTTGCGATGCGAAGCGTACGGATTCAAAGGGACCTAACGGTGGTGAATGTGGGTTGATGCCAGTCCCAGCAGGAACAGCGGTCACTTGTCCGGCGAGGAGCACGGCGCACAGGACGACGAAGACATGATCCTGTCTATACATTCTGTGAGAGACTAAGTAATAATGATATTCGAAAGCGACGCCACGAAGGCAGCGCCCAGAATTTTCAATGAGGCTGCATAGAAGGATGTGATTTGTTTGAAGCGTAGAGGTGAGTCTGAAGTTGTTTTAGAAGTTCGGACGGCCCAAAGAGATGGATGTGGATGCCCCAGGCTGAAGCATTCCACTGCCCCACCGTATTTTTTCCACTCAATATGTCAATTTTTTACACTGTTTCTAGATCGATTTTGATATGAATATCTGTTTATGATAACTTGATAGGTATTCGACATCAATGATCAGGTCAGTCAATCAATAAGACTACAGTTCTAGACTGGTAAAGAACCTCATATGAATGATTCAGCGAGTGAGCGTCGCGATACGGCCTATTACTAGCCGCATAATGGCTGGCTCTATACAGTGGCAAGCGTTAGTCTAGGCTGTCCATGTTCCACTGCAAGTCGTTACAGTCCCACAGTTCGAAGTCGTTTAGAGAAGGGCGACGTAAGTGTCCAATGGATATCACCATCATCGTATGATAGAGATCTGAGTGGGAAGCGTGTGAACCCTAATAAATAGGTTATATTACAATACCGTACATCAGTCTAGACAGTAAAAAGTGTCATGGTTGGACTTGTGGAGTAGAGAGAATATATTACACGTCATTACAGTACATCCATACACAGTGTTACCACTTTGGCGTGTGCATGCATCCTTGACCTTGAACGCCGTCAAACCAAGATTCTCCATGTTCTCAGCCCACTAACGACTTCCATCAACGCGAACAACGACTTTGTTCTTGAGACCTGATCAACCCTCCAGATTCTTGCACTAAGCATTGTCTGCAAAATTGTCCGATAGCAATAAAGTAAACAGTCCCGGACCCAAACACCGCCGACTTGGTGAGATGACCTAATTATCCGCTTCCTGTCTCTGTCAGACTGATTCGTTGCTCTTTCACGCTTGGTCAAATGCTTGTTTTCGACGGCTTGACCCTTGGGTTTTGAATGCTTCAGCCTTGCTAACTCGCACCGTCCTACCAGTCTGTGCCCCTCCCGCTGCTGATCGGACAGTTTCAGGGGATAACCAGAAATCCGCACTCTTCCGTCTTACCACGTCACAAATCAGGAACATATTCGATTAAGACATTGTTTACACTGGGGCGACCACCTCTCGCTGATTTCCTCATTTCAGACACCAGCCATGCAAGAGGTATAGGCCTGCTGCTCAATCGATTGTGCGTCGTTGTCAAAGCATGAGCTACCCGGAGCCATCGCAACAACCATAAATTCGCTCCAGTGATTCACGACCCCGTCTTCGCCATGCAACGCATCCGAGCCAGGCTCGCCTCTTCGGATGGAAACGACAATAAACGATACAGCTTAATCTTTGCTCCTCATGCGCGTCGTAGCGAACATGTTCCCCGTCCATCGCCGTCATCGCCCCAAATAGACCGCCGCGTGTCTGACTCCGGCCCTCGCCCTAATGTGGAAGAAGGCACAGCAGTGGATAGCGAAAAAATGGAGAGACCGAATATATACGATCATGATAATTCAAATCATGGAAATGGTACAACTGGCTTTTCGATGGCTAGCTCGTCCGAAAATAGTGCAGCCATGAAGAGGAACCGATTCAGCATGTTACGATTTCGTCATGCGTCTGATCCTCAGTTGTCCGTTACCTACTCTCAGAGTGAGAAGGACGTACCGCCAGTACCTCAGGTTCCTCCACGTAAGTTTCTACTACATACTCTAGATATAATGCTTTTACTTACTTGGGGTTTGAAAGCGCCGACGATTATAACGACGGCTCCGACAAATACGAACCTGGAAAAATCCGCACGCAAAAGCAGGCTTCGCAATCCTCTCTCCAGAAAGGCATCGAAAGAGGCTATCAACGTGAATGCCAGCGGGTCTGGCCTTGCAAAATTACCACATTCACAGACCTTAGGCGGCCACTCTCGCCTTAGCCATGAAGAACCGGGCCGCCTTTCTACCTCTACATACCAAAGTGGAACCAACCCCTCTGAACAAGACATGCGATTCTCTGAATCGTCTCGGTCAGACCAGGGCTCTATTGAAAGGGGTCCGGTGAAAGGCGACGCTCCACATCCAACCAAAAGACTACATATGCCACGTCTGCTGAAGAGTCATGGGAATATATTCCCACTCCCTGTCAAGCTGCAGCCGCCAGATGCTAGCAAAGCATCTAGCGGCCGTGTGTCTCCGATTTCGAATGGTGGAAATAGTGCAAGAACTTCAATGGACCCGACTACTCCAGACGGAGACCAAATATCACCACTGCCATCTCCTACACAATCTTCCGTGAAACTGGCCTCTCCGAAAGCTTCCAATCAGAATCCTCTTCTACGAAAGAACTCCACTATCTCTGCTCGCTCGGGACACTCAGCTTCGTCGGCCAAAGTTCGCTTGGGAAGGCGCGGACGTTCGTCAACCCTGAACTCATTTATTGAGGCTTCACGTAATGGAGATGATCCTGATAATTCTTCATCCAACCTACCATCGGGTCGGAACTCGATCTCCACAAATGGGCGAAAGAGTTTTGGCGATTTATTCGGTTTGAGCCATAGGTTACGTCAAAACTCAGAGTTATCAAGCCATCGAGACAGCCATAACAGTTCCCGTGCCCCGGGAACACCAACTTCAGTCACGAGAAATAATTCAGCACTGGCGTCGCAGACTGTGGTGGCGTATCCAGACCGGGACGAAGACGACACTCCTGCAACATATCTTACCAAACTCCAAGAGACTGTTCCAAGAGGATCAGTTGGCACGGCTTTGTGCAAATATGACGACGAATTCTACAAGATTGCGTTGCGTAAATTTATGCGAACTTTTGCTTTCTTTGGTGAACCTATTGACATGGCCATCCGTAAACTGCTGATGGAAGCGGAATTGCCAAAGGAAACTCAGCAGATTGATAGGTTTTTGCAGGGATTCGCGGATCGGTATTATGAGTGCAACCCGGGAGTCTTTGCTACCACAGGTACGTGCTTAACGTGTAGAAAAAAATCGGACACTGCTAATTCAGATATAGATCAAACATATTTCATAGCGTTTTCCATTTTGATCTTGCACACGGATGTGTTCAACAAGAACAATAAACGGAAGATGCAGAAACAGGACTACGTAAAGAATTCGCGCATCGAGGGGGTTTCCGAAGAAATACTCGAATGCTTTTATGAAAATATTTCATATACACCATTCATTCATGTTGAAGACGAATTGAATCTCAACTCTCGACAGCATCCAAAAAGAAAGGGTCTTCTCAAAGCTGCAAGCTCTGACCACCTAACAAGAGCATCGAGCCAACCTGTTGACCCGTATGCTGTCATCCTAGATGGAAAATTGGATACATTGCGCCCAAGTCTGAAGGAGGTAATGAACATTGATGATCCTTATAGCTTCCCAGATTCGGAAGGATTCAGAGATATTGAATCTTTACATCAAGCGTTCTCCAGGTCTGCTGTTCTGCAGATTGTTTCGGCACGATCTCGGCCAGATGCTTTTATGACATCAACAAACATGGAAGACACTGCTGATTCGCACCCTGGCTTGGTTGACATCAAAGTCGTGAAGGTCGGTCTACTGTGGCGCAAAGATCCGCGAAAGAAGAGGGCGCGCTCTCCATGGCAAGAATGGGGTGCCCTTTTGACTTCGTCGCAGCTGTACTTCTTCCGTGACTTATACTGGACAAAGTCTCTTATGTCGCAGTATGAGAACCAACGCAAGAAAGGATCACGATTGCCGGTGGTTTTCACCCCCCCTGTCACTGATTTCAAGCCGGATACTATCATGTCCACTTCAGATGCAGTTGGGCTGATCGATTCAAGCTACAAGAAGCATAAACATGCATTTCTTTTGGTTCGCCACAACGGCCTGGAAGAGGTGTTTCTTGCCAACTCGGACGCCGACATGAACGATTGGTTGGCAAAGTTGAATTATGCAGCAACATTCAGAACTACTGGTGTACCTTTGAAAGCCACCGTCGGCGCTCGATATGAAGGCCAGAAACATCAAAGTATGACTCGTATTGATTCCACTCATTCCGAGTCGTCGCAAGTGCAAGGTGAAGGAACTACACCTGAGACCAAGGAGTATGTTGATGCACGCCTCGCCGAGGAGATGTCTGCTGCACGGCAACAATTGATGTCTCGAAGGATCGCGGAGGGCGATGAAAAGTTGATTGGCTATCAGAAACAACTAGACGACCTTCTCAGAAATGCTAGGCATCTTCAGCTGTTGACTCCGGTCAATACGAGGGCGCGGGAAAACGTCATTCTAGCTGCTGGGCGCATGGCTGCTAAACTGCGATGGGTGCGATTGGACATGTGGCGAACAAGGTGTTATAATCATTTTCTGTCCTTGGATCTTGGTATAAAGCCAGTTCCTGATGCACAGAAACGATCCTCACTCTCGACTATCAAACCCGTATCCCCTACGGCAAACAATTCGTCACTAGCGGGACTCAATTCCACTCATTCTTTGCTTACAGCGCCTTCGATAAATGAAGCGGTATCTTCCGAGCCTACATCGCCAATGTTACCGGAGACCTCGGTTGGTTCAACTGACTTTTTATCACCTATCGTTACGGATGGTTACCGCTTCAATACATCCTCATTCACGTCCTCTCAGGCCCATGATGGAAAGCAACCGCCTCTCTCACCCATGACTGAAAACCCGCCTCCTGCTAATGGTGATAGGCCGAGTGGAACCCTGAACAGAGAACCGTCAGTTCTGAGCACCGGCAACAGGAGCGAGGGGCCCGGTTCAAGCATTCTCAGCTCCACGGCGCATATGAGTACAACCAACATTGATAATTGTGAAGAGCGGGTGCTCCGCGAAGCTGGTCTTCTTGGAGTTGACGGACCTACTGAGTCACCTAAGCCGTCTCCCAAGCTTGGGAATGACACTGAAATTCCCGAGAAACATATTGACGAAAAATCTGAGTCTATTACAGATCATCGTCTTAACGGGCATCGGCGTAGCTTGCAGCGAACGTTGAGAGATTCACACCATAAACCAAGTCATCAACGCAGCAAGAAAGGTAGAGACTCAGCCTCTAGTATCGGCCTTGTGGATAATCCTGCCGGCAGCGAAGGGGAGGGATTATCCAGGAAAGATGCCAACTTTACTTTGCACGGAAAAAAGGCTTCTGTCATCACATTTGGTTCCGAGTGGGCCAACATCTCCGCAGAGGAGAGATTGAAACTACGCAAGCCCGCGGCTTCTGAGGAGGCTAGGGCATCCGACTCAAACCTGATTCGTGACACGCGTGGATCAATCAGTTCTGCATCTATTCATAGTGCTCGACCACAGTCAATGCGCAGTGCTAGTACAGCGACAGTACGAAGCTCTCGCTTTGTGGATAGCATTTCTGTCAACAATGGTATCCCAGAGGTTCCGTCGTTGGATATTGTTCTTAAAGAGAACCAAGAAGAGGAATCAGCTGCACCGTCTGCAGGTCCAAAAAATGCTTCGACCACATCGGCCACCACAAATGACCTATCTAACGAAAACTTTCCCACCCTCGAAAACGGAGAATTGATTGACCCAATCTCAGGCCAAGAAAACCCAAGATTGAACTCTCATGAACAAGCCGTTGGTGCATGATTATTACCGATTTTTAATAAAAGTGACTACGTATCGAGTTTTGATGACGATGTGATTTGTTTTGGTCATTCCTTATACCTTTTTTTTCTTTTCTTTTTTTCCTTTTTTTCCTTTTCGTTACTCTTGATACCCCATCCATTCTCCACCATACACACATACACTACTACATCAAGTACTTTTCTTTTTCTCTTTCCTCTTTCTTTTCTTCAACATCCATTACAAGGATAGGATAGGTTAGGTGTTTCTTCTGTCAGTTTTTCGGGTCAGCAATGGATCTATTTTCAACATAGCGATTATCTTGTCTTTTTCTGCTTCGGTTCTGCTGCTACATAAACTTTGTGGGGGTTTTTATGTTTTCGCGGCAAAAATTGGATTGAGCTGAGCGTGAGCATGGGTATGGGCATTACAGTGTGTTTTGTAGGAATTTATTGACATTGACATCTTTTTGCTGCTTTCTTCCTCTGGTGTAGTTTTTGACTAGGGTTAAGTTATTGGGGTAAGGGTAGTTTCCACTCAACGTCATTTCTGAGCTTTCACTAGGTCGACCCACTTATCAATCTCGACTCTGCACAAATTCCGATGAAACATCTCAACTCCCATCTTCTTGATTAACTTATACGTTATAGAAGAGGAAGAAAAATAAAATGGCACACTCCAAACGCAACACCTCCCTCCCCCATTTTACATCCTACGAACGTTCCCTCTTACGCTCAAACTGGGGTACTCAACGCACCCGCCTCTCACGCGAATCCTTCCTACCTTTCGGGTCTTGTCAACTCTGCCTCCAACCCGCGCGAGAACCCGTCGTCGCCTGCGCACACAATGGGGATTTATTCTGCCGCGAATGCGCGATTAGCGATCTATTGGCGCAACGGAAAGAGATCAAAAGGATGGAACGGGAAAGAGAAGAAGATATGCGACGAGGTGCGGAGGAGGAAGCTAAGATGATGCAGGAAGCGAGAGAGAGGGAGTTGAAGGAATTTGAATTGGTTAGTATGGGACTTGAGGGGGCGAGTCAAAATTCGGGGAATAATAAGAAGAGGAAAGCGCCGACTATGATGGATGGGAAAGAGGATACAGGTTGTAGCACAACGGCAAGGATCGATAAGGTGACGGAAGAGTTTCGACAGAGAGAAGTTGAGGTTAATGGCAAGCGGAGGAAGGTGTTTGAATTGAGTGAAGCGGAGATTTCGCGGTATGCGAAGACGGAGCTTGAGAGGCTCAAGAAGAAGATTGAGCAGGAAAAGGTATTCCCTCCACCTCTCCTATCCGCATATAATGCTAATGCTGGTATAGGCAGAAGCAAAATCAGCTCTACCGTCATTCTGGATCCCCTCCGAAACACCAGGTACAGAGAATCAAGCGAGCAAAAATCTGAAATTATCGCCTATATGTCCCGGGTCCACGAAAGAGAATCGACATGAATACTCGCTCAAGACATTGGTTGATGTAAATTTTACAGAGGAGAAGACAGAATTAGCTGGGGGGACTACGACACGGATATGTCCAAGCTGTAAGAAGAGTTTGACGAATGGGCTGAAGGCTATGCGTATGCTTCCCTCCTCTTCTTAGGGTCTAATAGTTGAACAATAAAGCTAATTTTAGTGGCAGTCACAAAACCCTGCGGACATGTAATTTGTCAACCATGCGTAACCAAATTCATGACTCCAGAGACAACAATCGATCCCCACAGAACAGACCAAGAGGATGCAGCTATCGGACGTATGCTATGCTACGTCTGCGAGACGGATATCACGCCTATCAATAAACATTCAAAATCATCCAAGGAGAAACACAAAGAAGGGAAAAGCGGGAAAATTAAACCTGGTCTGGTGGAGATTAAATCTGAAGGGACTGGCTTTGCGGGTGGAGGGGATAATATGGCTAAGAAGCAGGGTGTTGCTTTTCAGTGTTGATTTCTTGGAGACAAAATCTTGGATATATCTGTTTCGAGCAGCTTGGTTGCTACTTGGACTAATAGATTTAGTGCCCTACGTAAAGGCTCTATGAACGCCATGAAATGCATACATATACACAGGTATAGAAACAATGATACAGTGCCTTCTTTCGGACAGTAACCAGCTGAATGAATCATCGCTTAGGCACCGGCAGCGATTTCTGCGAGTTATTAAACTCCCTCACCACAATATCACACCGAACTTCCTGACACAACCGTCGACGCCGAGAAACATCCAATTTCGTCGCAAACTCCAATCCACTAGCACGCTCAACAGCCTCAACGGGGACCTCAAAGTCCGTCAGTGGTTGGGTATTCGGAATCCGAGCATTGGGGAGCACAAATGCTCCCAAGGCAACTTTATCAGTGGGGTTTGTGCCGTGCTCCGCAAAGATAACCTTGTAGAAATGTGTGGGGACGGCGATATTTGGTGGTTCGCCAATTACTTCATAAGTCACTCGGTACTTGCCATCGGCTTCCTTGCGAGGTAGATACAAAGGTCCCGTAACGATGCGGACAGAAGGGTACGTCTTGGTGAGATTGCGGCAGAAGTCCTCGAAGTGAGCCCAGTAATCGCGGTTGAATCCCTCACCCACTTGAGGGCACATGTTGCTCAGTGCAAATGTAGCGTCCATTGCGTCCTGACTCCATTTTGCGTCTGCGGCGGGCACCTGATGACCTCGATCGTAGCCCGAGCGGAAGTAATCGGACAATTTCCCTCGAAACATCACTGGAATAGTCGTATCTTCGACAAAGACACTGTGCTTGCGATCTGCGTTCTTAAGCGAAAGTGAGTACGGAGTAATGTGTTCGGCTACCCACGACGGGTTTCGCATTCGTCGGTCATAGGCTCCTGTCAGGGGAAGTGTGTTGAGAGGGTCGATGACAGGACCTGGAAAGCCATATTGTAGTAGGCCAGAAGGGTCGACTGGGGCTACCGCTGCGATAGCCTTCGCCGCTAGGGCAGGTGGTGCAGGAATGGGGTTTGGTACAGGGGTCGTCGGGTTGTTGAGAGCTTGAACTGGCAGTGCAGCTGTGGGAGAGGGAGTCGGTTGACGGGTGGGTTTTGTTGAATAGAGAAGAGCTGTCACGCCTGCTCCGGTAGCTGCGCCGGCAGCAGCAATGATGGCGAAAGTTGTTTTGGACATGTCGTCTGTCGTTTTTGTCTCCGCGGAAGAAAAAGTTCCCGTAATAACTCAGACGCGAAACAAGTCCGGTACTTTCAGGTGGAGATCAGAGACTAAATAGGCGCTCTATTGAGCTGACCTGGCAGATGACTAACTGACAGCCTTGTCGACCGTGCAACTGTTGAAGTTGTTGGAGTTTGAGATCTGATCAGATGGACAAGCCGCGTGAAAAAGGGAAAGCGCGCTGCCATCTGCACTGGCCAATCACAATTCGCTTATTTCCACCTGTCGGAATTGTTCCATTTTAGGGTTGTTAGGGTTATCACCCTAAGACTGATTTCTGTATGACTCCGAAGAATATGAATGTTATATTTTCATTCTCTATATAGAGAAGAGTATCATGCATCATTGCTGCCTGTTCTGTAAGCAACAATTATTGGACAAACCAAGGGGACGTCTTGTGATCAAAATGCGTACCTTGGGGATGGCCAACAACGTACATTGACTTGACTGGCGAGTGTTGGGTGTATAGACCAGGTCGATAGATGATACATAGTACTAGCTGATTAGAAATGTGAAGGGATTTCGAGCATATAAATATTGATAGAGCTCTCACAATGCTTGAGAGATAAGCTGTATGCGCTTCCAGTGGCGTAAAAGAAAGAGCAGACCCTCTTACATCATCACCATCCTACCCTAACTTCTTCCCAAACTCTCACGCCGCTATTCTTTTCCCAGCTTCATCTTCTGCTTCACCACTCCACGCACAGCATCAGCCAATATGGTGCTCGATGCAAATGATAACCGGGGATGGATTATGAGCGGTGTTGCCGGTATAGGTGTGTTTCCTCCGCTGAGTGGGTGTAATGGTCTAATTGCATGCTGATGACAATGCCAAACAGCTTGCGTTATCGGCGCCAGCATCATCTGCGTGGACATTATACTACGGTCATGTTTTCGAATACGCAATTTCGATATTACTACCAATACTACCTTTCTTTCCTCATCCATGGGCCTGAGTGCCGGAGTGATGGTAGGTTCTCAACCATGAACTCTATCTGGATATGTGCAGGTCACTGAGAGTCTTAGGTGTTTTCGTCTTTATATAGTATGCTACCTACTGCGAAAAAGTATCTCGCTCGATCTGGACTATCGGATTCCGTCGCTGCCTTTGCCTTGATCGGACTCTTCCTGGCCGGGGTCGTTGTCATCAGCATCTTCTCCCACATCGCACATCGTTATATCCCGTCGCATGTCGTTGACTGTACACACACTCACGAATCACACGACCGTGATCTAGAGCATGGCGTCGAGGAGGAACATCATCAACATCATGAGAGAGGACACGGGTGTAGACGAGAGTACCATGATATTCGCAAGGATCCGGGCGAGAATGATCAGATCACAGAAAGCAACGAGCGAACACCTCTTCTTCCCAGTCAGTGCAATGGTAACAACAGACGGCCAATACAAACCCTCTCGACGAAAAGCACCGGTGGACTCCAATTCCGGACGTTGTATCGTGACTCGGTCGGAAGGATCCTTGGTCGACGGGTTACGCAATTCTTGAGGCTTTCCAAAGATGTCTGCGACGAGAATGGGCCTTGCTATGGTTTCTCGCAGACGTGTGGAATTGATTGTCGGAAAGTGCTAGGCCCTCGTAGCTATTTTCTTTGGATGAACGGCAGGGAGTCGGAAAACCATACACAAGCATCTCCAGCAGTTAGTGAGCCGCAACCAAGGATCCGTGCAGATGAGCCCGATACGCCCTTGACTGTTCGCCGTGTTCCGCTCATTTCTCAAGAACAGACTGAAACTTACCGACCGGATAGTGAGCCGCAGGGAACTGATTACTTCTCTCAAGACATCCGTCGTACTGACTCTAGCTCATCCCCATCATCCCAACAGGCGGATGAAGAACGAACGGCCACAGGAAGTCAGGAATCGGCAGGATTTGAACCGAACTCCAAACCATTTGAAGATCATCCGAGTCATGCTTCCCCGCCGCATCATCATCATGTTCCTCAAAATGCCTTTCTTTCAATTGGTCTTCAGACATCATTGGCGATTGCTCTACACAAACTTCCCGAAGGGTTCATCACCTATGCTACAAACCATGCTAGTCCAACCTTAGGAATGACCGTATTCATTGCTCTGTTCATTCACAACATAACCGACGGGTTTGCGCTCGCATTGCCTCTCTTCTTAGCTATCAGATCGAGAGTAAAAGCCATTTTCTGGGCAAGTCTATTGGGAGGAATCAGCCAACCAGCCGGTGCCGGTCTCGCAGCTCTCTGGATCTGGTACAGCAATCGAGGAAAAGATATTACCGAGGGAACTTCCTGGGGTGTATACGGAGGCATGTTTGCCGCAACGGCAGGCATCATGACTTCTGTGGGGTTCCATTTGTTCAGTGAGGGCCTCAGCTTGACGCATAACCCGAATATTTGCATTTTTTCGGCTATTGCAGGTATGGGGCTGTTAGGGATTAGCTTTGCATTGACTGCTTGATTACTAGGAGTCATCAAACAAAGAGAAATTATAGAGATTATAAAAGGCGCCTGGTCCAATGGTCATGTACGGAGGCGGCGTTCTATGGTGGATATGTGTTATGCTGATTTATGATATTATTATGATGTGACGCTGTACTTACTTATACCGACACTTGGATGCCGAGTGTAATTAATGGAGACAACATTATTTTAAATTCTTCATCAAGATTGGAACACGATCATCCACCCTTCTGAGCCTGAGCCTCCCTCTCCCTCTTCCTTGCCAAATATCTCTCCCGAGCACTCGAAACATCCGAATCCGTCTTACGACTCCTATTCTTCTCCGCCAATTCCTTCAATCGCGCTTTTTCAGCTTCTTCCTCTTGTCTAGCCTTCTCCTCAAGTTGAGTGGCTATCATCTCTGTCTGACGGGCTCGTTGAGCATATCGAGCTGCGAAGGCATCTTTCCGTCCAGCGGCGGAAACACCAGGCCGAACCGCCGATGTTGCCGCGCCAGCTGATGGACCGGATGGTTTCGTCTTGGGCTTAGGCGCAACATTCAATCCGGCGCTGAGTAATTGGCGTTTATCGACTATCTGACCTTCATCGTTGACGACGATGTTGGCTCCTCGCGCATTCAATTCGGCTGCTATTTGAGCCTCGGATTTTTCCTTTTGCTCACTCTCCGTTTCAGCTGTGGTGTCGTCTACCACTTCCCCAGCAGCAACCTTCCGCGCCACTTCTTCCGTAGCTTTCATAACTTCGCCATGCGACTCCTCATCCCGCGCAAGCATCTGACGATAAAATCCCATCATACCCGAATCACCATTCCTCCTCCTTCGCTCTTCCTCTTCCTTCTCACGTTTCGCTTCCTCTTCTTCCATCCGTTTAACTTCCTCCTGTTGCGCACGATACGCAGCCGTGACAAATTTCTCTTTATCAGCAAACTCATCCCCTTCCACTTCACGCTCTTTCGCCAACAATCTATCTCGCGCACGCATTTGATCTCGTTTCCGTATTTCGGCCGTTCGCATTAATGCTTCCATGTATTTACTCGAACCGGGTTCCTCATCCTCTCCGTTATCGGAGGGCTTCTTCTTCTCGCGTTTCGCTTTAATAGTGTCGTATACGGCGTCGTAGGAATATATAGATGGATCGATTTCTTCGGCCTGTTTGGCGTGTTTTCGGCTTGTGTGTAGGGCTGCTAGGTTTTTGCATTCGGGTTCGGTGGGTTTTTGGAGGCCGTAGGTTTTCTTATCTTGTGGTTGTTGTGCCTGTCCTTCGTCGTTCTCGTCGTTGAATATACTTTTCCTTAATGTCTTGGGTCCGTTCTTCTTATCTGATAATGGTTTCGCGCCTGCAGGTTGAGTACTCGTTCGTACTAGTTTTTGTGGCTTGAATTCTTTGTCGTTGTTATTATTATTATTTTCTTCTTCTTCGTCAACGCCGCCCAATGTTGTTATCTCAATTGCGCCGTCTTGATTATCATTATTCTGAGACTCCACTCGTTCACTTTCCGAGTCTGAGTCGTCGAATATCGTCTTCTTGCGCTTCTGGCCGGCTGCGAGTGTTTTGTTCTGGTTTCCGAATGGCGATGGTTTGGATGGTTTGGCGAGGTTGAGGCCGAGGGAGAGTTTTGGTGGCATTGTATCTGTCAATATTATAGTACTAAACAGCCAAGATTTCAATCCGATAGCGCAGAGTGGCTTGTGATATACAGCGCGTATCCGTGAAGGTGGTTGTCAGGACCAAGCTGCTCCTGAGCTGTCCGCATCCAAGCCGCGGAGGTAATCCTTATCCTTATCTCCACTTGATTCCTAAGTCACGTGCTGATACGGACATTAACACACTAAACTCCACACAGAGAAGCTTAAACCACATAGCTACTAGCTTCCTTGAGTTCATCAATTCCGTACACCAATTGATACCCTCAGTTCCATATACTGAACAGAATAAAATGTCATACTACTTCACAATCCTCTCCGCCACGGACGTCCCACTCTTCAGCCTGACATTCGGCACCTCCAAAGCAGGCGGTGATGGGGTCGCACGCTTCCGATTCCCTGATTCTGCGCAATACATGAATCAATTTATTGTCCATGCTAGTTTGGATATTGTCGAAGAGACGCAATGGACAAATGGGGCTCTGTAAGCATCCTTTTCTCATTCTCTGACAGAAGCCAGCTCAACTAATCTGGTTAAAGCTACCTCAAACACATCGACACCTACCCCCCAACCGCATCATATATATCTGCCTTCCTCACCCCCTCTGGCACGCGATTCATTCTCCTCCACCAGCCACCCCAACTCCCTTCATCATCTAGTGCTGGTGCTGGTGCACACGGCATATCATCATCCACGTCCTCACTAGCCAGCACACTAGGCGCCGCAGCAACGTCACGCGCAACCTCAAGTTCTATCGCTGCAAATCCTACATCCCCACAAACGGAGGAAGCGATTAGACAGTTTATGACTGAAGTATACGAAAATTGGGTCAAGACTGTTATGAGTCCGTTTTATAGGCAGGGGATGCAGATTACGAGTCCGGTTTTTAGGGCGAGGGTTACGGCGGCGGGGAGGAAGTGGTTATAATTGTTTCGTCTCAAATCTTGAAGGCATGTCGCTTTTTGAGAGTTTGATGTTTCTAAATGTAAATATATTCTTCTATTGATATATCAATGTGATACCCCCATGTCATGATTAAACTCCTTTTGAGGTTTCGATCTCTCTAATAGCATCTTGATTGATATGCTATGCTAAATATACTTTTAGTCGTACGGCGAAACAGCCAAAAGAAAATATAGTTCAAAAGCTCAATGTATCCCGCTTGAATTTTCCTCCAAAGGCCATACGAATCAGAAATGAAATCAAGTCCCCATCTGAGCCGCCATTTGAGGCGCCAATTTCTTGACAGTAACACTCTTGAAATTCTCCAGAGCTTGTATCACATCAGCAGACGAAGTCACAGCTCCGAAGATCCCGCCTTCCATTTTGATTGAGTCCAAAGTGCTGGTATGCAGCGATGGTTCCGTGGCAGCACACGCATCCTCTACAACGACACAGTCAAACCCTCGATCATTTGCTTCACGCATAGTTGTTGATATGCATACATCTGTAGTTACACCTGTGAGAAGAAGGTTTTTCACACCCTTGTTGCGTAGGAGTAATTCAAAGTCTGTATGGGCGAATGCGCCACGGCCCGGTTTGTCAATGACAGGTTCATCGGGAAGTGGATAGAGTTCGTCGATAGTGTCGTGTCCGACTTCTCCTCGGATTAGTAGTCGACCTAATGGTCCTTGGGATCCGATACCCAAGGCAGATGGATTGTTGCGAGATCGGTGGTTTTCTCGACTAGATAGGGTAGACAGATCTGGTCGATGGCCTTCTCGCGTATGATATATGGGGAAGCCAGCGGCTCGGAAGTTTTGCAAGAGATTTTGTAATCGAGGAATTATGGCGCGGGTAGGGGAAATGTCATATCCTTGATACTCTAGGTATCCTCCAGGGGCACAGACTATCATCATTATCAGTATGCAGTAATAGTGTTCAGATATCAGACGACTTACAATCCTTTTGCATATCAATAATGACAAGCGCAGTAGTAAACGGTGTAAAAGTAGCATCATGAGGCCAATCATAGGGCTGTGCAGCAATTTGACCTTTTTTAAACTTCTGAATAACTGGTCGTGCTCGTTCAATAACCGGACCATGATTGTGCGCCGGGTCTGTGACAGTCAACGTCCAGAATCCCGGAGTACCAGCTGCAAGAAGCGAAAACGGACAATCTGTCAACCGTGATGTCCGTCTTCGCTTCCGAGTCTCTTCTGTGAGTCCGTTGCGCGGTCGATACTGGCCGCCACGGTCACATCGGAGCCAGACCTTTGACGTCCGGCCGGGCTTCTTGTCATTTGGCGTACTGGAAGACTTAACAACAACTCTGTAGCCATGCACCTTACCATGAGCATGCACTGCTGCTAGAAGACTTGCTCTTTGAGAACATCAGCTCTGTTCCATGACATGGGGTAGCGCGAGCCTACTTGTCTGGATAGGTTGCTTCAGGAGGCGGGAGCAGTTGCATCTCCGTGTCTGGAATATCTTGAAGATCACTCGGAGCATCCAGATTCAAATCCGGTGTATCGGTAGCCATTGCAGGATAAACTTGGAGGTCTATTAGCAGTCCATCAAGTCAGCACGAACTCCATACGGGAGCGGAAGCCTTTTCGCGGGACTGCGCATCTCGTTTTATCTCTTTCTTAAAAACAAATAACGTGAAGTTCGGAATTGATATTGAAAATGACAGGTGCGTGGCAGCAATGGTAATAACATAGCTTTTATCCAGAGGTAATAAAAGCCCGTGCGTGGATGTAGCGGTGGACCGGGACGAATGACGTGTAAAGACCAGTATCAATTGCGATCACGACGGATGCGCGACGAGTATAAAAGAATTAAGATCAAAAAGCAACTACCCACTCACTCTAGAAGCTTATAAGGTCTTGTATTGATCGCCAACCGCTGATTCCGAAGCGCAGACGATACGCGTTGGCATTGAACGAGTTGTCGCCTTATTCCTATGGTCACGGCGGAGCTCCAGACTCAAAGATTAATTATGCGCTATACTACTTTCGGTTAGGCTTATCGGGCCGACAACATCAAACAGACAGCCCAATCAGGACTAGTCTGCTGGATAATCACGGGACGACAACCTTGGCGGTGAGAGTGAGGGTCTCCCGCATTACTTCTCCAGTGCATCAACAAGACATCAATCAACGTCAACAACAACACCACAACATCGCCAGCCCCCCTTCGACGCCCCCGACCTCGAAGTCGGGCAACCGCAGTCAGAGCAGGAGGTAAGTCATTATTCTCGACTGCTACGACCCGGGTTGACTGCCCCGACTACGATTTTTGGACATCCGAATGACAACAACACAGCAACAACGACCCTCGTCATCGTTAGGGGGGCAACCAGAGTCAAAGACTACAACAACAACTCCACTCGCGGCGATTCAATTGAGTATTCGAGTTACTCCCTGCGACTCACGACCTTCTGCAACATTATATTCAACATACTGCATCTGCATGTGCTGGCCTTGATCGGGCTACAGTACCCCCCCGCGGCATCATAACAATGCCGGTCGCTGATCCCAACACCACACCTGCGGCCACCAAAGCCAGTCATGATGCGGAGGAACTCGCCTATTACAAAGCCCAATATGAGCAACTAGAAGTTGAGCTTGCCGAATTCCAGGCATCCAGTCGGGAACTGGAGGCTGAGTTGGAAAAGGATATTGAGGCATCTGAGAAACGGGAGCGACATCTGAAAGGTAAAGTCGAGACTTTGTCGTATGAGGTGGAGGAATGGAAGGTATGTTCTTTAACGTCCGACGAGTTCACTGGGATGCGCTAATTAGATATGTTGTCAGACCAAATACAAGCAAGCCAAAGCTGAGGCCAGCTCAGTTCAGAACACCCTTCAAAAGGAAATCACTAGCTTGCGAGAGGGAAATCGAGCGTTACAATTGAAGCTAAGAGATATTGAAGTCGCAAACGATGATTATGAGCGTCAGGCTCGAAACACAACGTCGTCCCTGGAGGACCTGGAATCGAAATATAACATGGCGATCGAGCGCGCTGTACTTTTAGACGACGAAGTCAAGGCCGGAGAACAAGAACGAGAAGCGCTGCGCATTGAGTCTCAGCGCTTGCGCGACGAACTTTCAGACCTGAAAATCGAGGCCGACATCATCACTGACAAGCTTCGGAAAGCTGAGAACGAGCTCAACCGTCGTCGCAAACAGCCCGCTTTGCTTGATCCATCTGTTGCGCATGGTTCTCAAAATGCCGAAGCTGGTCAGCACTCCCCTGTAACCACCTCCTCGTCTCCAACCATGAACACGCCTCCTGCAAAGTCCGTGTCATCCGCGACATCAGATGCCATCACGCCCCCTTCGCCCTCTGCTTCAGAGTCTTCGGTCAGTGTGCGCAAACAAGGCGCAGAAGGCGGCTTCAGCGGCACACGAGTCTCGCTTGGGAAGACAGCCCCTCACTCGGCCTATGCCAGACACACTCGCACGCCGTCAATTCCTCAGGCCAATGGATACTCTACCCCATCCATGTTCCGTCAGAGTACTTCAAGGATGAGCTCATCTGGTATCCCTCGTTCTGGTTCGCTGTATCAAATCCGAGGCCTGATTGGAAAAATGCAAAAACTCGAGGAGCGAGTACACTCGGCTCGTTCGCGATTACCTGCTCCTGTGGAGACACCGACTGGTATGTCGCCTCGAACACCATCCGCTGCTGGCCAGAGTTCGATACCTTCATCTGTCACACTCCGCAAGAGTTCACGTAAGCGAACAAGTACGGGTAGCGCAAATTCATCAGTGCGGGACGGAGATACCTCTAGTTACCCCTCATCATTCCTTCCGCAAAGTCGTCAGTCGTTTGGACGTTCGAATGACAGTCGACCAAGCAGTCGTACGAGCTTTTCAAGCCGTAGCTCTATCGGGCCAGGGAACTATGCAAGTTCAATAGCGCCGTCACGGCCAGACAGCAGGCAAAGCCGAGCGCGAACGCCGCTTGGCCATTATTCGACCAACCCAACAACGGAGAGTCGACGTCCACGGTCTTCCATGAGCTCATACTCCCAGAACCATGCACCAGCTAAGAGCATGACGTTTATTGAAGAAGACGTTGACATTCCAACCCCTACACCTCGTCGAGGCACTCTCGATCAAGGACAATTCCGTTCGTCGATTCCTGCACCTGGAAGTCTGAAAAAGCGGCCTAGCAGCATCGGGCAGAGGACGACAACTATACCTACGCCGCGACGGGTGACATCCAAAATCGATGTACAGAAAAGGGAACCGAAAGCAAGCGGCGAGGAGCCTTTGAAATTGGAAGATCTTGGCGAGACCTACTAATCATCCGTACAATTGAAACTTTTGCGCATCATCCATTGTCTATTCATCTCTCTTCGGCTTGGTCGAAGTTTTTGAAGTCTGCTCATTCTACAACTCGTGTACATTGCATGGCGTAAAGGTGCATTGGATTTACCTTTTTGGGCCAGGACGGTGATTTGAATTTCTTGGTTCTCTCTTAGGTTTTGATATTACCATGCAGTACATATGACACTGCACGTACAGGTACAGCTGCTATATTGGCATTGGCATTACAGCATTTACACATACCGGAAACCTCCATTGGAGGTTAGCCCCATGGAAGTGGCGTGTCTACTTAAAACCTACATACTCTCTCATCCGTCATATTCGATGGAGTCCTATCGCTGTGCACAGCATGAACTTTCCTTATATGTTTGATTATGATTAACTTTTTTTTTTGACTCTTTTGGGTTACTTGAGCCAAGACCGAACTACATTTCAATTCGTTGTGATTACTTTTTTTTTCTGGTTATATTACTTGGATTGGTTTAGATAATACCCAGCGTGAATGAGATATACATTGATACTATGAAACCCGACAACAACATGGGAGAGGGCATTTGGCTTAGAGATGAAGACCAACGCCATCAAGCCACCTGGGTAGGTCCACCAACCTTGCAACCTTGAATGTTTACAGATATTTCTGCCGGATCTATATTCGTTCCATGGTTGAATACATCCTCTCGGAAGACTTCCCAGCCTGGAAGTATATAAACGAACTATGCAACGCCCAACATCGCCACAAGCCTTTTTCTATATTGTTTTTTTTCAATATTTCATTAACCAGTGCTAAATAATAGGTTATTGCATCGAAAGCATTAAAGGAGGCAGCAAATTAATATATTATTAGTTTGTAGTGAGCCTATAAGAACCTCCGATCAACCACGTGGATTGCTTATGTAGTACTACATCCACGCCGTAGCTGGAGAACGTCGCATTATTATTTGTTTAGCTATATAAACGTATATTTTCAATGTAGATTGGCCTCATCTCTACAAATTTTTCAAAGACTTCGTTTCTTTTCATCGAGCACAAGATGAAGTTCTCTACTCTGGTCAGTGTGCTAGCTGCTACCACCGCAGCTAATGCTGCATATATCAACTACACCACTGTAACTGGATACTTTTTTCAAGACGAGCCGTCGACCGATCCTTCTACTTTCGTTTACGTATACTATTTTCCTACCTATAATCTGGGATCTCTAATTAATTCTGTCTAGTATAAAGAAAACTTCGGCCTCATCAATCGCACTTACCCAGGCGAGAAGAACGGAGGCTGGATCGGCCACGGACAGACGCAATGGCAAAAGTTTTACCATGAAGTGCTTCGATTGAATCGTGAATCACCGGAGAATGTGCAGTACAAGGTTTTCTTTTTCGGAAGACATGGGGAGGGGTATCATAATGCGGCTGAGTCGTTTTATGGGACGCCTGCTTGGAATGTAAGCTTTCCCCCTCTCTATCTACCTTTACATAGAGAGGAGATGTATTGACAACGATGTATAGTGCTACTGGGCCGAACTCAACGGCAACAGCACAAACACCTGGCACGACGCAGCCCTAACCGCCAACGGGGTTGCCCAAGCCCAAATCGCGCACAACTTCTGGCAAGACCTAATCAACAACCAAAAGATTCATACTCCAGACGCGTATTACGTCTCGCCACTAACACGCTGTCTCCAAACGGCCAATGTCACCTTCACAGGCCTCGACTTGCCGCACTCAGGCGCCGAGTTCAAGCCCACGGTTAAAGAATTGCTTCGCGAGGGGATCAGTATTCATACCTGCGACAACCGTCGGAATAAGACGTATATCCACGACCTCTTCCCAGAATGGCAAATCGAAGATGGATTCGCAGAGACCGATGAATTATGGAACGGCATAAGCGAAGAAACCAGCGACGCCGAAGCAGTTCGCTCAAAGAAAGTTCTCGACGAAATCTTCACCGAACTAACCTCCTTCGAGACAAGCGCCTGCGAACCTTCGCCCGAGAATCTATTCATCTCCGTGACAAGTCATTCAGGCCAAATCGGGTCCTTGTTGAGTGTATTGGGTCATAGGAAGTTCAGTCTTAGTACCGGTGCTGTGATCCCCGTGCTTGTTAGAGCGGAATATTCTGAGAAGCAGGTTGCGACGACTTGTTTGCCTTGGGCTGTTAGTCCACATTGTACGGCCCCTCCCCAGGCGTCGGTTTCGGCGTGTGTTTGTGCTGGAGGAGCGACGCCGGTGACGACGCCGTTGGTTAGTGTTACGGCGAGACCGCCGACGGTTACCGGGCCGGTTTGTTATTGATTGGCTGTTGAATCTGGTCTGGGCTGGGCATGGACTACCTAGAGAGTGTTAGTCCATACCGTGAGCAGGATCGGTTAGGGCTGTGATACTCACATGGAATGAGTACAAGGTCACTTAATGTTTTATAGTTCAAATCTTCATATTTAGTATATTACTGTATAACCTGTTTTTAATTTAAAATGAAATAATACAGACAAAGTCAACCATAGAACCAGATAGTTTTAGCATGCCTTGTTATTGCAATGAACTCGGCTTGATATGCAGGTCATGCTCAATACCTTAAGACATCAGTTGATTAGGTATTCTACCCAAAGTACCCGAGCATGCACCTCCATACTTCAAAAAACTCCGGAGACACTTTACGTACATACCGACGAGGAATCGATGCAACTCGTGTCGAGTTTCGACAAGTCTCGACTTCAAGGTACTGTCCACACAGCCAATAACAAGAAGAAGCCAGTCGACCAATATTCCGTCCTGCACCAGCTTATCGGCCACCGAAGGCAGATATCTGGACGAGCAAAGATCTGTCTGCAAGAGCAGGTCCGTGAGCATGATAAGCGATCATTGATACGAACACTCCAGGTTTGGAAGGGTTTGAAGTCGATCATTGATAATTGAGTTACAGCACATACGTCCCTGGTCACTGATGAATTAATACGCCGTATCGCTCATAGGTAGGGAATGCAATATCTCGTCTGTGATGGGATTGGTTCGGGTAGTTATTGTTGCTTTCCTAGTCATCGAACTTGTCGGCTTAATTCGTGCAGTAAAGTCACTACGGCAGTCCCGCTACTACCGCGCGCGGCTCAATTTAGTGATGATCATAGATAGACCGACCAGTCTCACATGCCGGATTTGAGTAGAAAGACATGGAAGATTCGAAGAGAGAGTGTGTGTGTCTGTGTGCGTACTCCGTGGATTAGATTGTCCTAAACTTGGTGTTTTTGGGTACGGCGGCCGGCCCCAACTCGAACTGGCCCCGCGGCGCTGGTCGGAGCCGTATATTAAAGTCCGCTGTAAGTTACGTGGGTATCTCCGACCGTGATTTCAGTCTTCCAGAAGAGTCCAAAAAGGGAATAGTGGGATCTGTTGGTGAGAACTCAAGATGATAGACGCGGGATCACCAGGAGTTTCGATCATCTTCTTCAGTGAGTATTGGTTGCCTGATTGTGAAGGAATGACCTCATATTTATCATGAGAATATTCTTCCTTGCATTCTTGCAAGAACCGATTCCATTTCCGGCTTGTCGAGGTTTTATTCACGTCCGACAAGGGTCCCGGTCCGGATCGGAAATGGAAAAAGCTAGGGTTTAGCTTGCCCACCTAGTAAAAATTGATACGTGATGCGTATCGTATGTGTCCGACGACTCTGATTACTGTGACTAATCAAGGTCTGCAGATCGTCACGCTTTTATCTGTCCGAATCCCCTGATTGACCAGCGATTTACCTGTTGTGACAGTGGCTAGCACTAATCCGGCATATCTCTGCGGTTGGGTAGTAAGCCTAACACCGTCGAATTCTACTGTCGGGATTGATCAACAATTCAAGACGATCGTGAGGAGGACGTTTTCGAGAGTATGAATATTCTGTGTTGACTGTGAGTCGCGACCTTGTTGTTATCCCGCTAGACAGCGTAAATACTCAATGACAAAAGCCAAGAGTCTCCCAATGCGCCCAATAACTGTTCCAGCAGCGTAAATCGCGACGCCGGAGTTTTAGTCCAGATCGCGCTCGGTCTTCGATTAGGCGGTTGGGGCCAGCCAGATGCAAGGGCGGGCTTCGTTTGCGGATCAACCCTTACTCCGTTCACCACTGTTTTCGATCTCTTTCGAAGTGGCTGTGTGTGGTATCCTGGATCGCAGTGTTACACTGTGTGTATGTGCTCGGTGTCACGAGTGCGAGACGAGGCTTGGCCGATAGCAGAATGTAATGGAAACTTGAAAGCTGATCTGGGATCGCCAACGTAGTTGAGAGAGCTCCCAAGCTCGCAAGCTCGCAAGTAGTTGTTGCTAAGAGTATGGAGTAGAGTGGTTTTGTTGATTGCCCAACAGCGCCGGAGTTGGGACCGAATCGCGGCTGCTGATTGGCTGAGCGCAACAGTTGGGGTTCTTTCCTACGGAGACGGCGGGCCGCTACCTGCCTCAAGAGAACTTGTTGCAGTCCGGGCAGGCACGACCCCCGCTGCTGCAAATCGTTCCAACCGACGGGATCCGCTAGTCCGTTCTAGGCGCATAGACAGAGCTCAACTCTTTTTCTTCTTCTCCCTCTCCTCGATAGGAATTGACAAAAGTGTACAATTGACCACTATCACGCTTACGGACTAAGGCTTGCATTGTATTCGACTTTTTAATCCTTGTCCACTCTTCCTTTCCCTTCTCTCTCCTCTTTCCTTTTTTTCCTGCTTTACAATTTTTGCCTCTTTTACTCGGGAGAAAAGAGAGAGAGTGAGTGAGCGAGCGAGCGTGAGCGTGAACGTGAGCTTCGAGTCTCTTCTTCTCTTCATATCGCCTTGGACAATTCAGTGTCGTCTGCTTTATGTACAGATATTCTTAATCATAATCTTTTTTGCGCGAGGTATGTTTTCCGATAAGCTATGAAGCTAGCAAAGCCACCCCATCATATTTTGCCGCGACTGCTTTTTTTCTTTCTCTTGAACATGACACAAGACTCGATACTGTCAATGTGAAATGTTATAGGGTTTTGAAAACAAATCTAACGAGAACCTTCTATGCAGGCTCACATCAAGCCTCGATCTACCTGTCCATTCCGCCCCCAAATCCTCGGCTCGATTACTCGGGGTAATATATGAGAAGCTAGTGCCAGCCGCTCATATCTAATCTTTCAACACAATCACATTATCACGGTCAATCGCTCTTTTTCGCGGTGCCTGAGAGGGTCTGTTCGACCTCACACAACATGTCTACTACAAACGGCCAGAGCAGCTCCTTCGCTGCCAAACATAATTTGCCTTCACATTTCATTGGTGGAAACAGGCTAGATCTTGCTCCTCCAAGCAAGGTCAAGGACTTTGTTGCAGCCCATGATGGTCACTCCGTCATCACATCGGTATGTGGAAGATTTTCTTTCTTTTTTCCCTTTTTTTTTTCATTTTAAACGGTCAAAGCTTACTCGATAGGTTCTTATCGCCAACAACGGTATCGCTGCGGTGAAAGAAATTCGGTCGGTGCGAAAATGGGCATACGAAGTTTTTGGAAATGAGCGCGCTATTCAGTTCACTGTCATGGCGACGCCTGAAGATTTGCAAGCCAATGCTGACTACATCCGTATGGCGGATCAATATGTAGAAGTCCCTGGTGGTACCAACAATAACAACTACGCAAACGTGGAGTTGATTGTTGATATTGCTGAACGTATGAATGTTCATGCTGTGTGGGCCGGTTGGTAAGTTAACATATATATTCAAAAAGCGCAAACAAATACTAAGTCTTTAGGGGTCACGCTTCCGAAAATCCCAAGCTACCAGAATCTTTAGCCGCATCACCCAAGAAGATAATCTTCATTGGTCCCCCCGGTTCTGCCATGCGATCTCTTGGAGACAAGATTTCGTCCACGATTGTTGCACAACACGCTGGTGTTCCGTGTATCCCCTGGTCCGGATCCGGCGTCGACGAGGTCAAGGTCGACAAAGATGGAATCGTGACTGTTGACGATTTCGTCTATGATATGGGCTGTACACACTCTTGGGAGGAGGGTCTGGAGGCTGCTAAGAAGATCGGCTTCCCCGTCATGGTTAAGGCTTCTGAAGGCGGCGGTGGTAAAGGTATCCGAAAAGTTGAGCGGGAAGAAGATTTTGCTACACTGTATAATGCCGCGGCTAGCGAAATTCCCGGATCGCCTATTTTCATTATGAAGTTGGCCAGCAATGCCAGACATTTGGAAGTTCAGCTGCTCGCCGATCAGTACGGTAACAACATCTCTCTCTTCGGCCGTGATTGCTCAGTCCAGCGACGACACCAGAAGATTATTGAAGAAGCTCCAGTCACCATCGCCAACAACAATACTTTCCAGGCTATGGAGCGTGCTGCTGTCAGCCTTGGTAAGCTGGTCGGTTACGTTTCAGCGGGTACCGTCGAATACTTGTATTCGCATCAAGATGACAAGTTCTACTTTTTGGAACTTAACCCTCGTTTGCAAGTCGAGCACCCTACTACCGAGATGGTCACTGGCGTCAATTTGCCTGCTGCTCAATTACAAATTGCTATGGGTATTCCTCTTCACCGCATTCGCGACATCCGCCTTCTGTACGGCGTTGACCCTCACACCTCCTCTCCCATTGACTTTGACTTCTCCAAGGAGGATAGCCGCTCGGCCCAGCGTCGTCCTCAGCCCAAGGGTCACTGCACCGCTTGCCGTATCACGTCTGAAGACCCCGGTGAGGGATTCAAGCCGTCAAGCGGAACCATGCACGAACTCAACTTCCGTAGTTCGTCAAATGTTTGGGGTTACTTCTCAGTCGGTTCATCTGGTGGTATCCACAGTTTCTCCGATTCTCAGTTCGGTCACATCTTCGCTTATGGTGAAAACCGTACGGCATCCCGTAAACACATGGTTGTTGCCTTGAAGGAACTCAGCATTCGTGGTGACTTCCGAACCACTGTCGAATACCTCATCAAGTTGCTCGAAACCCCCGCTTTTGAAGACAACACAATCACCACTGGCTGGCTGGACCAACTGATCTCTAATAAATTGACAGCCGAACGTCCTGATTCGACCTTGGCTGTCATCTGTGGTGCTGTTACACGCGCTCATCTCGCAAGTGAAGCTTGCATTGCCGAATATCAGTCCAACTTGGAGAGAGGTCAAGTTCCTTCCAAAGAGGTCCTCAAGACCGTCTTCCCGGTTGAGTTCATCTACGAGGGATGCCGCTACAAGTTCACCGCCACAAAAGCTAGCCCTGATAGCTACCACCTCTTCATCAACGGTTCCAAGTGCTCCGTTGGTGTCCGTGCTCTGGCTGACGGTGGATTACTTGTCTTGATGAACGGCCGAAGCCACAATGTCTACTGGAAAGAAGAAGCTGCTGCGACTCGCATGAGCGTTGATGGAAAGACCTGTCTCTTGGAGCAGGAGAACGACCCTACCCAACTTCGAACCCCTAGTCCTGGTAAGCTCGTCAAGTTTACCGTCGAGAACGGTGAACATGTCAAGGCTGGCCAACCCTTCGCTGAGGTCGAGGTCATGAAGATGTACATGCCTTTGATCGCCCAAGAAGATGGTACTGTCCAGTTCATTAAGCAGCCCGGAGCCACCCTCGAGGCTGGTGACATTCTCGGTATATTGGCTTTGGATGACCCATCCCGTGTGAAGCATGCTCAGCCATTCACCGGACAGCTCCCCGATATTGGACCTCCTCAGATCGTTGGAAACAAGCCCCCTCAGAAGTTCACTCTTCTCCACAGCATTTTGGAAAATATCCTCAAAGGTTTCGACAACCAGTTCCTCATGAAACAAACGCTAAAGGAACTCATCGAGGTCCTCCGTAACCCAGAGCTTCCTTACGGCGAATGGAACGCACAATTTGCAGCTCTTCACACCCGTATGCCCGGTAAACTTGCCACCCAAGTCTCCCAGGTGGTTGAACGGGCCCGATCTCGTCAATCCGAGTTCCCCGCCAAGCAGCTTCAGAAGACCATTGTCAAGTTCATTGAAGAGAATGTCAATCCTGGTGATGCAGACATTCTCAAGACCACCTTGAGCCCACTCGTGCACATCATTGAGCTCTACAAAGATGGTCTCAAAGTTCACGAATACAACGTGTTCATCGGACTCTTGGAACAGTACTACTCCGTTGAAAGCCGATTCACCGGTCGTAACACTCGTGACGAAGAAGTCGTCCTCAAATTGCGTGACGAACACAAGGAAGACATTCGCTCTGCAATCCAAATTGTCCTATCTCACACCAAGGTCGGCACCAAGAACAATCTTGTCCTTGCAATTCTGGATATCTACCGTCCCAACCAGCCCAATGTCACAAATGTAGGGAAGTACTTCAAGCCCATTTTGCGTAAACTCGCAGAGTTGGAATCTCGTGCCGCATCCAAGGTCGCACTCAAGGCTCGCGAGCTGCTTATTCAGGCTGCTTTGCCTTCTCTCGAGGAGAGAACTGCCCAGATGGAGCACATTCTCCGCTCCTCTGTGGTTGAATCTCGCTATGGCGAGGCCGGTTGGGATCATCGAGAGCCATCGTTTGAGGTCCTCAAGGAAGTCGTGGACTCCAAGTTCACAGTCGACGATGTTCTGCCTCAATTCTTTTCTCATTCCGACCTTTGGGTCACATTGGCTGCGTTGGAGGTTTACATTCGTCGGGCTTATCGTGCTTATAGTATTAAGGGTATTCAGTATCACACTGATAGCGAACAGCCTTTCATTTCCTGGGATTTCGCTCTGGGTAAGATGGGACAAGCAGACTTTGGACTTCCCGTTGCCTCCTCACACCCATCTACTCCGGGTACACCTACCACTGACGGCCCCAACCCTTTCAAGAGGATCCATTCTATCAGCGACATGTCATACTTGGTCAACGAGGATTCAAGCGAAATTCCTCGCAAGGGTGTCTGTATCCCTGTTCAGTATCTTGAAGAAGTTGAAGAGCAACTTGTACGCGCTCTTGATGTTTTCCCTCGCACCACTGCTAAAGCGACCAAGTCTTTGACTGCCGAGCTCAGTGGTAAACGCCGACCTCCTCAACGCCAGGACAGTGAAGGAGAACTTTCTGGAGTGTGCACCGTCGCCATTCGTGACGTGGAGAATCTTGAAGATGCCGAACTTTTCTCTCAGTTCAACAAGATTATTTCTGCCCACAAGGAGGACCTGCTCTCTAGGCGTGTTCGTCGTGTTACATTCATCTGCGGACACAAGGATGGTAGCTATCCTGGCTACTTCACTTTCCGTGGACCTTTGTACGACGAGGACGAGGATATCCGTCACAGCGAACCTGCTTTGGCTTTCCAGTTGGAGTTGGGCCGTTTGTCCAAGTTCAAGATCAAACCCGTCTTCACCCAGAACCGTAACATCCACGTTTACGAGGCCATTGGCAAGGGTCCTGAAGTTGACCGCACAACTATTGACAAGCGCTACTTCACTCGTGCTGTTGTGCGTCCAGGCCGTCTCCGTGACGACATTCCTACCGTGGAATACCTGATCTCTGAGGCTGACCGACTGATGAATGATATCCTTGACACTCTTGAGGTTATTGGAAACAACAATTCCGATCTCAACCATATCTTCCTCAACTTCACGCCAGTGTTCCCCTTGCAACCCAAGGATGTCGAGGATGCTTTGGCTGGATTTGTGGACCGCTTCGGTCTCCGTTTGTGGAGACTTCGCGTTACTGGTGCTGAGATCCGTATCTTGTGCACTGATCCTACAACAGGCCAGCCTTATCCTCTGCGTGTCATCATTAACAATACCTTTGGTTTTGTCATTCAGGTTGAGCTGTACATCGAGAAGAAGTCAGAGAAGGGTGAATGGATCTTCCACAGCATTGGAGGCACAACCAAGGTTGGCTCTATGCACATGCGCCCAGTATCCACGCCTTATCCTACCAAGGAATGGCTGCAGCCCAAACGTTACAAGGCCCATGTTATGGGAACACAATACGTCTACGATTTCCCAGAACTGTTCCGCCAAGCATTCCAAAATAGCTGGACAAAGGCTATTGAGAAGGTTCCAGGTCTGCTTGAGAAGCGTCCTCCAGTTGGTGAATGTATTGAGTACAGTGAGCTTGTCTTGGACGATACCGATAACCTAGTTGAGGTGTCTCGTGAGGCCGGTACCAATTCGCACGGTATGGTTGGCTGGATAGTCACAGCCTACACTCCGGAATACCCCAAGGGTCGTCGTTTCATCATCATCGCCAACGATATCACCTACCAGATTGGTTCGTTCGGTCCTCAGGAAGACAAGTTCTTCCACAAGTGTACCGAGTGGGCAAGGAAGCTTGGTATCCCTCGTGTCTACTTGTCTGCCAACTCTGGTGCTCGTATTGGCATGGCTGACGAGTTGATTCCTTATTTGAACGTTGCCTGGAACGATCCTTCCAAGCCTGAGGCCGGCTTCAAGTACCTGTACTTGACTCCCGAAATCAAGAAGAAGTTGGATGAGCGCAAGAACAAGGAGGTCATCACCGAGCTTGTGAATGAAGACGGTGAAGAACGCCATAAGATCACAGCCGTCATTGGTGCCAAGGACGGACTTGGTGTTGAGTGTCTTCGTGGTTCTGGTTTGATTGCTGGTGAGACCTCACGCGCTTACGAGGACATCTTCACCATCACTCTCGTCACTTGCCGATCCGTTGGTATTGGTGCCTACCTTGTGCGGCTCGGTCAACGTGCCATTCAAGTCGAAGGCCAGCCTATCATCCTTACTGGTGCTCCTGCTATCAACAAGTTGCTTGGTCGTGAAGTTTACACTTCTAACTTGCAGCTCGGTGGTACTCAGATCATGTACAAGAATGGTGTTTCCCACATGACTGCCAACGACGATTTCGAAGGTATCCAGAAGATCGTTGATTGGTTGTCATTCGTTCCTGACAAGAAGGGAGCTCCCGTTCCAATCCGCCCATTGTCTGACAACTGGGACCGTGATATCACTTTTGTTCCACCAGGTCGCCAACCATACGACGTACGATGGTTGATTGGCGGAAAGCAGGAAGAAGACGGCTTCTTGACTGGTCTCTTCGACAAGGACTCATTCGAAGAGTCTCTCGGCGGCTGGGCTAGAACCGTTGTTGTTGGTCGTGCTCGTCTTGGCGGTATCCCCATGGGTGTTATCGCTGTCGAGTCACGTTCAGTCGACAATGTTACTCCAGCTGATCCCGCCAACCCCGACTCCATGGAAATGGTGACCACCGAGGCTGGTGGAGTTTGGTTCCCTAACTCTGCTTTCAAGACCGCCCAGGCTCTGCGCGACTTTAACAATGGTGAACAACTTCCAGTGATGATCTTGGCCAACTGGCGTGGTTTCTCTGGTGGTCAGCGTGATATGTACAATGAGGTGCTGAAGTACGGTTCTTACATTGTTGACGCTCTTGTCAAGTATGAGCAGCCCATTTTCGTATATATTCCGCCATTCGGCGAACTTCGTGGCGGTTCATGGGTAAGTTTAATCTCCTATCATCTTGATAATTTTGCTAATCATGTATAGGTTGTTATTGATCCAACAATCAACCCTGAACAAATGGAAATGTACGCTGATGAAGAAGCACGCGGTGGTGTCTTGGAGCCTGAGGGTATCGTCAACATCAAATACCGTCGCGAGAAGCAACTCGACACTATGGCTCGCTTGGATCCTATTTATGGCGAGCTTCGACGACAGCTTGATGACAAGTCGCTCAGCAACGAACAATTGTCTGATATTAAATTGAAGATGGCTGCCCGTGAAGAACAGCTTTTGCCTGTGTATATGCAGATTGCCCTGCAATTCGCCGATCTTCACGACCGTGCCGGGCGTATGGAGGCCAAGGGCACCATTCGCAAACCCCTGCAATGGAAGAACGCCCGACGATTCTTCTACTGGCGTCTCCGCCGTCGTTTGAGCGAAGAATTGATCCTCAAGCGCATGATCGATGCTCAACCCAAACCCACTCCCAAGACCGCCAAGAGCGGTGCTGTCCCCGCCAGCGGCATTGTTGCTCCTTCATCAACCGCTCGCGAATCTCATCTCAGCACTCTCTTATCCTGGAGTGGCCTATTAGCCAGTGAATGGGAGCACAACGACCGCAAGGTCGCTCTCTGGTATGAAGAGAACAAGAAGAACATCTACTCCAAGATTGAAGCATTGAAGACTGAGACTATTGCATCTGATGTTGCTCAATTGCTGATTGGTAACAAGGAAGGAGGTCTTAAGGGTGTGCAACAAGTTTTGAGTATGTTGCCTGCTGAGGAACGCGAGTCTGTGTTGAAGTATCTTGCCTCAGTGTAAATTTTTCTGTCTCATAGCATTTTTATTTCGGTGCTTGTTCTTTCTTTTATCATTATACACGGGTTAGAAATGCGGTGATGAAATTATGTCACTTCTTACATTTCATATTCCTTTTTCTTCTTCCCTCTGATTTTGTTTATGGTCTAATGTTTTTTATGACTTGATTGGTTATGAAATAGGTGCGAATATGAATTTCTTTGACTATTCGATTTGATTTGATGGATCTAGTGATTATCGTAAATACCGGTTAGTCCCCTCTGAAGCACGCAGTGAACTAGGTACTCGCTCTTTTGTTGACACTCTTCCACCCCAATCCCCAACTCAACATGAAAGCAGCGGTCGCAATTCCAGCTACCATATAGAAAACATGCTGAACAGCATTATTGTACGCCACAATCACACCCTTCACATAGCTGAGACACCGCAGATTAATGAGCCGACTTGAAAAAGTGTGAAGAAGACTATATGTATGTATACTATTGTATTCTTAGTTGGCTTCCTGGAAAGTAGAAAGCAGAACCAATCTTGACATTAAATCGAGCGTATAGCTTGCTGTTATAGGCCGGAGAGCAAAGCTGGTAGATAATGAGGGCTTTGATACTTCATGAAGTAGACTAGCAATTTGTTACAAATAAGCACTCCATACCAACCCACATCCGCAACAGAGTGAAAGTCGATAGCGAACTTAGGGATTGCCCTTTTTTTACCCCGAAAGTCAGCACTCATAGATTCTATAATGGGATGAGCTGGCGAAAGAAAACTGCTCACTGTAGCAGTTATGGACATATCAAGCAATATAATTATGATGACTGCAACTAGAACCACAGCCAATTTGACTCCGTAATATACTGTACTTCCTCTTGATTAATCCCGGCGGGGTTATGTAACATCTTCGAGTCCCAATGGGGGCTTTCCGGCTCCTTCGAAGCCATTGTACCAGTGGTCGAAACTTGACTTGTCGGAGCCTCCAGATATAGGATTCTTATGAGTTAGCATTACAATGGGAACTTATACAGCGTGTTGGATTAGATGTAGCCTAGAGACCCTGGATATCGTCCATGCCTAAGATAGAGAAGTCTATTAGAAAAGAAATATTTGGTAATTGCTAGTAGGAAAATCTTATCGATCTCACCGTGCATCATTACTTTTTCATTATTTTCTGTCCTGTCCCTGTTTCGACACCGCAGCTATCATCTGTTTCTGTCTGCCATCTGGCGCTAGAGTGTCCGACACACGTCTAGGATTGGGGTTTATTTTGATACCTATCGTATGATAATATAATAATAACATACCATCCAGGGCATTCTTAAAGATCTTTCAATCGCGTATGCCGAGATCTAAGGAGGGCAATAGCCTAGATCTAAGTGGGTCTTTGAGGCGTCGGGTAGCGGGTCATGTTCTCCACTTTACACCCGATTAGCTTTCTCGGTATGCTTAACGTCCCCCTATCATTTTATTTGCTGTGTGCTTGAGCTTCGAAAATAATCCATATCTTGATTATTGACCTCGTATACACACCATGAAAGGAGATTCCACTACTCATGATTCAGGGTTCCAATTGAGACCGAAACTAATAGAGTGCGGTGGTGGTAGAAACATGAAAGGTCTTTTTTGGAATTGCATGCCTCGAATTACGAGACGATATGTTCCTCATTGGTACGCTATATAACAGCTGAAACTTGGAAAGTACAAGTCATATAACTCCTCGCTTCTGTGACGACCAGGATGGACACTTATTTGGCTCTACTCACGAGTCACGACTCTTCGAGGAGGCAATGCGAACACCAGCGTACTCTTCACAATCCCATGGCCCATTCTGGGACTACAACAAACAGTCAAATTTTCCATCATTGATGGAAGGGATATAAATTGGTTGGTGATACAGCCACACCTCCCTCCAAAAGCGGTTTACAGCAACCCTAATTGGACCGTCGCTGCGAATTCTGTTTTGATTCATGATTTATCCTATTTGCTACTCTAATGACTTAACAATAGAGTATTCCACCATCCAGAGCCGTTACTTAGCATATCTCTAACCTCTAATATCCTGGCAATTCGTTCTCATCGCCAAGCCACCGCGCTGGCTAGCCATGTCCACGTCGCTGGCTTCGTCTTACTGGCTCCTCTGAGGCACTTTTGCGAAGCTATTGCAGTTGCATTCTGCGAGACCATTCCTCTACTAGACTCCTGACTGTTGGCTACATTGGGCTCTGCCCTAGGTTGACTTGAATATCCTCCTCGTCCCCTACGACCTCGTCCTCCTCGATCTCCATGAACCCTGCCCCTGCGGTCTCGGCTCCCAGTATTAAGATTCCCCTGCGCAATGGCATGCTCAAATGCTGATATTTCTCGCTGTGTCGAAGAATCCTGTGTTGATATAACCTGACAGGCTGTTGGATGGTTGATTGAGCCCTTGGGGCGACCACGGCCTTGTACCACTGCCGGGTTAAACACTACTGTTTGGGGATCAATTGGAGGCAACTCTACAAGAGAGTATAACTGCTAGTACTAGTGGAAATGGTGTAGCTATAGTGGCTCCTCACTATCAATACAATGCTTGATTATATGAATGTAATGAATGCCAATGGTTCATTTTGTGATATCAGAACACTCTGGGTCAAATGGCTTCTTCATTGGTCTAAGAAAGTCATTCTTCATATTAAGAACTTTTCCAAGTGCAGAGCTTGATACCCTACCATGTACAATGCAAAAGAGACTATGACAGAATCAAAATTGATACCTTACCTTATCATCTTCATGGACCTGCTTGATTTTAATATGTTGCCAGGTTACAGTACGGTCAAATAATTCAAAAATCTCAAGGAGATTATTTTTAGAGACTTGAAGATCTCATTTTAGGGTCCAATGGGCTGATTTATTGCGGCATGTGGTTAACTGACCAAAATGCTTGACATCTAAGAAATAGCACTGAAGGAATCCTTGAGCGATACCATCATTAAGCCACTCTGAATTAATGTAGTCCATGACTTCCTACCAGATATCTCACTACTGTGTTCAGCTTTGAAAGGATTCACTGCTTCATTCTTCTTCTCCTAAGTCTTCGCGTATACAATCTTATTTGAATGTCCCAAAAAAATCCCTCCACTGTATCTCAATATGAGGCTTGTACTGTGTGATATCCTTCTTCATGCGGCTGGATTTCCATCGTAGATTGTATGGAGCACTTCATTTGTAAGGATAGGACGGGCACGTGTAAGGATATTCTTTTCAATATGCCAAAGACAGATGGTATTATTCGCCATTGGAAAAACTGTGGGGATTGCATTCATTAAAGCCATATCCTTATTAGTCAAAATACAGTTTGGCAATGGGAGATCTGCTTGAGCATAGACCTTAACCAAGCATTCCAAGATGAACTTGTAGCTCCCTTCCTTTTCATCTGAGATAAAGCCAAATCCTGCATAGAATATCTTATTACATGCTGTACAGCCCACAATATCCAAGAGAGGCATCTTATATCAGTTTGATTTGTAGGTACAATCTATAAAAAGAACGTTAGGATTTTAGCGGAGCATCTCAAGTGAGGTTTATGCATACAAAATACAGTAAGTAGTGTATTTATATTAGTTATTTCATAGTTGATTATCCAATCACCATCATCTAGAACGACACTAATAAGGGCCTGGACTGGTGTCTTGCTATTAAGGAAATCATCTCGCGACTTCTTTTTCTTATTATAGATATCTCTTGGCTTGGCAATCAATTTTAGGTTATCTTTGTAGAGGGTTGATAAGATTTGGTTTATTGACATGTAAGAATCTAAATAAGACTTGATTTGAGTCTCCTTAGATTCTATCCCTTCATGGCGTAACGAAGCAAGTGTTGATCTAGCTGCTGAATAATAATCATGCCTCGGATCTGTACGATCAAGACGCCAGCAAACCTGTATACTTATCATAGCGCAAGACAAGCCTAAATGGGCATACTATACACTATGTGCTTGTATCTCTAACATATGTCTCTTCGTTGGTACGCTCACAATATACTTCTCGGCGGCTGCACTGAAGGTAAACTCGGCGAATAGAGCCACCTTCTTTCAGTGTTTTGGATCTCTTCGTGACCAACACATATCCATAAGTCTTGGTGAAGCTATTAAGGAATTTCGTAGTAGCATCTCGGGTCTCGAAGGTCTAGTCAGTTGAAGGAGCAGGGATTTGAGTATGTGGTTCGCAGGACTCTTCAGGAGGTGATGGCTCAGGTAATGGCTCAGCGCCATACTCTGAGCTCTCGTGATCGACGAGGCGCGACACCATGGCGAATAGCTATATTGATATAGATTGATGTCTTTACTCAGTAATAGACGAGAAAGATGAGAACGTAGCAGCAACCTACTATTACTGTCACGGTCCCTTTAATATGCCTGGCATACTTTGACAATGTCATTTGTTGATCTCCCATTATCCTGTTGTCCCATTGTCTCCTATTCTTAGGCATGTTGTTGGAGATTCTCGGCACTGTAGTTAGATTCCGTAGGCTTCATCTGATGAGACCCGCCGATCCAAGTTCCGGTGTGAACCTTAGGAAGCATAAATAGAGGGACCGCTACCCTATTGCTAGTTCCGGAACTCAGCTCACGTCCTTGTTATAAATCCATGACATACATTTCCTAGTTTTCCATCTCTCTGTCCCAGCTTTGTAACAGTTATGATTCGAATACAGGGAATCAAATCAGTTGGGCGAAGGTTTAATTCACTCTAATAAGACGACATATGGAGAAGAAAAGAAAAGCAAGATCAACGTGGGCCTTATAAGATTGAACTGAATGACAAATTCTGCATAGAAACAATGAAAATTTCTAACAAAAAGTTGATTATCCCGAATTGAAAAGATAAGGTAACAAATCAACAGAGGAAAGAAAACAATGACTGGCTTTACACAACAATGTACCTTCTGCTGGAATCCTCATCTATATGCCCCAAGCCCTTACCACTCCATTCTCCATTCTAAAACGTCAGATCCCGCGAGGGCGTGTTTTGAATCACAGAATCATTCCTCTAAACTGCTTTGAGAGAGGGGGTTGTGGCTGTATCACCACCCAATTTATATCTCTTGCTTGCCATCCATTAATTAGTTTAAACACTCGGTCTTACAGTCGATTCCCTCATTAGAAACAGAGAGACTTGCATGGATGCTGAGGAGCGAAAGGCAGCACAAAAGTCGACAGAGCAGGGACGAGGCCGTGTCTAACTGGCTGGTTTATGTAGGTGGTTGTTTGTGGAGGTTTGAATTGAGGCGTAAGAACACCATTTGTCGACAAAACCTGCACCGTTACACTTAGCGCCTAGCGTTCGTCCAATATCAATTCTAAGTTTACACCATAGTTTTTCGGGCTAAACAATAGCTGATATAAAGAAAGCGGAAGCACTTGCATGTGGCAGTCATACTGCACAAGCTTGGTTGCAAGGCAGAACTAAAAACCGACTCCGTGTCCGTCTCTATCTTTCGTTGGTTACCCTGGGCACTCTCGCTGTATGTAACTCATTGACACTGTAGATCCCGCAAAGGCAGGCTGGAATGAGCACTCTGTAGGATTTGCTTCACTTTCCAAAGTAATTGGGTTATCGACCCTCAAGTTTGAGAAACGGATGGTCCATTAGTTCGCGAGCTGTCTGCCTCTTCTCCGGGAGCCAGGTGACTATTTGTCCAACAAAAGATAGGAAATTCTCTCTTTCATTCTCTTCTAGGAATGGGATTGTGTCCTCCAAGCTTCGGGACTGGATCAATTCATTATGACGAAATTTATCTTGAACACCGTCAGTATGCTAGACATTGGTAAACGAGATAGTCATCAACTCACCTTCTGTGTTGAAGAAAGTGCCGTCGAAGAATTCTTGAGCATTATTGCAAAGTCTGCCAGTATCGTTCGTGGCCGGTTGGGGCTAGTTGTGCTCTGACATGGTCTTTGCTTTCGCAACCAATAGTCTTGTTGGGGGGGGGGGGGGGGGAACCGCGAGCAGAGCAATCATTTCCGCGAGGTGTGACTTTGCATCATACTGGCCATTTGTATCACGTACCTGATGAAATAACTCCTTGCTGTCGGATTGCTGGGTTAACTTCAGGCCAATCCTGAATAGTAGTTTACAAGGATGGAAAAGAAGAAAATGACTAGCAAGATTGTATGTATTGAGTTGTCTGAGGTCTTCTGTCTTCCATACCACAAAAATGGCTTTCTTTTATGTGCTTCGGCACGGGGAATGAGTTCAATTCCCCGGTACATTTTCTGTGATCTACAATATGATATATCATGTATGACATTTTATGAAAAATGAGGCATAGTGTTCGGAGGCCTCTGATTAGCTGAAAATAGGGGAATGACTTGTCATGAGGATGTTCTCTAGCTTGAAATCTGACAGATAGGTTAGGTATTTATATTCTAGAGATGACAGCAATAAAAACCCACCTGTGTGGACAACTTTGGCACTCTGAGTGAAGATAATCAAGGCCAACAAGGAGGAAGCAGATATAGGCCTTCGCAATAGGCAAAGGAAGCTTGCAATCGACGAAACGCTTTTAGGAAATCCAGAGAGGCTCTCTCATCGGTTCGTACACACAAGGCACATGTGCTTTTCTTCCGGGCTGGTAACTTCGAAAGTATCCAGACATGTCCGTAGAATCGCGCGACCACGATGCTCTGGATTTTGCTGTACAATGTGGCTTTCAATCTCCTGCTCATGCCGAGCATCATCGGTATTGTTACTGTTGATTCTTTTTATAGCCACTTTTTCTCGGATGGCCATTTCATTCTTAATTGTGCAAGTCAGTCTCTCGCTAGTCAACATGAACCAGGTAAGCAGTTATGAACGTGGCCAGATACCTTAATATATCTCGGGCGAGCCACACGGTTGATTGTGATCCCCAGCCGATTTTGACAAGTAGTCGGAATTTCTCGGTCAGTACCCCTTCAGGCTTTGCTGGGTAGAAAGTTGTTGAGCCATAATTAGGCGTAGCCTCCTCGTCAACAAGTTCCTGCTGGGGAATTGGAGGCCCCGGACTGACCGGTAGCTGCCAGAGCGACTTTTTGACGGAGAACATAGTACGCCATGATGTCAAGGTCAGCCGCTGAAGAGGTGACATTAGGGCTAACCCAAGCGTTATCAGAATGTTCTGGAGATCATCAGGTAGCAGGGCAGGAAGCTGAGGTCGAGGCTCCTTGAGAGCCACTTGTCAGGAGGCTGGATTAGTTAATAGATTATATGCTATTATTAATTACATTAAATATTTTAGAATCTGGGCTCATACCTAGGTATCTACCTTTGATATATGTATGGGCTGCCCGGCTGATCGGCAATTAACCCCTATATCAATATCATCTTCCAACGTCCCTTCCTTAATGTCCTCTATAGCTTCAAGCTAACATCTATTATTTTAGAAAGGGTTTAATACTGTTAGCATCTTAATAGTCGCTGGTTGAAGAGTATATCAACGTCAACCCAGGAGATCGCGGCCACAAGAAAAAAGACGCTCTACACTGACCTCTGATGCAGGGATAGAGAGATCAACGAGCAATATTAGTCATCCGTAGATATTTAAATCAAATTTTCCCCCACCATGCCATGAGCTATTTAGTATCTTGTTCTGCGTTCATATTACCAAGTACAGGCTCTTGAATTGGAGAGGACTCGAGCCAGTCATTTTTCTCATCAATTTTGGAGGTTATAGAGTTCCTCGGTTATTGTGAAGAAAAAAAGATCATATTAGTTGCTTTTCCGCCTCATACAACTCATATTTTACAGCCCTTAGATGGGATGCCATTTTGCACTATAAACGTGTTTATAGGAGGGCTATAAAGGAGTAGACTCATCTCGGCGGCTACTTTTACGATAAAATCGACTTTTTGGCCAATATTGCTTGCTTACGTGCTGAAGCTCTTACTTCACGAGTAATCCGTAAAAGATTTAGTGACCGTGGGCTTTGGCCCTTCAATCCAGATCTTGTTGTTGATCCCTTAGAAGCAAAATTTGAAGCTCAAATGGGACCCGGATTTACAGATATTTGACGGTAATGAGGAGGAGCAAAATATCACAAGTTCGCCTACTAATGCTTCATTTTCTCCACCAACGACCGCTTACAAACTCCAAAAAAGCATTACTAAGATTGACGCTCAACTAAACGAGCTTAATAATGTGATCCAGGGATCCGGAGAAGCCTAAAAAGATTTTTGATGGAAGTATGCAGTCCCATATCATGGAACAACAACAGGAGCAAATTAACCACCTTACAACGCTCAACCAACGCAAATCCGCTAAAAATTCTAAACGCGAGGTTCAAGCTGGAGGGGTCCTCACTGTAAAGGATGCAAATCGAGCCATTAAAAAGCGTGCTACGAAGGAGGGATTGAGGGCTGAAAAGAAGAGGCTCAAAGAGCTACAAAATGCGCCGCTGGGATCAATGCCTCCCCCGCTCTCAGCAAGCGACGAGGCGGCCCTTGATTACAATGAGTGGAGGAATATGGTTGACCCCGTTTACCCTCGATCGTCTGATCAAAGATTAATTCGTGCTGTTGAGGATAATGTGTAATTTTATTAGCTATTTCCATACAAAATTCCATTTATGTGACAATTCCACTTATGTGACGTGCACCCTCACCCGCAGCGTGAGGTCGCGGGCTTGGCGGCACGGGTACCGTACATTGGCGGTATTATGATGTGTTTATCTTGAACAGCCATATTATGGTGTGGCTGTGTCAAGTATCGTAATATATACTGTATGTAAGTGAACACGAAACTGTCACGTTATTGAATACAAAACTTACGTCTTACGAGTCTCTGTAACAACTTCTGGCGCTCGCCATAAGTCCTCTGGAAGCTGTAAGTGGTTGGGATCACCAAAGTAATGTGGAGTTTGATCACAGGTACTGTATGTGTAATTAATACACCGTACACACGTGCTACAAATGAATACTTCTATCAGAGAGCAGAATGGAATCGTTCCGTGCACTCCTAACCGAATAACTCTCATTGCGACCAGGATGGGTGAATGGCAGACCGTTTACTGTTCTCCGACTGCTAAGGGCACATATCTCTACAACAAACCTCTCCGCGCTCGAATACCGCGTCACGGGAGTTTTCAAGGATAGGCACTCTTATTAGTATACTGGATACTATAGCACTGCGAGTGCCTACGATATGGAATGCTATCCCAGCATCACTATGGGAGCTTTATTTGCTCTCTCAGCGAGGATGGCATACATATCTTTTAGATCGTGGGACAGCACCTCAGACTTTGGGGCTCATATGCGGGATATGAAAGGAACAGGAATAATAAATTAGACTAAACACTTGTTACGAGCCAGTCCTGCGTATGAAACACTATAAGTTCATTCCTAAGATGATAACATACATGGGAAAGAAGAAAGAGAAAAATGCAAATTCCTATTGCGCATACCACTTAATATAGGAAAAGAGAACTGTATTGTTTCCCCAGGGTTTCCTTTGTAAGTCCGGGTATGCAAAACAGACACTCCGAATAGTGACTCATTGGCTCAGTGACTGAACCAGCGTGCTCAGCTTTAGCTCACTGAGCATGTTTCCTAGCATATGTGAAGCTCACTGATCTGGTCAGCGTGCTCAGTTCTACTTGGTGAGTAAAAGCGGCGAGGGGGTGAGCACTAAAACGGAAGGGGAAAGGGGAAAGTCGAGAAGCGTCAAAGGAAATCCGGCACGTAGGTAGTTTCAGCATCAATGCAACAAAAAAGAGATTAACATTCATATGTGTACGATGATCATTTCTAACGAAAATTCAATATGTATATGGTATCATAAGAAACACGAAAAAAGCAACAAACTTCTGAGAAAAAAGAAAGAAGAAAGACAGTGAAGAAAATGGAAGATATGCGGACTGCAAGAAGGTACTCCAATCATCAAGCAGGCTGTCTCTCCATCCCACCGGCTCTTGTCATTACAGGCGGAGGACCAGCGCGATGATACGACGACGACGGGCCTTCACCTAGATGATGATTTCGGGCTCTGTTTATCGAGGAACGGACACCGGCAGGAGTAGTAGGCTCATCGAAATTATTCAAACTCAATCGTCCTAATTCGATCGGCAGATTCATCTGGTGCCGATGATGAGCATCTGGAATGAGTGGAATACGTGCTCTGGTTTGTTGTGGTTGGTCGTAGATTCGAGACATTGCTGCTGAAGACAAACTATCATCGCCTTGAGAGCCGGGGAGTTCTACTGTGCATGCGCTCAGCGTTCGAGAAATGTCTTCGAGAAGAACTTGCATGGGTGCTATGTATGCTGTCCGACTGCGCTCGGAGTATGCGAGGACGTGGCCGCAGACACGGCCGCTGGAGGCTTCAAAGACCCATGCTCCTGAATCTCCGGGTACTATTACAACGTCAGCAAGATCAGAGAATAGGTATGGGTACGTGGTGGGATGACATACCGCCGAAATTCCCATCAACGCAGAAACTAGTGGAGAATGATTGCCGGCCGTGCAGTTTCACTAATGTCATTGCAGGCGATATCCGTCCGTTCTGGTACCCGCTTGTTCGGCCGCAGCATTGCACTCTGAGACCGCCTAGTTCTTCGACTCTGGCTACTTTTGTTAGATGGATAGGTGATGTCCGTGTCGGTTGAAGATTCTGGCGATGTGTTGCTGTTGGTCTGTTGGTAGGATTGTTGGACGTGTCGCGATCAGCTATTGGTCTTGCAATAATATTCCTCGCATCCATGCGACTGTCATTAAGGTGAATCAAAGCCCAATCAATCTCATGTTTGATACCCTTTCTGGTCCAACGACGTAATCCAGATGATGCATGTATATACCCAAGACTATGCGAAGCGAGATGCTCATCGTCCCTATCTTCCAGCGAAGGGAAGAAATCTTCATGCACGTCATCAATAGCGGGTTGAGTAACCAGTAACTGTGGCTCATCATCCGGTTCCACACCAGCCGTGTCCCCAATTGATGCTGCGTCGTCAATGTCATCAGGATCATGAAACTCGTCGTCATCGTCTGAGGATTCATCGTCCGAAAGCCAATAGTCTCCACCTTCTTGAGAGGCGGAATCATCATCGTCGTCGTCTGTGAATTCTATTTCGTAATCGGTTTCGGGATCTCGGTCACCCCAGGTTGATGTAAGATCGTCGGTAGGCATGTTTCCTGGTCGGTTGGCAGAAGATCGTGGTAGGGTCCCCTCGGCTTCTTCCTCGCCCTCGTCATCTTCATCTTCACTAGGTGCTTCGAGCATATGATGAACAGTCATACCGAAGGGCATACCATCGATAAGAATGGCACCACCATACGAAACAGGCGGCAGATGCTCTTCATTCTTAAATGCGCCAATCGACGCTCCACAAAGAGGTTTCTGCTGATAATGCGGATTCAGATCCGGTTGCACAAAGGCATCCTGATCAGTTTCGCTAAGGCTAGAAGTATGCGCTTTGAGTCGTCGTCGTTTGGGGACCTTGGATCTGCTAACATCACCACGAAGAACGATCAAATCCCAATCCTGCTCAATCTCAAAGTACTTTTTGAGTATGGCCCGGACCTTTTTGACATTTGAGCATGTAACGCAGATGGTTGTCTTGGCCGTTTCTACTGTTTCACCAGTCATCATCAACGAAGCCGTGCAAGACTCGGACGAATCTTTGAGTATTCTGTGTAGAAGTTTACTGAGTTTGGGCATTGTGTAAAAGTTCCACTGACTCAAATGTTCCTGTGGAATCTCGGCATTGGTCAACTTTTTCACTGTTCGTTTCTTGACTTTTTTGTCCTTTTCTACTGGTGAATCTGTCACTTCGTGAACGGCTTTGCTGTCCGTGAAATCGCTTTGAAAGGGCTGATGCACAGTATGGTGCTCCATTGGCAAATTGACAAAACTCGTTGAAGCAGTATTGTCGAACAATTCCGGTTCTGACTCCAGGTCCCGACCAAGGGCTAACGGTAGACAATCATCCAGATCCGCAGACGGAGGAGGAGAATAAATATCGATGGCGCAAAGCTGAGACAAGATCTTGCTCATCGTGAAAATGAAATTCGCAGAAAAGGCGAACTGGCTGTCAGGCTCCGCAAACTCCAGAGTTGGATATGTGTAAACCATGGGAACTCTGAGATTCAGATCGGCCATGGGTTCTGTGGACATTAGGAAGTTGGGTGCGTCGAGACAGAGTTGAACAACATGCAGGTAGGCGTTGCCACACTTCGAAGCCAACTTCTTGATGTACACGTTTTCGATCCGTTGTTTGAACATGGCGTTATTATACTTCATCTTCCAGAGCCGGCTGATGGGTGCCCAAAGACCGATCTCCAAAAGGACAAGTCCCAGTGAGTAGAGATCATATGCCCATGCAGCCTCATCTTCGAGTATCCGCTTATCATCAGGGTGACGGTACATACTTGCCGAGAGAGGTTCAGGAGTCGGTTCGTTGCCGGAAAATTGAGCAAGTGATGTGAGATAAGGGTGTCGCAAATCTTCAATCAAGTTTCCAATCTCATCCTGACCGGAGTTGTTCAGACCGGGGAAGACCAGAATATTGCTACTATTGATATTTCCATGAACAACATTCTGACTTCTCAAGTGGAGAACGGCCAAAAGGAGGTTATAAGCGAGTCGAAATCGGCTCTCGAGGGTAGGTACCGGAATATCCTGATGGTCCTCCCCGGAATGAAACAAAGAGACTAGAGTTTTTGGTCTCAACTCCTTGAGGAGGTTGCTGGGGTTGCTCAGAAATGGGAAATAGTCAACTGGCATCTGATACACAAATGCATAACGAGCATTAGACATGTCGATATAGTAGCCAAGGAACCGTAATAAGCCTAGATGTGACACTCGAGAATTTTCGACCAACTGGTCTAAAGAACGATGGATCTTCTCCAGCCGCTGCGCAGCGGGGATAGTCACAGAACTCTGAGACTCCAACATCATAGGCGTAAACTCGACAAGAATAGGTATGGTCGATTCCTTGGTCAACCGAGTCATGAACGGAGTAGCAGAAGTCTGCACACGACCAATAATTCGAGAATTCGCAGATGCAGCAACCTGCTCGTATGGCGGCGGGCTTTTCGCATGAGAGGCTCCAGAAAGCTGTAAATTCGACCGATCAATGAAGAGATGTTTCGTCGAGGAGAATGAATTGTTGACTCTCCGTTCCGCTAGTGCAGGTACTTGACTCCTTGACATTGGAAGAGCATGAAAATTCAAATACGGCGATACTTCGAACTTTTCCTGTTTGCTGCTAGGATAAGATGTCTTCCCCTTCACATCAACCGGACTCTCAACGAAATCGTGTCCTACCGGCTTCGAATCAAACGACATCGATCGCTGAGCGTCGAATCCGCCTGGCTTCAGGGACCTCGGAATCGTCGTCTGCGAACGCGCCTTAACCTTACCAGACTGATCGGTCGACGATGCCATGCTCATAGTCATATTCCTCCGTGACTGCGACAATTCATATAACGTATCAATGCACGACGTCAAATCATCCAACAACGTATACGACCGTTTTATATCATCCTCCGACCAATTCGATTTCACCATCAAATCCTCCTTTGGCGGCAGTGGCGGCGGTAATTCCCCTCCACTACCATCATTCTTCTTCTTCGGCGGTAACGCCGGCGCTTGGTCTCGTACTTCTTCACCATGTTGTAACCGTTCCGCCTCATTGAGGATCTCCTGTATCGAGGACATAACACTAGCGACGACATCGCTAAATCCGGCTTCGGTTAATGATTCGTCAATGTCGTTTGGTTGCGCGGCGTTGGAGTCGCTCCAGTCCAGACCCCAGGCAAGTAATCTATCCTTTTGAGTGCGGTAGTTTCGATGCAAGGCCACGAGTTCCGGGTCGTCGGTACCCTTTGAGGAGGCTGTTGTGACGCTTTCGCAGGATGTTTTTGTGTCAGTGTACATCTTTGTTAGACGTCGTTGGAGGTAGGACCCTCCTTGCCGTAGGACGGACATTGTGACGTTGATTCTCCCAACGGTTTGTTTTCAAAAAAATAAAATCATAAATATCATGAAATAATATACAATGAATTAGAAGATTCCTCCTTTATAGAAGAAGCATGTAGAGTAAAGACAGTGGTGAGTGAGCGGATAATAATGATGGCAAATGGACCAGGCTACTGCTTAATCTATCATGGAGGGACGATGATCGATAATCTTGTTGCCTTATTGTTTGGACCAATCACAGAAGGGAAGAATTAGCGTGGAAGTGGATCACGGGGAGAAAGAGCGGATCGACTACGCATCAATGCGGTAAAGCCGAAAATTACGGGATACGCTAGTTGCGTACTAAATTGTACGCAAATTCCAGTGTGGCGCATGATGTACTAATCATGGCTGTGTACCCATACCAGGTACCTAGGCAGTATTGTTCTACACAGATATAGGATCTAGAGTCGCCACTTCTGAATGCAAAATGATTATCTGCTAGCAAGCTAAAGCCTAGGTGAAGCCCAATCATGTGGTAAGAAGTCTTCGCTATGATCTGCATACATATAAATGAAGAATATGAAATAATAACCCAACAATTCTGGAATGATAATGCCTTATGATGTACTTACGCGTCGCCCAACGCCCGTAACGTCTCTGGCTCGTTTCTCTCCAAAATTATGAAGTCGTTCGCCAATTAGGTACACCTCATCACGGATATTGGCTCGCCAAACATCAATTTGTCTTCGGAGCAGGTAAAGTGCATAGATAGATAGACATGCCACGAGAGTCGCAGGATACGAATAGCGGTAGACTGTGGACTGTGTGACCGTCGCATTATCTGGAAACGCTGTCGCCTTGGCAATTAGGCCGAAGCCTAATGGTAGTGAGACAGCCAAGAACGTGAAGATCACAGCGGGTAGAATGAGTGCTCGGGTAGCAAGCGCGGTATTCGGTCGCAGCCATCCGTCGTTCACAATCATGCGGAGAGCAACCGCTGGTCGTGAATTGGACCTCCATTGCAGGAACATGTAGGCCATTTGCACGTAGAGAACACCAAGCGCCCAGTCTTGAACGAAATGGATGACATGTGCCTGTTGTCCGTTTATGTAGGTGTGTATAGGTACCAGGACATACAGTTCTGTAAGCAAAGCGCATAGAGATGGAATAAGAAGCACAAACGTCGCGGCTAGGTAGAGTAATCGCACGGCATGGAGTACAAATCCAGCCGCTTCGATGACCACTTGTTCGGGGTTGGAGAGCATGGGTTGGAGTCCGTTTTGCAATTTTTGATATCCGACTCGCATATAGACAACGGTATATCCCGCACTCAGCAATATAGACATGCCGACTGAAAATGCATAAATATCGTTCATTCGAGTGACTTGCGGGAAGAAGTATGAGAGGATGCGGCGACCGACAACGAGTGGAACGATGGTCACTCCGACCCCTGTGACAGCTGCAAAGACCCAGATCATGAAGATGAAGACGAAAATTCGGAGTCGGAAATTGGGCGGAATATAGACTTGAGTAAACATGTCACTCTTCTTCCCATGCAGTCCTTCGTCGTTGTCTGTATTGCCATCTGCACGTTCATTGTCCTCGGTTACTTCGAGGAAAACCTTGATTCCCTTGGGGATTCGCACTTGATCAGAAGCCGGAGCGCGAACGAACTTGCCATCACGAAGGAAACGTATACCCTTGCCTTTCTCCTCCACCTCCTCTTGATCTTCATCGGTAGTAATTGGATTTTCTACATCGCCTTTGTTCCCGAATAAGATATCACTCCATGTACGGCCAACAGATCGTCCTTCTTCATCTTTTCTTCTCTCCCCAAGGAGGAATTGTGACAATCGCAGAAACCGAGCACACTTGTGGAACCACCAATCATACATTCTGTGTAGTCCATCTGACGGTTTGATTGCTCGCAAAATAACGGGCATGACGAAGTTGTAGAATAGTAGATCCGCGGGGAATTCAAGCATTGGGGTGTTAGATGACCAGTGGATTGGGAGGACACCGTCAGAGGAATATGCTAAGCCCCAAACCACAGCTCCCAAACAGATGACTACTAGGCCACCGTAGACCAAAGCAGAAAATGCAATCTTTCGCAACTGTGTGATAATATCACGCTCAAGGACATCGCGCACTGGGTGAAAGTTTGGATCATCAGGATCACGTATGAAGTCTGAAATAGAATGAGCATTCAATAAGAATAATAAAAGGTGAGGTCAACTTACAAAGTACACCGGTTCTCATGATCTTGCGACACATTGATACGAAGAGAGCGAAATGGAACATGTAACATGTGCCTATGAACCAATGCACAAACAGCGACGTGAGTGGCGACGACATTGTGAAGGTAACCCTTGAGGCCAAAGTGGCATTCTCAAACAGTGGCATCAAAGCTAGGTCTAAGAGCAATCCGGAGTAAAGAGGGAAGACGAGCATTTCGATGCCGATGATAAGAATCACCTTCATGACGCCGCCAGCCTGGTTGAGTATTTCAGCAACGACACCTTCTGGTCTTTGTCCACGGTTTGCTCCAGCGAAGAACCCGGTAACCCTCAGGTAGAAAATGCCAAGAAGAGAAGCGAACACATATCCTATCACAATGGCGATGGTTCGGTCTTTCGTGTCCCAACGTGCAAGTTCGTAGTCCGGGCGAATGAGAACCGCGCTGTCGTTGCCCATTTCGGATGGGCCAAACAACGACAAGAGGAAACCAGAAAGGCTAATCAGCTGGGCCTTGACACCGGCCAGTATAGCCGCCATGTCAATGCTTGATACAGCAGCCAACAACCCATTCCTGTCATCGGACGAAAGAAGTTTGATGGGAATATCATACAATATTAATTTAACACCGTCAAAGACCATTCGTACGATGATGACAATGCGAGCTTCATGAATGCGTAATGCCTGATGAGCAAGAACCGAGAACATGGGGAGGTCAGAGTCTTGGAAGTCGAAGAAACCCCCCAGTACTCTTTTGAGTCTTTGGCTGCTACCGTCGATAAGAGTCAATGATGTCTGCGTGAAAGAAGTGCCCTGAGAAACACGGTCCAAGAATGGTATGATACCCGCCACTGGACGCAAAAGGTTCCTCGTGATAAAGCTAACCACATACAGGACATATCCGACGCTACCAATAAGAGAATCGACAACCACATCCGCTGTGATAGAGAGCATCGCCAGAGGAACTCTAATCACGAGCCGTACTGGACTTGTGAAGAAGACTAGTGCGATCTTTCCCCAAAGGTAAGGTAGCCAAATACCGACAGCTATCGTGAAGGAGATAAGAAGGGCGCAAAATACACCATTTTGCAAAAGCCCAAATATTGGTCCCTGAATACCTATCAGTTCCAAAATGCCTTCGAAATCGTCACCTTCTTCAACAGCATCAATGTCGTTGGCGTCACGATTATCGCCTTGGGGAGCTACAGGTTCTCGCCATGGGTTCGGAGCTGGTGCATCAGCAGCTTCATTCTGCCTGTTCGGTGCTGGAATGAAGGGTGCCTCTAGTGCCGGATCCTCGACGACATGCTCAACGTCTTGGACATTAGCATCTGGCGCCTGAGGGGCTTCAAGCTCTCCCCAAAACCAATCGAAAACACGGTTTATAAAAGTCTGCGGAGTGTCTGTGATGTTTTGCTGAGGTTGACGGTCGCCGGAGTCCGGAACGGCAGCAGTAGCAACTTCAGAATGGAATTCGACGAGCGGCACCTGGACCTCCTGAACCTCAGAAAGCGGCGCAGTTTCTGGAGCTGTCATTCTCTCAAATGCGGTCTCTACATCTCCTTCCGACCAATTGATTGTCTCCTGGGGTAGCTCAAAACTGTCCGCTTGGGAAGTTCCGCTGGGTAGATTTTCGGGCGGTGCTGTAGATTCCAGGATTTCATAAGAAGACTCTGAACTAGCATTGTGGAGTAACTCAGGATTTGCATGTCTGTTGCTAGCGGACTCAGATGGACCCTCGAGAGGCGCCTCTTCGTGATGATCCGAGAAGTCAAAGTTGCCTGAAGACGTGCCACGTGAGGCATTGTTTTGCTTCAATGTCATCATAGCATTGACGACCCAACTAAGTTCATCTTCTCGGCCCTCTTCCTGGATGATGCGTAGGATCTCATCAGGATTTCCATCTCCGCGGAGCCAGAGATCCTTGAACGTCTCTATGCCTGGCCAAGTGTGACTGCTGGGTTCGTTCACTGTCTCTTCAATCGTTCGTCGAATGTTCGAGGCATCATCTAGAGCATTCCTTGATCGCAGTGTCGGGCGAGAACTTGATGTTCGCATTTGAATAGTGGGGCGAGAATCGACAGGCAACAATCGTGGCGAAGAGAGTGTACTGCTAGCGCGAGACTCGTCATCGTTGATGGCATAATCTTGTACACCTCGTTCATAGTCCACTTGTGCAAGATCTGGATTATCATCGGCAACTTGGACTGGCATGTCTCGAGCCTCCAAAGGCGCGGGAGGTGCAGCCTCAGGTTGATTTCGATTCTCGGCCATCAGTCGCATTGCAGCCTCCCTCTCATCTTCCGCAATATTGACTGCGGGTTGTTGTTGGACAACCCACTCGCGAATCAAAAACACCAAAATGAACGATACCACTACCAGTAGCGTAATCAATTGTCCTTCCAGTGTGTCTATCACGATATTGTTCACTGTGGGAGACGGCGTCAAGGAGTTTAGAAACGTGACATTTGATAACCAGGAGGGTTGGCGCACACGTCCAGAGGGAAGAGATGAGGCTTGACTAGCGTTGTCTCCGCTAGAAGTCGAAAGAGTTGGAAGGAGAATTTTCAAAAGGATCCGTTTAGCGACGGAGAAGCCTAGCGGTTCTTCGTTGGAAAGATTTAAGATTGACGAAACTGGAGATAACACAGCAATGTGAGTGGCGGAAGACGTCGCTGCGTCACTGGATAGTGTCCGGCCAGTAGCAATCGAAGCGTGTACGTCCGACTGATTCGCTGTAGGTAACGGTGTCTGAACAAAATTATTATTCGGCCATCGTCCATCGGCAAGCCAGAACAGAACACGCCATATCGCACGCATGGACCACGGCAACCATCCAAGCCATACGAAGGCGACCAGGACGAGCCGTAACCATGTGACTAGGGAGCGGAGACCATGTATTGCGAGTTCTCGTATGAAGATGGGGGCCGGTAGCTTTGACGGCATTCCGGGATCGTAGAGCTTCGTAAATCGGAACGGCGTCTTGCATAGCTCACAGTATTTCTTTTGCGAATGCGATAGCCATTCCATCAAGCAGCTTTGATGAACGAACTTTATACTTCCGCTACACTTGCAGGGATAGAATAATTGTTCCTCTTCCGATCCTTCGCCCCTACAGATACGGCACGTATCCGGTTCATCGATTCCTTTGCCTTTTGAGTCTGTATTCGTCGCATACGCAGGGTCGTTCATGAGATCAGGGAGCGGAGACATCCCCCGCAAGGACCGGAAGTCCTGATCGGCATCCATCGTGGATAAAATAAGATCGTTTTCGGTTTATCGGTCTATGGTAAAGTTGACTAGGTACATCGCTTTTGATGCTGTTCGTGCAGAGCACTGCTGGTTATGAGTAGACTGTTGGAATCATGGGGGCCAGGAAATAGGGAAGAATATATAGGAAGAGGACAGGTAATTCGACGGCCAAACCCAGATGACTGCAGACTGAAAGGAAGTATCAGATAAAAGTTCACTTTCAGCTTCTGAAAAAAGATCTAAGTGGAAAGACTGTTGCTCTTTGTTGGAGTTTATCAAGTGCCTGAAATCTGAAGCCGCGGAAAGTGACAGCCTATCTACGTAGGATGAGTATTTGCGCTAACCGAGTTGGCTCTAGTTGATTGTTTATCTGCGCCACATCTGTAACTGACTCGGTATGTGGCGCAGCACGATGGTCACGCTACTGTGGCTAGTGTCTCATGCTTTCTACTTGAAACTTCTGCTACAGTAGTTCTGCTCCGTATGTCTAAGACTCCTAGAGTGCACTGGGGGATGTGTCTGAGTCATCTCCATTAAGTGATGAGTGGGATTTTACATGGACTAGAACAGACAAGATGCGTTTAGGTTGCTGGCCAGCATACAGACAATAGAGACACCGAGAAGTGGCATTTCGTCATTATCTGAACAGCATCAGTGCAAAAATAAGAGTGACAGTCCTCCGAAAAGCATGATCTGCTGCTAGTGAGTGTCGGATTGTCCATTCGATGACCTCGCTTGGGGCTTTTTTAGAGTTGATTGACGTCGACGTGCCGGGGTTAATGGAGATAAGCCCTAGGACTCGAGCTAGGACTAATTACATTGTTCTGAAAACTGCTCGTGAACAGTGACACTGGGAGAGAGATAGCAAAAATAAGAGAATAGCACAGAGTAGTATCATACAGTGCCACACTATTTTAATACAATATAACAAGAAGCATTAATTGAAGAGTGTGAAGTTCAGTGAAATTGACTGTAACACTTAGTACCATATATATAATACAGACCCCGTACGGAGTAGGCCCCACTTCGCTGCTTTGGCTGCAGTTTCATAGGCCAAGACGCCAGTCTGGCCTAGAGCTATGATCTCAGCTAACATAATTCTTGCCATTCTGGACTTCTACAAATTCAAAACAGGGTCTGCAACCACCGTGTTGTTAATTTTTTTTTAACTGAGATTCTACTTTTTGTCATATCACACCATTGTGAACTGGGCATTATCGACAATCTCAAAGTGCGAAATTGCCCTTGACTCGATTCTGTAAGTATTTCTGAGGGAATTCGCAGAGGCGATTCTGACCAGCACGAGCTCAGGCCACGCGATAACATCCTCGGCTCGCAAAACCAAGCAACAACGAAGATCTTCGGCATGAGCAACTAAGTCAGAGGCTCTGAACTGGTTATTGAATGCTTGCAGGGCCGACTCATTGCAGCAATTCTATAAATACCTATCGGCCGTTGAGCGCTCGTCCCAATACCGACCAAGCTCAAACAACGATGGGCTCTGTGCAGAATGGGACGGTTCTGAATGGGAAGACTCCTGAGTCCCCAGCAAAGTCAAAATCTCTATCTGGGCCCGGAAAGAAAGAGAAGCCCCGACGTAGTTATTTTCGGTGGTCTCTCGCTCTTGCTGTGAGGTTCGTACTTCATTTTCCGAAATGGGATCCTGTCAGTTTACTGATTCATCTAGACTTTTCATTTGGTATACGGTCCTTACTCCTTTCCTCCAATGCCCGTCTGATCTATCCGGCTTGGATGGATCTTCTCCTCGTGTTTGCAAGCCCTACTTGATCACGCGCTCGTACATTGATCCTCATGTCGACCGCTACTACCAAACTTACGCCGCTCCTTACGTTGACCAAGCACGACCTTATGCCTCTACCTTTAATAAGCGCGTTTATGCTCCCGCATCGAAATTCGCGAAACTGGGTTATGAAGCTTATGGCGCTCCCACCATTGCACATGTCAGCGAATACGGTCATGAGAAGTGGGAGTCTGTGGTGGTGCCACAACTCGAGTCCATTCAGGCCCGAGCGCAAACTGTATATCAGGAGAGATTCGATCCTTACGTGCGACTGGCTAAAAAGGCTGTGACACCATATACGGATGCCATTTCCAGTCATGTAACAAATATCTATGAAGGACACATTCTTCCCTTGTACACTCGCTCGAAACCATTTGTCATACAGACCTATTCTTCCGGTCAGGATCTTCTCTTCGGAACTGTGATTCCTATTATTCAAGAAGGATGGTCTACGCTAGCCGTCTTCGTCAAGAGCAATCTGGTGCCTACTATTACGGGTTTATATAGCCAAAACGTCGAGCCACAGCTCGTTAAGATTGGTGAAAGATTGGCTTCATACCGCGAAGGCAAGAAGCTGAGAACCGTCGTTGATGAATTCGAAAGGTAAGTGAATGCCAACAATCAGATTTCTCTGATATATGCTAAATGGACGACGCTAGTTCTACTGCAGTATCGACTACATCAACCGCTGCACCTTCGCCGACCTCCATCAATAGCTCACAAACCACAGAACTTGCAAAGTCTACAACTCAAAGTGATGAGGTACAAGCATCTGTGTCTCCGGAGCAACAATACGAGAAGACTAGGGAACAGGTCGCTTCCGATTTACTCCTTTGGCAACAGAAGTTCGCCACAGCTGCTGATAACGGAGTCGATGATCTTGGAGAAAGAGTGGTGCAGATTGTAAATAGCCAACTCGAGAGTGGAGCTAGGAAAAACGCTGAATCGCTGGTCGAGGAGTTGGAAACAGTTCAAGAACAGGAAATCTCTAAGATCAAGCAGCATATCAATTCTATCATTGAAGGACTTCCAACATACGAAGCCCATGAAGAAGAACAGAAAGCGAATGACGATCTGCTACAGTTTATAAGATCAGCAGGAAGTGCCATCAAAGACCGTGCTCATGCCCTTCGCGAATGGTACAATGGATTTGACCAGGAACTTACCGGCAAGGTGGTAACCGCTGCCTACTCGACACTTGAAGTGTTGGACGGGATCCGCGATTTGGGACTGCAGGAGATTGGTATGCGTTGGGCTTGGATGGACGGGGTCACTTACAAGGACTGGGAGAAGTATCACTCAATGAGGAAGCAGTTCGACGAGTGGAGAGAAGAGGTCTTCTTGGCTGGTGTGCAGCACGAAAAGGTTGAAGAAGCCAGAGCCACAGCGAATGATATTTTGTTGAGAGGAATGGCTATCGCTGAAGATGCAGCCAAGGAACTTTCACGTCTGAAAGAAGTTGGCAAGTGGAAGATCCAGGCACGAGAAATCAGCGATGATTTTGAGACCAGAAACGAACCGCCTCCACCATTGTCCAAACCCGAGGAGGATATTGTAGAGGAAAGCAATTCGTCCTCGAGTGAAGAACCAGCTTCAGAGACGGGCGAATCTGGAGAACCTCCTATTGTCATCAAAAGCATCACCGAGACATCTACCGTAAAGATTGAATTGGCAGACGCAACCCCAGAACCTTCGAAACTTTCTGAATTTGATGAGTCTACGGATGCAGGAGACCTTGAGAACGCCAATTCGAAGTCGTCAAACGGTGAAAAGGTGGATGATGACGACATCAATGATAAGACAGTTTGGGGTGGAGTTGCAGCTCAAGTTGTGACTCACCAAGTGCCTATACTTGACGACGACGAAGAAAATGGATTTACCGAGCAGATAAAGAGCCTTGCCAGCGAGGCTGGTGAGCGCTACGCAGAAGCGACGAGAGCTGTCGGTGAAGCTTTGTTCGCCCAACCTAGCGCTCCCAGTTACGGTGATCAAGCAGCCTCTGTGGCACGCGATCAGTATTCTCGTGCTCTGGCAACTGCATCTAGCGTCTTATATGGGACGACACCGTCTGTCGGCGAACAGATTGCTACTGCTGCTTCCGAAAAATATGAGCAAGCTGTTGCAGCGTAAGTCGTACGTCTAGACATGGTTTGTTCTCTGATGCTAATTGAATCGCAGGGCCTCATCGGTATTTTACAATTTCCCTGGCACGCATACCAAATCCTCTGCACTCGAGTCTGTATCATCTGTTGCCGCCTCGCGCTTACAGGAGGGCCTCAGTGCGGCCACTGCTCAGTTCGCTAGTTTGAAAGCTTCAATTACCCCCACTCCTACCTCCACAAGAGATCCTATCTTCCTTGATGCCCAACGTCGCTACTACGAAGCTATCGGCATGGCCCACGATCGTTATTCGGCATTCGTCTCGTCTGCATCCAGTGTAATCTTCGAAGAGCCTACTCCTACCCCAACGCCACCTCCCTTGGACCCTGAAGCACTTTTGGAAAATGCCATCAGCGAGTACCAGTATATCTCCGGTCTTGCTTCCTCTAGTTTGGCTGCTGTGATTTCTTCTGCCAGTTCAGCCGCAGAACGTAGCGGAGGATCTGCTCGTGGTGTGATTGATGATGCGCTGTCCCGGTATAGCGACGCCATGTCGGCAGCCTCTGCGTCGTTGTCTCTAGCTTCTGAGTCTGCCAGCTCAGCAATATATGGGACACCCACTGGAACCTTTGAGTCGATCACGAGCCAAGCCTCTGAACGCTGGGAAAGTGTTATTTCCCAAGCCAGCGAACAAATTTACGGCACACCGGCCCCTTATATTCAGCAGTTGTATGACGCTCAAGCATCAAGATATCAAGCTCTCGAAAGCTTTGTTTCTGAGCTTGTAGTAGGCAAGGAGCCTTCATTCACTGAGAGTGTGATGAGCAGATTACGATCAGCATACGAGACACCTTATCCTGCAGATGCGCTCTCTTCGGCATCAAGCTATGCAAACGAAGCTTACTCTTCGGCCTCCTCGTTTGTTGCTACTCACGCGACACCAGCACCTGTTTTAGACGATATTGTGAAGGCAGCTACGGAACAATTGAACTCTGCCGTAGACGCTGCGAGCGGTTACGTTTACGGCACTAGCAAGGGCCCCTACGAACAAGCCACATCCGCAGCCGCGGATGCGTACTCATCCGCATCTTCGCATGTCAGCGAAGCCATCTATGGGACTCAACCGGGTTACATTGAGGCAGCTAGGTCTCAGATAGATGCTGCGTTCTCCTCTGCTCAAATAGCTATCAGCACGGCAATCTACAGCACCCCAACCGGCCGTGCTGAGGGTGCGATGAGTGCTGCTAGTGATACTTATGACTCCGTCACTTCCGCAGTCAAGGACAATGTCGCCGCTGCCGAATCTATGATGAGCAGCGCTTACTCGAATATTCACTCGCAAGCCTCAGCTGCACTTCTTCCAGAGCAACAGGGTGCTTTAGAAAGTGCCACCAGCAAACTAGCACTAGCCCTCGAAAGTGCACAAGCACGCCTTGCAGATCTCGCTTCTAACGTAGGCGAGGGTGCTTCCAAGATCCAGTCTGAAGCCGGATCTGTGGTCGAAACGGCTCAAACTGTCATTATCAGTGCAACAAGCAAAAATAAGGACGAGTTATAAACTTCCTTACAATAACTTTGAACTTGATCGAAAAAAAAAACTAAGCCATTGATCATGGCTCCGCGTGCTTTAAAGAGTATGTGATATGGTGGATTAGTGATGTTGTCATGTCATTTACTTTGTTCTCCTTGGTCTATAAACCACGATATCCTCTGAGGCGGTGACTTGCCATTTTTTTTTCTTTTTCCTGATTATGTCTGTATGTTACCATATAACTACTTACTGTATGCTCGAACTGATCCCCCTCCTGTTTTTCACTGATGTATGTTATTGGATATTGATCTTTTTCAGCTTCGTGTTGATAGGGCCATGTTTATTATTACGACTGCCATGTTTTTTTTACTGCTATGTTATATGTCTATTGCTACTGGTGTTTTAGCCAGTGTAATGTACAGAATGGATGAGAATTACGCACATGATAATAAATGGCTTATTACGTCCATGTTGATCAAAAACTATATCTTTATAGCACCTATAAATGTTAAAAGTGTAAGATACCATATCACATCTACCGAGATGTCAATACCAACTACCGATACTGAACACGCTGACCACCACGCTTCTCCAACTTCTGCTGCCTTTTACTCGCTCCACCACTACCACCAGAAGACTGAACCTCACTACTACCCCCTGCAAACCCAGCCAGTCCCTTCTTCATCCCGAAAAATGTCGTCCAACCCAAATAAACCGAATACACGGGAACAGCCACATAAAACCACCAAGCCCAATCCCCCAACACGCACACAGCACCCATACAAATCCATGTCCAATAGAGTATATCCCACATATACTCCGTCAGCCCCGAAGCACCCAGATCCTCACCGGCGGATTTTAGGGAGCCGTCCTGTAAACTGTAGTGGGGTCGACCCAGGCGTTCAAGGTAGAATTCGATCGCCAGTGCGGGGAGGTTTAGGAGGCAATACCGCAAGAGAGCGCTGGGACGGTTGAAGAGGAAGTTTAGGGTTAGGAAGAGGGCGTGAAGGGATAGGGTAATTAGGTGTGTGCGGTTTAGGGTTGAGGCATTGCGGGCTGCGAGGGATTTGGCTGCTTTCTATTACCAAATTAGTTAGGGATCGTTTGAGTATTCTGGATAGATTTACCTGAGCCATGTTATGTGTCCAAGCTTTGAGCTATTTGGCGGCGGGTTGAAATAATAGAGCGGTCCACGATCAGTATACGAACGCGGAGTCGGGGATTTTCAGGGACTGAGTATACGCGTGGAATGGGCGACCAACTGCGGGATTTCTTGAAGGACTGTATGCAGATAATGAGCTTGTAGCTTGCAGGGTGTCGCGTGTCGATATAAGTGTCCGGAAGCGGCGTGCAGGAGCTGGCTGGAATCGGATACTTAGCGCCGGTTGCCCTATACAACAGTGCCGCCATAAGGCAACAAGGCAATAAGGCAACAACCGCCACCACTGCCACAGCTCAACTCCCCGTCTCTTTCGCTCTCCACCTCATACCGTTCACTATTTACTATTCCCCCACACCTATTCTATCCTCAGTCAGCCATTCTCTCCCAAATAATAATCTAGTCTTACTGGGACCTGTCCTTGTCCAGTCTAATATCCATTCTCGATAATGCGATTCCTGCTTTGAGCTTTCCTCTGGCGGGTTTGTCAGTTGCGGCGCGGTCTCCACTTTCAGTTTGCTCCGCTGATTGTTTTGGTTGGTGTGTATATGCACAAACAAGTACTCACCAGACAGAAGGGTTTTACCGATAAACAGGATTGAGTGATCTTATTCATTCAGTCGTCTGCAGTTAATTTCTGTAGCTGTGACCACCTACTGACGCCTAATTCGAACTGCGTGAGACTCCAAACAACCAAGCAAACTGCGCACCTGCACACCACTCAATGCGTCTCGGTCAGGATTATTCTCTGCTTCATCCTTTCGCTTTCTCTTCGACATATTCTCGTCTATTTTGGTGCCATTAATAGACACGCTTCCAGCAGCTGCGTCGTGTGAAAATCGCCCATCATGGCGCCTTCGACGTCTTACATATCCACCCAGCTCAGACAACTGATATACTATCATCTCGACAACAACCTCGTCAAAAATGCGCTCTTCCTCGCCGGTCGTCTCCATGCCTACGAACCCAGATCGTCCGAAGCGGCTTATCTCCTTTCGCTGTGCCATCTTTTGAGTGGTCAGCCCAAGGCTGCCTGGGAATATAGCAAGCTGGCAGGTTCTCGCGGAACACACCTCGGGTGCTCTTATGTACACGCACAAGCATGCCTGGACTTGGGGAAATACATGGATGGTATCAACGCGTTGGATCGGAGTAGGAATCTCTGGGCGACGAAGAGCAACTGGAGTGAGTGCATATGGGTGGAATGATGGAGTCCTCATACTGACCAGAACAGACAAACACAGCGAGACACGCCGTCAACATACTCCAGATGCAGCAGCAGTCTTGTGTCTGCAAGGCAAGCTATGGCAAGCTCACAAAGATCTGGCACAGGCTGTAGAATGCTACGCCGAGGCCTTGAAGCTCAATCCTTTCATGTGGGATGCATTCCTCGGTCTCTGTGAAGCTGGTGTCAGCGTTCAGGTGCCGAACATATACCGTCTAAGCCCAGAACTGGTGGCTATGTTACAGGCTGCTCCTCAACCAGACGTAATCGCGCTTTCGGATATAACGACATCCGCCAATGGACCTCTCCAGACGCAATCGAATGCTCATTCCAATAGCGATCCTTTTGCCAATACACCAAAGGGCGAACCTGGCTTGTCCACTGGAAGCTCCGCATTGTGGGAGAAATTGAATGGCAGCTCTGTCAGCGTTGCTTCCGCGGGTACAACGATTATTCATGAGATACCTGAAAATGAGAACGAGCCTGAAGATGCTCGTAATGCCCACAGCGACATCTGGGACCCTCCACTTGCTCCAAACAGACGAAGCAGAACTGTCCAACACGTCGAGTACGGGGATCCACCGCCGAAAATGCGAGCTACTGCGTTGAAATCTAGGATCCGGTCTAGAGCTGAGTCGGAGGATCAAAACGTCATTCAAATGGATGAAGAGTCGACTTCTGTTGCTCCGGCTGGTGATAGAAAACGAACGGTTTCTGGTCAAGTAGCCCATCCAGCACCTCATCCCGTAGAGCCAGGTGCACCACAGCGTCGGAGCACGCGACTGCTGAATCACATACGGCCAACCTCCAGCCGGCTAGCCACTGCCACTTTAGGAAGAGAGGGAAGAGAAGTGAGAAAAGTCCGTGCAACAGGGACGAGGGGACGGACAACTGCTGCCACAAACGTAGGACGTGTTGTGAGTGGGAATAGAAAGGTCATTAGCGGCTCGGATCCCGATAGCAAGGAGCCACGAACATCTGCCACGTCCTCTAATAGCGCTGGTAGCTCGCATCAGACCAAGAGTGCAGTCGCCGATCGCTCAAAGGAAATGGAAGCGTTGTCATGGTTAATGGATCTGTTCTCGAAATTAGCTACCGGCCATTACAACCTGACGCGCTACAAGTGCCAAGACGCTGTTCAGAGCTTCAACCTCTTACCTCAGGCTCAGCGTGAGACGCCCTGGGTTCTGTCTCAGCTTGGTCGGGCTTACTATGAGCAAGCGCTGTATCCTGATGCAGAAAAATACTTCCTTCGAGTGAGAGCGTTGGCACCAGCCCGCTTGGAAGATATGGAAATATACTCGACCGTACTATGGCATCTCAAAAACGATGTTGAGTTGGCATATCTGGCCCATGAGCTTATGGAGGTAGACCGTCTATCTCCTGAGGCGTGGTGTGCGGTTGGCAATTCTTTCTCTCATCAACGAGATCATGACCAGGCACTAAAATGTTTCAAACGTGCCACACAACTCGATCCTCGCTTTGCCTATGCGTATGCTCTCCAAGGTCATGAGCACGTCGCAAACGAAGAATTCGACAAAGCACTCGATGCGTTCCGTAAGGGAATCAGTGTCGACAGTAGACATTACAACTCTTGGTATGGCCTTGGTCAAGTATACGAAAAGATGGGTAAGCTCGAATATGCAGAACAGCACTATCGCAACGCAGTGCAGATCAACCCGAACAATGCAGTACTCATCTGTTGCATGGGTCTTGTGGTTGAAAAATTAAATAACCCACAATCCGCTTTGTTTCATTACAGTCGGGCAACGACTATTGCGCCGAGATCGGTATTGGCCCGATTCCGCAAGGCTCGTGTTCTTTTGAAACTGAATGAATACAAGCTGTCGTTGACAGAGCTCAAGGTGTTGAAAGATATGGCTCCGGATGAAGCGAATGTTCATTATCTACTTGGAAAGGTTTACAAGCAATTGCACGACAAGGGTAACGCAATTAAACATTTCACCACTGCACTGAATCTGGATCCAAAAGTAAGTTATATATCCTATTCCTAAGAACTTCGATACTAACTATTCTCTTCCAAAAGGCAGCGCAGTATATCAAGGATGCTATGGAATCGTTGGACGACGACGAAGATGATGACGCTGACATGGCATGAACAACTACGAAACTCGGATCAATCGTTCTTACCTTTACTTGCACATACTTCCTTGACTGGTGCACAATGGTACTGCGGCGTACACAGACAAATACACATTCTACTTGGACATGCATACACGAGAAACGGAATGGCGTTACGGAAGTCATAGGTCCCTATTCATTCGCTTTTTGAGAAGCATTCTGCATCTTCTCTACTAATTTTGTTCTCCGTCTTTCTATCCAAAGCATTTTTAATCGGAGTTTGGTGGTTTTTGTTTTGCTCTTATTGAAATTGTGCTCTATCACTTGAGAATTTTTCCCAAGCGATTCTGTATATTACTTTGACGTTTCCATGTCTTTTGAGGTTCTGAGTTCGAGCACATGCGGTTGACGTGATTATGAATGGCATGGAACGATGCTTCATGATCACTACTAATAGCGAGTGGAATTGATCAGGTCAACTAAAGATTCATTATTCATATTTATACTTATCACCAAATATAAAGCTGGTAAATAGTAGATCCCATGCTTTTAGAAGGATTAGAGGATCAGATTGCAGCCTCGGCAATCGGGTGTCAACACTAGCAGCCTGAGGTTTCCATGGTTGTGGGGAAACTGCAGCTGCATCATCAATCACAAGATCTTCAACTTGTTTCTTTAAGCTGCTTTATTCTTCCAACTGACACTCTCTTATATTCTTGCGCGAACAATCAAACTACCCAAAGGCCATGGCTATGGTTAGTAGACATCGTTGCTAGAAAACTCTCATCATCAATCTACTATCCACGACCGGAAAGTGCGGCGATCTCGGCCGTCGAAAAAATCTCCCTCTCTCTCAACATTCTCTGTCCAAAACAAGTTCGACCCGGGTCAAATCGTTAGCAATGTCAATTCTCTCCTATATAACAACCGGTCTAACCGGCTACTTCGCCGTAACTGTCTCCTTCTTCGCCTTATCCGCCGCCAAAGTACCCAAAGCCGGATTCATAGCCCGCTGTCTATCCTCGTACGCTTCTCTGATAATATGCGCTACATACGGCGTTATTGCATCCATAGTCCTGCGACTGGTCGGATACGGCCGCGTATCGCAATGGGCTACTGCGCGCAGTTTCAAATGGGTTATGTGGTTCGCTACAGGTGTACATTTCGATATAATCGAAGGCGAGAAATATCTCTCTACTCGACCCGCCGTCTTTATCGGAAACCATCAGACGGAGTTGGATGTGTTGATGCTGGGCGCTATCTTCCCACCGTATTGTAGCGTGACCGCTAAGAAATCGTTGAAAAGTTGGCCGTTTTTGGGCTGGTTTATGGCTTTGTCGGGTACGGTGTTTATTGATCGTGCGAATCGTGAGACGGCGGTTAAGGCGTTTGATGGTGCGGCGAGGGAAATGCAGGAGTTTAAACAGAGTGTTTTTATTTTTCCGGAGGGCACGAGGAGTTATGCGACCAAGCCGGAGTTGTTGCCGTTTAAGAAAGGGGCGTTTCATTTGGCCATCAAGGCCGGTGTGCCTATTGTCCCTGTTGTGGTGGAGAATTATCCTCATGTGTTGAATCTGAAGAAGTTGCAGTTTGAGGCTGGGGAGATTAAGGTTAAGGGTACGTCTACCTTTTTCTCGCTGCTTAAGGGTTTACATGCTGATTTGATAGTGCTACCTCCTATTGAAACGAAGAATCTTACACCTGCGGATGTCGACAAGTTGACTACCGATACGCGCGAGCTTATGCTCAAGACGTATACTGCATTGTCGAACAAGTCCGCGCAGCAACTCGACGGTGCAGTGACTCGCGGATCTTCCACTGCTGTGGAGATCTAATCCAGTACATCCCACAGAGAGAGGGGGGGGAGCGAGAGACTACAACTAGACCACTTCACTACTTCAGGCAGATAGACGGGTTTGTATTAGACGGAGAGAATCGGTTCCGGCAGGATACGAGAGATTATGATGACTCGAGTTTTTGTTTTGTTTGTTTGTCTTTGAAGCTTGATTAGTACTATTATCATTATTAATGGTCCTTTACATCCATACCTTGGAAGTGCCCAGGTGGTAACTGGACACGTTGCGTCTGTTATTAGTAGTATATACATACCCTCGAATACCCCAAATTGAAAAGTTTTGTGTTACACTGTGTTCAGACATTCATGAAAACGGTCAACTGACGTCGGGTAACATCTCTTGTATCGGAATATGGTACGTCTCGATTTGCGTCAGCAGACCGGCTGTTTAGGATGATCGGAGATGCCATGGATGGTTTCAGTGACTCACATAGAATCCATAGATATCATGAGAGGCCACGCACGCAGACATACACATGGTCGAGAGAAGGCAGTGTTCAGTTCTCCGGTAAACTTGGCAGTCGCATAGAAAATCGACATGTTCTGTCAAAAGTATCAGGGTTGACATCATCGTCGGTAAAGATCAGGAACATGACCAGATCAGATGTCTATTTCCTCGCCTCGTTGCAGACAGCATGGAGTTCACGAGATGACAGGGAACTTTGATCGCGATGACGATAATTCTTTCCTTTGCCATTGTCGGATTCATCGTACTCTGGAAACATATGAAGATAAGATCTTCACGGGAAAACACCCAGAGTTGTCGAGGATAATTATCAGGTGCCTCTCCGCACTGGCTATTTCGCACCCACACTGGAAATGTCTCCTCTCTTATATCGTCTTCTCATTGATTGCCAGCTTACTTGATCGACAGGGCTTATGATTTCTTTTTTAGTTCCAGTCCTCGGCAGCCCAGCGAGTTTAGCTCTGGTGATGATTCTAAAACAAGATGTTGGCCAACTAGCTTCAGTCTTTGACGGTCCGAATGGATTTTGGTCTGGGTGCAACATCGTCGATGGTCTGAATGTCATCGGATTTGTCCCATGATTTTGAGGCAGTGTGAACTGTGATTTTTATGAGGCGTTGGTGGAAGTAGGTTGTATATAAGATCTGTCTGGATGAAGGAAGTTGAGAGTCAGGTATTGCTCCCGAGCCTAGAAGAACTGAACCTTGAAAGCATTTCTGACCCATCGAAGAAAAATCATCCTCCCGACTCTTCACAGAGATTATATTCTTATTTAAAGACTGATGTTCTGTCTCTATCGATCTACATCCTCAGCTCCTACCTTATATAATATCGGCAAAATGTCTCAAAACGACACAGCTGCAACGCTGAATATCGCTCTGCAAAACCAGACGTCATCCAGCACGGTCTATGCATACATCACAGGCCAAGCTATCGACAATAAAAACGCCCTCTTCCTCTTGCAATCCGATGGCAAAACAGCTTACTACCCAACCTCCCCGTCAGGCACCATGTCCGCCCTGGGAGCAAACTGCGCCATTCCTCTCGGTGCACCAGGAAGCACAGTCACCGTCACAATCCCCCACTTAGCTGGCGCTCGATTATGGTTTGTGCGAGACGATACTCTGACCTTTTACTTGAACCCCGGCCCAGCTTTGGTGGAACCTTCATCTTCCAACACGGCTGATGCAAACTACAATAAGTTCTGGGACTTTTGCGAGTTCACATATAACAGCTTACAGCTATATGTGAATATCTCCTATGTAGACTTTGTGTCTCTTCCGATATCGTTGACTCTAACCAATACGTCGAATCAAACACAACATGTCACGGGAATGCCTTCAAGTGGTCTTGATACTATATGCTCCGGTCTGAATGATCAACAGTCCAAGGACAACGCTGGCTGGAACCAGCTCATTGTTCAGAAGAACGGCGCAAATCTGAGAGCCAATAGTCCCAACACCGGTATTTCGATCAACAATTCTCTGTTTTCGGGATATTACCAGCCATACGTGGATCAAGTGTGGTCTCAGTACTCCAACTCGACATTGACTGTCAACACGCAAATAGATTCTGGGAACGTGGCTGGAACAGTGTCAAACGGTACATTCAACTTTGGAAATGGAGCAGCGACATACACCAAACCTTCTGCAGCAGATATCTTTAGTTGCAGCAGCGGCCCATTTGCGGTGACTGGAGATCAGGTCAAGGACGATATCACTGCTCGATTAACAGCTGCCTTGAACCGATCGACACTGCTAGTCAACAGCAACACTCCAGAAGGTGAAGATGCGTCCAAGTACTATCAAAACCCTATTACCAACCATTACGCTCGTATTGTGCATGCTGCCAATCTCGATCGTCGAGGGTATACTTTTCCCTACGATGATGTTGCGCCTTCGAATGGAGCAGATCAGTCTGGGAGTATACATGATCCAAATCCGCAGTTACTTACTGTTGCGGTTGGGGGAGGAAATGCTGCGGCAGGTAGTAATACCCCGAGCAGGGTTGCACCACGGACTGGAAATCAGGATTCTGGTAAGAATAAGAGCAGAAGTGGTAACGATAGCAAGCAAAGCAGATTGATTGGGTTGATTAAACGATTTCCTTGTTTCAGTTGATGTACTTTCTCCTCTTGTTGCTTGTTTGACTTTACGTATGGAATAGATGTATTCTTACTTGGATACAGCTCGAAGAATGATACCGACTTTCTTTTCTCAGATCTCATTTACCGAACAGTGAATGTAACCTGTCCAGTAAAACATCACCTTATATTTATAAATATCTGATTGCTCCAAACTTACCCATCCAAACACTGACATTCCCCCATAGCACACGGCCTAACATCCCGCTCAATATCAATACTCACAACCTCTTTCCAAGCATCATCCCCACCCCTCAACCCCGAGGAACCCAGATTCGCACCCCTAGCCGCCGTCGCCAGTAGATAATCAGACTCAAACGCAACCAATTCAACTCTAACATCTTCCACCTTCTTCCCATATAACCATGTCTGGACTCCCCTGTACGGTTCACCCCATGCATCAGCATCAGCAACAGGTGCCGGAGCAACAACATTCGTAAACTCAAGCTCTCGTAACCAAGGCGCAAGTAATGCTTCCCCGGTCATTTTGATGTATGCCTCTTTCAGCGCCCAATATGCGTAGAACAGACGCAAAGATGATTTTATAACTTCTGCAAGTGAAGATGTCGATGATGTCGATGCAGCTTGCTTCATAGTCTCCAATTCTCGTTGAGAAAACACATCTTTGAAAATGTCGATGAAATCCGTGACGTCCTTTAGGCTCATGGGAGCCTTGTCACGACGACGACCCGGTTCGTCGACGCAGGTTACGTCTATGCCTACCTGGGGTATTGCTGGAATTGGAGCAGATGATGGTTCCGGTTCGGAGTAGACTGCTTGAGTAGCAACGGCTATCTCATCTTGGCCCTGCAACTTCCCATCACTTTTTGTGGATGGAACAAGACACCCGGCCAACGCAACAAACGAAGCTTGATGCGTAACATTAAACTCCGCCGCCGGTACATCCGCGACAGACGGAACAAAACATGGTCTCTGGTGTGGTTTCGGTGTTCGACTAATCACCACTTCGCTCCAGGGGATTCGACATGTTCTATGTATAAAGAGGTATTTGAGTAGATTTGAGGCTAGGGACATGTGTCGATCGGATAGACGGAGGTATTTCTGGATCGAGGTTTGGTCGGGCTCCTGCAGGGTTGAGAGTAAGGGGAGGTTGGAGGTCGATTGGGTTAGGGGGCGGGTGTCGATGTACCATCTAGTGAGGGTTGTGGCCATCTTGGAGAGGTTTGATATGATCAGTTTATATGCAGAGTATGAATGTGGTGGTGTTGTAGGTTGTTTTGTGTTCGAGACAGCTCACTCTGAGTATGCAGATTTGTTATCGAATGCAAGCCAACTCTTCAAAATGAAACCCTCGTATATAAGCAGTAGATGGATACATGAAGCTATCCAGCTGAAATGCACGATCTATACAAAACAATCATCTGATTGGCTGAACGGAGACCGCGGCGAGGGGCAACTCCAATATTTCTGCCTGAACAATCGGGTGTCAATAGCGGGACTTTGATAACGATAAGATAAGATAAGCAGAAGCAAAGCGACAGAATGACTCCGTCCCGAAATCAACTCAGACAAGACATAGAACCAAAGATGAGTAAGATTACAGCAGGTGTGCTAGCTCTACAAGGCGCATTTTATGAACATTTACAACTCCTTCGAAAAGCAGCAGATATCTTGAATTCATCTTCTCAACAACAGACGCAATGGAAATTCATCGAGGTACGGACAAAGGCGCAATTGGATGCGTGTGATGCACTCATCCTGCCTGGTGGTGAGAGCACGACTATCTCTCTTGTTGCAGCTAGTTCAGGATTATTAGAGCCATTGAGGGATTTTGTCAAGTATACGCCGTCGCGCCTGAAAGCATATTCAATGACTAATTCTTTGATCTCTAGACTACATCGCAAACCAACCTGGGGTACATGCGCCGGACTCATTCTCCTCGCTGAATCAGCCAACCGCACAAAAAAAGGAGGTCAAGAACTCATCGGCGGCATTGATGTCCGCGTAAACCGGAACCATTTCGGTCGTCAGACGGAAAGTTTCCAGGCTCCGATTGACCTGCCATTCCTACAAGATTCGACCATTCCGGAAACCCTCCCATTCAACGGTGTATTCATCCGGGCTCCCGTAGTGGAAAGGATCCTCCCTCATCAACAGGGCATACAAATCGAAGAAAATCAACGAGAAGAAACCATCGTCGCTCCATCGAGGTCAGCAGTCGATACCGCAGCTCAAAAGATTCTGGAAGATCAAGTCGAAGTTTTGGCAAAATTACCGGGGAGAGCTGCTCGGTTAGTTGCAAATAGTGGTGTGAATATTGATGCCGAGAAGGAGGCAGAGGATATAATTGCGGTCAAACAAGGGAATGTCTTTGGTACGAGTTTTCATCCGGAGTTGACGGATGACCCGAGGATTCATCTTTGGTGGTTGCGACAGGTACGGGATGCTGTTCAGAGCAGAAATATTGATAGATGATAGAAATATATAGATATAACTGCGCTCAGGTGCTGATATTTGGAAGAAACTGATGCATTAAAGAAGGGCCAACCTTGAGCGTCACATGATGTATAGCACTGCCTAATTGGGACATCCCAAACGCTCCTTCTCAACACGCGATCAATCCAGTCTCCGGGCAATCTTGGAGATGCAAATACCTCAAAATACACACAACGAGGAAAACAAAAAGGAATTTCGCCTAAGCAGGGCGGATTTTAATCATCGAAATCATTGGTGACACCTCAGCAGGGTAGCAACGACCTGTTTGGCAGGTAATTTCCGACAAATTGCCCGACCTCCAGGTATAAAAACTCGCTGTCCACCCACGCTGATGTTTTTTCTTCTTCTTTTTCTTCTTCTTCTTCTTCTTCATCCTCGCTAAATGAGTCCTCCTGCTGAGCAGACAAGTTTGTGTTCTGTTAAGACATCGCCTCACTCCACATGACACCTTTGCCAGCTATATCTTACCGTACTGGATCATCTAGTATGCGCGCAGCTCTTGGGCTAATTGGTTTCAACATGTCTCAAAGCACGGTTTAACAACACCGACTGGTTCGTGAAATGTACTCTACCATTGAATCCTAGCTAATGATCTGGATGGGTTCTCACCAACCATGGAAGAAGACGAACTTCCGCTTCGAGACATTCTTTCCAAGACTCGTTGAGGTCTCCATTGGCCAATGAAGCTCTCAGTGTTGCCGACATAGGAGAGGTCACAGATCAAACACCAAGTGGCCGAGAAACAAACTGAGCTTCTATCATCTAACAGCCAACGATCATTGGGCAAGTTCATTGTATTCTGCTCTCTAATGCTATCGTTACTTATACTAATATATTCCTCTCTCTAGTCTGCCTAAACCTCGTCAATATCTTCTAGCAATCAATGATCTAATGCGGTGCTTGTTAGGCTTGCAGCAAAAAGGTGTACTAGATGATCACTGTCATAACTTTCATCTCCACCGGCAAAGCCAGGGTGATGGCTGGCATTATATCAATGCAGAACAGCTGATACAGCTGCTGAAAGTATCGAAGTCCTTGCTTGAGGTATGGAACTAATGCCGTCAGCCAAGGTACATCACCCATCATGACACCGCGGAAGGAGAGGAGTGGCTAACAATAATTCAGCAATAGAAGCAACAGCGGCAACAGCAGCAACAGCAGCAAGGACAGTAACCACGCCTGCTACTGCTGAGTTCCCAGCCATTGAACATATCACGAGATGTCTTATCGAGAAACTTTGGAATGGCATCTGGGATTCACTGCACACCATGCCGACAGGAAGCTATGGTGAGCCAGGTGCAGACAGTGATAGACCAGTGTACTATTCTGTCAAGGTTTTGTAGAACACTCCTAAACGGATGGACCGCACAAAGTCAGCAGGAAAGTGCATTGCATGCAAGGCAACTTGTCAACTGCAGCAAAATTGAAGCGCAGTACCAAACTCTCGAACAAGGACCAGGGCAAGCACCCCACACGCCAGCTGCTACCATCGATAGAGTTCCCCAATGAACCAGAACGTATCCGAAGAGCACATGCAGAACGAGAAAGAGGAACTGTACAAGCATCACCAATATTCATGACTCAAAGGACGAGAGACATGCTACCTACCACCAGATGAACGAGGCCGTCATCCGTCGAGAATAGGCCATTGGAATGTAGTGAGAGGGGCTTCCTAAACAACTAGGTCCGGCAAGGGATCAAATTAGGGATCTTCTTTGGATGCATGGGCTTTGTGTTCATGTTGAAATCTCAGCAGTTCATTTTCCCCATATCCCCTTACCACTACTCCGTCACTATCTACAATAATGCTCGAGCGAATCTCTGCTCTAGCTGATATTGCTTATCTTTTATTCTATCCTAGTCTCTTTGATAACCTGCATATCACTGGTCTCCCATCAACCGACTACTTCCAGGAACACCCCACCCCCAAAAAGGGTGAAGAGGAGGACGACGACGGTGATAGTACTGGAGCATAGATCTGTTGGCGGTTGGCTCGGTTGGGTGGTTTTTAGCGCAGCAGTCTGAGCCAGCTGAGGTAATTGTTGATCGACAAGTCAGAAAATTTTTCTACAGCAAATCTACCATTTCTCTTCTTCACTCGCTGGCCCGAAGACTTCTGGACCAGTTGCGAGTATGGACGAATCAACTTCTCAGTAGGAACAGACAATGCTCAAAACGATGCGTTCGGGAAGAAACCAGTGCACAGTTGCATGATTACTGGACAGTTTTATGGGTCATGTTGTGTTTGGAAGGAGGCCAATATCACTGCATGACTACCGGGCAGCTTGATGAATCATATATTATGAGCGCAGCTTTTGGTCTAGTCGGTTCCAATACCAGTTTTCGTCTTCGTAGGATATAAATAATACTTGCCAAAAAGAAAAGAGACAAACTTTTACCAGAAGTCATCGCTCGCATGAACCAAATCGAGTTAAGATATAGTCAAGCTGATGACATGGATTCGTAGAATAGACAAGAGACTGCATTTTGTTGATGTCCCAGAAGAAAGCATGAAGGTCCATGTTTGTGATCGCCGGTAGGATAGAACGAAAAAGAGGTCAAAAAGAATCAAGAAGTATCAAGAGAATAAAGCAAATTTTATTCACGCATGTAAAAGTTAGTAGCAATTGAATAAATCCATATTTCGCTCCACCGAAACGCCTGTTTACACTCCATAATCGAACCCTACCTACCCTTTCCATATTCTTCCTCTTCTCGTCTGCGCTGGTCTGCAACTGATCGTCCATATCCTCCACGGCCTGGATCATATTCCTCCCGGTATTCGTCTCGCACTTGACCGCCGGATTTTCCACGCCTATTCACATAGTTAGCTTACACCAATCTCCTTGCGCTGATCTACGTGCGCAAATGTGGGTGAAGACGTGCCCGTATTGACGACCCTCTTGAAATCCAGGATCAAGATCCGTACGGATGATTCGCTCATCAAGCTTCGTTCCGCCAATGTACTTTAAACAATCCAGGGCATCTTGGTGGGTGTAGTATTCAACGAAACAGAAACCGCATGGAGTCTTTTGAAAACGATCCAATCCCATGACTAGACGTTTAATCTCGCCACATCTATGATATTCATTGTCAGTCCCATTCTTGTTGAGTCGTCGAGGGTGTGATAACGTACTTGGCGAATAGCTCGTGGATCTGTTCCTCGGTTGTATAGAAAGAACTGGTGAAGCAGATTAGCTTGATCCTTGTCGTCGAATAGCGTCAAGACCTGTAGGTACATACAGATTACCGACATAAAGAGTAGTAGCATTCCTCAGGTTATCAGTAGGGTCCTCGTGCTTCTCGTCGTCTCGATCGTTATACCTGCGGCGCTTGTTCTGCGACGGACACATTAGAGCTAAGAACTCGGTAGACATGGTGGGCGAAATTTACCTTGCTCTGGTAATAGGCACTAGGCCTATCCAGACGCTCAACTGTATTATAATGTCTCGACATGTTGACTTCTAGCTCACTTCTAGCTCGAGAGTGATGCAAAGAGGAGAGAACAATCTGACTTCTCTGGTCCAAAGCTGTTTAGCTCGGGCTCCACAATTTAATTTAGCGCGTGTTCCTGTCTTTTGTAGCAGCTCTTCTCCGCAAACCATCAACCTCAATTTCTACTTCTCTCATCCGACTGAATGAGCAATGCATTTGCACCATCGATCCATACGTGAGATTTTGATTCTGGTTTAAGCTATTCTTGAATCTTTGACCACCGCGACCATGCCCAAAGCTGCTAGCCATACGCCTCCTTGGCTCTGTCGGCCATCCCCAGCTGCTTCGTTCTTTACACGAGACCCTTCAAAAAAGCATGACAGCCGGATACAAAATGAAAATGGAGAGTATATTGGTCCCCAAAGGACTTTGGCCCATCGTGATACTGAGGTGTTTGCGGTAGTGGACAATCAGATCAGGTGGGCAGATTTGGCTACCTTGAAGGCGGAATGGAGCCCAAAGCCAAAATCTTCGCCCAAAAAAGGAAAAGCTTCTACAAAAAAGGGTATAGAAGAGGATGAAAAGACTGCTTCCTACAGAGTATGTCTTTGATCTCAGTGGTTATGACTAGATACTGACTGTGGTAGATCTTGACAGTTCCCGTTTATGGTCAAATCAAACAACTGGTGATCTCACCCAATGGCGCTTTTATGGCAATCGTCACCGCGCATACTGTACATATTGCCATATTACCCGATCGCTCACACCTTTCCAGCACTGAAAGAACACCCCTTCGCCTCAAAACATACCAACTAGGTCCGACCACGCACGTTATTCCCGAGTCTCCGGTTGTCTCAGCATTATGGCATCCTCTAGGGGTACACTCCAATGTGGAAGCGTGTATAGTGACCATCACAGCCGATGCTGCGGTTCGAGTGTGGGAGTTGGACCGCAACAATCACTGGTCTTTTGATCGACCATCCCTAGCGATTGATCTTAAGAAGCTGGTTGATGGAACGTCTTCGGATGAGGATTTCACTCCGCTAGGTTTTGGAAAGAATAAAGGGTTCTCTGCGGATTCATTTGATATGGAGGTGGCAACTGCATGTTTTGGTGGTACCGCCCAACCAGCAGAAGATGCTTGGGCGCCAATGACGCTATGGGTTGCCATGAGACCTGGGGATTTGTACGCGTTGTGTCCATTGCTTCCCTCGAAATGGCGGGCTCTACCCGCGACTATTCCGGCACTATCTGCTACTATCGTCCCGAAATTGGCGGTAATTGAGGAACAGTATTCAGGTATCGAAGGTGCGGACGATGACCTTATTGCTTGTCGACAGCAATACGAATGGCTGAAGGAGATTGACGATCAGAACTCTGCCAATATCTCAGATGTGGACGGGGCTGAAATTCTCAAGCGTCCTAGTAACCCAAGTGTGATTCCTCGTTTGCAAGGCCCATTTCAATTCGACGCCGACGAGCAGTTTAACGATCTTGAAATAACCGATTTCATCATCATTCCTCCTCGACTGGATACAGCAGCCTTGATGACGGGCGAGGACGACGAGGGTATTCTTGAAGAAAATGCGGAGGAGGGTTTACCCTATACGACTGTTTGTTTGTCGACTTCCAGTGGACGTGTTCACATCTGTCTCGAACTTGACGGAGTTGAAGGCCAGTGGCTCCCCAAAGCTAAAGCGAATACATTCACAACTCCACTCTCGGAGCCGGCAGACCTGCTTCTTGTTGAGTCCTTGGATACCGTGCGAGAGAACTTGCGTGAAGCTAATTGTTGGCCAACATTTACTCTGGATACCGATTCTCGATACTCCTTTTACCTCACTACCTCCAATAACGTGTCTTTTATCTCACTGTCTTCATGGGCTCAGAGACTGGAGGCCGAAATACAATCTGAGGATACAGCAGGGTCTCAGTTCCGGCTTAACGTTCTTTGTGATGGGAATATTGCCGCTCGTGAAGTACTCATCCAGCTGAACGAGAATGACCCCTCGTTATCTGAAGAACCAAAGCATCTCACCAATGCCTTACTCCTCTCTGACTACGATCTCGGCCAACTGCTTTTGACCTATAGAGGCTCGACTCCGCAAGCTGTAGAATTGGACGAGCAACAGAATCCGGTCTTAGCCTCATTCTCTGAGTCATTGTGTGGAGATTTTGACAGATTAGCTACCCAAAATCTCCAGCCACTTCAGCCACTTCACAAGCCGCGCCGGTCGCCGTACCAGGTACCCGCGATATTTTACGCAAATGAGCCTTTGAAGTCGTTCGTCGATGAACACGTCCCACACAGGCACAGGAGCACATTACACGAACCCATCAGGCTCTCCCCATCTACACTTGACATGATCGCCGCAGCTCACCGCGTTCTTGCAGCACATACTGGTTCACTCGAGAAAGCAGCAGCAGACCTATTTCGTCGTTGCGAGCGTCTCCGAGGCGAAATGCGAGATCAGCTTGAAAGTATCGCTATAGTCGCTGATCGCATTAAGAATGTTTCTAGTCATATCGGCGAAGACGGGCAACGACAAGAAGGATCCCGAAGTGAGGATGTGCTCAATGATAGACTTGATGCAGCAAAACAGCGTCAAAAGCAACTTGCGCAGCGATACTCAGATATACGGTCGAAAATGTCGAAATTGGGCGGTCGACCACTGAGTGAGAAGGAGAAAAGCTGGATAGGAGAAGTTGACTTATTATCGACTGCTATCGAGAAGAAAGTTACAGATGAAGAACAAACAATGAGAACACGTTTGGAAACGGTAAGCTATGGTCTCTCGACTACTGATTAACAGGACTGATTATTATTAATGGTGCGTTTCAGGCCAAATCTCTAGCTGAAGAGCTACTTGCAGAAGTCAAAGAAATAGCAAAAGCGCAACCACCATCCACCTCCGAGGATCACGCGATTACCATCAGTCCCTCTTCTCAGCCTAAGATTCCGCAGAAACTTCAACGGGCAAAAGTAGTGGATGCCATGAAAATGGTAGAAAGAGAGTATGTTTTCTCCCTTTTTCTCTTTGTTTTGTCAAGACAATCATGGCTAAAACACATAATAGATCTGCGGTTATCGACGCTATCACCGAGAGACTCGAGCGGTTGAATACAAGTTTCTCATAGGCTCCTACCACTACTTTGTACTATTGACTGATAGTTTGCTTAGAGATAATTCTTTGACAGTCAAATAGCGTCAAATTTCATTCAGACTCGTCTCTCATTTTCTAGGATAGGGCAATACGACTCCCAATCCCTGTCCAACAGTCTCGTCTTTGGCAAGATATTAATACATAAGAGTACGATGACTGTTATATGAAGTCCAAAAAAGAACACCTTAGCATGCCGAGGTGTATTTGATTATTTTCCCTCCTTTTCCTTCCTTTTCCTTCCTTAACCCTCCGTCATCTTTATCGTAGATAGGAAGTAATTCCCGGTATCAGACCGAAAGAATCTCGTTTCGGGGCGAAGAATAAACCGTCCTTTCTCTCCCATCCTAATTTAAAATAAAGAGTGCGAGGTCTTATTGGATTCTTCAAACACCAGAAGAAAGAAGAGAAAAAACCCGGGTCAGTTCTGCTGCTGGGGTGGGTATAGATGATACCAATCCTCAGGACGGTCAACATACCGCTCAATCAGATGAACCCCCGACTGCGTCTCAACAATGGAGCTGATTTCTCCCGGTTGAAGGGCAAAAGCGGCGTCTTCGAATTCCTTTTGCATTTCTCCTCGGCCGAAGAATCCCCTATACCAGTAAAAAAAGAAGAAAGTGGTGAGAAAAGCAGAAGAAGAAGAAGAAGAAGAAGAAAAGAGAACGGACGGATGGATGGTTAGCTCTATACGTAGGAGTTTTGTGACTCACACTCATCGAGGGAAGAGGTGGAAGGGGAAAGAGAGTAAAAGGGGGGTATACGTACAAATCACCCTTCTTTCGTGCAGAGCTGCAGTCTGACTCAGAGACTGCCAAATCAGCTAAGCGTATTTCACCGGATTTGATTCTCTGTTCGTGGCCACGGAGGATTTCGATGGCTTCTTCCTTGGTTCGAGTAATGTTGCTCTCGCGCCAGCTGCTGGGTCGCCGACTATCGCGATGTTTGACGAGTAAGTGAGCGCAACGGATCTTGCCTTCTGCCGGTAGACCTGCAACGCCCTGGGGGCCGCTGTGATGTGTTGCCATGTAGACCTTTAGTTTCTCCGGGTCGGTGCCGGAGGGTGGCTCCCAGCGAGACTCTTTGGTGGAGGCATTGAAGTAGTATGGCAGGTTCTTGGAGTTAGAGTGACGAACTTCCCAGCCTTCTGGAAGACCTGTTTCAGACTGTTGTAGAAGCAAGTCTGTTAGATAGAAGTACTCGATTGTGTCTTTGGTGGTGATGATATAGACAAAACATACCATGATTACAGCCCAAACTGGAGAGATTAGAGTAACAAGAAGAAAGAAATATTGGTGGTATTGTTAATAAAACTTCTTATGATATACTAGATGATATGAAAGAATCGAAGGATTAATGCTGATGTTTCTTGACAAGGAGCTTTCGGTATTTGTTTTTGTATGGGAAGACGCGGGGAACAGAGGGCGGGGGCACTAGCACCCAACAGGACTAGCGTGATCTGCCGTCCAGTGTGTCACGCCTTATTTCTGTCCGCCACTATTATTTTTAACCACGACTACAACCCACACGCTTTCATCTTTCTTTTCTGACATAGCCATCGTTGGAGTTGTGTTTGTCAGTTGGCAACGGTCAGTTGGCAACTTGGCAACCTGCATCTCTCCATTTTTGACGCGTTAGTTTTCTCGAAACCCAGCCGAATCACGATCGTCACCTCGACCAACATGTCCGCTAGTCCTGTATCCTCGTCTGGGGGCGACAACAAGCCCAACAGCGATCAAATTCACTTCAAGTTCTGCCGCGAATGGTAAGTCTCTAACATCTCGATTCAATAGCCTCTACTAACTTCTTGTCATATAGTTCCAACCTGCTATATCCCAAAGAAGACCGAGTGCAAAACCGTCTCATGTTCACCTGCCGTACCTGCCACGTCTCGGAGCCCGCTACCTCACCATGCGTTTACCAAAACAACCTAAATACCCAAGTCGGCGAAACCGCCGGTGTGACCCAGGATGTGGGATCTGATCCTACGGTTGGTGACCCAGAATTCTGCCTTCACTGTGGCGAAGAGCTTGCCTGCTCGCAATGCGGCATCCTCTCGTCTGGTGCACTTTCAGACGATCATTATTCAGACTATGATGAGTCCGGAGAAGACCCGGATGATAACTATTTCTCAATGCCCTGATTTGCGCTTTTCAAGTTGTTATTTGTGGAAAACACTTGATGGCTAACATGCATTGTGCCTTTTTTGGCTTTTCGCTTCTTAGCTGCCGCGATCGAACAAATTGTGTCCGAGCTGCGGAGAAAACGAAGCGGTCTTTTTCCAAAGTCAGCAGCGTTCTGCCGAAACTGGAATGGTAAATACTTTTTTCTCTCCTGGATTTACTATCAGAGGGACTAAGTTCGTGTTACAGAAACTTTACTACGTGTGCTGCACCTGCGGTAACGTCTTTACGTGATTACGAACTCTTTTTATATTTCGGACCGTCGGCCTTCGATACCCTGTTTGATTCATAATTTATTCGCTTTCAACCATGCTCGGAGTTTGGTGCTATCTTGATTTCAAGTGTTTCGAGGAATGATGTTAGATTAGAGCTACGGAACATGGATGAAAGAGTTATGAACTGCTGCTCTAAAGCATTTCTTATTGTACATTAATATATCTTACAAATGCATCGGTGCCAGCGACAAGATTTTTGACCACTGCTTTCCTCGTAGTTCAGCCCCGACAATACCTATTAAAACCATGTTAGCTCTAGAATACCTCCACATAGGAAACGGCTACTAACCATTCAATCGAGTACCGATAGGATCACCAGATTTATTGACCAAAACACACGCATTATCGTCGAATTTGATAAGACTTCCATCCGGTCGTTGGATTTCCTTGCGCGCTCGGACGACTACTGCATGTCGAATATCTCCTCGACGGACTTTGTTGGCGATGCCGCTGTTTGTGGAGTTTTCGGGACCGAAGTTTCGTTGTTTCTGGACGACGACGACGATGCGGTCACCTGAATATCGAGAAAAGGTTAGATTTGCAAAATTTGTAGATAATGTTGCAGATACGCACCAATAGTCGCAGGACTCTTCTTCTTCAAAACATTGACGCATTCGACAACGGCGGCTCCTGAGTTGTCGATGCAATTAAGCATCGTCTGAGAACAGCGTTAGTACTCTGCACCCTTCCATCAACTGATATCAGTAGAGTTGAAATATACCTTGAGTTGGATCATCGTGTCTGCATAATGGGGCGGCCTTCACAAGTAGTCGCAATCTCTAGATGTTTGATCTTGAAGGTTTTCAAGATGGAACGATCCAATCGGGGACTGGCGCGGTTTGTCGGAAAAATGAATTTTGCCGACATCCGATCCCGGAACGAGACATTCATTGAAGCAGCCCATTTCAAGCATCCCTTAATACAACAATTGAGCAATTGTTTATATATAATCGAGCTACTATTGAGTCACTTTACTCGCCTATTCCTGGAACTCATTGTTCCCTCGGATTCTCCGACTCATATCAACTCGTTTGGCTCTTAGCCCTTGTGCAACTCCTTCCTACAACAACAACAACAACAACAACAATGGCAGTATGCGATGACTGCCAATTCTTCATGATTTGACCTGTTTCTCGTTGAGAAATTGAAAACTATCTTTGTATATTATTCTATCGACAGCTACAGAGTGTTTTGGGACGTTGCGACACTGTGACAAACAGGCTATTGACACCTCCCAGCCACTCGTATCCAGCGCAACGGCTCGTTTGTAGCGCCGTCGTTCTGTCCCCTCATGACCCCAAGCGCCTACAGCATGCTGCATGTCTTTCCTTGATTTCTCAGCAGGTTTATTCCTTACTCTCATTTCCTTTCTGTATCTCTTACTTTGATCTCAATATTCTTTTGGAGCCACCTTCACAACCTCTTGATCAACTTGCATACTGGCACCTTGACCATTGGCAGCAGAATGCCGTCAAAAGCCAGGTCAAGCCCTGCGGCTGACCAGAAAGACAAACTCACCTTGGCTAAATTGGCAAACTACGACGACGTAGCCACCGATGCCCTCATTGATCGTGTAAGTGGAATATCAAATGAAGCGCAATTGATTCCAACTGACAAAGTAAATAGGCCTTCTATTGGACTACGATTCGAAAGAATCGCACCAAATTCGCTCCAGGAAGAGGCATCCTTGAAGATGTCGTCACCAAAGTCCTACTTCACAAGGTGATTGTTGAGAAGAATGCACGAGCAGCTGAGGAGGAACTTCTGGCTATGAAGGGCTTGAAGAACTATCTTAGCCACCTGCCAAATGACCGAGAGCGAGAATGGTTCAAACGTCATTTTCGGAAATACATTCAGATCTATCTTCCTGACTGTCCCTTTGAGATATCGACTACAAATCGATATACCATCATCGAGCACGAGGCAGCCGTGGTAGCTCGCAGAAATATCAAGAAAGGCGAGGAAATCAAATATCTTTGTGGAACACTTGTTTCAATGACACGACAGGAAGAGCTTGACCTGGGATTCAATCGCAAAGACTTCAGCATCGTCATGTCCAGTAGAAGGAAGAGTCCCTCGCTTTTTCTGGGACCAGCTCGTTTCGCAAATCATGATTGCAATGCCAATGGGAGACTATCGACCAGGGGTTCTGATGGGATGCAGATTATTGCTGCTCGTGATATCGAATTAGGGGAAGAAATTACTGTTTCTTATGGTGATGATTACTTTGGTATTGACAATTGCGAATGTTTGTGTGAGACTTGTGAACGTGCGATTCGCAATGGGTGGTCGCCGTCCGTATCTGCACCAGCAAGTCAAGCCCCAACGCCTACTCGAGACGACTCAAACCGTTCTCCCCAGCCAAAGAAACGACGTCTTGACACTAAAATACCGAATGACGCTTCTTCGGCGGCTGAGATTATTCTAAGCGAGACAGAGCAAGTGGGAAAGAGGAAACTCGATGATGAGAGCGACCAAGAAGTGTCTGGCCTAACCACTCCACATAAGAGGGCCAAATTCGAGCACCGGCAGTCAAAGCTTCGAGAAGAACTTGTACTACCTGAAATCGCCGAGTCGATCGAAAAGTCACCCCTTCCAGTCAATGTTCAAGAGTGTTCCCAACCAACCACAGCAGAAGTCCCCTCGAAAGACCAAAATGCTCCTTCAGATGTTGAACAAAATACCACCAGTGCGTCTGATAATGATTCACCATCCAGTTCTTCCGATGAAAGTAATCCGTCGGTATCAACGCCAGCCACGTCGGTTTCTGGTAATACGCCCGTTATAAAGATAGAGTCGATCGAAACAAACACAGACGCAGCGGTACCCTCTTTTATGCCACAGCTTCCAGAAAAAGAAACTACCACCATCGCAGACGCTTCGATTATCGCATCGTCTCAACTTACTCAAGAAAGAGGATCCAGAAGCAGAACTGGCACACCACGTTCCAAGCGCGCTCTACCGTCAGTCGAACAGGAAGATACCATAGTCACTGTACGAATCCCAGGTGATTACACAAGGACTAACCTACTGCTTGCTCAGCGCTATGATCGATGGGTAGATTGTCAGACATGCTCTTCATGGTTTGTGCAGGGAAACGCATACCAAACACGCAAGGAATGTCCTCGTTGCGAACGACACTCTAAGCTTTATGGTTATCGTTGGCCCAAGACCGACCCAGAGGGATCCAATGACGAAGATCCACGAATCATGGATCATCGTACCGTCCACAGGTTCCTGTCCGCCGAAGAAGAGGCAAAAGTTGATCGTAAGAATCGTTCTGGTCCGATGAATATGTTGACGCCAACCCCTGAGATTAATTTCTCCGATACTCGAAGTGTGACTGAATTTAGTGACTACGAAGGACGGCGGTTGACGCGATCCAGTCGGCATCGTACCAGGTCTCTACGATTGACTCAGTAATGAACTGGAGAGCTTAATAATGTACATCTTTTTTCTTTTCTTCTTTTTTTTGTCTTTGGCATCTCTGGAGTGACTTGGATGATATCTTTGGTAAGATATCCGATCTGTTCTTTAAGTTTGTACCAGGTTGGTTGGAAGGCGTTGCATATTTCTCTACTTCATGTTTACCTTGCAATATTACTTGACATTGTTTTATTCTCGTGCATTATCAAAGGTTTTATCTCTTTATCCATAATACTCATGTATGCTACGTCTAAATTGTTGCAAAGCAACAATAACAAGCTAGATAGGTTCTAATTGGCATCTTTTTCTCTCAACCAAACATGCTTCAATGTCATATCTTGCCTCGTCCCGTTCTTGAGAGTAATTCTTGACTCGTGATAATAGACAGAATTCAACCGTCGTTACAGATCGTCTTCAACGCTCCCTTTGCGGTAGAGTTGGCATCAACCCTAACAGCATCCGTATAACCCTAACAGCATCCGTATGGCCCAAAAGCTCCAACATGATCCCTGGCATGAAGAAAAGAAAATAGAACAACGCCCGATTAACAAGTTACTCTTTTAATTTACTTATGTAACAAATGATACAATTCAGCCAGGCGCATTTCAATAAACAATGAATTCCGACCTCGTCGGTGCAATTTTGGGATACCGGTACGCCCCGGGCGTCCTCACATGATTTTTCTTATAAATACCCCCTGTCTTCCCCTTTCCCTCTCTCTTCTTTCTTAATTTTTTTCTTTTCAATCTAATTCTTAGCATACACCTTCTCTCACTATTTTGCTCCTTATATTTTTATTAGATTACGTCTCCCTCCACGGCTCTACACTCTACATGAACAGTATGCATGCAGGCCTTTTCATTTGATTGCTTCCAATATTTGATAAGTCCAGCTTTGTCTAATGGACGAAGGATCGAGCTGAGAATGGAGTCGTCGATCTCTGGAGTGGCTAAATCTCGCACAGATTGGCTAGACACCCGAGCACCGACGAGATGTCCGTTTTCCTGGCCCAGATGTCGCAAGCGTGGTATAGGGATACCAGCGGCGAAAGGAGCGCCGTGAACTCGCATACCGATACTACAAGAAAGCCGCAGCGTTACATGAGAACACGCTTCGAGTCTTCATCGATCCCAACAGCTCCGAGTCCTCCCCGGCAATAGATGAAGGAACGAGCTCCCCCGGTTCTGAATACGGTGGCCCACCTAGCCCCGAAGGCGAAAGACCAGAGGATGCCGGCAAGTGTGTCCGGCAGCACTTGCATTTACTCAAGCTGGCGGTTGAGCGTCTTGGTAATTGGCCCAAGGACTATGGGGAATATGAAAGGCTGAATTTAGCTCTGCCCCATGCGTTTAGTAATGATCTCAAGGGTGTTGAAGGGATGGATAGTGGAATTTGAAGAACTTTGGTTTTCGTCGAGCGGGGGCCAGTGATGATTTGATTTCAAGAGTCACATCCAGCATTTGGTCTGAATGAGCAGCTTATGATTACTGTTTGAAGTTGATCAGCCCTAAAGGTTGATTGAAAGCCATGTCTTTCCTGGTCTTTTGCCCTGAAGTCTTCTCCGATATTTTGAGTAACATCTTGGCAAAACCGTCTCTACCCTGTTAAACAAACCAAATATCCAAGTAATATAAATATGATTATATATCACACCAAGAAATGGTCTAACTGGACAGAATCAGGAGCCTCAATCGGGCGCATACCTGGAGAAGTCTTTCGACAAGCTAGGTAACTTATGGCATAAAGACGCTGATTACTTAAGTGTCCGACCCGGACCAACAGTCAACCCGATCGCTGCGTATATAAAAAGCCTAACCCCTCTTTTTTGATCTTCATCCAAATCTCACTTTACCTAGGTAAACATTGAGCTGTTGTTCCTTCTTCAACTCTCTGAAGTTGTAACTCTTACTATCACATCAAAATGGCTTCAGGAGTTTTCGGACCACTATCCCTGAAAATTATCAAAGCCTTCTCCTTATTCTCCATGATTACCGGATCAATGGATGTCCTTTCCGGTGTCAGCTTGATAGCCTCAATGTCCGGAAGCTCCCTTACGGGCACACCGACATCGTTGGCACTGGCTGATAGTCAGCTACGATTCTTGGGAGCAATGTGGGCTGGTTATGGTGCAATGCTCTGGTGGGCTAGCAATGACCCACAAACGAGACGGTTTCCACTGGCCATGCTTGGTGGAATATTGTTTGTTTCAGGGATTGGGCGTGTGATATCTGGCTTGAGTCGTGGTTTCAATGCTACTTGGGTGAAAGTTGCTACGGTAGTTGAACTTGTTGGTCCGATTGTGGTGTATCTCCTTTAATCTGGCGGTCAAATATTGGGAGATACTTTCAGTGTTGGGTTCCAACGTTAGGGATTGTCGAGTGAACCTTGGAATCTGGAATGTATTGATTCTTTAATCGGGTGGCCGCTACCTAGGTAGTACTTGGATATACGTATCTTGCACCCCCAGAGCCGTCCTGGACATTCGTGGATAAAGACTTCCAAGGTTCTTGATCACGAGGGCCCAGTGTATTATTATTTGTGATTCTATATATCAATTGTTATCTCTACTTAACCAATAACGTACCTAAACAATCTTTAAATGTATGGATATCCAATAAATACCTAGGTAGACGAGGTAACCAATATTGTACATGAAGCTTCATCATCTATAAACCGTCCGACGCCTCCCATGATGCTGGATGCTGGTATATATATTACAAAAAATGTATACAAGGGGAGAATAGATCGAGTCTAAATCAAGGCCTGACCGCGGAACATTGCCTCACGGACTTCCCTCACAACGTCTTTGCGGTCTTTCTTACCAACAAGAACAATACCCCGACCACGTTTTCCCATTCGTCCAACACGGCCCAGCCGGTGGATGAAATCGATTGTTGTATGAGGTACATGATACAGAATCACAGTTCGGACGGGCAAAGTATCAATACCGCGGGAACCCAAGTCAGTCGTGACCATGACCTTGGTATTTGGTAAGCGTTTGGTTACTCCAAACTCTTGTTGCTCTTCTGGTAGAATAAAGGGGAGTGAAGATTTTTGTATACGACGCATCTTTTGCATTTCCATAATCTCCTCTGTGGTTGGTGGACGTCTGGGTGATGTGAATTCTTCGACGAGCTCCTGTGAGCGTTTCGAGGAGTCTCGCGAGAATGGGATGGCGTCGATACCTTTGTTTTGTAGGAATTGGGCAACTTCTTCGGCTTCTTCGCGCTCGTTGACAAATACAATGATCTTCCGGACTTCCTTTTCCATGAACGGGTTGTACTCTCCCATTGATTCCGTTTCGCCGGACTTGGCGATAGACCATATGATATCAGCGCAGGCAAGGCTACGGTTGCCGTGAAACGGCTCTTTTTCAATATCTACAACACCGAGCTGGACTCGTCGTGGAATAGCGTGAAGGTTCGGCGTGGCGAGACGACGAACGTCAGGATACCTCTTGCGCAAGAAAGTGTCAAGACTGCGGGGTATGGTGGCGGAACACAATATCAACTGTTTCAGCGATCCAGCAGCCTTATCGATGATACCCGTTGTTATCGACCCAAAAGACCGGTCCAAAAGAGAGTCAGCTTCGTCGACAACGATGTGTTGAACCCGACTCAGAACATATGGATCAGTCTTGGCAATCGATGCCAGCAGATGCGGTGTCGAAACGAGTATGTCGATACCAGCGGGGTTGAAAACCACATTCCGGATCTTGCGTGGTGTATCGGAGGAGGAAATATGTCCAGAACGGAATTTGACGGTATGAGAGAAGGCTTTGACCTTTGCACCCACCTGCGAAACCAACTCTGATGTTGGTAGAAGGATAATCGCCCTCGGTCGCCCCGCGGAGGTAGTAAGATTTTCTGACAATTCAGGAGGCTCGAGTTCTAAGGCGCGCTCCTTGGCTCTCTTCTCGCTCTCTTTAGCCTTTTCAGCTAACTGCTTCTCCTCTTCTATCTTTTCTGCCATTTCGGTTCGCTTAATGTTATCAATTAAAGGTACCAAATAAGCCAGAGTCTTGCCAGACCCTGTTTCTGCCGCTAATAGGAACTGTTCGTAATTGTATTCAATTTCGGATGTTTTCTTCTTCTTGGTCGTCTTTTTGCTGTCTTCATTGAGTAATAACGCAGGAATGGCGACGCTCTGAATGGGGGTGGGCGAGACATCGACGAGGTCGGGTAAGGCTTGCGTGAGGATCGAGTCTTGTACAACAGGAAGAAGCTTGAATTGATCGAAATTCATAATGCTGGCGATTTTTTCTTTGATCACATTTCGCAAACCGTAGCTCAGCGGAGATAGCGTAGTTTGCATCTTCAAAGCTTTGTATAAAGGCGATTCCTCCTTTTTCCTTATCCCTTCCTCTTCCCCTTCTCGGCCTCGCGACGACCGTTTGATGGCTGCTTGCGACCTTGCCTTTGCTTCGCCGCGGAGCCGGGGAGTGGTTTGGTTGAGATTTGACCATGGACCCTTTTCACTGCGAGCCCGGTCTTTCTTCTTAAGACTGTCTTTGGCTACATTCGGGGACAGGGCCATTCTCGTAGGTTTGCTGCGTAATCGTGCAGAAGACGCCCATCGCGATGAGACGAGCCATGCTCTAGAGGATGCGCGAAGGACCGGTAGGGCTGGACGTAAGATGGTTCTTCCATTCCAGCTCATGGAACCGGCGGACATGATCACGTCCGACAGATGCGACTAGAATAAGTGTATTGTCGAGCTACTCGAGTGATGAAGTGTATTTTTCGTTAAATTTTGTCAACAATGATCGGGCCCCTTGTTCAATAATCGGACTGAATCTGATGCAGCAAGCAAGGTCTACAAGATAATCGATCGAAATAAAAGTTGCACGGAGGCAATCCGAAGCCGCACGCTAAGCCAGGCTGAGTCTAGCGGGCAACAGGGATGCGGAGAATAAATCGGCCAATAACATGTCGCAAAATCATATGATACGATGCGTTGCCCGGGGCAACTGCGGCCACTGCCCGAGTCAACAAGGCATCCCACTCGGGAAGGCGCTCCTGCCTTGTTGTGTGCCTCGCTCTTAGCTTTATTTATGAAACATCTCTCGCTCTTCACCTTCAAAAACCGTCTCTACTTCTCTCACGCTCTCTCTTACCGGACCTTTTCCTTCTAACCCTACTCAATTGCTTCTCACCACTTCTTTGAGCTTGGGTGTCCGACATATTCGGGCGTTTTCGAGTCAATTCAACCATAATCAAACGGATTTGCCCGGCGATATCCACGGCAAGTCAGTGGCCCACCCTAGGCCATAACATTCCAGACCGATAGTAATCCGCCTCACTTCACTTGTAGGAGTTTACCTTCTTGTTTATCTACGATCCTCGAAAGTGGAAGGCGACCACCACCACGTATAGCACGACATACGCTGGAACCGGTATACTGAACTGTGTCGAGGGATGGCTAGTAATACGCCGCGTCCATTGTCAGAGCTGAGCCCTATGGCTCAGCGACGAAATTCGCCAAGTTGGAACAAGACAAATAAGGTACGTTTTGAATGCATCAGGGTGAAGCTATCCCCGTCACTAATACCTTGCCAGTTTACACTGGGATCGTCTCCATTTGATTCATCACCTTTCAATAATTCAACTTCCAAGCGACTCTTCTGGCAAGATCGCGAATCATCCTTCGCTTCTCTGAATTCAGAAAACGCGAAGCCTTATGACCCAGAAGTGCCCTACTCTCCAACCAAGAGAGCGTCAATAGAGAATCTTAAGCGCGCTTCTCGCGTCAAGAACAGCAGTTTGATCGCTCGTGAACAGAACACGGAATATGACCCATCTCATATCTCTGTTCCCGAGCGCCCATTGGCGACAGGCCGTTCATTCCACAGCCGTAGCCAAAGCGATGTGCAGTCACCACGTCGACCTGCGGAGGGTCAAGAGTCTCCAAATCACCGACCACTTTCACCAAGCAAGGATCAACCATCTCCACCAAAGTCGAGTTTATCAAAGGCTACTCGATTTGGTCATAAGCTCTTCGACCCCGAGTCTGACATCTGGTCAGATATAGATGGTGGTCCTTCACGTTTCTCTGACAGAAACCCTAAGAGTGTCACCTTTGACGCCGCCCCACCTCAAGTCAATGAATATGAAATGACCACGCCTGATATTTCTTCGCTTGCGGAATCGCGCGAGGGAAGTTATGAATTTGATGAGGATGAAATTGATACCAGCTTTGATAGAGGTTCATCTCTCGATCGTGACGATAGTTTCGATGCTTCCCTGGAAGACATCGAGAAAACCCCAGTTGTTCTACCTGAGGACTGGCGATTCATGAGCCCTGATTCGGCCAATGATGACTTGGTGAGCGGCGATGAAGACCCCTTCACTGATGACCACGGGAGCCCAACTCCTGATGTTCATCCTGCGACGAATTATGATGCCTCTGGTCATTCTCGTATAGACTCGCTCGACTCTAACGGCGAAAAGCGTCCTCTTCCGCCTTTGCCTTCCGCCCGATCTCATGATCAGTCAGCTCGCACGAATAGTCCTGATAAATTGTCCGCAGTGTTTGAGCGAGTCACTAGTGGGCAGCGTGGGCTGCCTTCACCTCCTGGCCCAGCTTCCTATTCAAAAGATGATATAGTCGGATCTGGACGCCCATCGATGAATCTAGAAGACAGGCTACGACTTATGATGCTACAAGAGCGAGACGATAACGACCAACAACAAGAACTTGAACAACAGAAGGAACGTCGCATGAGGAGAGCTGGCGCACGCGAAAAGAGTGTTGAAAGCGAGTACGAGGATAGCCAACCATCCATGGCAAGCCAGGTTGACACTCCACCACGTATCTCTCGAGAGGATATTCTCCGAAACTTGAAGTCAAGAGAGGAGTTGACTTATGACGATGAAGACGATAATGATGATGAAGGCTATGAATATTCCTCGCAGATAAATTCCAGCCCACCTCAGCATATGGAATATGATCCAGATGTCCCCATACCTTCTCTCGAGGACCACCTGGACGATGGCGATGTCCAAATCAAAGACGAGCCTTTGAGCGACGATGATGGCGACGTCTATAATATTCCAGAGTACTTTGGACCTAATGCACACGGATTACCTCTTCCTTCAGACGAAGACAGACTTCGAGATGATGCAGATGACGAGAGCAACTACTCCCGCAACTCAGGAGCCACCATCAAACAAGAACGAGAGTTCTCGGCAGAGACAAGCGAGACCGACGCCACGACAGTCAACATTCAGGAAACGGAAGAAGTCAAGCAGACTGTTGAATACGGCGAAGCACGAAACACCGGAGCTGGGTCGTCAAATGGGTTTGAACACCTGGACTTTGGATTGGAAAAGATCCCTGAGCCACTGCAACGTCCAAGCACCCCAGAAATGCAGATGGCTGAAATGGCTGATGAACCATCCACTCCTGATTCGGTGATTAGACATCCAGTTGACGAAGAATCTGGGGACGAACAATCTGATTATGAATCGACTCCGGAGCCTGTACCGGACCTTGTTGCAACCATCAAAGCCCCTGGTACTGGCCTAAAAACTCGACCTTCACTGACACCCGCTGATATACAGTCAATGGCCGCTGTTCGCCGCAAAGTTAGCGTTCAGAGCACAACCATACCGGTTCCTGAAGCAGCCACTGAGGACACACAGGAAGACGCTAACGAGCAGGAACCATCCACCGATGAGCAGTCGATTGAAAACCCTCCATCTCTGGCAGTCCCGGAAGTAAGCCAGCGCCAGAGCAGCCTGGTGAAACTTGACATCCCATTTACTGGTACCGAAGAAAGCCTTGAATTTGGATTGGATAAGGAATTTGACCGAGTTATTGAGGCCCAAAAGGTTGCGTTTGAACTTGCTCTTTCTAAATTAGCTTCTACATCATCAACAACCCCCAACCCACAAGGAAACACAGACACGTACCCATCAGGACACATTGGAGAATTGGACTCTTTCCCAATTGGCATTTCTTTTGCTAACAAGTCTTCCTTTCGACAGAGAGGCTACCTCATGCGTCAAAATACCAAGGTCATCATTGCTACTAGCAGCACCAATGACGAACCTCAGACTGCCCCCAACGACACCGCCTCGAAGACTGCAGACGGTAAACCGACTAGCACCCCTCGCAAAGCTAGCCAACCCACATGGACGGCCGAACCTTGGAATGGTAAGACTCGGCGTCAGAGCGCGAAGGGTCTCGGTGTCATCAAAAGAAAAAACGTTCCAGGCGCAGTTCCACCTCTACCAGGCACGCAGAGCAACGTTCAGGATGTTCAACAAAGCATTGACGAAGCGGAGACTGAGCACCTGGATGATGATCAAGAACGAGGGAGACTGTTTGTCAAGGTTGTTGGTGTCCGAGATTTAGACATGCCCTTACCGAAGGGTAAGTTATGATCGCATTTGAAATATTGATACACACTGACTTTCGATCTTCGATCTTCTAGGTGAAAAACTCCAATTCTCGCTTACACTGGATAATGGCCTGCATTGTGTCACGACGTCATGGCTTGAGCTTGGAAGAAGCGCGCCAATTGGCCAGGAATTTGAGCTTATTGTTCACAAAGATCTGGAATTTCAACTGACATTACAAATGAAGACGGAAGGCACTCTCTTGAAGCAAACTCGGCAATCAGTCGTCTCCTCTATCTCTAGTCCTTCGAAGCAAAAGACTTCGGCTTTCAGCCGCGTTTTTGCGTCCCCGAAGAAGCGCAAAGAAATGGAGATGAAACAGCAATTGGAGCAACAAGAGAAGCAGCGACAGGAGGCGAAGGCCAACGCTGGTCCGTGGGAAAAACTTCGCTCCGTGGTTGATCGCGATGGTAGCTTTGCTCGCGCCTATGTTGCTCTGTCGGATCACGAGAAGTATGCTTTTGGTCGTCCTTATGTTGTTCGAGTTCCATGCTTCAATGAATGGGCTACTGAGGAGCCATCAAGTGTCAAGAGCAAGAAGAGCAGCACCCTCAACATTGTGCAAAAGCGACCTCCCTATAAGATCGGTAACCTTGAGCTTCAACTTCTATTTGTTCCCCTACCGAAAGGTGCCAAGGAAGAAGACATGCCGAAGAGTATGAATGCTTGCATTCGGGAGATGCGTGAAGCGGAAAATACTGCTTCTCGTACGTATGAAGGGTACCTATCCCAACAGGGAGGGGATTGTCCTGTGAGTTTCTTGAGAGGAGTTGTGCAAGACGCCCACACTAACAACATTTTTTAGTTCTGGAGACGACGATTCTTCCGGTTGAGAGGTTCTAAGTTGACTTCTTACCACGAAACGACTCGGCAAGCACGTGCTACAATCAACTTGGCCAAAGCTGTCAAGCTCATCGATGACAGATCGACTCTCACCCAGAAGGAGACCAGTACACGAGGAGGTGGACGACGCAAGTCAGGCTTTTCAGAAGAAGAAGAGGGGTACATGTTTGTGGAAGAGGGTTTCCGTATCCGATTCGGCAATGGCGAGGTGATTGACTTCTATGCTGATAGCCGTCCCGAGAAAGAGGGATGGTTGAATGTGCTCTCAGAGACGGTTGGCAAGGGCCATGGTGCTGGTAGTGGTCAAATCAAAGCTTGGACAGAGCTTGTCCTCAAGTATGAGCAGGCTCTGAATGCGAAACGCGAAGCACTTGACCGGTTGATGGGTCCTAATGGACAACAATCACAACCTTCTCAACCCTCGCAATCTTCCCAACCGAAGCAGCAGGCACCTCCACCAGCACGCCCTCGACACCAACACAATCTGTCCCAGCCTGAAGTGCGCTCTCCTGATAACCGACGCGAAAAGACCCGGTCTCTCATATTCTAATTAATGATCTCTCCTACGACAACCGCCATGCTTTAAAGACTTCTCTTCTTGTCTACATTTACATCTCCCTCACCGGATTTTCTCGAATTATTTGTCACTATACCAAGCTCTTTCCTTCTTCATGTTTCTTTATGACTTTCCGTTTCCATGGTTCTCGCTGTGATTTTTTGTCTTGGCACTTGTTGCTTGCACGTTCCATATTTCCTTCTCTCAAGTCTCTTCTTGATATACGACTCCTTGTCTTGGGATATTTCATTGTTCAAATCGGCTGATAAGTGTACGAGAAATGACGTGTCATGACACCGTTATTCAAGGATCAGAGCAGAGCTCAAATCAAGGACATATTGTTGCTTTTTCGTTTTGCTGTTTATTCTCGTCTTTGCTTCAGGTGTTTTCCTTTGGTTGTATGTTATATTCACTTTTGTGTAATGAGTAGTCTATGAAAATTCTTTTAATGCTGTTACAATAAATCGTGGGATATCCAGTAGCCCGTTATAGATAAATGGATAGCGATCTATATTGGTGTTCTTCAACCTCCCTCAGCACCAGAGGCATTTTCCTCAGGTTCAGACTCAATACCTGCTAGAGCTTCTTCCCCAGTCTTGACTTTCTCGGCAGTAGCAGACACATCCCCCTCTCGAGACGCCGCAATACCGCCTGAAGTCAAATACAGAAAAGTATTCGCTGGGTAATGATCAACATGGTTGAAAAAGATACCAAAACTGTATATTGAAGTCAGGCCATTGCTCTATACATGAAACCGAACAGAAAAGAAAGCGAAACTTACGCATTGGATTCCTCCTCTTCCCTGAAAATCCGATCATAAATCTCCCTCTGCTTAAACTCATTCATCTCCTTCTCATACTTCGCAAAATCAATCGTCTCCTTATTAAAATCCTTCGCGGCTCGATTATTATACGAGTCAAAGATTGGATGTTCCAACAAGAGACCCAAACCTGGCGCTTTGGGGATAGATAATCTCGTAGGACCGTAACTCTCCTCAATGATTTTGGGATCACATCCACAACGAACAATCAATGCAACCATGGCAACCATTTTACGGATCTGATGCATCATGAAACTCTGTCCGTGCACTTTGAGACTTACCCATTCCGTACCGTTGATGATGATGGGCTCCTTGTTTGCAACGAAGGATTTTATGACTCGTTTGGATGATGGGTCGCGGAAGTTCTTTTGGATGGTGTAGTTATGAAAATTGCGTGTTCCGACGTATTTGTCTAGTGCGTCTTGCACTCTTTGGAGGCGTGATTGAGGGATTCGGTAGGCTCGTTTGGCGTTTTGGTAGGCAGCTTTGATTTGTTTTATGCTGCTGTTGATGATTTCTTTTTGTTCGACTGTGAGTTTTGGTTTCGGGGGTTGTTGGGTTTGTGATTCTGTTGTTGAGTTTTCTTGTCTTTCAGTCGAGGATTGCTGTACACTGGCCTTTGGGGGTGCTGATTGCTGAGCTTCTTCGAGTTTGGGTATCACGTCAACTGGCTGATGTGGTTCCTTGTCAACTACTGTTGCCTTGTCGCTATCATCTTCAATATACAACGCTCTTTGAACAAGTCTTCGAATTTCTTCGGGTACCTTCTCCAAGATAGGTTTGATCTGACTTTCATCAATATTTTGCCAAAAGTCCAAGACACCTTCTTGTCGTTGAAGAAAACCTTCCATATCCTCGTTTTCCTCGGCAAATTGTACTATCTTCTTCCCCAGATGCGTGCTTGGGTGAGGCGGCAGGAAGCAATGAGTAGGAATTAGATACTCGTACATACGAGAGTCGCAAAGTTGGTAGCAGCTGAATCCCTTAGTGACGATTTCATACCCCCAAACACGAATCTGAGGGCTTAGATTATCATTAATCTTCTTGACAATGTCGGGATCTTCGACAATCAATTTTAGCGATACGACGTTTCCGGCTGCGTGAACGCCCCTGTCCGTACGAGCGCAGCGGACGAGCGATGACTTCTTGGGGTCGGCTGCATTTGCCTTTGAGATTGCTCCGGCAGCGACGAAGGCAGCGAAGAGATCACCTTCTATCGTCTTCTCGGTTGGACTCCTTTATCGAGTGTCAGCACCTGTTCTGCATTGCAAGACCACCATAATGAACATACAATTGCATGCCATGGTACCCTGTACCAGAGTACCCAATCATAACAGCTACTTTCTTCTTCGGCCGCCGTTCCTCAGCAGCAATATCCTCCGCAGAAAATTGAGTCGCATATATCGGCATCGGCACCTCACCATTTTCTATCTTCCTCTTCTTTAGTGCCTGTGCCTCATCGTCCCGGCCTTTGTTGTAGTTCTCGTCATTCTTCTTTGATGTTTGCCGACTACATTTAGTCAGAGAATAATTTCATAAGAATCAGATTAGAATGGACGAGGGCGCAGGACCTACAAATATTCGTTACGTCCCATATGGCGTTTCTGATTTCTTCCACCTCTTCCTGCCATGTTGAGAATTCAGTCGAAGGACGCGGAGCGGCTTCGGAAGAATTATATCGTGAGAATTGTCTGGAAGGTAAGAATGAAGTCGCGATACTGGCTCGAGTTTGGATATGCGACTGAAAAAATAGTGGTGACAATTGCGCAAATCCCCACCTTCGAATAGGGATGTTGTACATAAGGTCGTAAGTAATGAAAACGTATAATATTAAATTGACAAATGGCTAGCGTTCGTAATGCAGCTAGTTCTGCTATTAATTGTCAATATTCGCTTGAAAGCGAAAAGCTTCAAAATAATTTCGCGGGCAATGGCGGACTCTAAGTAGGGCATTTTGTGATTGGTTGGATAGATCTATAAAGCATCTCTGTGCTAGTCTAGAAGTGGTAGGCGGTATAGATTCTGCCATCGTTGCGTATCAAACTGAAGGCATCACTGACAATCTTTTGATTGTATTCTTCCTTCATCATCAACCTATCTGCGCAGCCTCTGCTCTTAGACTCATCACGGAGGCCACGCTCTTACTATTCTCTTTAGCCTTTATACTTCATCTAGCTTGTCGCTGGAAAATAGAAAGGGTCATGTCTCTATTACTTCTCGCATAGGTTTTTAACAGTCTGGTCCCGACTTTCACGTCGACGACACATCCCACCACCTTTCAACCGCCACCGGTTTCATCTCACACTCATTCTTGGGAATCGGCATCATCTTCCTGATTGAAGATTGCACCATGGATCTCGCAAGTGCCCTGGTCCGCAGCGTCGTTCGCGCCTTCTACGAAACCCGACAGATTCTAGTAGTTGATGCACTGTTTACTCACTCGGTGTATGATTCCTGATTTACTTTCTGCTATTAGGATGAGTTACTGATGTGTGATAATCCGTCGCTGACATTACTCTCAGACTTCATGCCGAGGATCTTGCGCATCTACTCGGCATGCAGCAGAAGGACTTGCGGAAGCTATGCGCCAGATTGCGGGAAGACCGTCTCATAGCAGTGTACAGTCTCACTTCGGATCATGCGCATTACTTCCTATCAATTTATTAACACATACATATAATCATATAGTCACACGCGAAGTGAGATTCGTGAGGGCTCTACCCGACCCGTGAACCGCGATTACTATTACATCCCATTACATCCCGTCATCGACGCAATCAAATATCGAGTCCTTCGTTTAACATCCAGTATCAAAGCCCAATACACCCCGAGCGAAGATCGAAAGGAATACATATGTCTACGATGCGGCGCAGAATGGACCGAACTCGATGTTCTAAGTCTGTACAGCGATGAAGGATTCGAATGCCAATCCTGCGGCGCCATTCTCGAGCGTACTGAAGATGTCAAGGGTACCGAAGGCCTCGATCGCACCGGACACGAGAAGAATAGTAAACTCATGGCTCAACTGGAAGCATTTACAAGTCTTTTGAAACAGATTGACGCCACTGAAATTCCAGTCAATGACTTTGAGACCGCATGGGATCACAAGGTTGAGGTTATTCGCAACCAACAAACACACCCATCCAAACCCGCCATAGCAGCCGCGGCAAAACAACCAGCAGCGGTTCGTGGCAATCAAAGAGTCGACGCAGCTGCAATTGAAGTATCATTACAATCATCAGCCGAGAAAACCGCCGCTGAACAAGCGGCCGACGCAGCGCGCAAAGCGGCCTTTGAGAAACAAAACGCCCTACCCGTCTGGCATACACATTCAACCGTTTCAACTACTGCAGGCAACATCAACAAAATCAAAGCAGAAACAGACGCAGAAATCAGAGCCGAAATCAAAGATGAAGCAGGCGCCGCTGACGAAACAAAACCAAGCACAGATGCGTTGGACGATATTGCAGCATACTACGCTGAAATCGCGAAGGCGAAAGCTGAAGAAGCCACTTCACCGGACGAAGATGACTCGGACGACGATGAAGACGAGGATGAGTTTGAAGATATATCCGTTGTGGGGACGCCGGCTACGACAACAGTTGCATCTGGAGGAGGCGGTGGTCCAACAAGCGCACCAGTGCCTGGACGATCATCTGCTGGGATTAAACGGGAACTCGAATCGGAGTCTGGTGGTAGTAGTGCGCCTCAAACTGCTACAGGGACACCCGGAACTCCAGCGGATGATGGACCCGTAAGCAAGAAGGTTAAAACGGAGGAAGATGTCATCAAGAAAGAGGAAGAATCTGATGAGGACGAAGAGGAATTTGAGGATGTTTCATAGAACGTCTTCTCAACCATTTGGTTGTTGTACAATATTCTATTCGGCGGGTTTCAGTCGCTTATGTTTTATTATATTACGAAAAGTTTTAGACGGGGAATTGTAGAGTGGATAGGAATACGACTCCATATCCCTTTCTTCAGGCTCTTTTTTTGCCTTAGCATGCATGCTATCAATATCATGTATCATATACTGAATTTCTCAAATACGTTCCTTGATAGGCAGGCTGCTTTGATCGTAGGCATCTGACCTAGATATATTTCTCCCGGCCACCCCAAAATCTAGGTAGAAAACAAGAAATCCTAACTGTCACATCCGGAAGTGAATAGAAAACGAGAACGCTGCACGTATCAATTGGAATGATTTATTAAGAACAGCCCAGAAATGTATGCCAAAAGGTAGAAAAAGAAAGGAAAAAAATTATCCTTCGCCTGGCCCAACCAAACCTTGTTTATGTCATTGATAACGTTAAGAGAGGAGAAAACGCCTTTGATGGATGCAAAAGAAAACAAAATTTAGTCGTGCCTAAGAGGGCGCCTGTCACTGCTCTGTTTCCCTTCATGTAGCAGTCATTTATTCGACGTGTTGCGCACGTGTAAAGTCATCGGTCGCGGTGGGTAAGAGTAGCGTGGGCTTTTTGAATCTAAGATCAGGTCGATCATGGCGTCGGCATTCCAAGCTCAGAGTCGCTTCCCATAATAGACTGATCTTCCCATTCTTCTGGTGAAGCAAAATCAGACGCTGAATATTATTCGGTCAGAACAGGAAAGAAAAAAGGGCAACAGTCACATATGAGAGTACAAGCCACATACCGGATGCTATTTCCTCAGGGACATCCACCGTTAGCTGCTCGATAGCACCGAGGACAGCTAAATAGAGATCAGTTAGTGACTCTGGGTTGGGGTGATGTAGGGACTTACCTTCGGCTTGCTGCATGACTTCCGCGTCATCGGCATCGTCTTCATCATAGTACTCACGCAGACAATGCGTGATCACGAGTCGTATATTATCCACTACCTTGTTCTCGACAGTATGGCCTTGATTGGCGAGGTACGTCTTCCTCAAAACCTCCACACATGCCTGTGCGAGTTCTCTAGCCACTTTGATATAGAAAGCCCGATATTCGTCGTCCACGTCATCCCGATCTTGATTAAACAGAGTCTCACGCAACATATCGAATGTAACGGTTTTGACTGATCTATCAAGGTAGATAAGAAGTGTCGGCACCCATTCGGGAATGCGCTCAACAACCTTCTCCGTGAACCAAGATTCGTCCTTTCCAATCCGTTCATTTCGGCAAGTGGTGACATTCGAGAAGAAGGTAATATGCTCTCTACCCCCGCTGTTATTGATAGATTCAACTCCTTTGGCGATGTAATCAATCATTTCAATCACTTGCTGTTCACTGGGGCTACGAGAACAAAATACCAACGCTGCCTCAAGGTAAGGCGCGCAGAGCTGTGCGGGAGAAGCCCGGAGGCCATCCTCAAGGACTTTGATTATTGGTTGTGTCAGATTAGCTTGAGGCTCTGCATCCAGTAGGATAGATATGATCGACCGAATTGCAGCTGGGTTGATTTGGTGCTGCAGAATCTTCTTCACAAAAACAAGTTCCCCATTATTTTCCCTTCCAAGCTCGAAGACAAAGGTGCTCTCAGTGATGGTTAGAGAGTACCGGCCATCACGTAAGGTTCGAGACTCATCGTCAGGCGTAGGTGGCAGTGTGAGGTCGATGAATTTCAACAGGTGCGCAAGTAGTTCCATCAGTTTTCTATGGGAGAACTTGCGACCACGTTCCAAGAGCCTGTAGTAGTTGGGATATTTTGACTTCAAGTTCTTTGAATCGTCTCTATCCAACCAAACCATTTCGAGACATTTGAGAAGAAATCCATTGTCAAGCAAGACATTGATTTGCGGGGATTGAAGAGTCGTGAGGATAACCAAGAATTCAAAGTAGTCATCCCAAGAACGACTCGCTGTGTACAGTATAGGCCAAAGATTGCTCAATCCTCCGACAATGCACTGCCAACAATCCGTGCACTTCGATTGCCATTTTGTCCGTTCCGATTCATCCAAAGTCTCGTCGCCTGAGAGTTCCTGAACCCTTACGAGGGACATGATGAATATTTTTACCGCAACGTTACGGACTGACTGCGTACCCTTGAGGATCAAATTGCGCAGCCCTGTGTCTCGTTCGCGGATCCACTCGACGATTCTCAATGCTCCCTTTGGTGTCTCCTGAAGGATCTTTTTCAACTCGTGAGACATGCGATCAAGTTCTGGCAATTCTCTAGGCCTCGAAATCAGTTGATCGAAGGTATCCATGGCCACATTGATGGTTGCTTTTTGTAGCCCCGCAGAAGCAGTAGTACCCAGTAGCACAAACTCCTTAGAAAATTGAAGAAGGCAGCGAACGAAATAGGCGTGGTATGGGTCCAAAAGGCAGTATGCGCGTATGAAAATCTCGTTTTCCATAGCGATATAATTCGCAAGGTCGAGTGGAAGGGGTACATGAACAGGTGTATCTTTCACGACGGGTTTGTAGAGCTCCTTTTCAGAATCCATGCTGGAGACACGCTGATAGAACAGCATATAAGCGTTCCAAACTTTTCCAAAGCGCGTAGGTCCCATGGATTGCCCGTGATAATCATTTGAACCTCCGAAGCATTGCTCAGCAATCTTGGACGGGTCAAAAGAAGTAACGTCGGCATCATTGAATTCAACCCATGACGTTTTAGTACCGGCAGCTGGACGCTCGCGAACATAGCTATAGTAATGGCCGGATTCAGCGGTACCACTGTGAACGAGGACACCAACTAGCTCGAACAAATCTTGTTCGAGTTGCATGTCTGAGTCGGAAAGGTATTCCACTTTGTACGGGGTCATATCAATGCGTTCCGGAAATTGAAATTCGTCATTGATCTTGCTTCGCATCATCGTGAGCATGTCGAAGTCGAATCGTTTCAGATGGAATATGAGGTTGTCAGGAATTTCTTTCAGGCATGCTCTAAAATTTCATGTCAGTTGTGTGATAGTACTTGATATGAAGGAGAAAGCGACTACCGTTTGACTGCATCGACATGACGGCCACAGGATGTGCACGAATATTTGTTGTCTTCCAAAAAGTCAGCAATCATATCTAAAACTTCTCGGAAGGCGGCATTCGATAACTAACCTCCCTGCATAATCTCGCCCTCAACATATGCCTGAAGACTCTCTTCCAGATTCGCTTTGCCCTTGATATCACATTGAATGGCGGAAAACGGCTCAAGCCGCTCGGAGATATGTTCGCATTCTTTGGACTTGATCTGCTGCACCAGTTGACCGCCATAGAAAGATCGGAACTTCTTCTTCTCTTCCGGATCAGTAATTTGGGCTTCCCAACGATCAAACAGCAAGTTGTAGAACTCATCGACGTCCATCTGAACATTGACGTCAATCGGCTCGTTGTCGTAGGTTCGTATAGAACACACTGCTCCGTCGGGGTCAACATATTTGCACCACGTCTCTTGCATATTTCCAAATATTTTCTTTGTCTCCGCAAGGAGCTTCTGTGATGACTGTGGATCATCTAAAGCGACTTGAAGCATGAAGTCACGAAATCCGACGTTCATAAAAAGTTGGGTGAAGAGCGAATTCAGGTAGCACGTGTTTGATAGGTTCTTCAATCCTGCATAACCCTCGGGGGATCTGATGGCCTTGAGTCTATCGATGGCCCAGGTTGTATTGTACGTAAAATCTGGACTCAACGTTAGTAAATCTCTACTGGAAGCAACGGCAACGAGCACTTACCACGTGGAATGAGATCAGACATCAGATCAATGACCTTACTAAAGTTCTCTTCCTGTTTACACAACAGGATCAAGATCTTGTACAGTTCTTCGCGTGTATCCTCGTTCATGACCGGAATGCGAGGTTGGATGGCTTCCGTATCCGAGGGCTCTGACAAGTCGGGAAAGAGGTAATTATTTACCAGGCTTTCAATGAGAACACTGATCATCCCAGTTAATATACCAAGAGCGTCGAAACGAAGGCAGAAATCACTTACGTTGCATTGATCGTCGTATCTCGTTTGCCAGCCACCTCCAGACACAATCGTAAAAGGCGTGCAAATCCTAATATGACATGATCCACAGGTTCACGTCCCACAAACTATATCATATCAGCTTTGACCTGGCACCAGCAAATCATACCATAACCTACCTCTTCGGTTTCGTGGCCAAGCATACTCTCGCTCCACTGAGAGACGTATTCGGAGAAATCAACATCTTGAGATGATCGTTCAGCGACAGATCGGAAAGTCCAAATAGCAGCAGAGAAGTATTCCTGCGACTGTTTTGAGAAAGGAACAGTTTTCTGCATATTCTTCACGAAGGAATCCCAAATTGTGGAGACTATGTCGAGGACCCTTAAATCGTCAGACTGGGTTGATCCATCTACATTTTCCGACTCTTCGTTTGCCGCTTTGTTCGGGGCGGTAGAGATATTGCAGGTGGATTTTATCTTTTCTGCAACCTGACGGCGGATTGATTGACGCTTCTCTTCTAAAAGCAGAGAAAAGATCAGTTTTTCAAACTGGGCATGCTGCTTTGTCATGTCCCAGAAATCTTGACGGAGTACGGAGGCATCAATGAGAACTGAAATCGAATGACATATGAGCCTTTGAATATCGAATTCGTTCAACCGGGACGATTCTGCCTTTTGTGCAGCTTTGATGAAGAACAGTAGCTGTCCCACTAAGGCCTCCGCATTAGGGAGAGCAGGGAGATCTGTTGTTCTCACTAGTCCATCTTTTAGCATGAGTAAGAGATTCTCGCCGCAATAATTACTCACCTGAAAGACATAAAAGAAGACATTCGAGAAGGTTAAGTGCAAACACCAGGTTCATGCAATCGTCCCTGATCACTGACATCTCAGGACGAGTCAAAGCGCCCACCAAAACCTGGGTGCTATTGACAATGAAAGTAGAAGGAGTTTCGGTCTAATACGAATTGATGAGCATCTTGTTAATAGGGATGGGAACGATTTCAATAACATACTTCAAGTAATTCTTCCCGTAAGCATCTTGATAGAGCTTTCACAGAGTATAGCAGCTTGTAGGGTTTTTCCATGGGGAATAGCGTATCTTCCGTATTGCTGTCTGTTCTCACCAATTCTTTAACCCGTTCTTGCGGTGGGAAGACAATTAGAAAATCGTAAATTTCGTGAGCATATCTGTCGTCAAGATCTAGAAGATCGTAAAGGTCATCAAAATGCTTCAGGATTTCAGAGTCAACGAGTGTGAGTGATTGGCGCCTGCCAGCAGTCGCGACTTCAGTACCATCTGGGGTTTTCCTGATGATGAGAAGGCCTTTGAAGTTGAGATCTTGCACTGTCATTTCTGGATTCTCCAAAAGATTGACTCGCTGACCTCCATAGATTACGCTGAACTTTTTGAAGCCCGTCACACGTGTCAAGCGATTGACCAAATCAGCAGCAGTGCAGAGGCTACCAATACGTAGTGTACAGACCCGGGACTGCTTGGATTCGTTGAAACTTTGATACGAGATCTCCACAGTCTCCCCTTGCCCAACACGTTCGGGTAGCTCTGGCGCTTGGCTTTGCGGAGGACTGTATTGCGGCCGACTGCGAAGCCCCTGGAGGAGCTGCTGCAAGAACAACAGAGATCGGCTCAATTTCAATCCTGCAGAGGCGATTTCTCGCTCACTAGCCGTCATGACCATAGCATCATCTTCAGAGTTGGTGCCGCCGTTACCATTTTGACCCTTCAAAGTCAAAGCGGCAGATTTTATTTGATCTACGCAGCGATCAACCAAGGAGATGTGTGTTGCTTCAGCAGCAGATGCTGGGGCCCTACGGATCAGGTTATGATCTAGATAAACCTCAATTGCAAAAGTCGTCGCTCTCTCCTCAATGGTGTCGGGAGGTGCGGTAAGAATGAAATGCCAAATCCGGTCCATGCCAGGTAGTGTGATGATTTCATTTTCAGAGGCGACCGGTGGGGGATTGAAGCGAATTTCATAATGAACTGCGTGCTCCGCAAATGAAATAATCTCCGGAGAATAATTTTCTGGTGATACGCTGGGTAAGTAATCATGAAGACATCGTTCAATGAATGAATTTGGTGTCACGCAAATCTTCGTCACACGACATAGCATATCCCACAAGGAGCTTCTCGCGGACTGTATGTTGCCTGCCATGAAGATCTTTGTCCAGAGAGTGTCACTAAGTTCTGGTGTGATGGTGTCTGGAACTTTATCGATGAGGCGTCCTAAAAGGTGGACACGGGACACGACAGCATTTTGTGAGAACCTGTCGGAGACTTCGAAGATGTTGCCCCAGAACTGTTCAAACTCCATGATTACCAGAGCAGTCAGCTCATAGTCTGTAGCCAAAGCTCTAATCTCTTGGGAGTCAAAAGTCGTGGGGATTAGGGAATTCAATGCTTGTATGCTTCCCGAGGCAAACTCGTTTCGCTCCCCAATGTCTTGAATGCACCGCTCATAGACATCGCGCTTATCAGACTCGCTCATACCCAGATTCAGTAGTTGTTGAAGCTGACCGCCTGCAAATCTTTGCAAATTGACCTTTTGTTCGTCGCTAATGTCGGGACACGAATTTGATTCTCGGATGAGGCGTACACATATGCGCAAGGGGGTCGAATCAAGATGCGAAGTTTCCAGAGGCTCAATGTGTTGGTTTTCCTCAAATTTGTCACGCATGTTCCGGAATAACAAATCACAGAACTCGATCATCCGTTGGTCAAAGCGACTCATGGGAAGTTCGAGCAATTTTGAACAGAGATAGAGCAATGCCCTAGATGTAGAAGGATGCATCACAATCGTGCGGCCCAACATTGTGATGATCTCACCGACGGTCCTTTGATCTTGACTATCTGTAACAGCTCTCCAAAGAATGTCTGTATCGGCATCGGTATAAGTGTTGGTCACTATGAAGAATCCCACAATGTTGCCGGCGCGGCTAATTATTTGAGGATGCGAGCCCACGCCGACAATGTATTCGATGATCCGTATATCACGTAGGAACTTTAGGAGATACTGCACAAGTGGAGAGTCAACACCGTCGGGGTTATTCTGGATCTTCTGTCGCCAAAGGCCAACTAGATCCAGTTGCATAGTTTCAGTGCCCCAAACTCGCAACTCCATCCGCCCGTCCATAATGTGCCTTTTTAGAGAGTTGAACTTCCATGCATATATGACAATAGATGCAGATTCATCACTAGAATATTCGGGTATGTCTATGGAAAGGTCTCCGGCGAGCTTGGAAGCGAATGAGGTGTCGAAATCGCAGTAGACACGCAAGGCGGTGTTGATATAGCGAGACAGATTTTCGCTTATATCCGCGGTTAACCAAGGTGCCTTTTTGGTGACAGCAGTTTGGTATGCCTCGTCCAGCTTGCGGAATAGAGGATAAGAGTCCTTGATAGTCCGATTCATGATTGACGAATTCACGAACTGTTCGTCTGCACCAAGTTTGCGACGTTCGGTACGAGATTCGAGCAAGTTTGAAACGACGGCAACCGCTGGTAGCAGAAATTGTGCCAGCTGAGGAAACCGCGGGAGCAAAGGAAGGAGAAGTGTAATGTACTCTGATATGTTCTGTAAGGCGTTCAAGGGAGCGTCTGCGACATGATCGCAGATCTGGGCCACGAAATCCATGACTTTGGATTGGTAGATCCGTATGAGGGCTCGGTAAAAAGGGATGCTTTGAACTTGTAAGAGCCAGGCGAGACACTGCACATACGGCCGGCTGATACATTCCGAAGGCTGCATCGATGGAGTCTGTGAGACAACTGTGAGATAGCTGGTGTCGAGACGAAGCATATGGAGTGCTAGTTGTCCAAAATCCAGAAAAAATTCTTCCAGATACATCAATGTACCTGGACCCTGGTTTTGTTGGAAAGGGATCTGCCTGCGGAGCAATCCTTCCACCACGCTAGGCAGATCTTCCCAAAACTCGCGGTCGTCCCGCATGGTTTCCAAAGTGACCTGTGATAGGTTGTCGATACAGCCAGCGAGCCATTGCTTCACAGCGTTGAGGATCATCATTTCATGAGGATGGCCTTTCGTCGTTAGTGATGAGACACGGGATCGCATAAGCGAGGGGTCATACCTTTCTCAATAATACTGGCTGTCTCTTCCAAGGATTCTCTTAGATCAGGATTACCACGTAGTTTTGGAAACTGGTCTGCTAAAGAAAATTGTTCATGGACCTGAACTATTTCCGCTGAGCTCTGTTCCTGGACAGCCTCCCCTAACGGACGCCATCGAGACGTGTTGGGATCCTGGTCCATATCCTCCACCTCAGCAACCTCAATTTCAGGGCTTCGCGAGGGAGAGGAAGATATTGAAATGGCGGTGGAAGACTGTGCCCCGGCCATCAGGGTATCTTCCGGCTGCTGAATTGTTATGTCCGTTGTATCCAACTCGATGCCATCTTCTTCACGTGGAAACTCCTCTGCCGACGAGATGTCTTGTATGGAGACGCCAGGCTGCGAGGGGGATTTCATATTGATCGTAACGCGGCTTAGAGTCTGAGACGAGGAAAGCTCTTGATCGTTCGGGGTTCTCGGAGACGCGGATTGCTGGACAGGTGATTCTCCAGTGGACATGGACTCACGCGAATCGGCACCGCTGTCCAGACGGGGACGTTTCCTGGTGATTTGAGGAGGAATATCTTCCATTTGCTCGTCGTAAGGACGAGTCGGATCTTCTGGTGATGCAGCACCAGGCGGGGTGCTAGTGCTGGAGCTGCCTAGCGGGGTACCTGCCATGACATTTTTCTCGCTCACCTCCTGCAATTCTGGAGAGATATTTCACGGATCGGAAGGAGCAGAGCACTCTCGTCAGGGATTTAACCAGCCGACTGGACAGAGACACGAGCGGTGTTGTTCGGGGATGTGGATAGCAGCACGTAGGCGTAGCTGCCTTGCCAAGAATTTTGAGTTAGCCGCGGAAGCTGCAGGTGAGAGTTTGTTTTGTTGTATGGAGTCTGTATGTGGCTGTACGAGAGTTAACAAGAAAAGAAAGACCAAGTGAGAAATCAACTGAGATGTCGTCTAGAAGAGATCGATAGCTTCGTAGATGATGACAGACAGAGGGATAATGATGATAAGAAATAGATATCAGAAGGTAGTTTGTGAGGAGAATTTGGCATCATGTCATAGCTTCTGCATACGATAGGCGTACCGCGTGTATGTATTGAAAGGGTACAGTACCGTAATCGATAAGCAGCGCACAGCCAGTGTGCGGCTGAAATTTAAGGTAAGGTAAGGTAAAGTATGGTGGGTTTACGGGAACTACCTGGAGCTCTATTTTGCTAGTGTAATAATGCCATTGCGCGTACCGAATAACGAGTACCGTACCGAGTAGTATCTACAGGACTGAGTATATACGCGAAGTATCTTATCAGGATGAAATGGCATGTTTTGTGTATGTTTGGTTTGATTTGATACTCGCGTCCATGTAACTTACGTTGACGTCACGTCCAACCACGGCGATCAGCGGAAAGACGCGTGCGTCGTCCAAAACAGAGCAAAAGAGGAAAGGCGACGGGCTACTCAGCTTTCCTCCTCCATGCTGGTCTCAATCTTCCGGATAATGCGAGCTGGATTACCCGCAGCAACATGAAACGCTGGCACGTCCTTTAGACACAGTGAGGAGTCAGGACAAGAGAATGCGTCTTCCACAGTCTGGAGATGGATTGACCTACCTTGGTTACCACACTACCAGCCCCAATCGTACAGCCCCTTCCAATCGTCACCCCCGGAAGAACAGTGACATTGCCGCCAAGCCAACAATCCTCGCCGATATGAATCTCTTTCCCCGTCTCGGGCCCTAGCGTGCCGTTGCGAACGGCAGGGTCCACGGGATGAGTGCCACTGTAAAGGTGGACGTTCGGCCCGAACATCGTACGAGCCCCAATTGTGATAAGACAAGTATCGATGCAGACGCAGTTGACATTGATGAATACACCTTCGCCAACCCTGACGTTGAAGCCATAGTCCATTATTACCGGGGCCTGAACCCAAGGTTCATTTCGCAAGAGAGCATCGTCTGCTTCTTGATCTTCGGCCGGTGGGGGTAATGGTCGTGTGTCTTGGACAAGGCTACAAATGGACAGGCCATCATCAATCTTGATTCTTTACTTGTTTTCAGTCACATCGGGTTATACCGGTGATATCACTTACTCTCGCCATAGTTCGATCTGTCGCCGGCGCGATATTTCACCATTCAGGCTCGCGCTGTTGAAGCGTCTGTAGGCTTGTTCGCATCTGGCACGTGCAGCCATCAACTCCGGTGTAAAGGCCCGATAGAGCTCTCCACGAAGCATCTTTTCTTTTTCCGTAGGCTCCGCCATTGTGTTTGAGGATACTGAAGATCCCGGAACGGCGATTATCAGACAGATCAAATTATTCTGGCTATCATTAGATGTTATATGTCCACCGTGTCGTCAAAGGTTGAACCTGACACTAATGCGGAGAAGGCGTTCGTATTTAGCTCTACAGTCAGTGTTCACAGACCCGCAGCCGATGGAGCTAACATTAGGGTTGATATCCATGTATAGTAGTATCTACCCTACTATGTCCATGTGGCATAGGGTAAGTAAATCCAGGCAAATTTCATGAGTCATGCAACAGGATCGACAATACCAAAGGTAGTTCCTGCGTGGTCTTTCTTTGTTCACGGGAAAAATAATTATTGATATCAAATTATTTCTGTGAAGAAAATCGTCGACAAATCAGATACTCTCCAATTAATCAAGTAGTACAGTAGTACTATTTATACTTGGTTGACCTGTAAGTCGCCAGGACAATTGCCTCAGGTTGCCGCCCGGGGCTCCACTGCAAACAAAGCAAAAATAAAAATAATCGATCAACGTCATCCGTCTGATGTTTATATTCTCACATCGCCAATCTATCAACACGATGTCTTGATATAGTGAGACCACCTCTGCAATGACACATGTCTAATACCTTTGGAATATGTCAGTCGATAAGTGACTACTGATTAATCACTCCAACATGTCGATCGGAGTATCCTCATTCACGGTCCATCGCCCGTCTGAACCTTCAGACATCAGACCGAGAAGCGATGGAGAACACCTAGCCTGGCGTCCACCAACATCCAGCATACCTTCCAACAATCCGTCAACCAACTACACAGCCTACAATCCGAGTATGCACATCGCTCCTCCAAACGGCAACGCCAACCCACCAAACCACTCAACAGCAACATCCTCAAATCAACTCGACCCCTCCGTCATCCTCCCCAATGGCGAAATGTCCCTCTCCGGCATCTCAACACGCGCATTCTTCATCGGCGTCGTTCTCGGAATCTCGTCCACAATAACCATCCTCTTACTCACAATATACCAGACCCGCTTATGGCGAATACCATTCTTCATATCCTCGCTATGTCTCTTCCATTTCCTCGAATACTGGGCCACGGCGCAATACAACACCCAATACGCAGACGTGTCTTCCTTCCTACTCACCTCCAACGGTCCCGCATATAACATTGCGCATGGTTCTGCGATGCTGGAATGTCTAATATCACACTACTTTTTCGCACCCTCGACATCACCGATCCTCAGCACCTTCTCAACCATCTCCGTCATCTTCGGGATTATATGCATGGTTACAGGCCAAATTGTCCGAACACTAGCCATGGCTACCGCGGGGACTAATTTCAATCACGTCGTTCAAGTCCGTCGTCAAGAAGGTCACGTATTGGTCACGGGAGGTATATACAGGTTTCTGCGACATCCGAGTTATTTTGGATTCTTTTGGTGGGGGTTGGGGAGTCAGTTGGTCTTGCAGAATGTGGTTTGTTTTGTGGGTTATGCGGTGGTGTTATGGCAGTTTTTTAATTCGAGGATTTATCGTAAGTCTTCTTACTCCTACTTGGTTATCTGATATGCTGACTGTTAGTTAATAGGTGAAGAAAGATTCCTTATTGCCTTCTTCGGGGACGAATATATTTCTTACAAGAGTAGGACTATTATTGGAATTCCGTTTATTGCATAGCGATATCCAGTTATTTACTGAGTAAATTGGCGTTATATTGGATGTATAGATCTTAATACTTGTACTAGTCACAACTTACTCTCCCGAGGGACAACATCCACAATCCCACCACTCATAACAACCTCCTCTTCTTGCGGTTGTCCACCATCTGAATCTCCAGATTCAATCTGATGATTCTCACCAAAAAGCAAAAGTTCCCTCCCACCCCTCGTACTCCACCAAATCACACAAAAATTCGCCCTCTCCACATCCATCTCTCCATTACTCAACACCTCCCAGAACCGCTCAATGCATATCCTCTTAATGCTTTCTTCGGAATCAGGGCGTAGAGTATGAATGAGCCGCGCAATCAGCGGCAAGAATTCTTCGAGATCTTCAATCATTAAACTGGGGAAAGAATCGATCATGGCAAGGATTATGCCTGATTTTTCGGATAAAGGAGGGGGTGGATGTTCCAAGGTGGTTTCAACGGATGTTGATGATGGCGGGAGGAGAGTTGAGGAAGATGTCAAAGCGCGTTCGTGCGCGAGTTCAAGGAGTGTGGCGGCGAGAAGGGGTTGGGTATTGGATAAAGGAGATGGTGGTGCGGCGATACGAACGACGGATTTGAATGCAAGCCGAAATTGGCGAACTGATAGGTTTTGAGGGTATACTGCGAAGAGATTATCGACATAAAACGGTAAATGTTTGGCAGTGATATCCACATTCTGTGGCGCCGAGAAAACGGCCAACACGACACTATGCGCTGCTTCAAAAATCTCTAAAAGATGATTATTCCCTCCCGCGGCGAGATATGGTGTTGCAGCGGCGATAATCAGTTCCTCGTTCGCGAGGGGAGGTAGCGTTAATGCGAAATGCTCGGATGTGTTTAGGAAGAAGAGATCGAGACACCGCTCGAGAGGATGGGGAGGAATTTGGCCCATTTCAATGGGTTTGATGGTTCGGAGGAAGTTCTCGGTGAGTTCGGGGTATTGAGCTAAAATATCGATTGCGACAAGGTTCACGAATGAGTATTGCGATGAGGAGCTTTGTCCTGTGCGGGATGTGATGAAATATAAATTTCGTAGAATATGTAATGATTGTACCGCGATGAAAGGTGCAACTATATCGTTAGTATTTTGTGGTGTATCAGAGACAGAAAACTTACCACTGCCAGCAGCTAGCACCCTATCGTTCAGCACTCGGCCCAACACAGCTCGCAAAATTATAACAGCCGAAAACATAATCGACCGAAGTAATCGCCACAAGTCCGGTATCGTAGTTTTCAAAGACTCTGCATCCAAAAATTCCGTCTCTTCAGAAGGGTCGACTTCAGACAACTTGTTTTGGCGCCATTGGACAAGCAATATCCGGACAAAGTCGTTGATAGAACTCATTCCATCAGAGACAATATTCGGATTGGTCACGTTCTCCATGACATGTGCTATCAGTCGTGACAATGGTCCCAACGACGCTATCAGCGGTCGAGAAGATATATCCTTGACGTTCTGGTACGAGGTCGAAGTCGCAGACCAGCCGAATTTCTTCGACACTCCACCTTCGACAATCTCATGATCAATGGCACCCAGAAAATATGCGCTGCCAAGTCCCTCGTTCGAGAAGAGTGTTGCCTGGATCATAAGTGGTAACACTCGATCATAATTGATCTGACTCCGATGCCAATCCGAAAGAAGCTCAAACGTATAATTAAGCACCATAGTAATCGCATACCCACCAATCCCATCGAGACCAATATTTTCATCAAGGGCCAATTGCGTCGCTCGCACAAGTGCAGATTCAACTTTATTTCTCAAATTCCGTGGCAGGCCCTGTCTATTCTGTCCCTCGAATCCGAGCAACACACCACCGAGAAGAAGCACATGTCGCCACCGTGGGGATTTTTCGTCTGCACCATTGATCACAGCTTTGACCCATGCTTCTCGGTCAAGACCACGTCTTGTATACGGAGCGCGAGGTTCGTCGGATGCCTCGTTTTGTAGGATGCCGATTGCGGCAGTGTTGAATACGCCGAGGATTCGGCGGCAAGTGTGTAGGTCGACGGTATGGTCCCATATAGCTGGTGAGGAAAGAAGTTGGGATGATAGTAGAGTTACATTTAAATGATTCGTGAGTATGGCAAGGAAACTGGTTGATGTTGGGAGTAGACTGTTGATCGGTTGTCAGTCGCATTCAGTTTGCACATGATGGGATCATAACTCACGCTAAGGCATCTTGAGGCTCCGAGGCGATCTGTAGCGATCGCAATAGAGTCGCTAGAGAGCGCTCTGTTGCCATGATTATAGATTAGTGAAGCTTGAGCGCGAGAGTTGGTGAAGTCATACTGTATACCAAGTTGTGGAATTATCGCGGACAATGAGCTTCTTGCCGAGGTAAGTACGTCCGAAGCAAAATATGCAAACACATCCACTTTAGCAGGGTACCAAGGAACTTTCTATTATAACGAACAAAAGCCCTTATTTCGTTATATCACAGTAAGTTTCTGATGATTCTCCACAGTATAAGTCTGAGAGATCTCTCTATATTACATCTATACTCTGATAACAGTGTTCACGATGAGTGTAAGTCCCCAACGACTTGACGCATGGGGTCCTGCCCTTGACTTGCTGTCGCCAGAGGAGAAGAAGAGCTCGCTGCAACGCTATACTCCGAGTCAAGCCCTGACAGGCAAAGACATAACAATCGTTGAAGTCATTGTGCAGGCTGTTCAAGATAAACGAAAGTTATGTGATCAGGGAAGGTGGGCTTTCACCACAATCTCCGGTTGTAGGATTATCGTGCGGGATGTTCTTGACAGGATGGCAACATGGGTGAATAAGTTCAAGAAAGTTGGCGATACTCTGAAGCAATATGATCCTCACCATGACAAATATAGTTAGTTAACATTGCACATGAATTACAGAATACAGTGGCCACTGGCAATTGAACTTGTTCATATTGTGGTGATTTACAGTCCTAGTCCTAGGATACTAGGACTGGTCATACTCCAGTAGTTACTGTTATTTGATTATCAAAGGAGTCTGGATAGATACCTAACATGCAATGATATAAAAAATTATAAATAGGTACACATCATATCGCCAACGCCCCTCGGTAACCATGCAGCTTAAACCACCGATTTGGCAGAACCCTTGATTATAGGCTTACATTACAAATATCCAATATGGACCGTCGCAAAGACCTCGTATTGGCAACAAATTCCATCCACATATGAATTAATCGAAAGATAAAACATCGTTGATAGCCACATAGATCCTGGTTTTAGTATATATTCTCAAGGCACGGTACAATACAACATACAAGACACTATGGCCGAGTGGTTAAGGCGCACGCCTGCTAAGCGTGTATCTTCGGATGCGCAAGTTCGAATCTTGCTGGTGTCGACATGTGTATCTTTTTTGGAAAAAAAAAAATATTAACAAAGAGGAAAGTTAATTTATTTTCTTTGTTAATAATTTTTTTTTTCCCTCTAAATTTCTTTATTTTTCCCTTAAATACAATCTTATAAATGAGAACGACCTTCCCTTTTTCAATTATAGAGTGCTAGGAAAATCATGTACGTAGCCCACCGCTCTCGCCGGCTCTGAATCTAACGTAACCTAGCTGGTGACGAATGTAGGCTTACAAGTTACAGCACAAAACCAGGAGCCGAGATTGGGTTGCAAGGCGGTAAAGAACGGACATAGGGTTAGGGTCATTATGTCACGTGACCACAACGCGAAGCTGAGGCGTGGGAATGCGATGAGACGAGTATCTAGTGGATAGCTTCAAGACAACTCTTCTCCTTTCCCCCTTTATTCTCTCATGTCTAGTTATCTTGCTTACCTACCAGAATGGAATCTGAATTGAGCCCTCACAACTAGGTATCATCTAATGATTGCCCATTCCAGCTTTCTCATTTTCGAGAACCAGAACAGTAAACGGAGCTGCGCACTGCGACCATTCCAAGGAGACATATCGATCAGGATAGGACGTCAGTTGTGATAGACTGAATAGTCTTTACTGGTATAACCGTATCAGATCGTTGACACATCGCTCACAGCGCCTTTTTTCTCCAGATACAGTGGTTATCCAATCGTTCAACGTGGATTCATGTCAGTGAATCTATTCGTTTCTTGACTTGTCAAGGCGAGTACCTGATACAACAACACTCTACCAAGGGCCAGCAATCTGCATCCTCCATTCCTATTTGTTGTAGGTAGCGCTCGTATTGAAAAAACGCGAATCTCTCGTGGGATTTGAGTAAACAAGTCTGCGGTGTAGATAATGTCTTTATCAATTGATAGAGTAACAGCCGTTTTACCTTTGCAATCATCCGAATAACATCTCCGCGTAGGTGCAATGTTAAGCGTCGAGTCGGAAAGGCGCGGTGTCCGCTGAGAGAAGTATCACTCGCAATCCAACACGTAATGTTTCCCAGCTCCCAATCTCTAGATTTACCATTACCAACTCCTAATCAACTAACCATGCAGCGTAAACCACTGATTAGGCAAACCCTTATTTATAGGCTTGCACTATGAAGTAGTATGCTATTTAGAAGATAATTAGTTAGCTAAATCTATCAAATCTATATTGACTAGTTCTGCACAATGTCTAATGCCTTGTTAAGAAATTTGCACTCTCGAGGTCATCTCTGTCTATGGCGGTGTAGATCCATTCTACACGGATCTACAGCTATGAAGGGGTGTAAGTTAGCCCTAACCGATGGAGAAATACAGCCATTGCGCTTCAGCCCAACATGTCCAGTCCATCCATATGCTCCTGGGATGGTCAATATGACCATAACTATGTATACGAATGTATACTCAATCCAAAAGAGACTTTCTGGGCAGCTTAAGCAATTTTCTTCACGTTGCTGTACGTGATCAGTGGTATTAATTTGGGGTTCATTGCCAACGGGGAACGAACATATGAAACCAGATTTTCAATCATTCTACGCACCACGCGAGATATTCCTTTGGTCGATAAAGCACATCACCAAGGTGCAGGTGAGCAACTGGAATTTGTCCGGATTCATAGCATATTGAGAAGAGCAGAGATTAGGTATTGATGGCACAGAATGAATATGTCAGGGTTTAGGATGATGTAGAGGATGTACCTCATCATCAAGAAGCTGTGGATAGTACTAGACATGCCAATAGTCGGAATGATACCAGCAGGCAGTAGCACTTACCAACCCACGAGATACATCGAAAACAATCATAATACACATATTTAAAAGAAAAAACATCGATCCCTTCACCTCAAAGAGTTAACTGACTCAAAACTTAATCAACTCCCACCCAACCCCAAAAACAGCCATCCCCCAAAGCGCACCCTGCACCAACCAAAACGGCGCTCCATGAAACCGTCCAACACCATTCGGTTTCGCGGCCGTCACGTATCCATGCGCATACAGGGCACGAAACACAATCCACGCCGTACCCAGAGCGGCAGTGGCATTGGGCCATTTCAGACCTGCAATCAGCATGTACAGTATTGTCTGAGGCATGTTTTCGAGAAGATTGCCGTGGGCGCGTTGGGCGCAGTTAAATTTGTATGCTGCTGGCTATATATCCCTTAGTCAGTACACAGACTTTAGACCTGTGGACTTGGATGACTTACGTTCTCCTTGCATTCTGCAGGTGTCGCGTAGTATTGCGGATATCGGATTTTGGCTGGTTTGCGAAGTGAGGTTACGATATTACCCTGGACCCAGGATAGTAGAGGGATTCCGCCGAGGGCGACGGCGATGACAGCGCTGTCTGATGTCAGGATGTGATTTGTTTACGTGTAGAAATAGATATAGCGGTGTATAACTTACCCATAGTTCTCAGGAACAGTAATGGAAACCATTTTGAGGTTATGGTACTCGAGGATACAATTGTGAAGCTCAAGTTGTTGTAGGGATGATGTCAAACAGATATTTATGCCTAACTTACAGTGACAGTAGCGCCCGGAGGGGGGGGTACGGGAAGACCCTAATTACGCGGGTGCCTTGGCTAAATAGATTGATAGGTGGCCTAATTTACATTCGGGAAGTCAGGAGGATTGGCTTCCGATTACCGAGTTGAATTACTGCTCGAACATTCTAGTCACTATCAATAAAGATAGATAGATGGAAATACACAACTAGATAGACAGATTATGTACTGGTAGGGCACGCTAAGTTACTAATGATTGATTATGATTCCATAATCATAATCATTAGTTTTGCCCCTAAATCATGATTATTTACAACCGGAGTAATGTCACGGTTCTACCGTCAGAGGTTGCATTGGGCAGCTATTCTTGCACCCAGGTGCAGAAGCAGGTAAAAACGGCGAGATTTCACAACACTAAGGATATCCCTGGGTGTGGCATTTCGATAGGACGCGAAGGCTGTGACGGCGTAATGAGGCTGAGGCGATCGGTATACTGCCGGGCGGTGAAGGTATTGACGGGAACCATCACGGTTACCGAATTAGGAACCGACGCACACGGGATAGTATTATACGGGGGATTTAGTGTCGCGAGTTTGCTTTCTTCTTCTTCCTTTTCTCATGCTTGATATTCTCAGTAGACATGCTCCGGCATGGGGCATGCCATGAAGCAAGCCCTGCTCAGGTGTAATACAGGCCTGCTCCCCTGTAGATAGTTTCTAGCTCTCAGCTCACGTCTCGTTAGTTTCTATGCCATACATTTTACCCGGATTCCCTACCCCCGTTACAAGTAAGTTAATAAGCTTTATCCGTTGTCCGGCACATGTTCTGAATTTGGTAGCTAAAGGTATTCAAAGCAGGCTCACAAAGATGCAAAGAAGATTATCAAACAGATGAGCACTAATAAGAGGGATACCTTTCAAACTGAAGATACTAGCTAGCTATACTGGCGTCGACACACAGATTCAAAAGGCGGCAAAAGCTGGCCGAAGGGCCTTATACAAATACACAAGGAAGATGGACACCGAGATCCTTATCATATACTCTACTACTGTCCTAGATTATATTCAGCTACCAGATTGCTGGACTTGGGATTTTATTACCCGCGAGAATAATCATGATTAAGTTATTAATCATTAGTCATTTATCATAATCACAATGATTATGATTATAATATTTTGGAATCTCATAAATCATAATCATCGATGATTATAATTATGATTATGATTAAAATCATAATCCTTGGCGTGCCCTATGTACTGGCCATCTTGCTAACACTTCCATACTTGGCTGCCAGGCGAAAAAGTATAGCAATGCGCCCAAAGGCTGGCCTACTAGACAAAACGTCACCCAGAATACCGAATTGCCAATAATCCTGGTAGTCGGATCGTCCATTCGTTCTAATGGGAGAGTTGCGGAAATCAATGGAAGTTGAAACATCATACCTGCAAAGGCGACGCCTGCGGAAGTTAGTATATTTCTTTCAACAGCCTATTAGAGACAGAGCATACCGATGAGATTGTGGGTAGGTATTCCCACAAGCAACTCATGTAAGAGAGCAGAGAACAAAAACACCATAGTGCTCGCTGCAAACGGACTCCATCCCCTTCCTACCAGCGGAGAAAAAATGTGTCTTTTCATAAACAAGTACACAGGCTTGTTCCAGGACCGCCAGTACATCCCAACACTCCAGCTATTCCACCAATCTGAATAAAATTCGCGATCGCCGAAACGCATGACTTCGGCCAACGCGTTCAGGAGTGATTGGAATAGCGCATAGAATCCTGCTAGCCAGATCACGAGGGATATTGTCGATAGTTTCATGATACGCTCAAGGATGGAGGTGATGTCCAATACGGCAATCTTGTCGAGAGAATTGCGAAGTACGGGAGCAGCATATTGAGCCGAGGTCAGCCAGATAAAGACAGACAGCACGACAAACTCGACGAGCCGCTTTCCTACAAACCCCCAGCGGATATGCGCGGTTCGCGGGTATACGGGCTGATAAACCAGCGTAGGCGCAAGCCAGAAATAGGTCAAGTTGCCCACAGTAATGTTCTGAGGGTATGGACACGAAGAGTAAATCTCGGGAAGCTTTGACTGCTCCGATGGATGTAGCATAGCATGTCGTAGATCGCGATTGGTGAATGCGTACGAGCAGTTCTTCAACCATACGATAATAGCATGCAATTCACATATAGTTCCAATACCGGGATGGTGGACATAGTAGTATACCACGAAATTCGTCACAGCCAGGCACAGCGTGGCATTGACAGTATGCGCAAAAGCGATAAAGCGCCAGGTAAGCTGGAAGGTCTGCTGTTCCTTTTCTGTTTGCGCAGCGACATTGTCACTCTTCTTTTTCCGGCCTATAGCTCCCTTGGCCTGTTGCGCAGCGGCCAGTTCGATGATATATGCCACAAAGAGATGACACGGAACGAGCGCAGTGAGTATAGAAGCGAGGAAAAGATCGTTTTTTCTGTAGTCGTGGCATTTTATACAAATAAGGACACCATACTAGTGACGTCAGATTATAGCTTCATAATTGACGAGTGGTCTTACCTTCATGAAATTCTCGACAACAAGTCTGAGGTTCATAACAACTAGACAGAGTCAGTATCATCCGGTGAAATGAAGTGTTCGGGCATACTCAAAACAATAACCATCAAATTGCGAAAGCCAATGAAGCTCGGGTTGACTGTAGAATCCGTGCTTAGACACGAAGTCCGTAGTGATGAATGATATGCCGCAATATGTCGGTATTTACTGCCCCTTTTCTTCTCCGATGATGTGCTCGAGACATCTTGCAATGGTGGTGACACTGTCGCACTAGTACGTTTCCCATTGGCGCCGTAAGTATTATGGCGGGCTGTGCCTGGCACATCCACACCCGTGGTGATGGTCGCCTGCGTCACCATGAGCATCGTGACAACTGCGAACAGCAAGTCGATGCCTTGATATAATTGAGAAACGATTGATCCGATGCAGAAAATAAGAATATTCTTTCAGTCTTCGATCGTGCTAGATAAAAAGCCCCGGATTCCGTCTCCAAGCGGAATGTTTTCACTCAGTGGCGACAATTAGCATGTGATAGTGGTCCCAGCATGTCTGGAACGACTCGAGTTTGTATGATTGAAGCAGAAAAAAAAGAGAATATATAATGAAAAGAAGCAGCAGCTAGCTTATATATTGGTAAAGATAGCTATAATAGAGGAGGGGCCGAGAGGGGTCTGGTCTGGAACTGTTTGACATACATGGATAGTTGATAGCTTGATAACGCCAAAGACCTGTGAGGCCTGAGGCTCCAGCGCGTGCGGTGCAGGAAGGCAGCTGTTGGACGGGCCAATCAGACCCCTGCTCCGCCAAGTGGTCGGTGCGCGCGCCTTTCCGCTCTGTCGCCAAAAGCTAAACAGCTTAAAGAGATTCATTCAACCTCATCAAGAACAGCTTATTTGACTAACAACAAGTCAACATGGCTGCTTATGAAGACGGTGGTGATGGCTTCTACGGAGGCAGGAGGACTTATGAAGGCGGCATTGGACTTCCCCGAAGACCAAGTACTTATTCGATCATCCTTGGCTATTGATCGTAATTGACCTGCTCTTAGGACCCGTCACGGACTACGGCTCATCAGTTGTGCAATGGATGCGGACGCGAAGACCAAGATACAAGGGAGCTCACCAAATGGAAGTCGAAAGGCCGAGTCTGAGTTACACCGTTGATGTGAGCTTATCGTCCAATGCGATGGGTCGTTTCAGCTGCTGAGTACGATTATAGATGCTTCCGCCGTTAGCACGAATTCATTCCCCCGCCGACACGATACCTGTCCGACACTTGCATCAATCTATCGGAAAATCAAAGAAACCTATAACTGTAGTGAGATGGACACCCGAAGGTCGAAGATTGTTGACTGGCGGCCATACTGGCGAATTCATGCTGTGGAATGGAACGGCATTTAATTTCGAGACGGTGATGGATGTGAGTGAAAACGGTCGAGACATGGTCATCCATGCTGATATATCGTGGGGTAGGCCCATTATGATCAATTCCAAGCCGGCGTTACGTCCGCTGCATGGTCGCATAGCCACGACTGGTTAATATCCGGTGGACAAAAGGGAGATGTCAAATATTGGCGACCGAATTTCAACAACGTCGAGACCGTGGATGATGCGCATCACGACGCCGTTCGAGATTTGGCATGGGGTCCGAGCGACACGAAATTTCTTTCAGCTTCGGACGATACGACATTGAAAATCTTTGATTTCACTGCGCGAGCTTGCGATACAGTGTTGACGGGCCATAACTGGGATGTGAAATCCTGCGATTGGCATCCGACCAAAGGATTGTTAGTGTCAGGGTCGAAAGACCACCAGGTCAAGTTTTGGGATCCTCGAACCGGGAGATGTTTAACCACTCTACACAGTCACAAGAATACAGTTACCACTACGAAGTTCTCTCGAGTGAACAGTAACCTTCTCGCTACGTCGTCACGCGATTGCACAGCAAGAGTATTCGATCTTCGGATGATGCGCGATATTTGTATCCTTCGAGGACACGAAAAGCCCATATCTTCATTGACGTGGCATCCAGTCCATAGTTCATTGATATCAACAGGCAGTGAGGACGGTTCACTGTATCATTATCTATTGGACGAACCGAATCTTCCTTCAGGCCATGTCCCTACTGTTGCGCCTTACGATAGCAATGATCCTCTCAACACTCCGCCACAGGTCATACACCCCGCACACCGCATTCAGTACGCCCACGCTTCAACTATCTGGTCCTTAAACTGGCACCCGCTGGGCCACATATTGGCCTCCGGTTCAAAAGATAATTTCACCCGTTTCTGGTCCCGAGCTCGTCCAGGAGAAACTGCGTATATGAAAGACCGCTTCCACATTGGTGAAGAAGCCGCCGAGGCACAAGGGACGTGGAACCGCGGCTTTGGGAAAAAACAGATGCGAGAAGAGGAGGAGCAAGAAGCACAAGACGAAGCGGAGGGACTGGTCGATCAAAAGACTGCTGCATCAAGTCTTCCTGGTATCCAGGGCATGCAACTGCCAGGTATCTCATCGGATGCTGGGCCATCGGGATTACTCCCAGGTATTGGCAATTACCAGCCACCACCACTGCAACCCAACATGTCGATGCCTGGTATGGATGCCAACTCCTTGGCTTCAATGATGGGAGCCGCATCACAAGCATCCTATCCAGTTCATAATACCGGTATTCCCGGATTTATGATGAATGCGCCGACGACCGCTACTCCACCACCACAACCTCCTAAACTGGACCCAAACCTGAATTTAGCTGCATTACAGAAACAATTGATGGCGCAGGGAATCCAGCTTCCTCCCAATTTTGCTAATCCAAGCGCATGGCATAATAGTTGATGTTACCGCAGGCGGTTATACTTCAAGCGCTTGACGTATCAAGTCGATGATATGGACCTGGTTGAATTGGCGTTGGTATGCGATACAATGGCGAGCAAAATTGATGGAAATTGCATCGGAGTTGGCGTTATATATTTTGAGTCGTGATGATGTATGAACAGGTCCGGTAATTTCGGAGGCTGATTTGTATAATAATATTTTTTCGGCGAATAAGTTCCAATGGTGAGCACTGGTCGGTGAGCCCGTCACATAGCTGCTTGCATAGGAAAACTGGAAATAATAAGAACCAAAACATTAATACAAGCCCAAACCAGAGGAATCCACGTCGTCATGGAGAAATTGCCCGCTTCATAAACCCAGCCGACACTGTATTAGCATACGTTAGCACCATCCCATATATGAAGGTCGAGAGACGAACATCAAACCAACTAAACTCCCCGCCAACAAAGCCTCAAACACCGACACAAGCATATAAGCCACGGGCACAACCCACATCCACTTAATATTCCGCCATTGTACTGCGACCGCAAAACTTGCTACTATCGCGTGGGCGCCGGCGTACAGGACCAAGGTCCAGTAGAGTGTGAAGCGCCAGATGTCGGTTAGATGGTAGAGATAGTTTTGGGATTGGGGGACGCCGATGATGGGGACGTAGAGGGATGGGAAGGCCGGGACGGTGTAGTCTATGGGTGCTTGGTCGCTCATTTTCTGTTTTGGGGCCGCCTGAAATTCTGGTCTTGTTGGTATTATTGGGGTGGTTAGAGAGGCATTGTGGATGTCTTGTGACTTGTTGTCTGTTGCTCGTGGTGAGGTGAAGCTCTGAAAAGGTCAGGGTGAAGCAGTTCTCCACTTGGTTTATTACGAGACGGTATCTGAAAATGGTAATACGAATATATATACCCTGACAATACGAAAGTTATGTATTATTGTCGCTAGCCCTACCCTTGTCTGTCTCAAGTATTTTCCATGTTAACTTTGTACATAAGTGGACTTACTGGACTAGCTTTGCTCAATCCAATTTACATGGTTGGGTGATCGTTACTCATCAATTCCTTTTTGCAATTGCGAGGTGGGATGCACAGGCCCATGCATGTTCCTGTAGCAGGCCCTAATATGACCCAGAACCATATGGGAACAGGAAGATGGCACTCTCAGAGTTTCAGTTCTCAGATAAGATACATGCAAGTCGAACTCGTCTTTATCAAGAATATAAGCAGCTTCAATGGGCGTATATTTCATACTCAGGTATTATTAATATCTTACATCCCTATTTTCACGTGCGACATTGTAAAATACATCCCATATTCCAAAGATAACAATCAATCTTTCTTGGTCTGCTCCTCAGCGACATCAGGAGGTTCATCCATCAACAGAGACTCTGCCGCGCCTCCAGCCAGCATCAACAAGCACGGCATCAACGCAAAAATCGCCGCCATAACCCCCAGTCCACCGAGCACAATCGCATTACTCTGCTCATACCATTCTCTCCAGATACTCCACCGCTTGTGCAAGACCGTCCATGCCGCCAACTCTCCGCCGAGTAGAAACACCGCGCCCACCAAGCCAATGGACAGTCGATAGCTGGTCTGATATGGGACTTTATAGAGTCGCATTGTGTATTGTGCGCAGACAAAGACGATGACTGTGAAGAAGAATAGGATCGTGGCCTGCGTTTGGCGCTGGGTGAAGTCCAGTGTAGGGTAGGTCAAGACCAGGCTGCTTCCTGCTAGAGGAAGACTGCAGATGAATGTTAGGGTTGAGTAGTGGAGAGCGCCGCGGATAACGTAGAAGGACAGTAGGATGTCCCATATTATATCGAAGACTGCGTCGAGTGTCATTTTGAAGTTGAAGATTTCTCGTTTGTATGTTTTTTTTTTGTGATATTATTTTTCAGATACGAAGACATCAAGAGAATGGAGGCAAGATATACAGTTGAAATAGTCAAGATTTAACGTCACGCAACTTATGATGCTGGACATCATACCATTTGGATCGGATGACGACAATACTCCCTCTTGACCTCGGAAACCATTCCCAACGATACTCAGCTGACTAATTCAGCCAGAAATACCTTCCCCGGATCATTTCGGCGAAGATAGCGTTGGCGAGATTTTCAGGCTGTTTCCGGGGCCTCTCCACTATCATCATAGCTTAACTCACAACACGAGGGCGCTCATGCAGATGCGCCGATACATTTGCAAACTTCTACGGGCATTTACAAGAACAATCCAGAGGAGAGAATTAAATAAATGCTTGCTGCCTAAATAGTGGTTTAAAATGACGCTTCTGCTAGACGTACACTTTCCAATACCTGACCCTTGACCACACTAACCAGGAAATTCTCGCCGTTATTTCCCACAGCATGCACAATGATATTATCTCCATACCCACAGTCCGCCTGACCAGGACCGGCTTCATCGTAAGCGGCAAAACTATCCTTTGACACTCCATCTCCGGCGTCCAAAAGCACTCGAAGCGCAGACTCGCGCGCCTCGGAATACGAAGTAAACACCCCTTCTATGTTGATATCCCGACTTTCTTCGTCTTCCAATCCGGACTTGATCTGAACGACATAATACAAATCTGCCGCGATTCTGCCGTCTTCATGGTTGGGAAGAGGCTTGTTGATGGTGTTGGGGGTGGTAAGGACGCGAACACGGTATGTAGACCCGGCCGGAGCCACGGCATGGACGACTTGACCGTTCACGTTTTCGCTGTCGCCAATCTCGTATTTTTTGAACCATTCGAGTTCGTAGCCGGCGTCAAAGAGGCATTGATGCGCAGCCTTCTTTGCGGACTCCAATGAGACGTATGTGCCGGTGATGCGGAGTTTTTGGAATTTCCCATTGGGGTCTTTTTGTAAATGGGACGTCACGAACAGGACGTGATAGAGTTGGTCGGGAGTGGCCATTTTTCCTTCTTTTGCTGTTTGCTTTGAAAAGTTGAAATTGTTTATCGTGAAGATTAATTGTGTATAAGCTGTTGTATAGAATATGGGGGATCCATTCGGGGTCTTTGCGGGGTCTTATAGACTTGCCCTAACCTTCATGAATGTCTGGCTGTCATCTCGCCACACCAAGTGGCGTGATGCCAATGCAAGGTTCTGGATGCGTGTAAAGTCTATGATACAATGAATGCATACTCCTTCTGGCCGTATCCGAAATATCACCGACGACTCTTACAATAATTTCAGCCAGGCACTGTTCCAGCTTAGAATCCTATAGTTCGGGGACACGGGGAGAGGGAGAAGCTACCTGATTCGGCAATTATTGGCATGAAATCACAAACTATCCAAGGAAATTAGCTTTTCGATAGAAAGCAATTGCATTATTAGCTTCAAATCATTCATGATGGTCATGCTAACAAACAGCTCAGTATCCAGATTATCTGCTGTGACGCATGATCAAATATATCCATTGCTATCACGAATCACGAATCACAGCCGCGCCAACAAAGTACGAACAAAAGCCGGTCATTCCCAGAACGTTGTCAATATCATCAGTGACGCCGCTAATGGCAGCGCTACATTAACCGGGGCAAGAGCTCACCGTTTACTGCGGGATTAACCGGGCATGCGTGCATATGGACTGGATCCTGTGTCTTGGAGTGTGCAGTGTTAGTAGCTAAAGCTTCCAGGCGTGGAACCGATACCGTCTGCCCAAAGTCCCATACAGCATCGCGAAGGGTAGCATGATTCTTCTGCACGTCGCGAAAGTCTGGAACCAGGACACTTGAAGTAATCAAGGTGGGATTCACCAGAACCCAATAAGGAGGATTGGCCTTGCTGGTGCTGCAGCTTCCGGGAGACTTGAGACAGGAACAGAGAGCATTGAACCATACCCAGCAACCTTTACAGGGCCGATTCTGATCTGATCCGCATGCTGTGGGGGCAGCCATTATTAATTAAGCTCGGCCTGCGAGACCGAGGCGAAGGAGGGACAGCCGGCGATGGCTGGTCCAGCAGGGCATTTTGTGCCACAGGTAATGTTACCACCGCGGCAAGTCACAATTACCGAGTTGCAGCAGGTTTGAGATGTCGGCCGCAGTGCAATTGGGTAAGCTCATTATCTCCCGGCCGAAGGCCAAAAGGAGGAGAAGCGATTTTCGCCAGTGCATGATGAAGGTGTATTGTATCTCTAGTTTTCGATTTTACATGAACCATCGCTTGCTTCCGATGTTGTAGATATTTGTATAGTTATCATACTATGGACTCGTCATCTTGATATCTCGCTTACCATTCGACACGATCCAGGCCATGGTTGAACAACGGTGATTACTTTATAGCTATGGATAGCTAGATCGATCTTTATTCATAGGTCTAATATATGGACGATATTTAGTACCAAAAAATTGATTTATTCTCCAAAACTCCTGAATCGCTAAGATAAAGCTTGTATTGCTGAGAAAGGACTAGATCGCGACTTAGGTCAGATCTGTGCATATCCCAGCCCACCCCAACATCGTACCTGTGTGACAGACATGGACCATGGAAACATCTTCTGGCACATTCCTAATCTTACAGATCTATCCCCGGATCGCCTCCGGACAAGAAGTCAATGACTCATACGGCGATTGACTCCATATACTGCCCCGGACATCACCTGTTGGCTAGATCACATGTGTTATACCACAATCCAGACCCCGGAATAGCTCGCATACAATTACCAAAAAGCCTCTTCTTTGAAAAGGCATAATGCTCCGATATCACACGACATTTATCCAATCGATATGTGCTTTTGTTTATATTAATAGGTCAGGGATCTCGATGATCAGCGCCATTTCTCCGATCTCAATATCATCAATAACAAAAAAAAAAGCAAACCAATCAACCACAATGGAATCTTCAAACTATCAATATCAATACCTTTCGCCTGGTTCGCAGGCATCTCGCCGCATCATCGAGGAGTCATCCTATGCTACAACGCCGGAAATCTCCTCGGGCGAACAGACTCCCATCTGCGGACAATGCACACACAAAAAGCACGATTTATGCAAACGCTCAAATATTGCATCCCTCGATAAAAAATTGGACAAGATTGCCAAACCGCCAGAAATAAAGCTGCCCGAGGGACCAATTCGGGAGAAAGGAGCAATGACCAAAACGGCGAGTCGGACTCAAGAACATCATGCAAAGATTGCAGCTTAAAAAGCTAAACAAGGTGAGTACCAGCATCATTAAAGTTCTCTTGTATTGTAATTAACCCTGGCTATGTCCATAGAAATTGTGTTAGTTACACGGAAAGGTGGCGGACGGATGAGGGAACGCTGGTTATGACTTTTCCATGGATCATACGATTCTCAGATCACGCAAATGGCGCGTGATCAACATATTTTAGATAAAAAGGCATCGTAATTGACAGCTCAGTTCATTGTAAACAAATCCCGCGATTTAATATCCCATCCTTCTCACAATGCCAAACGAAAATCCGCTTAGAATTGTTGTAGTCGGCGGCGCAGCTGCTGGCATGGCCGCCGCAGTCCGTTGCCGTCGACTTGATGAACGTGCTATGATCACAGTCATTGAGAAAGGACCCTACGCGAGCCATGCCAACTCCGGAGTTCCGAATGTGCTGGATAGTGTGATCGAGGGAGATACAGCTTTGATTCCGCAGACTCCTGCTGGGTTAAAGGCTCGGTTTAACTTGGAGTTACGCATCAATACCGAATTGATTAGCATTTCCAAGAAAGAGAGGACGATTTTGCTGAAGTCAGTAGATTCAGAAGAGAACGTGTATCATCTTTCATATGATAAATTGGTTCTGGCAATAGGCGCAGATCCGGCCTTGCCAGAGATTGAGGGAATCAAGGGTACACGCAATTTCTTCACCTTGCGCAAGCAAAAGGATCTACAAGCAATCAAAGCCTACATCTCGAAACATGAGAGTCGGCGAGCAACCGTAATCGGAGCAGGATTCATCGGACTGAGGGCGGCGGAAAGTCTGTTACGGCTAGGTCTGCAAGTGACTCTTATTGAGGCGAGTGACCAGATCCATCCGGCATTCGACAAGGACATTGCGCACTACTTGCAGACAGAACTGAGTTCCAATAAAGTGCAACTATACCTCGGGACAACAGTGCAGAAACTCGTAATGATTGACGCGGATGATGATTGCTCTCATCTTCAGTTGGATGATGGCTCTGTTGTAGCCACTGATCTGGTTGTTGCTGCTATTGGCCTCAATCCGAGAGTCAGCATTGCTCGAGCCGCCGGGTTGGCTGCCAAACGAGGCGTCACTGTTAATACTTTTATGCAAACTAGTGATCCGGATATCTATGCAATAGGGGATATGGTTGAAACGGAGAATAGACTCGCGCACAGCCCGGGAATCTTGGCCCTCGGAGGACCAGGTAGTCGACAAGGACGCCTAGCAGCAAATCATATCTATGGACAAGCTAGTGCTTATGCAGGAAATGTGGGAACCTTCATTTCCAAAGTCTTCAACCTCACTGTCGCCATGACAGGAATGTCTGTGAAAGCCCTTCGGCATATCGGATACAATCCGCAATGGGTGACTGTCCATACGCCAGATCATGAAGGCTATTATCCTGCATCGAGCTTACTTACTCTACGCATCATCTTTGAACCGTACACGGGACGCCTGCTCGGGGCTCAAGCCGTCGGCAAGTACGGCGTTGACAAGCGCATTGACGTACTCTCAACCGCACTTCAGGCTGGCATGTCCGTGTTTGACCTAGAGCAGCTCGAACTCTCCTATGCGCCGCAGTACGGTACTGCAAGGGATCCCGTGAATGTAGCTGGCTGTGCCGCCGGTAATATTTTACGACAAGAAGTTCGCACTTTGCATCCGAATGAGCTCGTCGGTCATACATCAGAATGGCAAATCATCGACGTCCGCACAGCAGAGAACTATACTCAGAGCAATATTCCGTCATCGCGAAACATTCCCCTGGACACGCTGCGAGAAAACCTAGATAACATTGACAAAGAGCATCCCGTCCTAGTCTACTCCCGAGTAGGCTACCACGGATATATTGCTCATCGGATATTGAAACAACTTGGATACGAGGTCGCTAATCTCGATGGTGGATGGAAACTGTGGGTGTCAGGGGGTTATCAGACATCTTAAACACGTCACGTTGATTTTGTAGCCCTAAGTTTGTAGCCTGCAAGGCGACACTGTGTCAAAATCCATAGCTAAAACAACAGCTTAGTTCCACCTTTTGCATGTACTGTAACACAGAGAGAAGAGTGATTAATCGTAGATATTATTGAGCAATGCTGACCATGCGCTTATGATGAGAAGCCTCTCTCACCGCGCTGGTCCAGGTGATTAAAAGGGGCTTTAGGGTTAGTGTGTCATCACTTCTCTCACTCTGTTGATGCTGCTTCACAGCGGTCTACTACGACATTGAAATCAAGAATCATACTCCTAGATTAATGAATGGCCATAGTAATTGAAAGGGTAAAATCCTTATCTGAAAATCTGTACGGGAATCTGAAGCCCATTCGCTCGCTTAGGGATGGGGTTAGACGCTAGGGTTAGGTCAGAACTCCATATACGGGGGTTACAGCCCTGAGATAACCCTAGGGTATTTGTGGTATGGACCTGACTGCTAAAGTTCTCATTGTCGCGCTCCTATATCTATGCTTGAGAAGAATTCAAAGGTCTCGACTTTATAACTAGGCAACAACATCCCAGGTCACTCCGAGTTCCGAGTGAGGGGAAAGAGGAGACAAGCGGATCAAATCCCGAGATAACTAAGCACTGCTTATCTCTCTCCACTTCATCTTGCAATCTGGGGAACAATTTCCCATACTTGCGTTAGCTGAAGTAACCTCCTCCAAGGCGATACATGACTCCATCATTCCAATGCGGCCCCGGCAACGTTTCACACGTACCAAAACAGGTTGTCTCACCTGTCGTCAACGAAGAAAGAAGTGCGACGAAGTCAGGCCGGTTTGCACCGCATGCGTGCGGAACTCGCTGACTTGCTCATGGCCATCACCAGAGACAGAGCTAGACAATGTCTCCGAGACGTCTTCGGTAACTCGCCGGCATAAAGAAGTGCTGATGCCGACAAGACAGTCTCAATCCAGTCCGAGCATCTCGAACCCGGAAGAATTCATGAAAGAAGGCATCGACGCAGGCTCGTCGTGTTCACCGTTCTCCTCAGCTTCAGCTTCACCAACAGTGTCAATTTCAGTTACAAGATCGCCGGCCCCATCGTTCTCCTCGATTACAGCATCAAAAGTATCGTGCACATCTGACGCTTGCGAACCGCAATTGTTCCTGTCAGTCTTTGACACAGCCGGCGGTCCATTGCGCAGCTATAACTCGCGGCTTCTTCTTCAACATTATATACAGCACACTTCTGGTCTACTTGCAGTGACTCCGATGCAATACAATCCTTTCGTGACACACGTGCTACCTTTAGCTTATTGTGATGATTTGTTGATGCACGCGGTCCTCACCTTGAGTGGTTCCCATATGAGCTTCGCGAACCCTGATGCCTCCGGCATCCAGGAGTCGACATGGCAGCATTATGCTGTCGTGATCAACCAACTGCTTCGCGAGTTTAGGGACATAACGTCGGCGTCACAAGAAAAGAGTCTCCATCTTTCGGTAACCCTGTTGGTACTATGTCATGTCGAGGTTAGTTGAGAGATTGAAAGCGTGATGCCATCCTGTGCACTTGACTAATTGATTATCTAGATTATATCCGGCAACCTTAAAGGCGCGATATTTTCTCATCTACGGGCATGTCGACAGCTCATCCTCAGCCTTCTTCAAAGGTCCCCTCCTAGAATGCAATCGACCGATCAGGAACTTCTAGGGTTTGCCCTAGAATTTTACGCATACTTTGCCCTGATGACCAACATTACACCCTACGGCAAAAACCAAGCTCACACGATACCGTTAGACAATTTCGTTACCTCGCTTAGTCCCCTTCATGAATATAGTACGTTTGGCGCTCTAATGAGCTGTGGTCATGACCTCTTTGAAGCCATTGCGTCAATTTCCCAGTTATTCTCGCAACGGCTTTATGAGCAGCACAGGCAGCAAGCCGAACCATCAGCACCGACCATGGCGATGTACGAAGCCCTTCTTGTATACTTGAGTAATTGGCAGTTCACCGGGCCAACCAACAAATGGTCAGATCCTCGTGAACAGACATGGGCCGGTGAAATATATAAGAACGCACTTTTAATATACCTCAAAGCATCAATATGCGGGTCTGTAATAGATAATCCCAAGGTTATTTGCGAAATTCAGGAACATGTCGATGAAATTCTGCAGCTCTTGACGAGACTAAATTGTTCTCCTTATGGAACTATTATGATGTGGCCATGCATGATAGCCGGGTCTTGTTTGATCAAAACGACACAACGAGATTTTATGCAGAAAGCCCTACGTACCTCACGGTGGAAGATGTGTCACGTCAAACAGGCGGCTGAAATCTTAGAGAGTCTCTGGAGGGATAACGTCAAGTGCGCATTCGGCCCCTACGGATTACATTATATTATGCAAAAGCACGGTATCAGCTTCTGCATGGGATAAATCAACCATTCAAACATTGAATCATTGGATGCCTTCAAGGATGTCTTATTATATTCCAGATTTATTTCTTCACTTCTAGTGAAACCTTTCCGTGAAATCTTCCCCGGAAACGTACTCGTGCTGATCATATTCATCAAGAGCTTCCTTGAGAATAGCGGCGCCCTCTATAAGATCATCGATTGGCATATTCAGGGCGAGGCTTATACGCAGTCCATCGGGACGTGGGTACGAAAACAATCCTTTGCGGCTGAAAATATTCCAGTCTGTACCAACACTAGCGAAATAATCGATTTCCGAGTGATTCCAGTTCTCTACAACAGCTTTCCGTCTCTTCTCAAGCTCGATGCTGTCGGATTAGTCGGTTTATTCCAGGCCAATCCTGAAGAGTGTGTTACTAGGATGAAAAGAAAAGAAGTGACTAGCAAGATTGTATCTATTCCGTTCTCTCCTCTCTGTTCATCAAGTTTCAAAGCTGGGTTTTATAAACATCTTTGGCGGGGTGATTTGTGAGCTATCATGAGGGGTAAACATTGGGCTGAAATCTAGGTGCCCAGATATATGACCTAAGGTGCCTTTTTAGACCCGTAAGATCGAACATTGAATCTCTCTGCCTCGTTTGTAGTCCAGATTATCTGACAGATGCCACGATTAATCAACTCTTTTGGTCAAGGACCTCGATTGCCGCCGTCGCAGCAGCTATGGCCCACGGTGGGAAGGCGAAAGTCGATGCCATCTCATACGGTTTGACTAGCGGCATAACGGCATCCATGCCTATAATGAAGGGTGCGGGATAGCACCCTCCGGTTAGAGATTTGCTCATCGTCAATGTCCGGTTTGTAGTCATGCCCCAAGTGATGAAGGACAGGAACTTGTCCGTCTTTCCCCGCACTCTGACAAAACTCGTTGGCAAGAATATTTATGGCACGGAGGAAGCAGCCAGATACGCTCCAGTATGAGAGACGCTTAGAAGCAAGGCTGTTGCCTGTGTGGCCGTGTTTGTGTGGAGGTACTACTTCAATGTCAAGAAGAATTTCCTATCCTCAACTCTCGATCACTGCTCTTTCAAGGAAAACCTTGAACAACTGCTCTTCCGAAAGGAAAAGAAAAAGGAAAAAAAAGGGAGGAAAAAGTGAATCACAAAATGTTGTATTTGGGAGAAGCTGGGCCGGGCCTTAAACTGCTCGGCAACTGCATCTTCCTCAACAGTCACGATGCCCTGTTTCCCTATCTCCTTCTGCATCATTTATCTTAGTCAGACTGATCGCAGCATTCTTATCTCGTTTCGACACCAAGCCATACTTATACTCGGAACACTTATCGCCCTTACTTACGTCGCTATAGACTCAATTTCAAATTGATAGAAGTCATAGGCAATAAGGACCTTCTGACACTCAATCGTTATCAAGTTCTACTTGAACTAACATTCTTATGCGTGAGCATTTAAATCACCGTAGCAGCAACATTTTCAGTCTCATAAAGACCTCCGTATAGCACCTCCGTATAGCACCATCTGATCATTTCATGATTCGATTCTCTAAGTCCTTGGGACAACAATTCCTGGAAGTGGACACTAGAACAATCAGCGCGCGTAGACATAACCAATGAGCTGAGCGCGCCTAAATAAATGTCCTCCTGACCCTCTATCAGCGCGCGAAACTTATTGCTATAACTATCAGACTTTTGCCTAAGCGGCTTGTTGTATCTATGCGCTATTATCCGCCCTGTGGAGTAGAAGTCTATATGAACTCTAATGTCACGGATATCCAAGCATTCATCCAAAGATGTTGATTAATCCAAAGAAGATACAGGGTGTATGCCACCAATGCCCACCAATGCCCAAGCTCAAGTGCCCACATTCCCTTCAAACTTTGCGGGGGTATGCATGCTAAAGCATGTTCATGTTTGTTACAATTTCATTAGTCGATAGGGACATTTTATCTGCGGGGTAGTGGTGCTTTCATGTCCTATTTACCTATATATTGGTTAGTTGAAGGCTGGGTGTCGGTTAACTAAGAATTTAGCCCTAACTTGGTCTATTTTCTGGGGTGCTGAAACTCCGTGTCTACAATCCCAGAACTCTGGGTCTTTGTGTCTGCTTTTTGATGGATACTCAGTCAGTTCCTTACCTGAATCAGGTTATTACACAGTTTGCTCTGTACACGCTGGGTGCCGTTGCTATGGTTTACGTCTGCGTCTTTCGAATGAAGGAAACAAACTATTTCTTGGAAGAAAATGTCATCGTACCGGTTCACATTCAGCAAGAAAAGGGTACGATGGAGACAGAGATAGAGGTAGCGGAATGAGAGCTCAATGGGAGCTGAGCACGAGCTGAGAATGTGGCTTCTCTTGGTCAGTAGTGGTTCGAGTTTGGACAAGGGAGGTGACAACTAACACATGTCCTAACTGGTTGTGTAGCAGTTATGCTCCATACTTCCAAAGTTCTACAGTAGAATCTGAATATAACGAAAAAAGGCCTATTTATATCTATACCTAGATACTGATCTCAGCTTTGATTGCTCAAATATGGAACTAAAGAGCATCCCAATTATCAATACTAAGATATGTTAATATTCAGAGTGCTCTTAAAACCTAGTTTCTAAGTATTTAACTCAGATCCTGCCCAGGTGAGAGGACTTCCTTTCGTAATAGGAGCCAGGGTTCTCCTGTACCTAGGTATTCCTATGGCCACCTAAGCATACAAATCTACAAATCTGTTTCTGTAAAAGACTTCCAAGGTTCTTATTTGTGCAAGACCTGTAGCACTTTATACAATGAAAGAAAAGGAGATTTTTTTATTCAATCAAACATATAAAACCAGAAAACTAGCAAAATTTCCCCCTTTTTTGAGTGTTATAACCTTGACTCAGTGGCACTGGGCTGTGCAGTTGTTCCCAAAATATCAACGACTTCTGTTGCCGCGCGCTGCCCTGAACTGAGTGCCCCTTCCAGGTAACCTTTCCACTCAAATGCGGCCTCTCCACCGGCAATGTGAATGTTTTGAAAAGGCTGCCGGAATGCCTGACCGTATTTACTCAACATCCCCGGTCCCATAACACTGGTGGGCGCTCCGCCGATGAATTCCTCCTTGGTCCATTCAACGCATTTGTATTCGAGCACACTGCGCGCCTTATCAGCAAGCTCAGGCCCGACGAGCTCTATAAGATGCTCGATAATAGCCTCTTGACGACCGAGTTTGGACAGTGCATGCCATTTTGTGGCTCCATCGCCGCAAACAAAGAGAGCTAGACTGCTCTGATCTTCGTCACTAATGTCCCAGCTCATGGATATAGGACCAGTATGGCTCTGGAACTTTCCAACGAGTCCAGCCGTACGCCACCAGGGCTTGAGATATGTGAGGATAACTTTTGCATAGACACCAGCCCGGGTGTTGCTAACAAGAACCCTCTTTTCCCGTGGCAGTGGTGGAGAGAAGTCGATCAAATCGTACGTGTTGGTTGGAACTGCGAGTATAACTTTTTTCGCTCTAAATTGCTGACCGTCTTTGGTGGTCACCAAACAAGGATGGCTACCGCCCTGATATTGGCTAATTTTGCTAACGGGAGTGTTTACAAAGACAGATCCGTGAGGCATCGACTTTGCGAGTGCTTCGGCGATAGCGGATGTTCCTAAACCGGAAATAATTTAGATTTGTTTGGGGGTAGAAGGAAGATTGACTCAGGGAAAACGAAAACCACGGAATACGAACCTGGCTTTACTTTCAGTGATTGTGCACCAATTTCGCCTTCGCTGATTATGCTCTCAAACCCGAATCCAGACTGGAGGTAATCTAGAAAATAGTGTGCTCCAACTTCGTGTGCCTCTCGGCCTACGACAGTTCTCGTCAAGAAGCTGCAAAAGTCGTCCAGCTCGCTCGAAGGCTCAACACCTTTCAACCTGGCCCATTCGTCAAAAGCAACATCCTCCTCTGCCTTGATATCATCCCATTTTCTAATATTCCGCTCGGCGATGGCTTCCTTGAGGATAACAATGAACCTTTCGAACTGCGTTGATAATTTTGGATCTTCAGTCTAAAAGACAGAGATAGAAGTTAGGTCAACAACTGCTGCTCTAGAGTGATAGATGTGTCTCCTTACCAATGCCTCCAAAAATGCTTTTCTATAGACCTTGCCGTTAGATGTCTGGAAGACTTCGTCACCAGTTACATACTGTTCTATAGTCTTCAATTTGAACTTTTGAGTTAGACTGTAGATCAGGGGTTGTGTGGTTTTGTTTATCCATGTAGCGCCAAGCTCAACATGGCCGTGACCACTTTCTAGAGCTTGCGTCCAGCTGCGACCCCCAATCCGGTGCCGAGCCTCGAGAACAGCAACCTTCAGGCCGGCCTGTGAAGCTTCGTATCCGGCCATCATCCCGGAGAATCCGCCTCCAACAACCACAGCATCAACCTCAACCGGAGGTGTTGGCCAGACTTTCATCCCAGCACCGCTCGACCATGGCTGCGACAGACCGCTAACATATGCCACCGCTTCTATCTCAAATTTTGCCTCGGGAGTGGCCAGCTTTGGTACTGGCACCAAAGTGGTAATCGGTCGATATGTGACACCATACTCTGTAGTGAAATATTGGAGGTATGGTTCTATGAGCCCGTGACCCATAGTGGAACTGTCCCAATCCACTGCATACCAGATTATCTTGATTATGTCCTTGGGCAAAGCGCCAGCAGCTACCAATGCGCCGGCCAGATTATCCATCGCCTGTTTGGCCTGCTCCTCGAATGTTTCGGGCCATGATCCGTCTTTCCTCTGGGCTATGTGACCTGAGGTAAATATGAGACGACCAGCTCCATTGCAAGATACAGCATGGGAGTAAAATGGCACCTCTGGCTGAAGAGTACTATCAACAAAGGACGGATTCGTAGTCATGGTCATGTTCGTCATCTTGTCCGGATTGATACTCGAGGCTTCTTTTGTCGGATTTGAACTGGAGAATATTAACTTTGGGGATAACAACTTAGTAGATCTGAACTGCATAATTACGGGTTATATATATGTCAAAATAGAAAAGTAATTAGATATTAACTCAAACAGAGGGGCTTCAGGGTTAGTGCTATTGTTATCCACCTTTTGTAACCCGGAGCGCGCTTAGATAGCCTACATATGTACACTGTAGCATAACCACCGATTGCAAACTCGGAGTAGTGAGCTTGATATGCCTCGGATTACTTGAAGCAATTACTATGAAGCAACTTATCGAATCCACCTTGATAGAGGTATGTCTCGGGCATGTGGCGGGAACCGTCCATGCATACCAGGATACATGATATGATCGTTGACTTATCGCGCTCAGCCTGCGCGTTTAGATAAGTCGGGTCTCGGCTTTAGTTGCGTGAATTGTTGAGACCCAAGACAGTTGCATGTACTCATTAATAGCTCATTACCATATACGTCTATAAGGCTGGATTCTAGGCATTAGCTGTTATGTTACTGCAGAAAATGAAACAAAAAGAAGTCATTCATGATCCACCAGATCATATAAGAATATGAGCAGACCCATTCCAGCGTTCTGGGAATCAATTGTTGTATCATAATCGTGGAGAACGAGAGAACCGTCATCATGCCTATTCCTAGATTCGATGTCGCCGTTGTTGGGGCTGGCCTTAGCGGCCTGAGAGCTGCAACTCTGATCCAGCAAGCCGGTTATTCGTGTGCTGTTTTAGAGGCCATGGATCGAGTCGGCGGCAAAACCTATTCTCACAAATCCGTCAAAGGTGGGAAGATCGACCTCGGAGCTGCATGGATCAATGATACAAACCAGAGTGAAATGTTTGCGCTGGCTAAAGAGTTTGGCTTCGATTTAATCAAGCAAAGAACCGTTGGATTGAATGTCCATCAGAGCGCTGATGGGTCTTTTGTGTCTTTTCCTTATCGCTCAGATCTTGAAGTAAGTTGGCATCCACAGCTTTCATAATAGTCGTAATCCTTCATCAAAAGTAAACACTTACACTCTATCTACAGGATTCGCCAGATACTACTCCTGAACTCAAAGGGGCCATTGAAGTTTTCAACAAGTTGGTGGAATCATCCAACTTGGAGCACCCCGAGCAGGGTCCCAACGCGAAAATGCTCGACTCAGTGACCTTTCATGAGTTTATACAAGAATACGCTGGAGAGGAAGGGGTTGCCATGGCGAATCATTTGAGTCAAGCGCTGTTGGGAGTCGAGGCGGAAGAGCTCAGTGCCTTGTATATGATTGACTATATTAAGTCTGGGACGGGGCTTGCCAACATGGCATCTGATGAGAAACATGGAGGGCAGTATCTCCGCAACCGACAAGGTCAGTATTATAAGTGAATGCAGCTCTATGCAGCTCCTGCTGACGTTCTTGAAAACTAGGTAATCAAAGCTTTTCGCTGAAACTAGCCGAAATGCTCGCGCCGAATTCCGTATTCTTGTCCACACCAGTTAGCAAGATTACCCAACTCCAAAACGGGAAGTGCGAAGTAAGCACCAAGACTAGTTTATCCTTCGAGTGCAAACGGGTAGTTGTCTCAGTGCCCACTTGCTTGTATCCCACTATAACATTCGAGCCCGCCCTCCCTGCAGCCAAGCGGACGCTTGCCGAAAACACGGCGCTGGGTTACTATTCCAAGATGATCTTTGTTTTCGACAGTCCGTGGTGGCGAGAGGCCGGATTTTCTGGAGTTGTCACGTCTGATGAAGGTCCTATCTGCTTTTCACGCGACACCTGTTCCGAGGAAGACGGACAATACAGCATTACCTGCTTTCTGGTAGGTGATGTCGGTCGTCGCTGGTCCAAGTTCTCTGCTGCAATGCGGAAGAAGCAGGTCAAGGATCAATTTTATGCTGCCTTTAGAAGCGCGAAGCCTGCACTCCCCACTCTAGAGCCCATTGAGGTGATTGAGAAGGAGTGGGCCAAGGATCCATGGACAAAAGGAGCACCCAGTCCGGTCATGATGCCAGGTACTATGACCAGCGAGTCAGGCCAAGCAATCCGATCAGCCTTTGAAAATGTCCACTTCATTGGCACCGAGACGGCTTATGTATGGAAGGGATATCTTGAGGGAGCGGTGCGGTCAGGGAAAAGGGGTGCGGCGGAAGTCGTCCATGCTCTGGGCCAACGTCGGGCCAAGGTCTAGTAAGCAAGATGGACATATTGAGAATGATAAATGCAACGCTACTCTTATATTATTATATTTTCTGCCTGTAACATATTGTTGGCGAATATGATTAAAAATAAAATGTTACCGAATAGCCCTAAACACTATGTCTGATTAAGGAAATAAAATACCACTAAGAACATACAATATGTACATGTACAATACATATGATCATACAGGTTATGGCTAAGACTACTCCGTACACGCCTTGATAATAACAGGCATATATATCTGAGTATGACTTTTTTTTGAAACATTGTAGGGTTTATCTATCTCTCTGCACCCCGCAAAAGACGAACTTAAACACGCGGCTCGTTTCTTGGGCTCGCCACACCGTAACTATGGTATCAAGATCTAAGCGCGCTGCTTTATCTAAACGCGCTACGACAGGTAGAACCTCAACACAAAGTACTTTCACATCCAAGGTTATGGGACTACGTCCGTGAGCTTCCGAAGTAGAAACTCACAGATAGGACCAACTGAGCGGGGTATACTTTATCATGTTTGTGCTTGAGGCAAATGTGTATACAATCGTCCCTGTCAATGATACGGATAAGGTTGAGCACTTACACAGCGAAGGATAAGAATCAAATGAACCAGAGAAGTCCACGCCTGTATATATAAAGCGTTGTGAACACGACTAGCAATGAAGCTTCTTCTGGGCACAAGCTGAGCATTCTAATTCCTCTTTGCTAGTCTTCACTCTACTTTCCAGACCCGAGAGCCGAAGATGTCTCCCAACATTGAGCCAGTATCAGTAGAGACCTGGGACACCAAACCGCACAATGGGTCAAGCGACAACAATATTCGCCCCGTAGGTAGTACGGCTACGGGATCTGTCATGCCGGATAGCCACTCAATCAAAAAGACCATCGGCCCGATTACCATGATCTCGGTATGCTTCAACATTTGCAACAGCTGGGCCGGGATCACCTCCAGTACTCAAATCGCACTTATACAAGGTGGACCCGTGACGCTTGTGTTTGGCATCATCTTCGCCGCAGTCTTGTACATGGCCATCGCGCTTAGCATGGGAGAATTGGCGAGCGTCTATCCTACAGCCGGCGGCCAATACCACTTTGCATCCGTTCTGGCGCCCAAAAGGGGAAACAGAGAAATTTCGTATATCTGTGGAGTTTTGACTATGTTTTCATGGGTTGCGATTGGTTCCAGTGTCTCAATGGCTAGCAGTCAACAGATCTTGCCTCTCGCGGAGTACTATAATCCAGGCTATGTTGCAAAAGACTGGCATTATTTCTTGGTCTACCAGGCCTTTCTTCTCGTTGTCTTGGTCTACAACATGGTGGCCTTGAAGAAACTGCCCGTGACTCATAATATCGGATGTATGTATCTTGAGGAATCGCCCAATTGTGTTGGAGAATTACTAAAACATGCCCAGTTTTCGTTACACTCTCGCTCTTCTTGATCTCCCTCATCTTCTACACCGTGCGAGCCTCCCCAAAAGCAACAAGCGAGTTCGTGTGGAATACCTTCCTCAACTTGACAGGCTGGCCGGATGGTGTGTGTTTCTTTGCCGCGCAACTCACGACATGTTTCTGTTTTGCTGGACTTGACGGCGCACTCCATCTTGCTGAAGATGCGCCCAATCCACGGACGGCAGTGCCTCGAGCTACTGTGACTACTGTCTTGATTGGATTTACGACTGCGTTCTCTATCGCGATTTGTATTCTTTACAGCATCTCAGATTTTGAAAGTCTACTAACAATTGATGGGTTTGTCTAACAGAACATCTCTATTTCGGGAGAACTCCAGCTGATACATTCAGACAGATATGTGCCATTCGAGATTATGAGACAAGCATTCCGTTCCAACAACATGGCCGTCGGGATATTGATAGCTAGCTGTTTCCTCTCGTTCTTCATTCTGAACGCCGTCGTCGAGACCTCGTCCCGAATTGCATGGGCCCTTGCCAAGGACAATGCTCTCCTGATGTCAAGTAAATTAGAACTGGTTCACCCGGGCCTCGAAATTCCAACGTGGTCACTCATTTTCAGTTGGTTCTTCATTGCCTTGACTGGAGTAGTGTTTGTGATATCTTCAACCGGTAAGTACACCACCTTCTTACGGAAGGCCTGCACGCTCATCTCATGTTTTAGCTTTCAACGCCGTGCTTGCTTCACTAATAGTCCTTCAACTACTATCATTTTCCATACCGTGCGCTCTGTTACTGTACCAGAGACGCTCCGAGGAATATTTACCTGCAGATCGCCTTTTCCGCCTGCCACATTGGCTCGGATTTACGGTTAATGCCTATGTGGTGGGAATTTCCTTGATGCTGACTGTGTTTTTTGTCTTGCCAACATTTTTACCAGTCACAGCTTCTACCATGAGTATGTTCATGACCTCCATTCAAGCGTTTTTTAGGTGCTAATATGTGATTCAGATTATACAGTAGTCATTCTGGCTATAGTTGCATTGTTATCGACCATTAATTGGTTTCTTCATGCGGGCCGGGCATACCAGGGGCCTAGGATTGAATATAATTATTGATATTTCTTGGGGGAAATGTATACTTTATATAACCTACATAAACCTTGTCTCGAAAACATAATACAACCCTAACCCTTATCTTATCGCTTTTAAGGTTGTCCCGTGTCTTTTCTTTTCATCCCACTTTGGACTTAACCAAATACTTTAATTTGATCACCCAGATCGCTTTCAGATATTGACAGTCTTGTCGTGAGCAAAATGTCATCCTCCTCCAAACTACCATACGGCGTCCGCGCAAAGAACCATCCTAACATTCTCGTGCGTAAACTGTTCGCAATCGCCGAAGCCAAAAAGACCAATGTGACCGTCTCAGCAGACGTAACAACCACAAAAGAACTTCTCGATCTCGCAGACCGTACGCTCTTCGTGTCCTCCTATCAAGGAAAAGGAAAATACTGACTATACAGAACTCGGCCCCTACATCGCCGTCCTCAAAACCCACATCGACATCCTCTCCGACTTTAGCCCCGAAACTACAACCGGACTAAAACACCTTGCGCAAAAACACAACTTCCTCATCTTCGAAGACCGGAAATTCATCGACATCGGCAACACAGTTCAAAAACAATACCACGGCGGCGCACTACGAATCTCGGAATGGTCACACATTATAAACTGTGCCATCTTACCCGGTGAAGGGATTGTGCAAGCTCTAACCCAAACCGCGACGGCGGATGATTTCCCTTACGGTAATGAGCGGGGTTTACTCATTCTTGCTGAAATGACGTCCAAGGGATCCCTAGCTAAAGGGGAATATACTACGCGTTCAGTGGATTATGCGCGACGATATAAGAAATTCGTTATGGGGTTTGTGTGTAATCGTGCATTGACCGAGGAACAATCGACCGAAACATCAAAGAGCGAAGATGAGGATTTTGTGGTTTTCACTACGGGAGTAAATCTGGCTTCCGCGGGCGATGCGTTGGGTCAACAATATCAAACGCCGCAGTCGGCGGTGGCTCGAGGCGCGGATTTTATCATTTCGGGTAGAGGGATATACGCTGCTCCTGATCCGGTGGAGGCTGTTAAACGGTATCAGGAGCAAGGATGGAACGCCTATCTTGAGCGAGTGGGTTTGTGATTCTCGTCTTTGTAGTTAGGTATCGGTAGATGCCGTCAACGGGATACAGATGCCTATACAGGTATAATCGGAGCATATCAGTCTATCAAGTCTAGTCACACTCTAGTGAATTGAATGAGGGGATAGAGATCTGCACCCTTGTCCACCCTTATCTTGTATAGTGTATCCTCCCCACATCGACTTCACCCTCTATACCGAGCACGGCATGGAATCACCAGGTATCTTGCAGTTGACATAGTCTGATTGGCAGAATAATGTACAAAGAGCACACCATTCTAATCTCCTTCCTCTTTGTGCAACATCATATTTATCTCCTGCATCTCCTTGAGGCCGACAAGCTGTTGAGTAGTACTTAAGACCACCCCTCGCTACCCCAATCCCTTATAAACCAACATTCATGTATATCTAGATGCACTTGACATAATATACAAAATGGATGAAAAACAAGCAACAGTCAGCGACAGACATGTCGACGAGCGCATCCTCAAACACTCTCACGATGCCGACGAAGCGCTCCAAGCAATTCAACAGATCGACGGCCAAGTAATCGAAATCGATGCAGAAACCAACAAACGCCTCCTTAGGATTATAGATTGGCATTTGATGCCGTTGATGTGTGTTGTTTATGGGATGAATTATTTGGACAGTATGTATCCGTGGTCTTCTGATTATCCGAGTATATTGGCTGAGGGTTGGCTAATTTGTAGAAACCACAATTTCGTATGCGAGTATCATGGGCATGCAAAAGGATCTTCGTCTCAAAGGGAACGATTATCAGTGGCTGGGGAGTATGTTCTACTTTGGTATGTGTTATACACTCTTGGGCTGATGGAGTATACTAAGATGTATAGGTTACCTTGGCTGGGAATACCCAGCCAGCCAACTTCTGCAACGCATGCCCCTAGGAAAATACTCTGCAATCTGCGTCGTGCTCTGGGGCATGGTCCTGGCCTGTTTTGCAGCCGTGTCCAACTTTGGCGGTGCAGTTACCATTCGATTGTTTCTGGGGATCTGTGAAGCTTCAGTTACTCCGGGATTCGCATTACTCACTTCTCAGGTATGTACCTCACTCTTCTGTAACACACGCACACACTGAATGAATAGTGGTACACCCGAAAAGAACAAGGCCAACGAACTGGGTTATGGTTCAGTTTCAACGGCTTCGGCCAAATCGTCGGCGGCCTAGTCGCATACGGCATCGCGAAAGGAACAGATAAATACGGCTCTTCAATTGCGCCGTGGAAGATCGTGTTCTTGGCTACTGGTCTATTCACCATCGTCATCGGTCTGGCCTTTCTATGGGTTGTTCCGGACAATCAGTTGAATGCGCGATGGTTATCCGAAGAAGATCGCGTACTAGCCGTGGAGCGAGTACGCATCAATCAGCAGGGGATCGGTAATAAGCATTTCAAAATGTATCAATTTAAAGAAGCGATGATGGATCCGATGACATGGGCGTTTGCGTTTTATGCGTTGGTTGCTGATATTCCGAATGGTGGTCTTACGAATTTCTTCAGTCAATTGGTTTGTCTCCTTTTCCTCTGGCTGGTCGAGTGGATGAAGCTGATTTGTGTAGATTGAGAACTTTGGGTACACCGCAGAACAGAGTCTGTTATACGGTTGTCCCGGTGGAGCAGTCGAAGTCATTGCATTGATCTCCAGTGGATTTCTGGGCGACTGGCTCGGACGACGACTGCTATGTAGTATGGGCGGCTTGGTGAGTGCCATGGTCGGAATGATTCTGATCATTGCATTGCCTCTCTCCAACAATGACGGCCGATTAATCGGATATTACATGACGCAAGCCAGTCCGACGCCGTTTGTGGCCTTGTTGTCGATGATTTCGTCAAATGTTGCTGGATATACCAAGAAGACCACTGTCGCTGCTATATACCTGATTTCGTACTGTGTGGGGAATATTATCGGTATGTTGAAACCTCTCAGCTGAGAAATAAAAGCTGACAAAAGCAGGTCCGCAAACGTTTCGTCCCAAAGATAAACCTCGCTATGTCCCTGCTGAGATCACCATTGTGGTATGCTATGGAGTGTGTCTGATTGATATTGCGTTTATCTGGTGGTGGTATTCCAAGGAGAATAAGAAGAAAGCCATGATCCGGGCAAGTGAGGGATATGCGAAGATGGAGAATCAAGAGTAAGCTTCTACCCTGGTAGATTAACACTGTGTTAATCCAGACTAATGTGTGTAGGTGGCTCGATCTGACGGATGGAGAGAATGCTGAGTTTGTGTATACTCTTTGATTGATTGGATGGATTTCATATAGTTGATATAGCCAATCATATTGTTTAGAGATAGGAACCCCACTTCTGTTAAAGAAGACTGATTGGCTGATGATAGTCCTCACCGCCCGGCAAGAAATATTTTATCCAAAGCTTCTTCATCTTCACTCAACTTTACTACTACACCCCATAAATAAAAACACGAGTCTCACTTCTATATTTACCAAAATGGTCCGCCAACTAAAACACCACGAGAAAAAGTGTGTCTCCCTCAAAAAGAATAGAGAAACATAAACTGACCCACTAGACTCCTCCGCAAAGTAAACTTCAACACCTACAAATCCGAAAACAACCACCGCGAACACTCCATCCGAGCGCGCTACTACCTCCAAGGAACCCAAGACTACGCTAAATACAATGTCTTGTGCGGGAATTTACGAAGTTTAGCGCATAAACTCTCTGCTTTGGACCCCTCCGACCCGTTTCGTAAACAACTCGAGTCTGAGATTTTGGAGAAGTTGTGGGCGATTGGGGTTTTGAAGCAGTCGCGGGAACAAGGGGCGGGACTGTCGAGGGTGGAGCATGATGTTACGGTTTCTGCGTTTTGCCGAAGAAGGCTGGGGGTGTTGATGACGAGGAATGGGATGGTGCAGGATGTTAAGACGGCTGTTAGTTTGTGAGTTCTCCTTTCCCTCGGTCTCAAATTGCGGTGGATTAATAATAGGTAGGATTGAGCAAGGACATGTCCGTGTCGGAACAGAGGTTGTTACTGATCCCGCATTGTGAGTACTGTCACTCTTTCAGGAATATCAGACTAACAGTTCTAGTCTCGTTACGCGGAATATGGAAGATTTCGTTACCTGGGTCGACTCGAGTAAGATCAAGAGGACTATTATGAAATATCGGGACAATATGGATGATTTCGATTTGATGGTTTAACGGGCTGTTATACCGAGAGGTGTTTACAAAGTGCATAGCGAGGCGTTAGGATTAAAACTAAAATGGTATTCTTTTCTATTTACATGAAATATGCTTGTATGGGTATCCTCTGATGCAACGCACGAACATAATCAAAATCCAACAAATCAAATCCGACGTTTTAGATGTATCAAATCGTCTCATGTCATATCGTGACTCATCAAAAACAAGACCATCTCCCCTTCTCAAGTTTTGGTCCTGCCGTCATTCCCTTTGTAGAATTTATCTCCGCCCCTTTCTCATTCTTTTGATCGACGACTTCACCGTCGTCGACATCATCAGGAATATCCATCCGAAATCTCCTCACACTTCCCTCATAATTCTTACCGTTCGGCGCCTCCTCATAAAATGGAACCCGTCCATCCGTGGAGTGCATACAACTAGGCGTCCAGCGACGCCATATCCGTCGAAACCCTCGATTGTTGCGATCGATTTTTTCGTATTCGCGACGACGGGTGCTGGGGGACGTCCATTCTGTTACTGTCGGCGGTATCATTACCTGCTGAGGAGGTAGATCTGGGGTTGGGGTAATTTTGTCCGTGTTGGTACGATTAAGATGCCTAGGAGAGGGAAGGAGATCTTCGTCGGAAATGTCGTGGTCGTATCCCAGGGGGAATGAATGCGAACGTTGAGATTGCAGGGTCGGTGATGCTCCCGGTGATATTATTGCCGTTGAGCGTGTATCTGATCGTATGAGTGTATCAACCGGTGTACTAGGATCTTGGAACAGGCGACAACTCTCTCGATGCAAGGCGATGAGTTGCTCGCGGCGCTGCGGTGACATGCTCCCATTCATACTTCCGCGTGATTGCAGACTGGGTGGTGGCTGTTGCTGAAGACTCTGCGAGGTTGTTCGACGACTATGCGTTGGACGTCGCCCCGATGAAGAATGTCCTGCTGTACTGGATGAGGTTGAGCGGGTATGTCGTGCTCGTTGTGAAGTAGATGATGCTCGAGACCGAGACTTTGTCTTTGGACTGGCTGGTGTATGCATGTTGCGCGTATCTTCCATATCTGCAGGAAGAGTTACAGGAGTCGTAGGGAGAATCGTTTGGTCGCTGTGAGTCGTATTTGTACTCGATATTTGAGTCAGGTTGGTGTAATCATTGTCAAGACTGGCGTTTGGAGATGTTCCTGTGGCTGTATTGTAGCCATCACAAGCCACTGAAGTAGCTTTTGCTGTAGAAATGCATCCTGGGGTCATGGATTGAACCCCAGTAGATATTTGCATGTAAATAAGAACAATATGACACACCCTCAAGGAGTACAATAGAGCAGCGAGTCACTTGGTCTGTTGTCTGAATGCAATGGTGATTCACAAGTTTTGCATGTGATTTCTGACGCACGTCCTTGAGCCCAACTCTCTTCTCCCTTTGCTTTCTGACAATCTTCCTTTCCTTTCCTTTTTTGACTTCTTTCTAGTTGAGTGACTTGAGTTACGTATCTCGAAAATAGAGTACTCTGTCAGCACTCTAATTCTCGCCGTTGTCGTACAACCCTGTAACCTGCAAGGGACGACCAGGATACCTCACCAAACTTCGAGAAGAGTCAGAAGAACACCTGCAGGGACAGGGACTACACAGCCATATTTATCAGGGAACCCAACATGACATACTACATAGTGGACCTCCGCAACCAGAAATTGTCTTGTATCATGAGCTTTGATGGTGGAGTTGACCCGCCAGCCTCTCAAGTACATATTCTGCAGCATTTTCACAAACAGGTACCTCCAACTCCACAGTCGGGGTCTGTCCAACCACACTGACAGAAGAACTTAAGTTTCGATGCCCGTTCCTTGCAGAGTTTGGCCACTCATAGGTCGGAATCAGGAGACGTTCATATACTAGATCAGGACCCCGTTGTAGCCACAATCTATCAGTCTCCACTGCGTTCACTCACTGCCACTGCGTGGCGGGCACTACAAGTACTGTCTGGTGGTAGAAGATGGTGAGTATACAAGCGGCGAGATGCCAAACCCTAATCCTGCCATCAACACCGCATATCGAATCCAAAAAGCCGATTACCCGGCCATGGACTTTTTTCCGGCTTTGCCTTCAGTCTTGACTCTTGAGGACCGAAAACTGCCAAGAATAACGCACGCAGATTACAAATAGAGTGGCGCTTGGCCTAGAGTCTGGCCAATCTCACCGCTGTTATTAGTCGAGCGGTGTGCTTACTTGATTGTCATTGTCACGAAGTAACTTACTTACTGGTAAGTATTATGAAGAGTAAAGGGTCTGGTCTGACTTATCCGCCGTGGCAGTCATCATCTGACCAGTTCTCCAAGTCTGACCGTCTTATCACAAACTCAAACCAAGCCTGTGCACATACCTACCAGATCCATATCAACTCGGCGTTCAAAACCGACCAGAGAAAAAAAGACGGAGCGATTTTCGTCTACTGCGGGGTCCCGTCCCGTCCTTTTTATCAGACTTATCGCCAAGTTCTTTTTTAAGTGACTGCACAGTACCTGCCTTGTTGGGTATAGCTACCTGGCAATCCTAATCCGTGACTAGGAAATAGAAAGTAAAGCGATTGGTTTGGCTACTTCGTACAGAGGTAGAACACACGTGGATTCAGGATTGGAGACTGAGGGTTAGGATCGCTGTGTAGTCCGTGTTGAGTATCGTTATCCTTTCCGGATCGGGTAAGAATTCTTCCTTTGGCTGGATGTCGGTCTGCTATGTCATGGGCATAGATGTCTATCTTATGCTGATCAGTTACCTCATGAACAGTATTACGTATCGTGGGCTTTATGTCTTGTTAGTATGTTCACTGCTTTGTCTAGGAAATGTTCACCGGGTCTTCAGTATGTAGTTGGTAGGTACTTAACTCTATAGTAGGGTTATCGTCTAGAATACTTCCGGAGTGTATGAGCTGGGAACAACGAACGAGCATCACATCTAATCGCTGAAGAATATTCTATAATCTACAACTCATCCTTGACCTCACCCACAGAAACAACCGGTCTCCCCAAATCCAGCCCCAAATCAACCCCATTCTTCTTCCTCCATTTCTGCCACAGAGCATGAAAATCCTTCTCCATCCCACTCTCCATCTGATCCGGTAGGATGACTGTATACTCCACATACAAATTCCCATACTCTTCAGTATCATGATCATGATCATGATCATGCAAATGTCCCTCACGATAAATCGGCATCCCCTGGCCTCTGACCGTCTCAACAGCCAAGGGTTGAACGACCTCTCCTCGTTTTCGACTTAATTGCACAACATGGCCGTCTAAATGCGTCAAATTCCGCGTCCATTCGCCCATCCACGCTTCCCGAAGAGACAGCACTTCCTTCCAGAATAAATCCTTTCCCTTTCGACGGAAGAACGTGCCATCCGTTCTTTCGCCGTCGTTAACACCCAACGCCGGTTCATCTTCAGCCAATATAACAACCAGGTCGCCCGCAACCCAATCCGGACTCTCGTCCGCCTCATTCTCAAACGTGAGTCGTGACCCTTTACTCATCCCCGGCTCAATGGTAGCCGATAACGTACTCGCTTTCCTAACCACACGTTGCCCATGACATACCGGACAGGGACTTTTAATCGATTTCCCCTTTCCACCACATTTATCACAATGTGTTTGAACCTGTTTATACATCCCGGGGGCAATCATGTGTTTTTGTATCACTATCCCGCGTCCACCACATTTATTACATGTTTCCACCGTCCCATCGGCCGATCCACTTCCTTCACACGATTCGCAAATCTGTTGTTTTTCAATACTGAATTCTAAATCTCGTCCCGTATAAAAATCGCGTAGCGGTAAAGAAAGTTTGACTTCCATGTCTGGTCCCTTGCGGTGTCCGCCGCCGTGGCCGAAATGTCCTCCTCCACCAAAGAAGCGAGAAAATAAATCGAAGGGATCATTACCGCCGCCACCGCCGCGACTACCGCCCTGTTTGTGTTGTTCGAGTCCTTCGTGACCGTATTGATCGTATATTTTCCGCGTGCTGGTTGTCGAGAGCACTTCGTATGCTTCGGCTATATCGACGAATTTCTTTTTTGCGCTTTCATCGCCCCTACACCACCATCACCATTAGCGTGGCTCACTACTAGAAAGGGAAGGGAGACGAACGGATTCTTATCAGGGTGAAACTTCTTACTCAACGTCCTATAAGCGCGTTTGATGTCTCGCTCGGATGCGGATTTGTCTACCCCCAGAATCTTGTAATAGTCCTCCGCGCATAAGGTTAATGGTAATATTAGGAGGACGGATATGACGAGGAGGAAGTGGAATGGGATCATTTTCTTCTTTCCTCGGAAGAGGGCTTCCTTCGTAAGGTTTCTTTCGTGGTTCTCCGATGGATGGGGTTCGAATGGATGGAGATCAAGGTGACGAGATCAGTTTATCATGGTTGATACAGACAAATACACATTGCACATTCTTGTACAAGTAATTGACTCTTGTGCATTAAAGATTCTATTGACAGCTACCGGTATTTGGAAATTAGCTTAGGTGGCCGTATCTCCGCAGGATCATTGTTTCCCCGACATTGTGCACGTGACAAATAGCTCTATTTATTATTACATATCTGATGCTTACATTGTTGTGAAACTTGAATTAGAATATCAAACATGTACTCCGTATTCGTAAAACATCCTGTCATCGTATATAGGGATATCGACTAATTCGCAGAACCCACACTGACGTCAAAAATATTGTTCCGCCACGTCAAATGAAGCCCATCATTATTCTCACCCTCTTCATTCTCATCAATCACATCATGAGCTCTCTCTGCTTCGTCCCTCCAGACCTTGACTATGCTGCCCGGTGTATATACATCCTTGAACACCCCGCTTCTCGGCGGGTACGCGCCTACCCTCGAATATACATCAGGGTTGGCGTACGCCTTCGGCCGCGCAAGCAAGGCTCGAATAAACGTCGCGAAATCTTGAGGATTAGCGATATTAACCGCACGCAAGCGCTCTCGCGCAAATACCAGCTCCCTGTTGATTGTCACCACCAAAGACACAACGTACTCGGCGATCTTCCGTTCTAATGTTCGGCGAATCAATTGTTTCAAAAACGGCTTGACGAGCCACAGCAAAAACCTCCATCGGCTGCGCTGAATCTTATAGTCGAGTTTATGTATATGCACGCGGACGCCCCTTAATGTGACTAGATGAGCGAGCCGGTCTCGGCCGATCTCCAGATCCACAGCAACGTCTATACCGCGCTCGTCAAGGAAGAAACTGCCAATACCTTCGTCACTAAATCGGAAAAGCAATCCACTATGGGCCCGAATCCAGTAGCCAAACTCTGACGCGCTAATGTTTAATCCTTGTAGATTCACTGTGAGTATAGTTTTGATGTCCGTCTTTGCCTTTTTCGAGTGCACCTTTGCCAATTCCATGTTGGTCTTGGAAGTGACAAGAACCTTGTATGGGAAGAATGAGGAGTGGTTAACTGTCCTTCCTGGTTCCAGTACCAGATTTTCAACCAGCAAGTCCATTTCCGGAACCGAGATTTCGAGTCTTGGGATAGGAATATACTGTATGCTGCGAATGAGCAACGGAAGGAATGTATGTACGGCATCAGCGACAATTGTACTTGTTTCGTTGGCATAGACATTCGATACGTCTCGTATAATCTTCTTTGCAGCTGCGTTCATCTTGGCAATACTCGGATCATCAGGTATTGACTTTAGTGTTCGTCTAACTTGGTGTAAAAATGTCTCGATATCATGTCGAAGAGTGGATTCATTATCCACATTTTTGGATTGCTCCTTGAGCTTATCAAGTCGTTCGGGAGCCGAGTCAAAAAATGCAGGGTCTGTTAGCATATCTTGCAGAGATTTTCCGATATTGCCTAACAGAGTCTCAAATTCTGGGTCCTTGTTGGCATGCCTCATTACATCGTAGAAACACTCTTCCAATTTCTCCCACTCTTGGCCATTCCCAAATGCGCGCACCAGAGTCCAGAAGCTGTCGACTGCTTTCTTGAGATCCTTGTTAACTTCCACGTCTTCATTGACGGCATTTGCTGTTTCCTCCGCGGCATTGGCATATATCATCCCGTATCGTTGCACAAGTTTAGACAAGGTCGATACCGAGTCGGAGTAGTCATTACGCTTCCGAAGCTTGAGGACAGCTTGTTTGAGTCGATTGAGCAAAGCATCCCTCTGAGGACCTGCCAAGTTCTGCTCTGCACTTTCTTTTGCGGCTTGACCGGCGTGAACAAGTCCTTGCTCTGCGGTAGTTGCTATTTCATTGACATCTTTCTTGAGATCGTCCTTGCTGGGTTGTTTCCCATCGTCGGCACCGGCACCGTCAACCTTTTTCAACTCGTCCCGTGAGGGCTCGGCAGCCTCGGCGACTTCGTGGGCAGCTTCAGATATGGTGTATGTAGTGTCGGCAAATACTTGGCGACCAATAGTTGCGACGTCATCGAGAAACAGGCGGAAGTCTGAGTTTGTGAGGAGTAGGCCACCGACCGTACGCAGGCTGTCGTAGGCTACACTGGTCAGTATAAACACAGGAATAAACTGGTTGCGCTCTTACCAGCTCGAGTATTTGCTTGCGATGTGGCATGTGTAGCTTGACTGGACAGAGCTGATGCGTTGATTGAGACTCTAGACTTGGAAAGATGCCAGAAGAATTCCTGGATTTGATCTTCATTATTCTTCTCCTTGAGTAGCTCAATCAACGTCTTCATCAAAGTCTTTACGTCGCGTGCAAGTTGACGGCCTGGCTCACTCAGGTCATCACTGCGGGGGTTGAGAACATCCGATGCCAAGAGAGTACGCAGGTTGGTGATGACTTGCTCATTTGACGGCATGTAACCCTCGGAAAGGGCCTTGAACATTTGATAGGAATGAAGTTTTTGGCGCAGTTGGCGTTGGCGGGAAGTGTCCTCTTCATAGCGAGGCAGCAGAGGTTCGGTATCGTCTCCTCTGCCGCGCTTTGATTTTCGAGAACCGCAACAGGATGACATGTTGATGATTGTCGGTCAAGAGGTCTGTAATTAGAAACTAAGGAATCTGATGATAATCTCAGAATGCTTGATAGAAGAGTAGAGAGGTGGTGATGTTGAGGGGAAGAAGAGCGAGAATGACGTTGTCCCGGATTCCAAGGTTGGCAGCTGCCCACCCAGCCTGAGCTCGCCATTGGTCCGTTGTCTCATAGCGTGCATGTTTATATATCAACTCCAGTAACGTTGATTAGTGTCTCAATGTCAACATGTTGCTGGTACAGGTGAAGAGACATATAAACTATCAATCAGTCAATTCAGTGAGATAGATAAAATTGCAAGCTTGATGTTTTTAAGGTGGAGCTCAAGATCCCCCGGACAAAGTGGGGCGTCGAAATAGCTTCAACCTGGGTCTTCAAAGCAATACGTACGAACTGCTGAGATTATTTCTCAATACGAACATACAGTACAGAACCAATGCTCTAACCATTGGCCGCCACAATGTTATGTATTTCCAAGCCAAGTCCGGCTCGTTTCTGCTACGGCTTAGCTGCTGTTCCCCTCTTTCACTCGATCACAGCTGCATGAGTCATTCCTCTCTACAGAGTATCAGACTTCTCGGGAGTTTTAGGGACTCTCTCCACGAAGATCAAGCACAAAGCCCGATTTGAAGAATTGAAGATAAACTCAACACGATCTAGACTTTCCGAGACTTCACCGAGATTTAAATGCGGTGATGGTGTTGGATTTGCATCCCTTCAGGCCTAGCCGGCCTCAACAAGACACACAAAGATACCCTCCCAATCGATAAGAATACGAATGGATCACCGGCCCGATTCAAACGTCGTTTTCCTATTTGCGAATGCATCTGCGGGGAACAACTCAAGTCGGCAGATTGTATCTTCACCATCTACGGAGTTACTCCATGTGCGAGTGCTGACAGCCTGACAGACAGTGACAGTCCATGATCCTCGCAAGCCAGTCGGTCATACCGTCGTACAAATCAAGTAAAAGCAGCCGTACCCCATTTTTCGCTCAGATGCCGAAGGAAAAGCCGGAGTCAGACCCTGCGGAGGTAAGTCCGGCTAGGGCTTGTATTATATAATGTATGTAGATGGTTTCCCTCGGAGAGGACATACCCCACACGGCACTACATTTAGCCTAGAAATGTTGACTCGGGCTTATGAAAGGCACGTTGGCAATGACAATTGAATTTGTGAATGTTAGACGCACCAGGAGTAAGTTAGATCAAGATAGGCACGTTTACAGAACACAGAGAAGTATCAAGCCGTCTGTATGGAGTAGCTGGAAGCGGATTTTGTATCTTCGACTTTGCAATTTTCGGTTCTCGGCGAAATGGACCAATCGGAGCCGCTACCCGAGTGCAATTATTCATTTACCTTCCGGCGATCTCATGCAAAAAAAAGAAAAAAAACAAGAAAAAAGATTCTTGACTCTGGCCGGAGTACTGATACTCTGTACTGTTGCCCAATATCGTCCATTGTTCGGGCTTCTCTTTCCTGGATCAGCAGTACTCATTCTACATTGCAGACAGCAGCATGTCGGACTTGGACATGCACGATTACCCAGTCTGCATTCTTCAATGCATCTATGACCCGATTCCCAACTATGCATGTTCTTCCCCCTATCAACTCTGGCATTAACTCTGTCAGAAATAGAGGAGGCATCGGATGTATCATCTCAAGGCTCAACGCCAAGAGCCATCCACGCGACAGGCTAGCTGGCTCCACTTTCAGTTCCCACCGATGGATCCATCCGTAGACTACGGAGTAGAGGTTCGAGAACGAGACGAGAGCCCGGAGTATTCCGTAGTTCACTTAGATGTAGCCAGTGTGGAAGTCAAGAGCGATCGCAGTCAAAGGCTGTATGAATATGAACTATGACTTCTACTACTCTATATACTACAAAACATCCTAGATGCCTAACAAAGACACAGCAACTTCCCGTCCCAACAAAACCAAAATCTCCTGACATAGCCCTACTCGCTAGACCTGCCGCGTGAGACGTCGTACGCAGTACTAAGCAGTACGGGGCCATGTTACATACAATACCGTACAAACATACCGTACGATCGCGCAGCGGGAGCCAAGCCTAACCGGGAAATTAGGAGCTTCTCCACGAATGACAAATTACCGCTTCGGGCCATTAGTATCCACTTATCTTAGTCCGGCTTCCAGAACAGCTTCAGCCTGCAAGGGATATATTCTGTTTTCTTTTGATGCAACACCCAGGAACGTACTATTTCTGCCGGACAATGGCTTGTAACTTTGTGGAATTGGATTCAGAATCAATCAATAGTCCCTGATTACTTGCATAAATGCCTCGTTACATGTCACACAGAAAGCTTCAATTCTGAATGTTGGGGAAAAAGACAGATCGGGCTGGAAGCTTAGCTTAGCGTCCCGGCTTCCCGGGCTGAGTGCCTTAGTCACTTCCTACACTTCCAGCAGTCAGAATCTTCGTAAACAACTACTCCGTAGACATGCTGAAAAATCAGCGATATTCCTGTGTACTCTCTGGTACGTTGCGTCTAGTCGTCTAGACCGTGTATACTTACTCAGGAGATGCTCCCCAATTGGGTGATTGGAAATCAATTCGGACCCATTCTTTGAGACTTTGACCGACGCCGTTTAAGGCTCCCCCCGACTCTTCCCGATATTCCTAGTCCTGCGAAACTTAGTGACTCAAGCTTTTCTGGGGTTATACTGATACCATTGATACTTCAAGAGAGGCATTCACATGCACAGGCTGGCCTGGATGTTGATTGAAAGTCCAAGCGAGTGAGTCCGGTGACACGATCTAGTCAGCTAGTACATACAGACTGACAATTGATGATTCACAGGGGCATTTAGTTTACTGTTTTATTATCCCGTCGAGTCTTATTCTCCTAATACACCCGTGCCTGAATAGGAGTCAGACTTAGTGGCACACTACCTGGGTCTTATAAAGTCATAACGTTACCTTTGGGTTTTAACTAGGGGGTCATGTTCCGACATATACATACACGGACCCGTCCGCACTTTGTCCATGCGAAAGCTTTTATCTCAACCTCCTCGTCTCTTCCAGCTCCCATTGCTTCTGCTGTGAATCAAGCTTCCGAGGTTTCCTTGACGCAATCTGCTACCGACGAGATGACTGCTTCTCATTCACACCCACCGCTTCCTGCGTTGTCGGGTACGCAGCTCCGCGCAACTCATCATATTCCTCAGCCTACTTATGGGGCGCAATCGTACGTCTTGGCCCTTTGATTGAATAGAAAAGAAGCTAATAGGTGCTATAGAGAAGGAACATTCGATACCGCCAACCCTCCCCATATCCGCAAATATCTACGCACCTACGGCCTTACTCCTCCTCGCGCCGAGACCTACGAGACGCAGAAAGCAAGATGTACAATCTTCGAATGCTATTATACGGAACAACACACTGACGATGTCTAGGTCTGGCACAGCTTGCTTTGAAGCAGACTCCCATTGAAAAGTACCTATATTTGAGTACGATCCGTAAAAATAATGTTCACCTTTTCTACCGTCTAGTGACGGATCATATTCGGGTTAGTTGTATAACACCAAGTAAATACATGTGATACTAATGGTTACAGGAATTCACACCTTTAATTTATACACCTGTCGTGGGCGAGGCTTGCCAACGATGGTCCGAAATCTATCAGCAACCAGAGGGTATGTCCTCTAGCCCACCAGCTTAAAAATGCAACTGACAAAAAATAGGAATGTATCTCAGCTACGAAGACAAAGGCAACCTTGCCGCCGTCATTGCCAACTGGCCACAACCCAACGTTGAAATCACAGTCATAACCGATGGATCTCGTATCCTCGGTCTTGGCGACCTCGGAATTAATGGTATGGGTATTCCCATCGGTAAACTCTCTCTATACACTGCATGTGCTGGTATTCGTCCCGAGGCCACTTTACCCTTGACCCTGGACTTGGGCACGAGCAACAAGGCCTTCCGGGAAGATCCTCTTTACATGGGTAGTCGTCGTGACAAGGTGTCGCCGGAAGAAGAGCAGGAATTCCTTGATGAGCTCATGGCCGCTTTGACTGAACGATGGCCTGGTATCGTGATTCAATTTGAGGATTTCAAGAACCCCTTTCCTGCCCTGCAGCGATATCGTCATACATACACCAGTTTTAATGATGATATCCAAGGAACTGGCGCCGTTATTTTGGGCGGTGTAATGAACGCCGTTAAGCGTTCGGGTGTCCACCCCAGGGATCAGCGTGCCGTATTCCTCGGTGCCGGTAGTGCCGGTGTAGGCGTCGCCAAACAGATCGTCGACTACTTTGTGCGCGAAGGCCTGACCGAAGACGAGGCCAAAGCATGCTTTTACCTAGTCGATTCAAGGGGTCTCGTCACCGCAGACCGCGGCGACAGACTTGCCGACCACAAAATCTACTTTGCGCGCAAGGACAACAACAGTCAACAATGGAAAACCCTCGAAGAAGTCATCGACCACGTCAAACCCACCATGTTAATCGGCCTCTCCACCATCGGCGGCGTCTTCACCCCGGAAATCCTCAAGAAAATGGCCACCTTCAACGAACAACCCATCATCTTCCCCCTCTCCAACCCTTCTTCTCAATCAGAATGCGACCTCGAAACAGCAATCATCCACACCGACGGCCGCGCGCTTTTCGCCTCCGGCTCCCCCTTCCCACCAGTAACATACACCAACACCGCCGGCGAAACAAAAATCTATTACGGCGGCCAAGGAAATAATATGTACGTCTTCCCCGGTATTGGTCTAGGAACAATCCTCTCCAAAGCCGTCGAAGTCACAGATAGCATGATCTACGCTTCCGGAGAAGCGCTTACAAAATGCATGCTCCCAGACGAAATTGAGAAGGGATTCTTGTACCCTGACATCACACGCATTCGCGAAGTCAGTGTTGTGGTAGCGCGGGAAGTCATCCGAGCCGCGCAGGAAGCGCAGGTAGATCGCGAAACTGCTATTCGTGATTTGAGTGATAATGATTTGGATGCTTGGATTCGTGTGCGTATGTATAATGCGCATGCTGAAGTGGCCTCTTTGGAACGTGAGGTTGGTGCGTTGTTGTCGTCGATTGGGCGTCCGTTTCCGGCTGGGAATGCGTATTTTGGGAGTTCTGAGGCAGGGGACGATAAGAACGCAAAACTATAAATCAAATATAACCATATAATACATATATACATATATATTTGATATCCATTTGAGCGGTTCGGTCAGCAGCATTTGTTGTGATTATTTTGCATGTTACTTGGTTCTATAGGTACATAGAGGGGTCAAAATTGCAATGAATGGAATTGGATGGGAATGCCATTTTGGGCCATCTATGCTATTAATGTCGTAGAAAGTCAGTCAATGTGAAGTTTTGATGTCACTAAACAATTTCGGAAGTTGTCTTGTTAGATATCCAGAGAGTGTCTCCCCCGTGAACCCGGCTATTTGGATGGTAGTAGATACATGTGACACCGGATCGATAACCACAAACCTATTTACCCATCTGGTCAGAATAACTAGCTGCATAATCTTCGTATCGTATCCAAATCACATGCCCTATTCCTAAACCATCCGACCTCACCCCATCCAGGCTGTGCTGCCGCAGAAACGCCCTCGGGATGAAGTTTACAAGAATCTTTGAGGAATAGAGCGGCGTTCCTAACTTCTCCGATCTGATTCTTCACCGGCTATGACTAGATATATTTATTGTTTCGATCTCGGTGAGATGGATCATCTGATCTCTGGTCATGCATGTATGCTAGCCCTAATTCTCGAGATGTACATACCCGCGGGTGTCAAGCCCTAAGACCCGCTGTATATGCAGGGAGTCACAGGCTCACATGTGAAGATAACACCCATTTACGTTAAATAGTCTTCTGTAGGGATCATAACAGCGTACTCAGTATTGATATGGCCCAGTCAAATTCTGCAAAGTATCAAAATCCGGCATCCATAGAGGCGTTGTAGTGGCCCCTTCACCACCTAATTCCTGATCAATCCACGGCGCCAATTCCATGGCCATCCGCATGGCTTCTTCGGATATATCAAAATTGAATTGAACTTGCGGTTGTTGTTCTTGAGAGGGAAAGTTCGGAAAATCAGGGAAGCCAGGTGCATTTTGTGAAATATTCGGCGGCACGACGGTGTTGATCATATCTGTCGGTGCAGTCCCAAAGTATTGTCGCTTATCGCCGGTCTGATATATATTCGGATTTGTGCTGTTCATAGTATTTGCATATCCCTGTGCAGCCATCATGCCCGCCATACCAGATGTTTTGGCCGCTTCATTTCCCTGCAATTTTTCCATTGTTGCATTCACCAACAGTTCAAATGTATCTCTATATCTCTTGACCCAGGCCGCACGCTCTGTCATGGCAAACAGAACAGCCGAACAAGCCCGGATGTCATTGCTCATACGGACGGACCATACTTTATCGGTATTCGCCCAGAGCGCGTATAGCATTGTTATACCAGAAACAAACACAGTTTGCACGGCAAGGAATGAATGTCCATACTCCAAGGTTTGATGTAGCTTTTTGTGAGCTTGGCATATATCTCCTGATGCTCGGAGACAGATATGATAGTATGGGTCGGTTATGGGAAGTAAAGGTAGAAATGGTTGAATGAGTAGTCGAACCGACCTGTTATAATGTAGCATTGCAAAATCCAACTCGCTCTGGAAGCGTGAGAGCGCAGAGTCTTTCCATGCTTCTAATAGACGGTATAGTTTGTCTATTTTCGGCCTGAGCTCTTGTAGGGGCCTGTCAGCACGGTAAATGGTATGTTGAATCTTTGAGTCAATCTGGCGGATGCGTAAAAGAGCGCGAAATAGAGAAAGACTCGTCGTCTTGTCGGCATCCTGTTGCGCTTGTTCAGAAACTAAAGCTGCAGTGTCACGAACGTCGTCATCCACATCTAAAGGCAAGTCAACATCAATGTGTCGGTCATTGATACTAACAGGCCGTCCCAGGGAAACTGCAATAGCTCGTTCTAGGTAGTATACAGTCCAGAACAGTCGTCGACGAAGCTGAATTGCGTATGCATCCAGCTGTGGTGTGCTGCTCTTCCGATGAAGTCCAAGATCAATGCATGTTCGCATTGCTAGTCCTATCATATACCACAAGCCATGACTAGTGGCAGACCGGAGGTGGTATATCACTAGAAGCAACATGGCTTCGATGTTCTGAATTGACCTAGTCTCGCACGCTGCTGCGACATGTTGGATAGCTGTCATGTAGAATTTCTAGCGCTGTCAGTATCTTTTCGGCATCACAGGTTACCGGACCGAAAAACCTACCTCAGGAGCAATGTAATCATATTTTTCTATGAGTGAAATCAATGTCGAGGCAATAGCATATACCATATAGAGTCTGAATATGCCAAAGCGTTCGCTCTGAGCCAAGTCTTCGGGTTTTGTTCTTGCCAGCCGCCAACGATCGTTGTGCAATTTCCACAACTCATCTCGGTCGAGAAATGGATATCTACTATGCACGCGGTCTATGTACGTATTCAAGATACGCGACCCCATTTCATCGTTGGGAGGATTAGCACGATGCTTCAGCAACTCATCCAAGTTGATTGCTTTATAAGGATGGCTCGTGCTGGTTGTGTTTGTAGCATCACGACTTGACCGTTGATTGCTACTATCTGAAGAATCAGGGAACGCCTTGGTCATAACTGTGGCTCGCACCATCTCGCCCAAGTTAACAGCCAAGGACAGCCCCGAGCTCGATCCAATATAGGCTGGCGACTCTGATGAGTTGAGGGAAAGAAAGCCGACAATTTCACCCAGCATACTACTATTCACCCCAGTTTGAACATTATCAGGTGTTTGTCGCTGTGAAGCAGCGGACAAGGGGTGGACAATGCGGGTAGGATTATCACTTGAGATTGAGGTATCAGCTCTGCGTTCTAAAAGCTCCGTTAGTCTGCCTTCCAAAAAGGCAACACGCTCTTCAAGAGCTCGCGTATATCTATATATACTGTCAATATACTGTCAATATACGCATATATTGTTTAAAGGAAGGATCTGACCCCGATGTGTTGTCGCTTTCATGGCTAACTAAAGATTTATCACACTCAACGCCGGCTTTCCGGCAGTTTGCGCAATCAGGATACTCATTGCCACACTATACAATATCTAAATCAGTTTGTGTCTATTCAGGGGTGATAAGCATACTTTTTGTTTTCGGTTCTTGCAGCGTGTACAAGCTGTCCTGCCACGCTTGCGCGGATTGTACTCGGTGCCCGTCGAAGAGGCGCGAGATGAGTTCATGATTCACATAGCTTGTCTCCTAGATATCCGCATCAACGAAAGCTGATGGTCTATGTGAACATCAAGAGCTTCATGCTGCAAGAAGAAGGAAGATGATTGAAATCAAAAGTTGGAAGGAGGCAGGTATCGCGGTGCGGGGCACTTTCGGAGTCGCTCATTGGACAGACCGAAGATGTTCCTGCCTCAGGCTCAACAATCTCCTAACTTCTACTTCTACGACTTGACCGAAGAGTACTCTATATCAATGTCTTTACATCTACTTCTTGCTATACAAGCGATCAAGTGAAATGAATTGCAACAAGTCTATCATGTTATGGTAAAAGTTCCAGGGTATAATGCAATATGTACCCCTATCCCATGCAAACGTATCAGTCGTAAGTATTATAACTGCTTTTTCTCAATATCGAAGGAAATGTTGATATAAGAGCGTGATTCTCCTGTGAAGAATTACTCAAACGGTTGACGCTTGCTCAGCTTTATCGTTTTCGTGCTCCTCCTTCTCTAATCGATTCTCAAGATCGTGCTGATTATCTTCCTCTTGCTCTGTCATCTCAGGATCAACTTGTGTCGTGGCCTGAGACGCTGTTTGCCCTTCATTCACTGTCACACCCTCCTTTTTTGACTCCTCCTGTTTTCGCAATCCTTTGTCCCGAATGAAGACGCATGCGAGCACACAAAGCCCTACTAATGGTACTTGAAAGATGAAGACCGAATGAGACGCTTTGACATAAGCGTTCACAATCGAGTCCCAATCTGCTGCTGGAATACTGCTTCTATCGGGAAGTGCATATGTGGAATGAGTGAGGTATAGGTATTTAGTTGGGAGGTTCTTCTTGAGAACAGCCTGCAAAATTGCAGCCGATATGGCTAGACCAACTGCACCACCAGCGCAACGGAAAAAGTTACGGATGGAAATCACAACAGCTCTTTTTGCCACGGGACTGTGGGCTTGGAGAGCGACTAGAGTTGGCTGGAAAGTGCAGCCTATCCCGGTACCGATGAGGACAAGTATGCCATATATTTGACCTTTGTGTGTGTTTGCATCCCATAGCAGTGTCAAGCCAATGCCACTGCAGACGATATGAGTATATGTACTGATTCTGCCACATAATGGGAGTGGAACTTACAGGCACCACAAAGAGAACCCTGTGAAGATAACCTCAAGATATCGATTCATCCGTGACATGTACAATCCAGAGAGGATTGATGAAGTTGACTGGAAACAGACCATTGGTAACGAACATATCGCAGATTGAATTGGTGACCAGCCACGTCCGTTCTGGATGTATAATGGCAAATAATATAGCAGAGACTGGTATGCAGCTCCAAGAAGGAAACTCTGGAAGAACAAGGTTGTGATGACGGGACTTTTGAACAAAGAGACTATTCTACATTAGTTCCGTTCTACCACAACGTAGAGGAGAAATACTTACGAGGCATCATTGGAAGAAGAGCAATCTTCCATTGAACAAACAAGAAAGCCACAAGTGAGCAACCCCCGATAACCAACAAACTAATCACTAGAGCAGAATCCCACTGAAAATACAGACCACCGCCAGAGATGGGAATCAACATGAAGACAATGGCAATTGTCGAGGTAATGACACCAGCAAAGTCAATCTTTTTCACTTGACTCTTCATAGACTCTGGTCTCATCTTACTTGGCAATAGAAACCAGGCGACGATGGCACTTACGGCCGCCAACGGAGTAAGCAGATAGAAGATATCTCTCCACGAGGCATTTTGCACAAAAGCTGCTGCGATGAATGGGCCAATCACATTGCCAATGCCGACGCATGAACCTAGAATACCTTGGTACTTGCCTCGATCTTCCAGCGTCACGACATCACTAACAATGATCATAGTCATATTGGTGATACCACCGGTAGCAATACCCGCCAATGCACGAAAGACATATAGCATGGGAGGATTCTGAGCCAGACCACAAAGCAAATCGGCAATACTCAGGAGAATCAAAACGCTGATATAAACACTTTTGCGGCCGAATATATCGGACAATCGGCCGTAGAGAACGGTGCAGACGGCATTCGCGACGAGTGAAGATGTTCCGGCCCAGGAAATCGTATCTTGCGCATGCAACTCTTTGCTGATAGTGGGGAGAGCAACACTCAAGCCATTTTGATCGATGAAGCAGATTAACAGAGAAACTGCTAGTCCACTGAAGACGACCAGTAATTGACCGATTGGTAGGATGTTTCTTTGATCCTGTAAGGATTTCTCCGCGATGGCATGACGACCCATGTTGTAGTCAGATAGAAGCAATTTACCACAACGTCTGTGGCTCGTATGTGGTACAAAATCTTATTGCTTTCTCATTGTGTAGATCCAATGATATATAAGTGACATTTGCTCGAACACTCGAGGAAGTAAATCATTGGATCCCAACCTGCGATGCGAGAAGCAGTGTATATATATATACCTCCACAAACTAGGCTGAAAGCCAAATCTCGGATTCGAGTGGCCACGCCGGCGGCTTAGTTTCAAAACTATGAGACATAATTTTCATGAGTTGGTCGCCATCCATCCAGTGAGGGTTCTATGACATAGGGCTAGACGTATCTATGCTGAACATTATGGATCCTAGCATTAGGCCGCAATTCAGAAATTTCTACTTGCTGCAAATCCATGGAGGAGTATTTTCCAGACTATCACTGTGGGATAATTAGCAGATCTCCGGTTTCTGATTGGTGTGATTGTCTTTTGATCGAAGTTGCAACTTTTTTCAAGCTTTTGTTAAGAAGCAAGCGCTGCCGTTAGAGCCGATGTGGATCCGCTGTTGCCGGATGTCCGACGGGGGTCCGATAGAAGGACTTTGAGCTTATAAGTTGTGCATTTGCTCTTATTCTAATCAACTACGGCAATGCTATCGTTTGAGATCTACATTACATTGGTATAGACACGCTAATCCTATGATCAAGACGTCCTTGGAACCTTGTTGTGCATCGTGACCGTCGAAGCTGTAGAAACAAAACATTCAAATCGGATGATATGATTGGCTATCGGACGTCCAACGCCAGCTTATCTCCCCGTCGGAAGCGGAACCGCGCTTCCGAGTATACATCTGGTAAGTTTCTCTACAATCGGCCTTTCACCGCTTCCTCAACACAAACTCCAATTGCTGTTGACGTGTTGCTTTGCAAGCTAGTTGCAAAACTATGCAGTATCTATCCCAACCAGCTCCACACTCAATTCGAAGAGTCTCTTGGCTGCGTCGGTGTCAATTGCCCATGGAGCCGCTTCGGCGATCTGGCAATCACTGATATAGACGCGGTTGGGCTCAGGGGGACCTAACGACGGAAAAAAAACAACATGTCAGATCATGTACATGACTGATAAGAGAAGGGAGCGCCCACCATCAAGCGCAGGATCCAAAGCTGCAACCAACATAGGAGCTGCACCTTCATCTATTGACTTCCAATACGTCCCCGTTTTGGCGAGAATCTCAGTCCCTTGTTCATCGAGATTACGTCCAAGACCAGTCCAGATGGCTGTACGTCTATTCATCAGTTCCGCGAATGCAACTCAGAGATCAGATTCGGGCTACTCACATCCCGGGTGAACGGCATAAGAAACGATACCCCTTGATCTGAATCTCTCATTCAAAGCCACCGAAAACAATATATTAGCAGTCTTCGACTGTCCATATGCTATCCACCCATTATAAGTATCAACTTTCCCATACGCAGCAATCATCGCTGCTGGGGGCTGCTCTTCATCCGGAACCGGTTTTCCGTCGACATTATAGTCTTGGAATCGGAACGGCGAAAGTCGATGACCGGCACTCGTGACATTGACAATTTTCGTCGATCCCGCTTCTCCTTGAGATGAACCAACTTCTCTACACAATTTTTCCAGAAGTAGGTTGGTGAATAGGAAATGGCCGATATGATTAGTGCCGAATTGTAGCTCGATTCCTTCCCCGGTGAATTCTTGCTTGAGCATCATTAAACCCGCATTGTTGATCAAGATATCTATATGGTCAATGCAACCTAGAATCTGAGCTACTGCCTCGCGAACGGACTTTTGCGATGCCAGATCTAATATGACGAGTTCTATTTTGGAAGACATCTCGGGTCTCCCTGTAGATATCTTTTTCAAGACCTCCTCTAGTTTGGCTTTTGTCCGTGATGCGAGAATCAACTTTGCTGGTGAATGCGCTGCTATGGCAAGGGCTAATGCCTCTCCGAGACTGTTTGGTCCTACGCCGGTGATGACAACTAGTGTGATTCCTCTGCTTAGTGATCAATCGTACATTATTTTAAGAGTGAGTGCTTACCATTCTTGTTGCGGATTCGATCTGAAAATGCATCTGCAACCTCTGTTGCTGTGGTCTTTTCGTTGTATTCCGGATGGCTCGTCATTTCTGCGGATATCAGTGCTGATTAGGGTGAAAGAGATACTTAATTTGCAAGTGTCTAACGTGGTCATCTTGACAAGCAAGTCACATGTGTCGTATATATGGGATCTTTTCTCTCTTTTGAGCCCCACACCTAAAAGTCCCTAAAGTTGACATACCATATAGGCAATGATTGAAGTACGAAAGTACAAGCCCCGCTAGATCATGCAACCATTTGCTCTTTTCCTAGAGACTTTTAATTCACTTACTATCTGAAAGCATTCCCGGCATTTCAGAGCCTCTAAATTGCCGTATAACCTCCCAATTATCGCGCATCTTTGCCTGGGCATGTTCGTGATAAAGGGACATAATCCGGGGAAACCCTAATAGCGGGGAATTTCCCGGAGTGTCTTATGCCCCATTCCCTAAGCATATTCTTCGTATCTCTACAGCTTCAGGGACCGTTAGCTTGATAATTGATGATTAGAAGATGCATTATATTGGTTCTGGTCCCGCAGCTTCTGGACTTACGGAAGTAGAGGTCACACGCATACCTTCTACTATTGTGGGTTCACTACAGGTACATACTATGTTGTTGTCGGATAATTGTGATAAAAATGATTTAAATAGAGGTTTATCGCCAATTCCATAAGCTTAGAGTCTTCCTCGAGACGTTAAAATCCCACTGCCTCAGTATACTTCATAATGGCAATCTCGAACGGATATTCGACCAGAGAGAGAACAGGTGTTAAGGTAGTCATCGTAGGAGCAGGTGAGATCTGAGATCAGTTCAATCCCATCAGTCACTCAATTGTGTATGCTGACCTCAAACAGGCTTCGGAGGCCTCACAGCTGCCATCGAATGCCATCGCCAAGGTCACGAAGTCGAAATCTACGAATCCTTTCCACGTACACCTCCCCCCTCTCTTTTAAAAGGTCAATACCGACCTTGGAATAGGCATGGATACTAACCACCAAACACAGAACTCAAAGTCCTAGGCGACATAATCTCCTTCGGTCCCAATGCCGGCCGCATCTACAAACGCTGGTCCAACGGCGAAATCGCCGACCAGATGCGCGCGTTGAGTATTGATCTGTCCAAATACGGATTTCGAATCCATAAATACGATACTGGTGAAATAATCACAACGCAAAAATCGTCGCCACGAGATCCAGATGCGCCGGTGTTTAATGGTCATCGTGGTGAATTGCATAGTATTGTGTTCAAGTATGCGAGGGATGAGTTAGGGATTCCGATTCATCTTGGTCAGAGGGTGAGGCAGTATTGGGAGGAGGAGGAGCAGGCAAGTATTGTTTTGGATGATGGGAGGAGAGTAGGTTTATCTCCTTGTGTGGTGGTGAGATGGTGGGTTGACTGTCTGGAAGGTATCTGCAGATGTGGTTATAGGCGCGGATGGAGTGAGGTCGAAAGCCAGGGAACTGGTTCTAGGATATGTCGATAAGCCCAAGTCCAGTGGATACGCGGTCTATAGAGCGTGGTAAGTATGAATCCGTTGAGTAGCCAGGAGCTGGTCACTGACTGATTTGGTCAGGTTCCCAAATACCGATATGATCAAAGACCCCCGAACAAAACAATTCTGCGAGAATGGAGATACATTCAACGGCTGGATTGGTCCAGATGTGCATTTCCTCTTTTCTACTATCAAGAATGGCTCAGATTGCTGCTGGGTATTGACTCATCGTGTAAGTACATCCTCTCTGCTTCAAATTCCGTTCTAACCACCTAGAAAAAAACAGGATGAAGCTGACATCGACGAATCCTGGTCCTTCCCCGGAAAACTCGAAGATGTCTATAACTTCCTCGAAGGATGGGATCCAATGTGCAAGGCAATTGTAGAAAAGACTCCCTCAGTCGTAGACTGGAAACTCGTTTATCGAGATCCATTGCCGCGGTGGGTCAGTGATAAAGGTCGAATTACTCTCCTAGGAGACTCTGCGCATCCGTTTCTGCCTACTTCGACGCAGGGAGCTACGCAGGCTATGGAGGATGGCGTTACGATTGCTGTCTGTCTCAAGAGGGCGGGGAGTAGGGATCGGATTCCGGCTGCTGTTCGGGCTTATCAGGATATTCGGTACGTTTTCCACTAGTAAAATACTGGATGTTCGTCGAATTTACTAAAAGGGCAATTGAAGGTATGACCGTGTACGTAAGATACAAAAGACAGGAGAAAGTACAAGGGATATGTGGCACAAGGCGGATTGGGATAAGGTCAAAAAGGATTCTTCTTCGATTCATCTTCCTCGCGAGGACTGGATATTTGCTCATGATGCTGAGAAACATGCTGAAGAGGTTTTTGATGATGTGATAAAGAAGTTTGTTTAGACCTCTACATATTATTTGTATTAAAGGATTGAAAAACAATAGAACCTGGCTATAACGAAAGGAAGGCCGCTCCACATTCCACTGATATCAGCTTGGATATCTTTAATATGAGGCTAGAAAGCATCCAATTTATTAATATTGAAATGGATTAATATAGTGGAGGTGCTCTTCAATCCTAAATCAAACTCACTTCTGGGTATATTGACCTGAACCCCGGGAGTTCGTTATAACCAGGTTCTACCTACTGCAGGTAGTCCAGATTTTAACAATATTTACTGACGTTGGACAGATACAGTCTATGCCTCGTAAGGGGGCAAAGTAAAACTCGTAGATTAGATATGGAAAAGTGTCAAAATATCATAATAGGCAAGCCATAAATGAGATATGACATGGTATATTGAGCAAGAGTAATAAAGCATCGTATCAAACAAGCAATGATCGCATATAGGAAACAACAAATGACAAGCGAGTGGAAAATCGGATATCAATGATAATACAGTCAGTCAAAACATAAACAAGCAAAGAAAGGTCCATCAACGTGCATATCAAATCAGTTACCGTTGACCTTCTTTGGAGCAACAAGAGCACCGTTAGCTTCAGCCTGTGGCATCTGCGCAAACCAGGTAGGAGGCGCGATTCCAGTTTGTTCGTGAATAGTGCTCAACAGCGGGGGTAAGGACTGCATGATATTTCGAATAGATGCAGTAGAGTCTGCTTCGCCGGCTGAAGAACCGGTGTTCCAGGTAGTAATCTTGGGTTGCATGCCGCTGACAGCGGTTGCGTTGGCCTGGGCCAGACGCTCGTACATGCCGGTTTCGATCATCTTGAGCTGCAAGAAGCCCTGTGGTCCGCCGAGGGTGTCGACCATAGATTTGTAGGCTTTGGCTGTCTCTTGGATGGCTTCTGCTTCACGCCTTTGGCGGTAGTCTTAGACGTACATCGTTAGTTCAAAGTTCCTTCTCAAATGATTGCGGGCAGCGTACAGTATGCATCAGATTCCATCTTCTTCTTATAAAACGAAGCATCAGCAGCTTTCTGCTCCGTATAAAACGCGGCATCAGCTTTTTCCTGCGCCGCCTCGCGCGCAATCTTGCTCTTGGTAACATCCGTAGCACGCAAGCGCTCCAACTCCGTCTCCGCCCTCTTCGACTCAACATTCTTCCGCAACTCCGCATCTCTCATCTCAGTCTGACGCTCCGCCGAAATCTTCGCCATCCGAATGTCCCGCTCAAGCTCAATCTGACGACTCGTCAGTTCCGAATCGGCTTTTGCCTTTTCAGCTTTACGTTTGGTTTCGAGCACCGCGGTCTCGGCGTCGATTTTGGAGATTTCTTGCTTTGTGCGGCCCTTTTTCTCGGCTTCACCGATTTCGCCACGCATGCGGGCTTCGGCGACGTCAATTTTGGCTTGGTTCAGCGCACCTTCGTGGGCTTTGCGGCTGAGGAAGGCGAAGTATTCGCTTCCGGGGGTGTCTTGTAATTCTTTGACGTTGGCATTGTAGCTAGATTTGTCAGCTTGATATTCAAAGGGAGATAATCGGAGGCTTACATTCGTAGACCGAATTGCTGCAGTTCGTTTTGAACATTCTCAATGACTATGAAGCCTGGTTAGCCATATGGATTTCTTGGCTGTTGAGTGGATAGCATACCCTTAGCCTTGAAGATTTGGCGCTCCTTGAAGATCTCCTCCATGGTCATACTAGACACAATGACACGGGTCTCGCCCTCGATAATACCCTTGACGATATCCTGTACATGATTGCGTCGAGCTGGCTGATTGACTTCATACTTGTGTTCACTGGTTCCATCTGCATTCCCAGATAGCAAGAGAGCATACTTCTTCAAAGCGTCAAGCTCGTTATCGGGACCAATAGTGAACACAGCTGGGAGAGCAAACTGTAGCTTCTCGACTGTCATGGCCTGAAGATTCAGAGAAAAGTCAAAGGGCGTGACCGAGATGCGCGAGATCTATTAATGTTAGTTTAGGGGTTATGTTGCCGTGTCAGGAGTTATACGCACCTTCTGCCATGGGTACACCAGTGCCTTCTTGCAGATGCGAAGATCTGGAATACCGGCACCGGTGATGACGAGATACTCGTTTGCGCTTGCGATATAATACCTCATTTTGACTTCTGGTGTCTATCGCTGTATGGAGGGAAGGGGTATAGATTAGTACAAGTTGGTGAGGGATCAATGTTGCGTGTTGCGTCCACCAACATTACACTCGATATCTGTCTGGTGCAAAATAGAACTGGTCTCGTACAAAAGACATCGCCATTTTATATATGACGCGAAATCCCTAGGCAGCACAGCCTTGACGGAAATTCCCATGGATCACTATACATCAAGCCAAGGCAGCATGCCGGACATTTCCTGCTATGACAAGAGGCTGATACTCCAATATACTATCATAATATCCCTCATGTCTGTTCAATACGAGCGGTACGCCCAGTCCATTGTAGTTTTAAGTTTCTTATAGTGGGTAGCCAGGTTAGTGTCTCTGCCTCACACCATATTGAAAGATAGTCTGATATTGGACCGGGGAGTTCCACGGCCCTCCCCGCTTGCATCTCTCATATGCGCATTCCAGAATCCAGTTGTTCGATGATCATTCGTCAATCGGGAACAGCACTGCCTTGCCGAGAGGGATATATCGTGACAAGCTGGCTAGGTGTTCGGCAAGAGAGATGTCTTATTGGCGGGATGAGAGCGTCATTTGTTGTTGTTCTTCAAAGGTTCTTTGCGGTTGTTATTTGCTTGGCCGAATCCACTTGAGTTCAATAGAAACAGAACTATTACTATCGTACTCATCTTGGCTGTGGCTATATGTAAGATGGTGGAGTTCACATGACCGCGATGCCTAGAAATCCAAGCGGTTAATTAGTGCTGGGCGCAGGCTTTGGGGCCGACGGCCTGAAGACTAAGGCTCAATCCCGGCTATCACGGCTAACACGCAGCCCTGACTCGTTGATTCTTAAGTTCTCTCCTCGAGGCTGACTTGGCCAACACATGAGCCTCATCATCGGAACTTTACTCTGACATGGCCGGACAAATCAGAGGGTAATACTTACGTTGATTAGTGCTATTTTACAGCAACTTATGCATTGTGTTATATGCAGCTATCTACTAATTATGCCTTAATAGCACATCTCTTCTGTCAAAGGTACTTATGGTCGCAAAGAGTCGATATTGACATGTCAAAATCATCGTTTAATCCACAAGTCGAGGATCCTGTGCCCTCCTATGAAGAGAGTATAGGATCCTCTACTGCCACTTCGTGGGCCGCAGCTACACTCCATCAACAACTGGACGATACCCGACTAACGCGGGTGCGAGACATCCTTACAACCTACGTCGAGCCCCTTCTTGCTGTGCAGGGTGCGTCGGGCATTTACAAAACTATTTTCTTGCTTGTTCCTTCCAACGTGGACTCTCTGCAACAAAATCATGTCTCGAGCTCAGATTACTCATCCTCATACTCACAACCAAAGGAGCCAGAAGTAGTCGGGTTTCCAGCCACGGATGTCGTCAAGCTCATTCGTCTCAAGGGGGAAGAACATACAGTTGAGTTCTGGAGACAGCCTGCCATTATGGAAGAGCTGGCGAGTAGTTTGCGCATGCGACTGAAGACGAGTGGTCATCGTGTTGAGGAGCAATCCATGATTGAGCCAAACGCAACGCAGGTCAGTCAAAGCGAATCAAACAGGGTTAGGGTTAATGAGAAAAAATCAGGATGGTTCAAATCCAAGGCCAGAAAACCAGAAAAACCAAAGTCGCTGTGGACCACTACAGCTCCGTCTGAAGCGACCATTATCGATCAGAAACTGGGCTGGCGAGCAACTCATGAAGGTCTCAGTGTTACCAACAGCATTGATAAACCCCTGAGTAGAGGTACGGTTCGCGTGCTTGTTGAGTGGAAAGAGATTTGTCTTAGGAGTGAGAATGCGGTTGGGCTGTATGAGACTCAGAAGGGGCCAGGGATTTGTCTGTCTGTCGAGGTTGGGGCTTGACATTGCTATTGAAACTGAATCATGAGAATGAACGAATCCCTCAGGGTGTAGCCTGAATGTCGTAGAGCAGAATCAACAAGACAATTATCTGACACCGATCACCCTATATTTCAATTAGAGATAAGTTTGAATGAATGCTTTCTCCTGGTACACATGTGCTCTGCTTCTCACGAGATATCTCTTATATGTCTGACACAATACGAAGGGTAAAGAATATAAACTATCCAAAACAAAAAGGAGACGGAAGAAAAGACAAATGGAAGCGGTGGGTTGGGTGGCGGGATCATCCCCACCACCACCATACTTATAAGTTATGCATCATCCTTTTCTTTAAATCATACTGACTTGCCGTATCATATACCAAATTCCTCAATCATGCCACCCGCATCTCCCCTGGCCATCGCAACCTCTTCATTGCAACGACTCGTCAAGGAAGAAGCTTCCTACCACCGCGAGCTCGAGCAACAGACACAACGCCTGCAGAAGCTCGAATCCGTGGACCTCAGTAACGATGATGAAGGAAACCATGCATTTTTGCTAAAGCAGGAGGTTTGTCCACTCACATCTAAAAAAAAAAAAATTCGCATGATTGCTGAATTTATATAGCGCCAAGCCGTCGAAGAGACCAAGGCAGTGCTTCCGACATTGAAACAGAAGATTTCGGATGCTGTTGCGAAACTTGAGCAGTTGATTGTGGGTAGCCTTCAAGTTTGGTCGTGATACCAGTGCTGATTGAGTTACAGGTCGAAGAAGGAAACAAAGGAGATAATAGCAACGTCGAGCAATTGACTGCTGCCAAAGAAGCTATCTCCTCGGCCAAGACTGCCATGAGAGAGATTTCTTAATGTGTTAAAAGGTCTATGAATGAATGCATTTCATCTCCAATACAATACCGCCTTGATATAATCCGGGCCAATATACAATAAACAACTCCAAATCACAAGCGTGCATCTACGTAGTGTCCATCTTCTCCTCTCTTTCATCGGCCTCCCCCTCTTCCAACTCGTCAACTTCCCCTTCATCAACCATATCCACATCCTCGGGCTTCTGTTCAGATATCGAAATCGACTGTCGCAACGGTGATGCCGCACCCGCCGTCTCCGACTGTAATCTATCCGTTTGTAACTTCAGCGAAGAAGAAGCAGTAGGAGGAGGAGCGGACTCCTCTGACTCCGGACGAGGAGAATTAACTCCACTAATACGACCACCCTTTGTAGAGTCTTCCTCATCACCTCCGTCGCCATCACCTTCCTGCATGCCTTCCCTCCGCTCAACTTCTTCCTTTTCATCACGAATCAATCGACGTAGTTGCATGCCTTCTTCTACAATGCGACCAAATTGTTCCCTCCGCTCAGACCATGTCTTTGCGTACTCTTTACTCTCTTTCTCCAGCTCCAGAATCTCGACTTGCAGTTTCTCCAGATTGGATCTTTGGTCTTCTCGTGGCCGGAGTAAGCGGTTACTCGTAATCTTTTCCGTTAGATTATCGTACGTCTTGCGTAGGTTTAAAGTATTCTGAGCGGCTTCGAGCTGCACACGCAGCTCAGCGGTGTTATCCCGCACATCCTGCGCGGTGGATTGTATACGAAGTTTCTCAGCTGCGTATCGCTCTCGCTCTTTCTCGTTGTTCGTCAATAGGAACTGTATTCGGGCTATACTGCTCTCAAAGGCGGCAAAGTCTAGAGTCACGGCTTCTTTGAACTGTCGCCATTCTTCGATCTTTTTCTGTTGGTGTTGCTCTGCGACGGTAGACTCATTTTCTGCGTCGCCTCCTTCAGGAGGAGGTGTAGGTGGGAAGGAGAGGGGTGTGGTTATGAGAGAGTCGCTGGCGAGAAGTCGTTTCGTGATACGTTTGAATGGTTTCTCTTCGACGTTGAGGAGGCGCGACTTATGGAGGGAGTCTGTACAAGTTAGATGAACGAAAGTAAAACCTTGCAAGGCCAAACTCACCCTCCTCCTCTTGATTCAGTAAATTATACGAAGCCATTTTCTGAACTGCTCTCGCCTTAGGAAGGTATACAGTTGTGGTCGCGATGAAATTAGCGGCGGATCTTAGTTTGTTGCTTTGCTTAAGCTCGCGCCCCACCAAGATTCATCCTTTCTTTATTTCATCCTCTGTGACTGACGCCTACGGGGGCTGCTCCCCATTGCTGTCTGCTTTTGATTCATTTGATACTCTACTGTCGCGACATTGGCTTGTCTTCGACTATCAGCATTCGCTGCTGAGCACGTGCCTACATAGATTCTGTTTCGTGAATGAAAGGGCTCTTCCCCAGCCTAATCGTGGAGGAGAGAACGTGAATCGCATCAGTCCAATCTGAAATTTTCCTTCTTATTGATCAATGGCTGCAGGCTGCTATGCTTTTGCAACAATTAATCTCGGGTTTCATCCTTATGAATGAGCCAGATCGATCAATCAACCAAAAAAATAAATGGCGGAGGTAGTCTCGGGCCTCGTAGTGGGCCAACGGTTCGATTCACTCGAAGACTTCAAATCGGCCATACGCAACATCTCCGTCCGACAACATTGGGATCTTCGAGTCATGCGAAGTAACAAGAAGAGTGTCGTGCTCGGATGTCGGTCGTCGGCCAATTGCTACTTTCGTGTCGTGTGTCGCGCAAATAAGAATGCAACGTATATTACGAGTTTACAGGATACGCATAGCTGTCGACGGAATCTGGCTTCACCTGCTTCGACCCCTGCTCGGTCAGAGGCGTCACATGTGCGGTTTTTGCTGAATGAGATACCGAAGCTGTTTGATATGAAGACCAGGATTAAGGGTCAGGATGTGGTGGAAGCAGTTAAACGGTATCATGGTTATGATATTTCAATGCGACAGGCACAGCGCGCTTTGACTAAGCTACAACCGAGACAGTCGAGAGGAGGTCACGCTCAGGTCGTAGCTGATCATGAGAATCATAACATCCCTCATGACCAGTCATCATCATCAGTCCGAGTCAATAACGAAACATCGTTTGACCCTTTGACTGACGACCGCGGCTGGCCCGAGAATGGTCTTTCGACGACATTAATGGAAGACGATAGCATTGATCAAGACGATTCGCCTACAGAGACGGCCTCTGCAGCTGCAATGGTTCGCGTGCAGCAGAGCAATCCATCTCTGGCCACAATGTCGCATCATCACGCTCAACCAGGGCCTTCCGAGACTCGATCTCTCTCAGTCTCGACAATGTCCCATCATGCTTCACAGATTGCACCTCTCGCACCAAGCGGACAAGGATCGTATATCCAACCTATTCAACTACCTGTTCCTCCACCTAGTCCTCCTAAAACGCAGAGTTCGCCCTCCATTCGTCACCCTCATCAATCATCTCATCCCCACCCACAATCTCGACCACAACCTCCTCCACCCCCTCCGCAACATCAACAACCAACCCACACAGGCCACCCGGTTGCCGCTCAACTAGTACTCACAAACTTCAAAATAGAATTCACGTGCACCTCATGCGGCGCCTTGAATCAAAGTTTCTTCCCAAATCAAGGCAATGTCACAGGTGGTAATTACTTACCTCCAGCAGCGACACACGGCATACCCCCTTCTGCTCCTCCAGGTCCTCCTCCGCCTTCAGCTGCTACCAACGGCCGTTTGACGACCATGGACGGAGTACCAACCGACGCCACAACCAATGCCGCTGCCGCCGCGGGATTTGGCGAGACTGATTATCAAACAAGTGCAACTTCACACGGTGGTCGTGAACTACCTCCATGGGGAGGTGGGCTGGATGTATCCCTTCCTCCGCCGAATACATAACATAATACCCTCAACCCATAAACATACGACATGACATCTCACTCAAAACAATAACCGCCTAAGAAATGACGGCTTCCTTTACTACACGACATGTTTATACCACCGGAACCAAAATACTTACGAATAACGAAACGATTAGGGAAAGCCATAGGATAGGATATGGTCGGACTGGATTGGAGCGGGAGTTTTTAATTTTTATCTTTATTATCAATTCTTATCGGGGTAATACGTTTCTATTCATACTGAGTTACATGGTTTGACAAAATCAGGAGCGGGGTTTCTTTCGGCTCGTGGCGTTTCTATGGCATGGATTATGTATCTTTTCTTTGGTCATTCTATTTCTGTTAATTAGTGGATTTCCTTGGGTTATTCATGATACTATATTTTACTGAGGAATATATCTCGATTTGATATTTCTTACACCTGGTTGATGTTCGAAAGGCACCCCGAGCTTGTCAAGCCCTGACTCGCAGTATTGCCCTCGGATCTTCGCGCAGAAACATAGACCAGTGGTGTTAGTTCACCTATAATTAAGCAGCACACATTACAGATTGATTTAGAAGATTAGTTATACCTTTAGAAATATGCAGAAGTGTGGGGAGTCTCACGATTGATCCCGCACAAGGCAGCGAATTCCAGCGGAAGGATACTTTACCTAAGACGATAACTTACACAAATCAAACAAACGAACGTGCTAACTAACGTTACCTCTCACAGGTCGAGGGATCTTACATGATGCACTTCCGAGTAAGAAGATTGGAGGGAACCACAAACTCGTAGAGAACTACGGATGTATCTGGGGTTACACGCCAGAGTGTACTCGGGTTATCGAGATGTTCGTTTGCCGTGTCCAGTGACAGGCTGGTAACCTTCAGAGTCTGGGAATACCTTGTAGTGCTGCATTTATGCCGTCTACTGCACCTGAAAGCGGTAACTTGACAGCTGAAAGTGGTAGTACATATACAGCGGTCAGGGATCACTCCATCAAGATCTCTTTCCGACAACCATTAACTTCCAAGCTTCCCTCGATTATTTTTGTATCAATTTGCAATGGCAGGGATAGGTAGCAGTACCGTTCTAGGTGTCGTTGTTGGCCTGATTTATTTCCTTCTATCTAGAGGCAGGAGAGACTCACGGTTACCTCCTGGTATTCAATCAATCTATCAACGATTCGCTTGATATTAGCTGACTAGGTTTACCAAGGACCACCAACGCATCCAATAATCGGAAACATCGGTCAGATTCCCACTGCACAGCCGTTCCTCAAGTGAGTGGTCCTTTCAATGTATCAGATATTGTCAAGAACTGACGAAACAACGCAGATCTACAGAACTCTACAAAACCCGCGGTGGCCTATTCACCCTCAAAATCGGACCAAGCACATTAGCCTTCATCACAGACAGACTAATCACCCGAGAACTCCTCGACAAGAAAAGTTCCATCACCAACGGCCAACCACCCTCGTACGTAGCGAACAATCTTATCAGCGATGGTGATCATCGACTCATGGTACCCTGCGGCAACAAGTGGAGGAAAATCGAAGGATGTAACGACAGACTTTTAGTGAGAGTGTAGTTGAGAGAAAGTATATGGAGATTGTGCATGCGGAGTCTGTGCAGCTGCTTAGAGATATTCTCGTCGATCATGATGATGGGATGTCCATGGATCATCCGAAGAGGTCTGGGGGCAGTGTTATGACTAGTATCCGTAAGTCTTTCCTTCTTGTTAGACGTCTCTCGTTGGAGATGGGTTGACATTCGAAGATAGTGTACGGCGTACGAGCATCTCCCATTGATGCGGTTGTAGGGGAGGAACGAGTACCTACTTTGGCTGATTACAAGGATCTGCCGTATGTAGCGGTCATTGTCAAGGAGCGTATGAGGTGGAGGAGTCCCTGCTCCTTTGGGAGTTCCGCATTACCTTGATGAAGGTATTATCCCTCTGCACCTGATGGCGATGTCACCTACTCATGGGGAATAGATTACTGGATTGACGGCAAACTCCTCCCGCGAGGAACAACCCTGATCCTCAACATCTGGGGCCTCCATCACGACGAAACATAATTCCCCAACCCAGACACCTTCAACCTGGAACGATACCCCCTCGAAAAACCACTGCTAACAGCCGAATACGCCAAATCATCCGATTACGCAAATCGTGACCACTACGGATACGGATGCGGTCGTCATCTGTGTCCCAGTATGCATCTAGCAGATCAAGACATATTTATTGCCATGGCGAATCTGCTTTGGGCATTCAGTTTTGAGAAATTTGTTGAACCTGTTACCGTGTTACGGGGATAGTGGTTGAGCCAGATGTGGATGTTAGAACGGGGAGGGTATTATGATGGTTATGCCGTTCAAGAGAGTTATGCCTCGGTCAGAGGCGAGGAAGAGACGATTACGAATGAATCAGCCAGAGCGGAGAGGGGGGTTATTGCAAAGTATGATGATCAGATGAGTGAATGAATAATTGACTCAGGTACTTCTCGATTGTGCAACGTTGAATCGGATGAGTTGGTTCAGATGATTGCAGTGTAACAAGCCTCGTATTGCTTGTCTGACATGGATATACCATTAGATGAAAGTTGCTTGTATTGTCTGTTCAGTTAACTAAGCTATAGATGTTGTCGGGCTCATTCAAACAATCAAAACTATGCAAACATTCTTATCAACACGTGACTCTTATCAGGCAGTCAGCATCGAAGTGACGAAGCGTCTTGGAACGTCTTTGTTTATCACGAAACGTACTCGAAAAGAATCTCTTCTATCACAAGATATATAACAGTTTCGTGTTCATGTTTCAATCATTACCATCGCGTTGTCTATATCTGCATATTAGGCCGCCTTGATATATCTCTGAACATCCTGTTGTTTCATCTTAGCAAAGAAGCAGTGTTCATGCCTAATAGCTTGTCAGTATGCCGGCGCGGTCACTTCTTGCGATGAGCACGCGGGTTGCTGTGCAGAATGTTCGAAGTATGTCTCTGACCTGTGATTTTTGATTGTTGAATACGAACTAATTGTTAGGTTTGACGGATATCGGGAATATCCCATACTCGTTGGCGAGGCCTTTTCTCATCAAAGTCGAAAGCCCAAAGCAGTTGGTGAGTTGCAATATATCTACAATCAAAGGTTTAGCTAACCATGGCTTACAGCGAGAACTTGAAAAAAACTCCCCCCACATAATGCAAGACGACCGAGAATTATGGATGGATTTCATCAAACGCGACATCCCTCAATGGGAACAATACGACATCCCCCAAGAATCCGATTGCTGGTACGACATCTACTGCGATTTACTCGAACAAGTCCAACGCGAAGTCGAAGAAGGCGCCCTTCAACTGAAACAAGCCGTCGATAAATTCTACTCTGACAAGGCTAACAATGCGGCTGTGCTTGTCAAGGATACAAGTCGTCTACCCAAGCCACGACGCAGGTTTCATACGAGCGGAACAAGATCGGAACCGAAGAAGAATAGTATTTTTAGTAGTAAGAGGAATAAGGTGTTGGCTGTGCCGACGCATCAGTTGCATAGTGGTGCGTCGAGGATTAATCATGTTCCTCAGTGGTTGGTTGATGAGCATAAACAGGCGCCGTCTTCGCCTACGACGTTAGCGTCGAAGCCTACGTCCAAGCCTATACAACCGTCTACCGGCAGACAATCTCAAGCGTCGTCGCCACCTCGAGTGTCTGCCCCTCGACCACGGGTATTAGGTCGGCCGTCTTCCGTGTCAGCGACTGACAAGGCTAAATCTGAGATGCCTACTGGAAGTCGACCGATTGTGCCGGGTAAACGTGGTCCGGACAGGTCTCCGCCACGGACCCTGTCAAGTCGTTCCGAGCCAGTTGGGACACCTCCAGTTCGTGCGTCGCCGGCGTCACCTGCGAAGCCTCTTATTAGAAAGCGTCCTGCCGCGAGTCAGCCGAATATTTTCATTCAGAAGAAGCGGAGGATTTGATTGTGTCCCATATTTCACGTGAATATACAGCAGACTGGGTTGAGTTTTTTATTTCTGTACGATTATTTCATCACATTTGCATACGCAATTAGCGCTGTTTGAGATACACTTACCATGGGATTTTAATAATTGACGAGGAGTCTTTGAAAGTCTTGGATTTGCATAGGATGCGAGGGTGTCTTGATGTCTACGAGAACTGCATATAGCCACTGGCCTGGTTAAGGCCGCTTCATTCAAGAGTAGTATCGATCATAACATATCATAAGTGTCTAGTATAAGCTTAATTGGCCCATGAACAGAACGAACCAGATGCTATAAGCGGGAAACCCAACTACACATCACCAACGTATTACATATAGCATCCCCACAGATCTTGAGACTATTCCGTCCTCGTAACGGCGTATGTGATGAGAACTGGTGAGTGCACGGCATAACGACCCCTAAAGATAACCATCTATTGCGACGAGAATCCACCACGCAAAGCCAAAACCAAATGTAGCGTTGCGCCTCCTTCAAGATTGTATTCGGCGGCTGTCTTGTCGTCGGCCCTGTACGAAGCAATATCATTAATCATGAGAACCTTGCTGTCGTCAAAACCTACTGTTTCAAACGTACATCTGTTTTCCGCCGAAAATCAAACGTTGCTGCACCGGTGGGATGCCCTCTTTCTCTTCGACGCGCTCTTTTATTCTCGAGACCTGTAGCTTATTAACACTGGTAACTTTCGATGGGTGGATGATGTCGTACTTTGTAGTCTGACTCGATGTCGAGCTCGATTTCTTTTCCGGTGAGCGTTCGTACCCTGCGACCAAAAAAGTGGTTAGTAAGATGTCTAGATGTGTCGCATCGCATCTCCATGACGCAGGATAACGTTCCCCGCACTGAAGTTGCGGACGAGACACGCGTAGATGGAGGGCAGAGGGGGAGGAACTGACTTGATCAACATTTTGGGAGTACGTAGTCTAATCTGGATCTGAGTAATAAAGAAGTAAAAAGGCAAATGGCGAGTCTGGAGATGTGGTGTTGACGTGCTGAATTACTTCAAGGTAGCTCTTTAACTAAGTTAGTGGGGTGGAACAAGAAGTGACTGATTCAGTGATTAGACCCGACTAATCTCCGGCCGTTATCCTTGACTCTGATTACTTCTCGAAATGTCTCACTATCACGGATTCACTTCTTGTGAATAATCTTGTACATATATCCTTGTGTCTTCACGAATTGCTTCGTTTCGACCTGTAACCTTCAAGCATCGAAACCATGGCGGCAGTCATGTTCGAAGATCTCTCGGGGACAGCAACCCCTGTATCTAAAAGCGACAATCCATATCAACCATTACTAGACTCTGCAAACGATGATCCAGTATGTGTCCCTTACAGCATGCCCTTTACAGTAGATAAATCCCAAGCTGATACTGAAGCTTCTGGGCAATTGTATAGCTTCAAATACAAGCCCGATACACAACCCACCGCACCACCAGAACAGCGCTGCAAAAGTCCAAGATTTTGGATCCGTCCTTTTCTGAATGGACGGTTGATCCTATTCTTGCCAAGCTGGATGGACCTAATAAAGATCCAGCCTTCAAAGACGAAAGGAATTGTATCGTCTTTTGGGCTCGACCACCTCAACATATCCGTGATATGATCAGAGATATTCAAGAAGAGCTACGCAACGTTGCTCCAGGTGCGTCGGCAGAAATACATAAACTTCAGCAGTGACCTAATCCGGGTATAGATATGTGGTTCATGCCTCTACAAAACCTACACATCACCGTTTTGGAGGTCATCTTCTCAGTCACCGAGCCGGAAGTCAATCAAATAGTCTCAGCCTTACTCAAGGACGGAGCGGCAGAGAACATCGCCAATATAACGCTACGATATCGGCCACGTCTAGTCAAGCCCATGATTAGTTATGACGCAGCTGCTATGGCACTTAGTTTTGTCCCTGCTGCTGGAGAAGGTAGTAAATCTGTCGATGAGGATAAATACACATATCATCATCTGAGAAGAGATGTGTACGACAAGGTTGTCGCCGCTGGAGTCAAGCCTGCTTCACGATATGCGGTTCCATCGGCACATCTGACTATTGGACGATTCATAAATCAGAATGGATTTACTCTAGACGGGCCTGATGGAACGGCCTTTGATCGTGAAAAGGCGAAGAAAGTGATTGACAAGGTTGAAGAAATCAATGATCGACTACAGAAGCGATTCTGGCCGACGGAAGCGGGTGTGCCGAAGGGAGGTGAATGGACGATAGGTGAAGAGAAGGGTCTTGATTTTCGTAAGGGGACGTTGTGGTATGGTGGTGGAGAGACGGTGGTGCTTGGGAAGGGGCACTGAAAGAGCACTCTTCTGAATACTTAGCCCGGAGTAAGGAAGCGAGACTTGTTAAAACAAGGGCAGGTTGCATATAGAAATTTCATTCAATAGTCAATATACACTTGAAGTCATGTTTCTGCGGCGATGATATGTACCTAAAAGTTAAAGGGGTCCGCTTGATCATTTCAGATAGAATTGAATAGGAATTTGATTTCTGCGCTGAATAGTTATAGATATGTAACGAACGGAATCGAAAAGTAAACACAGTAGAACCTGTTTATAAGGAACAGAAGGCCTCTCGGGGCCCAAGTCAATATAACTAGAAGTGAGTTCGATTTAGGGATAAAGAGGACCTTCAATATACTTATCTATTCTAATATTTGTAAATAGGATGCTCTTCAGTCCCATATTAAAGTAATTCAAGCTAAGATCAGTAGAGATATGAGGCGGCCTTCCTTTCGTTATAGCCAGGTTCTAATGTATACCAGATCCAGGGACGAGTTAGGGGTTGTATAAACGGTTGTATAAACGGTTGACTCTGGACCTCTTAACCATCGAATTAAGAACGTACTGAGAAATGACTGTTCATCCTAACGTGATTCCACCTTATCAGTCAGAATATGTATCTGCGCCGACATGAATTCAATCATTTGCTCATTTCGGGCTATGCGTAGATTAAGATCGCTCTTGTTTCTAATAAACCCTCATTCCGTAACTCGCGGTCGGCGATATTAGCTTTCAGACCAACAATTTGAGTTTGAAGTCTCGCAACTTGTCGCTTATGTTTTTGTGAAGCATCACGGGCAATACCTTTGTGAATACTCAGATGGAGATTTATATTACTGAGGACGATATCGACCTGGTACTTGAGCATCAACTCAACGATTGAATCGGCACTCTTCCCGACTTTTTGCAGTGTTTGAAGTGTCTGGCGATGACGCTCGTCTTGCCATAATGCCATGGACTCGAAGATGGGATCATTGAGGAGTAATTTGAGGCAGTTTTGTTTATATATTACTTGGGATTGATATGCTATAACACCATCTCTTAGGCCGTTGAGTGTTTGAGCGCATTCTTCGAGAATGGTTTCAGTGGTGCCGTATTCATCAATTCGATCTGGGACGAGAATCCTATCGGAAGAGGAATGGGCATTCTCACCGGAGAGACTTCCATCTGGGAGCTTTGTACAGGGTTAGATATTACCATACCTAGATGCGACCTCAATAGCAAGCAGTGGGAATTAACATACTGAAAATAGTGACTCGGACATTCTGAACAGAGTATCAAGATATTGGTGTAGACTTTGTGTGTCGAAATCAAGTCTGTCTAGCAGGGGTGATGAGTAGATAGAAGAATTGAGACTCCGAGCAACAGAGATGAAATCTCTGGGACTAAGTGTTACACACGGCATGACAGAAGACTGCCTCTGTTTCCGGGAAACGACACTGGATGACCAAGGATTTTGAATGCTCGCCGGGAGACTTCAGAGCTTTTGTTGAAGGATGATACCTCAGTGGACAATCTGGTCTGACTTTGCCGGACTTTCTAGGCATTTTCCGTATAAACAAAAGATTTGTATACAGGTATTTCAGAAAATACGTCAGATAGAAGCCGAAACTGAAGTATCGTACGGACACTTCCTTAAACGAGGGTCTAGATAGAGATGTAGATGCTCTTTTGATCAGGATCAGATGTGGCCATTTCATTCATGAATGACCTTACCAAGCAATTCGCTATATTCCCGCGAGAAGACAGCTGGCCATGAGCCTCTGTTGCTGGTTGAAACCTGATAGCTATCTGCTGCGCGTACATCGTCATATATAGTAGAATATGAAAACAGGAAGAAGACGAAAATATTGGAATGCTTGCTTAGTAACAGAGGTCGCATTTTTAAGGAAAATCCAAGCTATTTATGCTTGGAATCCTGATGTCAGTACATGCCAGCGTAAAAAACGATCATAAAGGTCTTTCAATATATCCATGTATAGGTAAAACAGGGATCAGAGATTGGTAGGGTACATTAATCAATGCCCTAACTCCCACATTGACCGACTAACACAGTAGGATTATTACAGTTACTAGATGTATCATTTTTGAATCAAATTGTAGACTTGATATTTATTGTTCTTAAGTGCATCATGCACCACTTTGTTTCTCTCGGGGAGAGCAACTTCACGATCGATGACAGATTACGGCTTGAAGCTATCAATGATTGAACAGTTTTGAAATCCCTAAGGCTCTTCGACAACAAAATCCTGAATACCATCACTCGGCCCCGTCCTCGGTAGTAGATTAGTCCGAATATGACAGGCAAGCTCATGAACCGATCCCTGTTTATCGTGTTCCGTTCCAAGATAAAACGCTGCCCTCTCAACTAATGCGCGAAGCTCATCTATACATCGAAGCCGATACAGCGTATATGTGATTCTTTGCGACGATGTGCAATTCGCCGCGACAGTTGCTTGTTGTAAAAACTCGAGAACATGCAAGGATACTCGTATCCGCCAGTTTATCCTATACATGATTGACCCGCGGTAGATTGAATCGATCATTGTCGGGTGAGATGGGACTGTGTTGGAGCCTTTGCTGCTGTATGCAGCAGGAAGTGGCGGTTCGACTATATTGCTTGTGATGAACCTCTTGTCACTTAGAGGATCAGTCTTAGTCTCGACGGTATCCAGATCTTGCAAGATTGATGCTGCGTTGGAAAGCAGTTCTGCGTCATTTGCTTCGTTGAGTAGTCTTCGGATCCGACTGCATAGCAGAGCACAGTGGTAGGTGAAAATACAAGTCCGAAGAGGTAAGTATTCGGATGAATGGCAATGGTCGGCGAGATCGTGGACCAATGTAATGGACTCGGTGATATAGCTTTCTTGCCCTGTTCTGATGGCTTGTATTTGCTAGTCATAGTCGGTAAAATCAGCAGCGATACTGATGGTGGGAGAGCAGCGGACTAACGAGATTGTTAAATACAAGCAAGAATAGATTCCTTCCGTCCTCTGTGGCATAATTCTCTGAACCACGCAGTCGAAATAGATTGATCAGGCCTTCACTATGAATATGCCAACCCATATTCGTCGGGTCGGCAATAAACTATAACTCGGTTAACTGAAAAGTCCTCATTGAATTGTTCAGGGTCCTCCCACCTCATACACTCCAAGTACCCAAATAGCGAGAAGCGTACTGTTCGATTTGCACTTTTGCGGATCGCGAAGAGTGCTATTAATTGCAGTGAGAGCATTTCTATATGACTTTATGCGAAGAGCCAAGGCATTCTTCGAGCGATCGGTCTGTCCTAGGAATACACACGCCAGGGCATTAAAGGCTCCATATAGCGCAGATTCCCGCTTCTCTTGTGATATCAAATGCGAGATAGTGTTGATAATAGTCAACGGCATATCAGTCGAGGATCGCATCCCGGTTAGAGCCAAGGGTATGAAATGGTTATTCCAGGTCTCTGTTAAAGATTTGCTTATCATGGTTCTCCTGGGGTAGTGTGACGGTTGTTTGGATAATGACCGGACTTCATCCTGCTTCTTGAAAAAGTCTTCACGCTCTGCTTGTCGGGTTTGAGTTCTCCGCCGATCTCTACTCTGATTATCTGGGAATGACAGAACTGTCTCTGTCCGGAAGAGCACATCGCTCTCTTTCCTGTAGCCAGGACATTTCCATTTCTTCCGTAAGCATTGACTGCACTCTGGATACTTAAGATCACACTGGCCACAAAGAGACATAAATTAGTATGACGTCCTCTTTTTCCGGAAGTTTGCGAATTCAGATGTTCCTCGCACCTTGATGCGTCTTTTCCGGCAGGAATCACAGTCGCGGCTTGGTCTACCGGTGTTCGGCATTTCTGCTTGCCTTATTCAATGTTATCGACGCTGTCTGCACTCCGGCTCGAAAATGATTGGGTTATATCATTCACGAAGAAGACATTGATACCACCATGTTATAACACTTCACGTATCCAAAGCGTTTCTAGGACGTCAAGTCCGACCTAGTAAATCGTGTGGTAAGTGAACGAGGGGCAACCGAGCCCAGCCCGAGCACACAAAATATTCAACGGTCATCTTCCCGCCGCCACTATGCCTCTTCAGGGCTGGGACTTTCGTAAACATCGCGAAGTTTAAGAGTCCAGGACAAGGCAGATTCAATGATGCATGTCAGGAGAAAAATCGTAACATAGGTGAAGTCCATGACGATCAGATCAAATTCAATATCAGCGATAGGGACCATATATAAAGGTAGACCCCTTGAAAGGACTCCGCACTGATTACTATTATTCGTGCTGAAATAAACTACTCGGCTAGTATGCATTCGGAAGTGCATTCGCAATGTGACGAAAACAATAGTGTGCCTTAATATGGGGTTTCAGCCACCTCGTTTGCGTTATTAAGTGTGGATTGCTTCCAAGATTCTACAAATGCCCATAGCTTCGTTGTGATTCCACGTCTCAGTGGGAAGCTACTCGAACCAGGCCCCAAAAGTGAAGATTTCACATACGCAGCTTCCAGCTCTCTAATATTGAAAAGAGTCGTTTATTTTAGGTAACAGCTCGAACTCAGGAAAGATCTACAGCTTTTCAAAATCTTTGGTGGCTTCACTTAGGGCTCGCATGTGGCATTCCTAGGCAATGACAGTTCATTTTTGGAATGCGAAGTCTCGCAATTCTAACCGAATCTGTCTTTCTATTGGGGGCATACCTTATGATTCGATGAATTGAAAATAAGAATGCCGATCCCAACGCTTATTCCAGCTGATCGTCTTACGCCTCCGTGACACTTGGAAATCCGCTGTCTTAGAACCAATGATAAAGGCTCGATGTCAGCACCAAGGATAAGCAAGCACGAGGAGCAACACTTATGAACCACTAATCCTACGGCTCACTAATATGTGCCCCAGCATAGCGTCTGGCGTGGCCGTGCAATGCAAACTTAGGGCTGGCTCAGGCGCATCCTAGCGTTTTGGTACCCGCTTCCTAATAGAGTAATATTTGCGATGTCGATAATCTGCTACGTTCGCGATGGTTATTCAAGCGCTTATAACGATGTATATAAGAGTGGTCGTATTGAATCAACAGACTGTTGTTGATCTTTGGGCCCATTTACCTTTATATTGAATTCAGATCCATTTTCCTATCTTGATATCGCGCTTTTCCGAGCCAGAGAGCCATAATGGGACTTTTCGATCACGACTCCACCAAAAATCACACTTGTCCAGTACCCTCCCCTCTGAAAGAAGGTACTATTACGAGATACTCTTTGCTTCATATGCCCTTACTAACTTGGACATTGACTAGATGCTTCGAAGCCCCTGTTTGGTACCACATCCTTCTACCAGTTCGAAAAGATTCTCGCCGGCAGCTGTGCGGCTTTTGCCTGTCTGGTCATCCTCATCTTATTATGCATGCATGCAACGCATTTGAGCAAGCCTCATGAGCAAATAAATTAAGCTCGGGAGATCTCGCGCAACGAATGTCACAGTTCTCATCACTAATACCTATTTCTCTTATACAGGATTATGCGCTTATGTCTCATTATCCCCGTATATTCTATCGTTTCCTTCCTGTGCATCTGCTTTCCCAACGCATACGTCTACCTTGATACGTGGCTGGATGTGGTCCAGGGAGACTTACTGACGACCTTCTTCTTATTGTTATGCGATTATATCTCTACGGACCCCTATCAGCGAGAAGCTTATCTTGCCAAAGTCGATCTACCCTTAAATAAAAAGACGCAACAACCTGTCGACGCGGTTGCATGGTACCAGGTAACTCTAACCCTGGAGCCTGCCTGTTCTTTATTCCATGACAGCGAGAGAAGATGTGCGTCTAACTATGCTAGAAAACCTGGCTCTTTATCATCCAATACCCCATCGCCAGCTTCATCTGTGCAGTCGCTACAGATATTACCCAAGCTTCCAAAATATACTGCTTGGGTAGCGACAAACCCTACTTTGCTCATCTATGGGTGAGTCAACTCGACATGCGAAACATAACCTTTGGAACTGTGATCAGCTCTCTAACCAAACAATAAAAGATTGAAATCGTTGCAAATATCTCCGTCACGCTAGCAATCATGAATACCCTAAAGTTCTTTATGGGTCTCAAAGTTCAGCTGGCCGGAATCGATCCGATGGTCAAATTCCTCGCATTCAAAGTTATAGTTGGATTCAATTTCTTGATATCAGTACGTTCAAAAAAAGGACGAACTATATCGGAAGGGCTGCTGACCAGTATGTTCACTTTTTAGCTCATCTTCTTGATCCTTCGTTCTACCAAGGTTCTCAGTCCTTCTTCCACCCTGACATGGGCAGATATCAACATCGGCCTTCCAACCCTAATTATATGTCTGCTCATGGTTCCTTTCTCGCTCTTCTTTCATTATGCGTATAGCATCAAACCTTACCGCCTGAGCAAAATCGCCTTGGAACAGGCGGAGAATGGCAGACACGAACCATTTACGCCGCTTCAGTATCAAGGAGGACTATTCAATTTCAGAATGTGGTTATCTGTCTTCAGTCCCCTTGACCTTGTGCGTGGATTTCAAGGTCGTCGGGTTCAATCTGATGTTGCTCGGGAACCGTTGCGTGGGCAGGGTGAAGAGTTATATGATATGCACAATCCGTTGCTCTATGCGCGTGGATGAAAGGGTGCATTCAATGTCACGAGTGCCTATTCCACACAATCCCGTTAACTGTCTATGATTTCACTGGTTTGAGTCATTTCAAGAATTTGAATCATTCAGCAAGATAGGACAAACTAAATATATTAGAAACCTGGCAAGTTGGCTGCTCTCGCTATGCTTGAGAGATGGAAAAGTTTAGACTAAGTATAGGTATCTAGGTAAATAGGAACGGAATGCTCCAGCCGATGAGATAGATATTACTTACATTTGATCTGTAGTTATTGTAACTTAACTTACGTTACGGGTACCACTGCTTAGTCAGATATTTGCCTAAAAGAAAAAAAAAAAACCAGAAGCTTTATAGTTAGAAGGCATCCCCAAAAGTCGAAGAGTTAATTGTGTGAAGTAACTGCAGAATAGATTAGTTGATTTGATTCTTGAGGCAGAAACGAGTAACCTTAATTAATACATTACGTAATGATACTCTAGCCCGAATCGGCAGATATAGAATCACGTGAAAAGTCTTGGCTCTCGCCTGATTAGGGCTAGTTTCTGTTCGGGTAGGGCATTAGCCCCCGGAGAGGAGCACACAATTAAGCCAATTTCTGCTATCCTTCAGATTGAACGACACCACAACCATCAACCCCGACCATCACGAAGCTGCGCTCCGGTCAATACCGCAAAAATGGTAAGGCTTTTATTTTCATTATGATAATGGTTTTGGATTTTTTTGGAGTGGGGTGGAAAAAGGAAACGGGCTACAAGTTATGGATGAAATGATTACACGATGAACCTGCGATACGACATGTCGACCGGGAAAAGTGAGAAAAGAAGAGGACGAACGACGACGACGAGAAATGTACCATATTGTGCGAGATTTTGCGGTGTGGATCTGACGACATTCGATCGAGCATCTTTTGAGATAGTCAATATTCTCTATCTTTGAAAAGCCGGCACCTCCATCTATCGGAATCAATCATAAAATTCGATCTCAGAAACCGAGGACGTTTTGTTACTCCCCGAACGCATTAATCGTATACACCATGGCGCATACGATGGACGAGTATCGCACCAGAATATAATGTGGAATCATCATCATCTATATCTATGGCCTGTTGCATAAGAGACGGACTGTCGAGGAACACTACTGAACACTACTGCACACAATGATTCTGAAACATGCTGATTGGCTCTCCTTCAGGTCAACATTCCTAAGACTCGCCGCACATACTGCAAGGGCAAAGAGTGCAAGAAGCACACCCAGCACAAAGTCACCCAATACAAGGCCGGAAAGGTTAGACAATCCGCCCGCACGTCGACTGCCAAATGGGTTGTCGTTGCTGTAATCAATACAAGGTACTGATCAATGCATATAGGCTTCCCTTTTCGCCCAGGGTAAGCGCCGTTACGACCGGAAGCAGAGCGGTTACGGTGGTCAGACCAAGCCCGTCTTCCACAAGAAGGCCAAGACCACCAAGAAGGTTGTGCTCCGATTGGAGTGCACTCAGTGCAAGACCAAGGCTCAGTTGGCTTTGAAGCGATGCAAACACTTTGAGTTGGGGTATGACTATATCATCCAGAAATTTTCGTAGCGAACCAGTTGCTAACCCGTTACTTTTCTTACAGTGGTGACAAGAAGACCAAGGGTGCCGCCCTCGTTTTTTAAATGCGCAATTGAAATCGAGAGTGCACGAAGTAGGGAAATGGTTTTTCACTTGGTGTTTGGGTCTTTTCTCCGATTCAAAGTCAATTTTATTTTTTCCTTCCCTTCCTTTTGTCACGCCTGGAGAGGAATTGAAATAAAAGAGGCTACGACTACAAGATATGTTGTCCTCGTCATGCAATCAACGTTATGGCAACGATGAATCAAAAATGATTGTAATTTCTTCTTTGTTTACTGGCCTTGCAAGAGATCGAGGCAGGAAGAAGAAGCAAGGAATTGTCACATAGACAACAATAAAATTCCAAACTTGATAAATAGTTTTTTATCTAATGCCGTAGGGTATTATAAGATTATCAACGGCTATATATTCTCCTGGTTCCATAAGGATTATGCTTCCGAAGCCTCCATAGAGATAATAGAGGAGACATCTTATCACCTGTGGCCATTCGCATTGGCATCTCTGGTAGTAGTATAGTGGTCATGTCACCGCTGAAGCCTGCTTTGTGCAACAACACAATCTTGCTGGACTTACTGCTAAGTTCCGAGTTAGAATAGAGCGCGATATTTGCATAGAATCACCATAGCCCCAAGCATTCTACAGAAAAGAGAAATAGCTACGTGGGGAATTATTGGGCCCGTCCGTTCCCTGGAATGCGACGGGTACCACGTGCTTGGTTCCATGGCTCACACATGGAATTCCAATCAGACTCTAAACTCCGACGTCTCTACGAAGAAGTTTCTGACCAAGGCAAAGTAAAATAAAGCCGGCTACTCATGTAATGTAGTCAAACTGCGGCTCATCAATATCGACCCCATCGAAGCCTTTCTAGAAGGACTCGAAACGCAGCCTAATCGTATCCGATGCAAGAATATGCCTTACTAGCACACGGCTCAGCCACGCAATCGACATATCTAGTGACTCGGCACGCAACAAGAAATGCCGTGATTCGTGAAACTCTCTTTCTTCCTACACATTTGCCATCGTGTGCCCGCTCATGCTTCGATAACTGGTCACTCTCTCTCGCTAGGGACTCGGTTCGCACACCGACTCGATAGGCTTAAAACTCTACGATCACTCCAGATAATCGGGCACAAAGGACGGTGACGGTGACCCTTGAAACCGGTGGATCATTGCCTTATAGCCTCCCCGACTTGCATAGATGCCAAGTCGAGTAGGCATATCGGAAGATTAAAATATTTAAGGAATGCTCCGCTGTTGTTCAGTGTTCAGCAAAAGTTCCTGACTGCGGCTGACTACGGACGTCATCGTCAGAGAGAGTGATCCTGTGACCTCACGTGCTTGCCTTGATTAGTTCTCGTCTCTTGCCTCAATCTTTCCTTATCACCACCTTACACCCCGTCTCCATCTGTTGCCATTCGAGACACTGGAACACCAAGCTTGTTGCATCTCTTATTTCAACCATAATCAAACACGCCTCATCTGTCCAACAGATTCTCTTATTACTGATCATTCTGACTCACCAACCACGTACTCAGCCATCCGACTTGCCGTGAACCCCACCATCGTCTAGCCCACTCCAGCCTGCAACGCGGGACATTCATTCTACTTAGACTACACTAGTCTGTCGCTGTGACCACTGACGCACTTGCTTTTCCATATCTTGCCCCTCCCCTGGTCTTACGTGAGCGGCATCTTATTTTCTGCCTGGTTCTTTTTCTGTCTTTGGTCTACTTCTTCTTTTATTCATTCCATTTGTTTTCAGCTGGAAAGTAAAAAAGATCAACTTTGCAGACAACCGGGAAATTGAAGCGCAACATCACCAATCGATAGGCGCCATCCGATATCTGCGCATAATTCAGCTTCGGGAGAGACTTCCGCAGTTTCCCCTCGTTGCTCTCTTTGCCATCTGACCATCTTCACCTGAGGTGACAGATTCAGTTTGCGATTCGAAATGTCATCATATACATACCGAGAACGAGACCGGGAATGGGATGAGTACTCCCGGCCGTCTGAGCATCGCAACTCGTATACAGTCAAGCGTTACGTCATCCCCTCAGAGGACAGTCGTGATCGCGAACGAGATTTTTTTCGTCGCGAGGATGCCGTAGGGGACCGTGAGTTGGTGATTCGACGTAGAACAGAGCCTTATGAGACCGATTATGAGGTTCGCCGCGAGTATCGCGAACATGAACGTGAGTGATATGTCATCCCACCTTCAGATTATATACACTGTAGTATTGCCATCATATGTTGATTGCATGGCCCACATTTTGTAATATCATGATGAACCGTCAGCTAACTTCAGGAATAGCACGTTCAATATATGAGCCTGACTACCAGGTCGTTCATCGTTCTGAAGTTGACCGAGACCCTCGGGACGTTGAATATTATTATCAAAGACGTGTTCGCGAATACGACGACGATCGGGATCGCATTAGGCGGGAGATTAGCCCCCACGACTCAGTCTCTCAAGCCAGCACTCGGAGACACCGTGAGAGAGACCGAGACCGCGACTACAGCAGTGACGATAGCATGGTTTATATTCGCAAAGAAACTCGCGAATATGACGACGAGCCTCACCACCACAAACGGCATCTGGCCGAAGGTGCACTTCTCGCAGTGGGAGCCGCAGAACTTCTCCGACATCGTAGTAAAAGCCAAGGGCACGAAGTCTCAGGGGGAGTAGCCCGTGTTGGAAGAGATGTTGGCGCCGCTGCTCTAGGCGCGATTGCTGCCAATGCTGTCGACCATTACCGAAGCAAGAGCCGCAGACGCTCGTCGTCTGTCGATGATGATGATCGCCGCCACTATCATCATCGCCGCCGTCACAGTCGCAGCCGCAGCCGCTCGTCGTCTCACTCTAGAGCTAAGACTCTGGCAGGTATCGGTCTTGGTGCTGCTGCCATTGCTGGTGCAGTTGCTCTAGCTCGAAACAAATCGCAAGACGACAGACGGAGCCGTTCACGCCATCGACGAAGATCTCAATCTCGCTCTGGTGATGCTAGATCAAAAAGTCGAAACAGACACATAGCAGCTGCTGGTCTTGCAGGTGCCGCTGCTGCCGGTATCATCGAGAAAGTTCGCAGCCGTTCACGGCCTAGATCCAAAAGTCGTATAAGACAAGGCCTTCCAATTATTGCTGCTGGGCTCGGCACCGCAGCAGCTGCCGGTCTCTATGAGAACTACAAAGAAAAACGTGAGCAGAGCGCAAAAGGTGAAAGACGGCACTCCCGATCCCGTTCTTTGAGTCGAGGCCGAGGCGCTATTCTACCAGACCCCGCGAAAGAATCAGCTGGCCTCATTGAATACGGCCACGACCCAGTCTACGGCAACGTTCCTTCAGCTGATTACTACGGCCGTCCAGCCAGCCAGCACGGTTACTATAATGACGCTGTTGTTCCAGCCGTTGGCGACCGAGACGGTCACAGCCGCGGATACAGTACTTCTAGCTCAGGATCTGACCGGAGTCATCGTCGCCGACACCGTCGACGAGAGAAGAAAGAACGAAGCAGTAGCCGAATCCGTGACTTCGCGGAGGCCGGACTTGCAGCAGCTGGGTTAGGTTATGCAGCTTCAAAGATCTCGGGTAACAAGAAGGAAAAGAGCCATCGTAGCCGTGAACGGGAAAGCCGACGTAAGTTTGAGAGAGCTTTCAATGTGCTAGTTTGAATCTTAGCTAACTCTTGCAGGTCATGATCATGACACTGACTCGTACGAAGAACCGTATGATCCAGCTCCTTACATGCAACCTCCTCCGCCAGGAGCTCCAGTGCCGCCAACAGAAAGTTACTATCCGTATACGAATAGCTTTCCTCCTCCACCAGGATCTACACCCAACCCCCCACCTGCGCCATACAATCCTACCGAATACCCTCCTCCACCCCCTCCTGGAGCTGTTCCTCCACCGGTACATGGGTATCCTCCTCCGCCTGGAGCGCCTCCTGGCAATGAACCCTACGCCCCTCAACCACGTAGAGCTGATGAGAATGTGAGTGCCCCTTTTCTTGACTCTCATCACACATCAGATGGTGGGTTTTGATAAGTCAAATCTGCATGTTTGAGCAAAATGAATAGTAGCTGATACGTTGCAGGTGTAAGAGGCATGTCAACGCAGTTTTCCAGAGAGGATTTATCTCGTGATGGCCGTGAAGGACACTCAAGACAGCGATCTGTCAGTCAACCTGAACCGTCATCACACTCAAAATCCGTTTCTTTCGACCTCGATGGTAAAGCCAAAGCCGAGAAACTAAAGTCAAGTTCAGATGATACTTCCTATGGAGAAGGGTATGAAACGGATGACAGCGATTCAACGATTGATGGTCTTGATCGGGGCCGTCACCACCACCATCATGATCATCATCATCACCGTCATCATCCTCCTCCTTCGCAAAACCAGCACTCGTCTAAGTCCTATGAGCCTACATCTAATAATGATAATTATCGCCATCAAAGTCATCATCAGCAAACTGCGAAGTCTAGTTCTGTTCCGCCTCCTGCTCGTTCTACAACTAAAGATTCTTCTGATTCTGAAGCGACAATCGACCTACCGGATCGATTTGATGCACAAGGACGGAAGCTGCCAGAAGAAGGGGACGATCCTCTTGCAGATACATTTGACCACTTGTTACAAAACATATTTTCGAGCGGGCGATCTCGTGAGCGTTCAGCTCACGGAGTCTGGTAATTGCTTGTGATTGTTTATGAATTTGATTTTTCCCGTCTATTGTTTTATTTTTTCATTTTTTTTTACCTGACTTCTTTCGAGTTACGGCTGCACTAATGATCTATACGTTACGGAGGTTATGATATTTATGAAGCTTAAATGATGTATGCTTACAATGATATTACGCTGTTGTTTTGATTTTACTACACTCGCAAGTTGTCTCCATGCACTTTATGTGTGATTAGATTATTATGATTGAAATTAACTTCCATATTCAAGCACCCTGTAGCAAAAGTCAAACTACAAAATGGAGCCGTAAAGAACTCTCGAGCAAACAGAAATGTTGCTATTCGGTTCCAACGGGTGACTACTGACTATGAATCTTTCGCAGACGACGTAGCTGACTAACTAACGAGGCAAACCGCTACGTACCCTGTGGTAGACACCAGCTGAGCTCTATCGATCCATCTGACGCTAAGTGGTGGCTAGCTGGAATATGATCAGGGATCTGCCTGCTCTCGGACTAAAGAGACTCTTTTTTCTGGTCAGCATGGTTAGCGACATCTGGCACCATACAATCCCTGGATGATATTATTATCTGCACGGCATGCTAGCAAGAATACTCTACACAATTCCCTTGTCTGACTATTTTCTCGCTCGATCTAAGAGTATGAAATATCCTCTCCATACAATATTCTGAGTTGTCTGGTAGACCCACGAGACTAAACCGAGTATCGGCTAGAGTCAACCCACGGTTCAGCTTGTTTACTTCCCTCGGCCACAACCAAAACAATAACATTCACTATCAAAACAACATCACCACACCGCTAGGTCTGTTCCATAGTAACCTAGTTACTGCGGTTGTTGGGCAATTGTTCAAGCGCCGACAGAGTGCGGAACCAAAGAGGTCGCTCAACACGAGCTTGCTTCCATCTGACTGGCAGAACGGCATCTCCCGCCACCTTTTCCCCAGCCTCGTGGTTCTGGCTCATTTTTCTCACTCTTACACATCTTAACGATTCTGAATGACATTCCTTTCCCCGCAATAATACCTTTCTTTTATCTTGCATCAACTACATACCATTCCATGAATTAATTCGCCATTCTTATTGTGCGATAAAGAGCTTATCCGCGATCGCTCTATCGCCCATAATGTTCAAGGCTCTGTTCGCAGGCGGCAGTCGCGAAGACGTGAGCTCTCGGGGATCCGTCCGTCGCAAGTCTTCCACGAAAGGTGGTGACGACGATCACTCTCGCACATCATCATCCCGGCGCCAATCGAAACTATCTTCTTCAGCTTCCAGCGTATCTTCTAGTCGTAGGTCAACAACAACACGGGGTGACGACCGTGGTGATCGTGGACTGGGAGATATTAGCACCAGCCGAAGTGTAACCGGAGACTCGACTACGACCTACGTTACCGCCGAGCCTGCCTCATATGTTGATGATCCTCTGATTATTGAGCGCAGGCCTCGATCAGAGCGAGGCGATGATCGGCAAAGGTCAAGTCGCGATTCTGACCGCGAGTCGAGAAGATACACGGATGAGCGGTTGAGCAGAGATGACACAAATGACCGGGATCGTACCCGGACTCGTACGAGGTCTGGAGATACTGCGGCGCATTTTGCTGCTGAAATTGCAGACCCCAGATTCAGTCAATTCCCCATGCAATATGATTCCTCTAATATTCCTGGCACATCATCTCCATACCAGCCTCCATTAGATTCACATATCTCGCAGCAATTTCCAGGACAGTTGCCAGGCGCAACGGCACAGCCTTATATACCGCCGAATCCGGCAGGTCTTGCTGCCGATTACTACAACGATCAAGGTCAATCGGTTGCTCACCAGCCGGGAGTTCGTCCTCAGGCCCCAGACATAATAGTGGGTGCCGAGCCTCATTTGCAACCAGCATCGCCCATGGCAAATCCTCCTCCCGAGCCAAGCAGTATTGGTCAAGTTGGCGCGGCAGCTGAGTACTATGCTGGTGGCGATTCATTTCCAACTTCAAGTACCCCAGCTTCTACGAAGCCACCGAAACCAAGCAAACCCTCAAAGCCATCTTCTAGACCTCCAAAGCCAACATCAGGGTCTGCGACTGCTGGAGAGTCGGCGACGTTTGGTATCGGGTCGGAACTGATGAACCAAGCTAGTTCCAGTTATCCTGTCACATCTGGTGGCCAATCAAGGCCTCCTATTCAAGCAACTGGAGGACCTTCATCACACAATGGGGTGGGTTTGGCATTGGGTGGCGCCGCAGCTGGGGCGGCCGCTGCTTACATGCTCAATCACCATGGTGAGCACTCTAACTCAGCAGTGCAATATGAGATCCGACCGGACCACCATAACGACTCGTATGGTATAGGGATTCCGGCAACTGGGAATAACCAGTCTTCCTACCAAGGAAACGTTGCCCCCTACGCACCGCTTGGATACGCTAGTCGGCCTCCAGCAGGCCCTTCCTATCCTTCCGGAGGTATACAGCCTGGCTCGTTGGCTTATCATCAAAGACATCACAGCCCGCTCTCCGCATTCGTCGACTTCTGGAGAGATCCGGAAGGAGTCGGAAAGTTTGAAGATTACACTGAAGCCATCGGAGTGTGCAAATACTGCTTTGAGCCTGGCACTTCGTCTCGAGACGCACCGCGGAAGCATCATTATAACCCGCGACGACGTTCCCCGGTCGTCGAGAGATACGGAAGCAGCAATCGAGTAGACAAGTTGACTCGCTACACCTCGTCGGAAGATGAGAGCCGGCGGAAGAAAAAAGGCAGCTCGTGGTTGGCAGGTGGATTAGCAGGTGGACTTGCCGGCTATGTAGCCAAGTCATTGTTCAGCAATAAAGATTTTGAAGATACGTACAGCGTGAGATCTGGTACTCGTGCTGAACCATCGCATCATCATACCTACGATGAACAGAGTATGGTGTCATCTAGCAAGGCTAGTTCTACATCCCGTGGCGTGATCTCGTCAAAGAGACGTTCTGGTGACGATAAAAGCTCAGTATCCAGAGATTCCAAATCTTATCGATACTCGCGTCGCTCCTCTCGCTCGCGGTCCCGATCGACATCCAGAGATCGTCGAACCAGCAGTGGTCTGAAGGAGGCAGCTATCGGTGCAGCTGTTGGTTCTGCATTGACTGCTGCTGCAGCGCGATCTTCTGATCGGAAGAGGAGTCCAGATAGATCGACACAGCGCTCCAGACGACGTCAATCCGATTCTTCGGGAAGCGTCAACTTTGAACGTTCTCGGAGACGTGGAAGGTCTAGTCCGAGAGGATTCAGATCTTTCTTCACTGCTCCATCGGCCAATCGTCGAAAGAAATCTTCGAAGAAAGAACGAGGATTCTTCTCCTTTGGAAATTCGTCTTCCTCTTCGGGAGATTATGATCTAGCCTTTGGCGGCTCTGAAATTTTCGGCTCGACGGTAAGTGGTCGATCTAGCAGATCGAGCAAGTCGAGCAGGAAGCATAATGTCGATGCGGAGATATTGGGTCTAGGACTGGCGGCTAGACAGCTTGCGCATTCATCTTCCCGTAAAGAGATATCGCCTCGTGATCTTGCTCGACCTCCTAATTACGGCCGGCCCACAAAAGTCGAAAATGATGAGTGGGAAGATGCAGAATCATCAGATTCTTCCGTCTCTGCGAACTTGGCGTACGGTGGAAGTACAATTTTTGGAAGCCAAGAATCTGTTAATTCTCGTTCATCATTCTGGCCTTGGAGCTCAATCTCACGCAGGCAGAGGAAAGCTCAGAAAGAGTACTCGCAAACCCCTCCAGCCGACGATTACTCCTACTATCCTGGTGATAACGCCAGTCACGACGGTTCTAGCGGTAGAGGTAGTCTTCAGCAATTATACCCGATGCCTACGAGCGATCCATCACGGTTTGATGCCGTGCGAATGTCGACATCTTCATCCCCAAATGCACAGCCTCCATTGGTGAGACCTGGACCGATACCTCTTCAACAACCCCAACCTGTTACTCTAGTTTCCCAGTCAGTTTACTATCCTACCGTCACTGCGCCTACGGATCCACTCGTACAACGCATTGGTCTAGAGGACCATACAAGCAGGGATATACAACGTCAACGCCGCAGCAACTCATCCCCTGTTTTCCCTAATGCACCTCTAGACGGTGGACCGTCTCCAGGAATCCTCAAGCGGAGATCGACCGCGAAAGACCCGGCAACAGTTTCATTTAGCCTCACGGAAGAGCAGACAGACAGACAACAAGAAGTTGACCGTCGTGACAAAGAGCGCCTGGAGCGTCGGCGGGAAGAAGAGTTTGCTGTCTTACGTGAGGAAGCGGATGAACTAGCTGAGTTGGAGCGTCGTCGTGAACGCAAAGAAAGAAAAAGGGAAGAACGCCGTCGCCTTGAAGAGGCTGAGGCCGAGGAAGCGGCTCGCGAAGCTCGATGTGAGCGACGTCGGAAGGAATCGAGGGGTGATGAGCGATCATCGGTCACTTCAAATGGACAACGAAGGGAGAATGTGGAAGATATGACGCGAAGAGATGAACGAAAAGATGCTGCATCGTCGTCTTCATGGGTCACACCGGCAATTGTGGGCGCCGGCGCCGCTGTTGCTGCAGGTGCTCTAGCCGAGAAAGCTTTCGAAGATGATAGGTCAAGTGCGACTACAAGTCGTTACGAGGAACGTCGAGAAAAGCGGCGCTCTCAACGACGCAGCGCCTCTGAGAATCAATCAGAGGTGACAGAAATCCCTCGTCAAGAGCAACCTCAACAAGTTGTGGAAGATGACGAGCAAAAGAAGCAAGAACAGCGTATCGCCAGAATTGCAGCTTCCCGAATTGTGCAAAACCCTTCCACTCATGAGAGTTATGAAGATTTCTTCACACCGGAGGATTTACGACATCATGAAACCCATGACGACTCCTCCCCTAATATCATCGACGTTGTTCCACGTTCGGAGAGTCGCGTGGAGCCATATCTTGGCAGTGACCTTGACAAGCGAGATCCCTCTTGGCCACCCTTGACCATTAATATCATAAAACCAACTCCTCCGGGCAGCCATGACGGCTCTGTAAGGGATGTCTACTCTCCTGTACCGACACCGGAGCCTACTGAGAAGGAGGAGCGGAAAGAAGACGTTAATCCGACCCCAAGTCATCCAACCACTGGCTCGCGAGTTTCGTGGGGAGAACATCAAACTCATGAGTACGAGGTTGAGACTCCTATATCCGACAGGGAAGAGCATTTTGAGGAGATAGATCAACATGGAGTTGCCATGTCACCCGAATTCCATGAGGATGCAAAGAGTCATGAGGCTTCTACTGAAGAGAAACCTGTGCCTCGCCATATTGATGAGACCAAGTCGAACTCAAAACACTCAATGCCTGGTAGTTTCGATGATAACGTCGAATTTGCAGCGACACTTGCTGCTGGTGCCGAGATCGCTGGCTTCGATCCTACCGTTGTAACTGACGACGCCAGTTATTATGGGAAAGATCATCTGTCGAGAGCCGGATTTAAAGACGCCTATCGACCTCCTGCTGTTGAGAGCGTTACTGATCTTGGTGATGCGATCTCAGTGCATTCGGGCTCTGCAAGGAAGGAATTCCGTGGACCGGAGTCTTTTGATTTTGAGGACACCTTCATCGACGAGTCTGGTACCTCCAAGACAAGCAAAGACGCTATACCCGGAACTCGGTCTATTGCTGTGACAGAGGCGGAAGATGGTGATAGGTCCGAAGCTTTCGACTACAAGTCAACCAAAGAGTTGCGCGATGACAATGGCGATAGTGTGCCATCGTCCCCTGTAGGGGATGGTAAAAAGTCGAAAAGGCCGAAGAGAAGGTCGAGAACGCTCGACGATTTTGATATTGGATCAGAAAAACCCTCACGACGATCCGCTTCCAGCGATTATTCTGACAATAAAGAGCGAGACAAGAAGTCGGAAGACGCAGACTTTGAGGCAACACTGGAAAGAGTTCAATCGGCGCCTGTAACGGACGATTGGATTGAAAAAGACAAAGAACCGCGTCGTCGAAAATCAAAACGCAGTGATTCAGATCGCTTCGAATCGGTAGATGACACTCGTTCTGTCGCCGCATCAGCACCAGGAGCCGATGAATTGGAGGAATACAGATCGCGCCGATCTTCTCGGAGGTCCAAGACTGATGATGAAGTGGATCTCGAGGACGACAGCCGCTCTCTACCTGATGCCGACGATGACGGAGAAAGGCGCAGACGGCGCAAGCACAAGCGTCATAGTGGAAATTTCGATGACGTCGCTTCAGTGGCCTCTTCACCAGCCAAGATCGATGAGACTCGCGAGAAGCGCCGCTCACGCGACTCATCGACAGCCTCCAAAGATCGCGTGAGGGAGTCAGAGAAGAAGAGCGGTGGACTTTTCAGCAGTCTTTTCGGATCCAAGTCAACTCCAGAGCGATCTTCATCCACACCGGGCAAGCGTGAGACACAGTCGGAGGTTGGTGTTGATGAAAGTACGTCTGAGCGTAGACGCAAAAAGAGATCCTCCTCAGGTAGGAGTGTAAGTGGTGATGGGGGCGATGTGGCAAGCGAAGCCGCTCAGTCTACGCTAGATCTCTCCAGGCTAGATAAATTATTTGACGGCGAGGATGGAGATAACGACAATCAATCTTCGCGAAGAAAGAGGAGGGAGCAGAGGCGGCGAGACAAGTATGAGGAGATTGTTGATTCGGCACGCGATGCATCATCTGAGAAGGTAGATCTCTAGTCCCTTTTATGCGTGGTTGACATTTCTTATGAAAAATATTCATGGCTGTACAATCTATTACATGTTACCTATGGTGCGATGCTTCTTTCGTAATGATCATGTGCTAAAGTTTTATTCTTTCTTTTTCCCATATAGGATCGATATTCCACCGCCGACGATAATGATGATGACGACAAGAAGTCTTTTTTAGAGATGCGCCCCGAAATGCCACCGGTAAATAGTCACGAAGGAGAAGAAGATTCGACTAGAGAAATTGTGGGTGGTGCTTCGGGGCTAGCTATTACAGCAGCAGGACTTGGGTTAATGAAAACTTACGGCAACAGTCTTGATGACCAGTTGCAAGATGTACAACAACGTCTGAGAAGCCGTTCAGTCTCTCCTTCAACGGCTGAAAAGACGTTTGAATTAGCTCCAAGATCTCAAAGTCGACCATCTTCACCCGGAGGACGAAATCAAGACGAAGAGAAAAACTTGAGAGCAAGACGCCTATCACTCTTGCGAACGAGTGATTCTCCCACTGCGGTACCTTTACATTTTCGAAAGCCGCCTACATCCCCGAATAGCTCACGACGTGTCTCTATGACTTCCCCAGTGCCGTCACCTAGTTCTCCTAGACATCGACGGCCCAACTCCGTCGAATTCAAGAATGTGCGTGAGATTCGTCCACTTTGGCTCGTCGAAAGACATAGTGCTAGCAAACTCGATGTTGAGCCTGAGGGTCCTCTCCCCTCCCTCCCTTCTAGCAAAACATCGTCTCGAAGTCCATCCGTCGAGAACCTCCGAGAAGGGTTTGAGGATGACGAAGATGCCGTTACTGGCTTCTATATGGGTGGTGGAGGTGAAAATTCTGCATTCAACTGGGGTCGCAAACCGGTTGATCTTCGCATCTCTACGGACCAGTTACCTGCTGGTGATGAAGAGGATTTCTTGAACTCGCAACAAGCTACTCCTACGGCAGAAACGTACAATAACAAACCATTCGGTCCGCCACCGATCAAGAAGGAGAAGCCAAAGTACGAATTCCATTCTCCGTCAGAGTTATTGCAGGATCCTAGCACGTATCAAGCTATAGTTCCTGAACTTCCTAAATCGCTAGATCGATTGCCCTCTGTAGCAGGCTCGGATTTGGGAGCGAAGGAAGCCGAGACAAAAGTGGAGGGAGCACCCACGGTGGAATCAGCGACAGAGGTTGAAGAACAGTCACCATCACATGATGTCAAAGTTGAAGATCAGCCCGAAAAACAGAATAGTGATATGGCGTCATTCCTGGCAGGTGCTGGATTTGCCTCTGTTGTCGATGCGGCTGTGTCTGCTGCAGTTAGCGATCGGGAACCAGCTTCAAAAGAACTCAATGAAGTGGTTCCTCAACAATCTGCAACCGAAGAAGCTGGTAACCAGGAACAAACGCCAGTCTCGTCTAAGTCCCATAGTATTGGCGGCTTTGGCGAAATTGTTGATGTCGCGGTTGCGGCAGCAGTCTCCAAACATGCTTCTCATGACGTGATTGATACTAATCGCGATCAATCCATGAAAGCAGAAGAGGCTCACGTTCCTGAGGATGCTGCAAAGGGAAACACATCGTCCGATGTTGGTCACCCCGGACTCTTCGCAGGTGTTGTTAATGCCGCTGTCGCCGCTGCTGCTGCTGGTGAAACCCACGCCGATGTCACACAACCAGACCTGGCCAAAGATGTTGAGCTTCAAGAGGGTGTCGCGCAAGAGCCAAAGACAGAAGAAACTCCCACTGCAGAACCCTCAATAGAAGAAGAGTCCAAGGTTGCTTCCGAAGAAGTCACTGAAGCCAAGTCCGGTTCTACCTCCAAGAAACAGAAACGGAAGGATAAGAAAAAGAAGAAGAAGAACGAAGATCTTGACGTTACTGCCAAAGACAATGATGAGGGAGAAACCGTTGCTCTTCCTGCCGTTGAATTAGACTCATCTGCACATTCCAAGCCAGAGGCGGAAGCCGAAGCGACACGGGCCGAACCCACCTCTGAACCTTCGACGGTCCCAAAGCAACCTACAGAATTCAAAGATGATACTGTGGGAATTCCTACGGACCAGCTGCTCGCAGCTGTGTCTGAAGAGATTGTTGGAGATAACACTCTTAAATTCCAACCATCAACGTCAAATGTGGAGACTGACCCATCCCCCGAGGCGGTCACCGCATCTGCGGAGAGCGAAGAAGCGCAATCTGGTCCCAGTGCGGAGCCCACAAGGACTACTACTACCGCAGACACCAATGATCAAGCACCACATGTGGTAGCAGCGGAGTCTGAAGATGTTGCATCACCAACAACTTCCAAATCGTCGAATAAGAAAAAGAAGAATAAGAAAAAATCGCAGGGTTTGTCGGAATCAATTTCTGTTGAGACTCCTTCGACTCCTGGTGACGAAGTACAGGTCGAGTCTTCAGCGATTGCTACTGAGGAGCCACACTCAATTGATGAGGTAATTGAAGAAAAGCCTGTGTCTGAAATTTCTTCTACGAGCATGCCGTCTGAGAATTTGGAGGTGACTCAGGACGTGTCTACTTCTGCGGAGAAGCAAGCGGTCGACAAGGATGATCCTGGACTATCAGAGTCTGCTGAAAAATCTGTTGTCGACAAGGATGATGTGGTTGCGACTGAGACGACTGAGCAGGATGTCCAGGGAACATTAGGTGTTGAACAAGAAAAATCGGTCAGTAGTCCGGTCGATGAATGGTTCGATTCACGAGAGACTACGGAAGCACCACCTACTGGATCAGTGCAAGTAGAAGCTGCGCAAGACACAACAAACAAGGACCTTCGGACAGCTGAGGCCTCTGGAGAGCCAGCCGCTACCACTGAGCCAGTCGCTACCACTGAGCCAGTCGAGCCGAAGCGGGAGGAGAAGCCAGCAGTGACAACTCCATCGAGCAAAAAGAAGAACAAGAAAAAGAAGAAGGGTCAATCTCAGTCTGTCGATGAAAGCGCTTCAAAAGAGATTGCTCAAGAACCTTCTGAAACAGTCCAGTCCCAGCCCGACAGTTCGGAATTTCCTTCGGCTGAAGTTGAAGGCGAAGTTTCACATGCAACTGATGCAGATGGTCAAGCCAAAGAAATCGAGGAGAGCATTGCCGAAGAACCCCGCCAAGAACCATCTGATACTTTGACTGCTGAGGTTGAACAAGCCTCCCAGAAGACAGATGAAGCTTCAACCTCTGCTGTTTCAGAAGTTGAGCCAACTGTAGAGTCTGAGCCCGCGGCGGAATCTGTGCTGGAAACTGTGCCAATAAGTGAACATCTTCCATCAGCACCAGTACCCGAGACTGAAGAGACCGTTGAACCACAGACCTCTGATGTCCCTGTCGAACCTATTCCATCCAAGCCGCTACAGTCTGAAGGTGATGCCATCCCTTCCGAACAGTCAGAAAAAGTTGCTGAAGCAGTAGAAGCCACGCCAAAGGAAGAAGAAGTATCCGTCCCAATTCAGGAACCTTCTGACGAGGTACCAGTTGCCCCAGCCAAGTCAAAGAAGAAGAAAGGCAAAAAGGGGAAGCGCGTCTCTTGGGCTGAAGGAACCGAACTCGCTACTGAATCTGAGCCTGGGACTCCTGCAGAGCCTGAAACTCAAGTATCTGAAGAGACTGCGCTAGCTGTGACTTCAGAAGATACAGTGCCTACCGTCGAGGAAGAAATGACGATACCTGCATCTACCGAAGCTGAACCTTCCATTGTTACTGAAGAGGCTTCACGAGAAGTAGAGGAAGATGTGCCAACGCCAGCAGAGGCTGTTGATTCTACCAGACCCTCAACTACCGATATCGAACCTGTTCTAACTTCTGAAGCACCTGCTGCTGCCGAAACTCCCGAGAAGGAACCTTCTATCGAGTCTCAACTCGAACAACAAGTCGAAGGAGTTCAGACTCTTGACGATCAAACTGTTTCATTGCCATCCGAATCATCCCAGCCAAACGACGCTAAAGCTTTGCCTGAGGAAGAAGCCGGTGACTCACAGGCGGCAGATTCAAAGAGCAAGCGGAAAAAGGACAAGAAGAAGGATAAGAAAAAGAAGAAGGCGACGGAATCTTCTCTTCAAACGGATGAGAAGCCATCGCAGCCCTCCGAGCCAGCTGTCAACGAAGATGTCAATGAAGATGTCAAAGACGCGGTTGAGAACACTGCCCCTGGAGTCTCGGAGACCGTTGAAACGACACCCATTGAGCAGCCTGTCACAGAAAAGGCTACAGACACGGTCCAGGCAGATGCTTTAGAATCTCAGGCTCCTGAGATGTTAGAGCCTGCTGATTTGACTCTTAAGCAGCAAACCGCGGAGGAAAAACCTACAGATGTTGTCCCGGCAGAAACTCCAGAACCTCAAGTCCCTGAAGCCTCAGAGCCCACTGAACTAACTCCAGTGGACCAGTCCACAGCTGAAGGGAAAACTTCAAACATTATTCCGGAAGATGTATCAGAACCTCAAACTCCTCAAGCTACTGCAGACGAGTCTAAATCAACGGATATGGCACAAGACGATGAAGGGGCTCCGGAAACCCCCAAACCCAAGAAGAAGAAAGACAAAAAGAAGAAAAAGGCAGCTGCGGCTCTCGCCTTGGTTCAAGAAGCATCTAATGAACCGGCCACTGAAGAGTCCAAGGGAACTGTTGAGAATGCAGTTTCTGACAATGCAGAACAGACGAAAGATGCCTCGGTTGAGCCGGTAGGAAGGCCACAGATCTTGGAGACGCCTGTGGAGGAAGCTGTTCAAGAGCGTGTGCAGGACCGTATAGAAGAGGCGAAGCCCGTGGACCCTTCAGGTGACGCGCCTTCACAAGAAACTTCGAAATCCAAAAAGAAGAAGGACAACAAGAAGAAAAAGGCCGCCGAAGCTCTCCTGCAGAACGAGGAATCAGCTTCCAAGGAGGAAACAGTCGATCCTACCGCAACCACACCTTCCGAAGCTACTGAACAGACAGAATCGATTCCTCAAGAACAGCAACTTCCAGAAGAGCAAAAGACGGAGGACGTCATTGCTACCGAAAATGAAGTATCTCCGCCTGGGGAACCTCCCGCAAAAGAAGTGAAGTCCACTGAAGTTGCAGCAGACAATGAGTGCACCCAAGAGGCGTCGAAATCCAAGAAGAAGAAAGACAAGAAAAAGAAAAGGGCATCGGCAGCACTCTCATTGGACGAAGAACCGATTCCATCTGAGACGGTCGTCGAGTCGGCGGAAACAAAACCCTCTGAAGTTGAAGTTCCAGAACCACAAGAACAGCAGGCTACCTTGGACGAAGAGACGAAGGAAATCATAAAAACTCGGGATGATGAACCTCAATCTCTCGAATCTCCCGCAGAAGATGTGAAATCTAGCGAAGTCGCAGAAGATGGTGGATGGGCGCAGGAAAAATCAAAGTCCAAGAAGATAAAGGCTGCGGAAGCGCTCTCATTGAGGGAAGAGCCAGCTCCGCCGTCTGAAACAATCGTCGAGGAGGTCGAAGCAAGGCCTACTGAAGTAGAGGCCGAGGCTGAAGTACCACAGACAGAAGAACAGCCAATTTTAACCGAAGAGAAAAAATCTGTCACTGAAGATCTGTCTGCTGAACTTCGAGCTACTGAGGGACCAACTGAAGATGCGAAGGCTGTCGACAATGCTGAAGACTATGATTTGGTCCAGGAGACTTCTTCAAAGTCTAATAAAAAGAAAGACAAAAAGAAGAAGAAAGCGGCAGAAGCTCTTTCTTGGGATAGTGAACCTCAGACACCTGTCAAAAAAGAGGTAACGGAAGCTGCTTCGCCCGCTTTGCCCGAGGCACAAGATCTACCTGCTGTGGTTGAACAGACAGTGGAGGATGTTTCGAAAGACCAAGATGTAGAGCCTGAAACGACGGAAACTCCTGCTGAAGATGTCAAGGCCGATGCTGTGGCTAAAGAGGATGGATTAACTGAGGATACTTCCTCCAAATCAAAAAAGAAGAAGGCAGCAGAGTCTCTACCATGGAAGCAAGAGCCGCTCTCCACTGACAAGCCTATCGATGAACAAGCTCTTCTTGACAACGAACCTTCAGCTTCCCAACCCCAAGAAGACTCTCTCATAGATAAAAAAAGGCCAGACGACAGTACAGATGCGCCCAACACTGAGACTCAAATTCCTGAAACTCCCGCAGAAGAGGTGAATCAAGTCGGCGTTCCGGAAGACGACAGCCTGAGCCAGGAAACCTCAAAGTCAAGGAAGAAGAAAGAAAAAAAGAAGAATGACAAGTCACTTCAATTAGAGTCCACCCAGGAGGAAAGCACACCTGATGTAACTGCCGCGGAGGCAAAAGAGATTCAAGAAATCACCCCAGTTGTTGAATATACTTCTATCAGTGAGGATGCTACGACTGCAGTTAACGAACAGGACGCTGATACTACTGGTGTCCAATCACAAGCAGTTTTACAAGATGAGTATGTACCAGTACAGCCTGCAGGTGTCGAAGATGAGGGCTCATCTTCAAAGTCTAGCAAGTCAAAAAAGAAAAAGGGCAAGAAGAACAAGTCCAAGGATGAGCCGATGCCGTGGGATGAAAAACCTGCAGAAAAAATGCCAGAAAATCAGCAGGAAACCGGTACTGATCAACCAGCTGTGACTGAGGTCGCTGCCAATAAGGAGTCTGCCCGCGACCTAGAAATATCGGAAAATGTGGAGCCTGAGCCGCCAGTTGAACAGCCCTCGAAACCAGCAGAAGACATCCCGAAGGGCACTGAGCTTCCAGCGAGCACGGAAGCAGAGGCCTCGGGACGTACGGAGCCCGCTGAGCTCGATCAATTAGAGCAGCCTCAGGTGCCTACAGATATAACCGCGTCAGTCCCTCCTGAAGAATCTACAAAACAAGACTCGTTGGATACTACGCAAGTAACAGATTCTCAATCTACGGCGGAACCCACGGAGTCTACCGGCGTTATCGAACAGGGTCCTACTGAATGCTCCACTCCGACTGTCCCTGAGAAAGCGACAACGAATGACAGCGAAATGCCGCAGGCCATGTCTGGAAAGAAGTCGAAGAAAAAGAAGAAGCGTGATTCAATGTTGTGGAATGACGAGCCTACAGTACAACAGGATTCTTCGACAGATCCTATCGCATCAGAGGGCAAAGATCAAGAGATGCAACCTGACCCTACATCTACTGCGGAAGCACAGCCGCAACAAGAGACTGATATCATAGAATCTAAGGAACCAGAGTCTACAGACGCCAATGTCGATCCTGAAGTCAAAGATTCAGGTGCTGCAGTTACAGAGCCAACCAAGCAATTATCTGCGAAGGAGAAGCGGAAGGAAAAGAAGAAGAAACGTCGCACGCTTGATCTGGCGGATCCCGAACCAATCCCTACAGTTGCAGACGAAGCCCCTGAGGCTGCTCCTGCACCATCGATGCCAGACGAACAACAAAAAGACGACGAGGGAACTCCAGAGGAATTTGCGACAGTTGGAAAAAAGGAGGGTAAGAAAAACAAAAGCCAATCGGTAAGCTGGGAGGAGGATATCATCAAGACCGTCGCTGAAGAAGAGTCAAACCTCAACGAGACTAAACAATCACATGGTCAAGCTACCGAAGAACAGCAGCTGGATGCCGACTCGAAGAACCCGCCTCTAAACGAACACACAGATCTCGGTCCGGGACCAAGTCAAACAGAGAAAGAACTGCAGGAGACGCCTGTTGAAGTCGAGGGTAAAGAAACATTTCAGTCTTCCGAAGAGACTCACACCGACCAGAAAGAGAAAGATTTCGATTGGACTGATAACATGGTGTCTCCGCAGGTACAATCTCAGACAGAAGAATCTCCCTTCCCGGTTCCTTCCCCGATTTCTGATAAACGCGAAGATCCCGACCAAAGCCGCCCTACTGCTATAGATGAATTCCAGAGCCACGAAACTGTAACCCCTGAAACTCTGGTAGAAGAGCAACTTCCGGCTGTTGAACAGGAAAGAGAAGGACCAACAGAACTCTCTGCTGATGTGCAGCCCGTCGACCAAGAGACGGAGGACGGTGGCGGGACGGCTTCGAAAAGCTCGAAAAAGAACAAGAAAAAGAAGAAGCAGAAGTCAATCACTTCTGTGCCGGATGAATCTATGATTGTCGAAGAAGAAACTTCATTCAAGACTCTAGTGGAACAAGATGAGAAGCCTGAATCTACAGACCCTCAAGTTTTCGACACTGAACAGTTGGAAGAAATCCACGAACAGCCTGCTGTTATTCAAGACGAGCCTCCAGTTTCAGAGCCTGTATCTCAGATGGAAACCAATGCCGAAGAGGAGTTCAAGCCTGCCGGTGCCAGTAAGAAGAAAGGCAAGAAAAACCAAAAGCCCGATATCTGGTCATCCGAACAACTAGGCGAATTTGCTAGGGATCAGAACACCGACCAAGTCCCCGCTGGTCCATCCACAATCGAAGAAGAGATAATTGCGGATGATAAGGACAAGAATCAAATCCCAGAAGACACACCCCTCGTCACTCAGACGGCACAACAGGAAGTTGTGGTGGATACAACAACCAAGGATGCTCCTGGGATTCCTCAGGGGGTCCCCGAAGACACGCCTCTCGTCACTGAGGCCGGACAGGAGGAATTTGTAGAGAATACAACAACCGATGATGGTCCTGCGATTCCTCGAAAAATCCCAGAAGACATATCTGTCACTGAGGCAGTACAGGAGCAAGATGTTGAGGATATGACAGTAAAGGATGCGCCTATGAGTCCTGAACAGACACCCAAAGAGAGAGGTTTACCGCAAGAAGAGGTTAATGAAACCTTGGCCACGCCATTTTCCGAACCCCCCGCTCGCAAACTGTCAAAGAAAGAAAAGAGAAAGATGAAGAAAGGGAAGAAGGCTGAGACTGAGGAAGAGAAAGAGGAACCGGCTGCGGTTGTTGTTGAGAAGGACCAAACACAAGCTCTCCGCAGCGAGCACGTTCCAGAGGCTGCTGAAAACAAAGTTGATAGTATGCCAGCTGCCAATGACACTTTGACCGTCAACGAGAAGTCTATCGACGTACAACCAATTCCTGAGGAGCTTGCTACAACTATCGAAGAACCGCAAGTTTCTGATGCTAATGTCGAGCCTGTGCCTATTCAGGAAGAGCCAATCACGCGCAAACTATCCAAGAAAGAGAAAAGCAAGAACAAAAAGCGCATGACAGAAGGCTGGCCTGAAGAGGAGCCAGTAGAAGCCAGCATCGCAGATATTGCACATCCACCTGATGCTGTTGAGCCTGTTAGTGCTGATGGCCAAGAAAGGAATCCTGATAGTGATTTTGTTGAAGTATCTCCTAGTGGTGAGCAATCTGAACATGCTCATGTGTCACTTGATCCATTCGATGTGCCAGAAGCCGAGAACCAGGGTCCGAATGAACCCCCTGTCGATTTTATCCCTGATGCTGACATCGCAGAACGAGACCCTGAACCAAAACCAGATGCCGAAGCAGCTCTTCGTACACGTCAATTGGAGAAAGAAGCCGACCTCGCTGTCGCAGCTTCTCTATTTGGAGAGTCTCCGGAACCAGAGCCGGAACAAGTGCTCTCACGCCAGTCGTCCAAAAAGCAAAAGGGCAAAAGGAACAAGAAAGACAAGAAGAATGTTCTTATTGAACAGGAGAATGCCGATAGCAACGTTGCTGCTTCGCAAATCGAGACACCTTCAAAGGAGAAAACCTCACAGGAGGAAGACCAAGAGATGAAGCCTTCTGAATCCGTTGAAGAAATCTCGCGGTCTTGGCCTTCAGTCGACTTTGACAATGACTTGTGCAAAACCTACTCTGCAGACAAAATCGAAACCAAGGGCAGGGAGCTCGGATCCGAACGTCAAATTCAAAATCCTGAAACCTTGCCACAGTATCCAGTTTCTATGACAGATGACTTCCAGACATGGACACCAGGGTCAAGATCAAACATCCAGTCTGTCAATGTGAAAGAAGCATCTGAACAAGGACATCGCAGCCACTCCCCTAGTCAAAAAGAAGATGTGGATATGATCCTTTCTACTACCATGGCTGCTGCAGGCTTCCTTCCATCTACAGCCACAGCGCATGCAGGAACTGATGCGTTTACAGATTTACAGTCTATCATAGGAACTTCAAGGAAATCATATGATACCTACGAGCACCATGACGTATTTAGCGGTGATCGAACAAATTCTAAATCTTCACGTATGCCCGTTGAAACTTCCAAAGAAGGAAGCAAGTCAAGCAAAATCGACGATATCTTTCCCGGTCTGGAAAGAGTCAAGCACCGGAAGCCTTCTCCAAAGTCACACGAAAAGCAGACCGACAATACGATGGCTGTCGAAGAACAAAGATTACCAGTAGAAACACCAGTCAGGACTCTCAAAGAAAGCCGGTCAACGCACAATGTCTCAAGTCGCGAGCTTCCTGTCGCCCAGGTCGAATCAACATCCAAAGATCGATCTTCCTCACTTCTCTTTGATTCATCTCCGTCAACCAGGTTAGAACCCACGCCCGATACGACAAGAAGGACCTCTTCATCACCGATTCGACTACAACGCTCTAATGACTCTCTACACCGTACGAAATCTATTCACGGCCATCACTCGGGCCCGACACACGGTTGGCAGCTGGACGATGAACTCACTCCTACAAAAAGAGCAACTAGCCAATCTTCGCGATCTCTTTTACACCCTGACAACACTGATCTTTCCCCGCCGCGAATGCCTCTAGATCCCATCAAGGAGCATGAAGGCCCTCACTTGCCATCACCATCACCACGCCTTGTAATGGGCGAAGGGCCATACAAACTGGAGCGACCGGACAGTCGGAGCAGCGTCAGAAGCTCGCGATCACTGCGAAGGACCAATCGCAGCATCAGCGGTGACCTTCGAGCAGCAGCCTCACTCTCTTCACAAGCAAAAGAACAAACTAACCCCGATTGGTCTAGCGCCGATGCCGATAAAGATAGGCACAAAAATGGAAAGGCTGGGCGCCAAGAAGTGGGGCATCCCCAGCCACTCAATCCAGACAACTTCAACCACGACGACAACCTCCACCACAGCGATAACCACGATGACTATGATCTGGAGAACATTGCTTCTTCCTCAAAATACGATCCCGTAACCGATAAGGGCAAGCGCCCCGTCCGAGGCATGTCTGATGTCTACGTAAGTGCTATTACTCATTGATTAACCAGTCACTTGCTTGCTTCGGTTTGTTTTCATTGGACTTCTTGATGCGTTCGTTCATTTAGCCGTTGTGTGCAAATGCTCAGTCATTCGCGACTAACCTCTCTGCGCGCACAGGAGGGATGGGGCGAGACTCCAAACTCACCGCGGTCGCCGACCCGACCGCCCAGCATTAGACGTCGACAAAGCATGCAACATCTCCAGGAGCTCGAAACGAGACTCGATCAATTGATTTCCGAAAATCGCTTGTTAGCCGCTGCAAAAGAAGAGGCTGAACAAAAACTATCGCGCGTAGGTGTCGCTCGTCGCAAAAGCGACCAAGCTCTTAATACCAGCAATGCCGACCTCAGAGATAAAGAAGCCGAGATTGCGCGATTGACAAACTCATTGGAATGGATGCAAGGCGAGGTGCAGAGGTTAACACATGAAAATGAAGCGGTGAATGCGAAGCACGCCGAATTGACTGCGTCGCATGCCCGTGAAGTCGATAGTCTCCGTACCCGTCAGCTCGAACTTGCGTCGGGCATGGAAGGCATTGTGCGCGAACAAATATCTGCTGCTTTGGCGGAGAAGGATGCAGAAGTCCGCCGTCTTCGTGACGAGCTTGCAGCAGCCCGCCAAGCCGTACAAGAATTGCAACAACAGATTGTCGCCGCGACGGCGGATGATGTTCTCTCAATCCACGACGAGGACTACTTTGACAATGCATGCCAACGTCTGTGTCAACATGTTCAACAATGGGTACTACGATTTTCCAAACATTCCGATCTTCGTCGCTGCCGTCCATTATCCGAAGTACGGAATACCAATGTCGCGGATAGATTTGATAACGCTATTTTGGATGGCTCTGATATAGATGCAATCCTTGCTGATCGGGTGCGCCGGCGTGATGTGTTTGTTGCCGTTGTCATGGCTATGGTCTGGGAATATGTCTTTACAAGATACCTGTTTGGCATGGATCGGGAGCAAAGACAAAAGCTGAAGGCTCTCGAAAAACAGCTGTCAGAAATTGGACCTCGTCGAGCTGTTGCTCACTGGCGCGCTTTAACCTTGACGCTACTTGCAAAACGGCCATCGTTTGCAGAACAGCGCGTAAGGGATACCGAGGCGGTTGCCCTTGAGATCATGGAGACTCTATCCCAACTCCTGCCGCCTCCTCAATCCGCTCAAAGCCAACTTCTCGAGTCGCTCAGAGGGGTACTCCGGCGCGCAGCCAATTTGTCCATCGAAATGAGGACGCAACGCGCCGAATACGTCATGTTACCACCCTTGCAACCAGAATACGACTCGCAAGGCGATCTAGCTCGGCAAGTGAGTTTCAATGCATCCCTGATGAATGAGCGCAGCGGAGTGTACAGCTCCAACGAAGCACTTGAAGCACAAGGCGCTGCAGTACGCTTAGTACTATTCCCACTCGTTGTCAAAAAGGGCAATGACCTAGGAGATGGCGATGAAGAGATTGTTGTTTGTCCGGCTCAGGTCCTAGTAGCCTGGCCCGAAAATGAAAAACATCGTGAACGTGATCGCATGTCTACTCTCGGCAATCGATCCGTATCAAGTGTCGTGCCTTCTGTTGATATGGGAAATATGATCTAGCTACACATTTCTCTTCTACCATTGTTCTTTGTCGATTCATCTTCTATCGATCTGTTTATTTGGCGCAACATGGTGGATATTTGTTTCTATATTCTTTGGTCGACCACAGCTCATACACGGTACGGGACTCAGTCCAGTCGAACAACCATCTAACACCCAAGGCGTCACACTTGGATTGTTGCTGCTAACGAAAAGGTTGATGTGGAGTGTGGTCATACACATTCAGGAATGCAGTCATTGCTTTTAATGTGAGAGTATACTACATGAGGGCTGGATCGGCGTTTACATTTTGAAATTCTTGTATTTTTTCCCTTATTTGATTTCTTCTCTTGTCTTTCGATTTGGAGTCCTGTTGTCGCAGCGATGAGATGCAAGCAGATTGAGCTTGACTGTATGTGGACATGACTTATGACCTTCATGACCTTAGAGAGATAATTGTACAAATGAGAGACGTTTATATTTATTCATGAAGCATCTTACAATAAATCTAATAACTCATGTTCCTATCATCCAATTCTTCTAAGCGGCTTGGCCTGGATCGTGTGCTCGGCCACTGTCGGTGTTTCCCGCCCACATGCATCCACCAACCTAAAAAATCCCCTAAGGCAATGAATACAACGCAACTTTTATCTACCCACACTCGATTGTTTCTTCCGAATTACATTTCATCTTTTTTACTGCTATTCTATATAGCTCTTCCTTGGAATAATCAGATGACTCGGACTCGATGCCAACACATCTTGGTGAACGAGCGAGCCACGTCCTAACTGCCTAGCTATCCTGTGACGACGTCATCGCCACTGGTTCAAGTTGCGGCTGTCTGCCAGAGTGTGCTAACATGTCACCTCGTTAAGGTATACTCCCATTCTCAAATCGGCGTTAACAATCGTTAATCAGCATTGATAATATTGAATCCATGCAATCGTCATCGCGCCATTCAGAACAACTCTCCCAGGCGTCCAGCACTTCGAACAGGCAGCGGCCTGCGGGCTCCAGGTCTACCCAAGGCCACTCACGTCCGACATCTTCAGTTTCCCATGTCACAGCAGGAATAACACAGGATACAAACATGCCGACCAATACAGCGCAAACGCCTACCGCCTCGCGGAATCAGCCTACGAGAGAGCAGCAGGAGCCTGGGAATTCGAGCGCCGCGAAGCCAAAGAAGAAGAACCGCAATCGCAAACGCCGCAATCGCAGGCAATCCTTTATTGCATCTGAAGACTCGGGTCCAATTGTGTCTGAACTTTCAGGAGGACTGGTGCGCACGAATCCCGACCAAATACAAGAACGTGCGCCATTCTATAGAGGCCGGAATATAAGTAATACAAGCTTGGAGAGTGAAGCATTGTTGGACCATCGGTATGTGATCTGGAGCTGGCTTTGATATGGAACCATTGCTAATATTTTGGATTGTAGAGATCAACCCATGATGCGGCCTCGACGTGATAGTCGACTCAGTCAATCTTTCCGCCCCGAATCGTTCAACCGGTCAGGTTCTTATTTCCCGGGCGTGGAGGGACCAAGTCCCGGCCAACAGCGCTCAAACTTTAGATACCAACAGAATCTATATGATCAAGGTGAAATTGAGGAAGATGAGCAAGAAGGTAGACACATTACTGACCGGACTCCGCTAATACCACCATTGCGAACTGCAAGCCCAACAAAGCTTGGGTATGGCACGGATGCAAGATCTCCGTACTCGTCATCAGGGAGACATCGAAGGCAATCACACGATACTGCATCCTCGCCTCCTGCTACCGGTTCTCAGGAATATGATGTCAATAATCCTCCATCGGTTCCGGGAACGCCTAAACTGGGCGTCACGGATATGGGCTATGATGATGCCATGGTCACCGGGTTAGAGTTTCCCCAAGGAGGTCGATCACCTGATATACGACGAAGTTCAGTTGACCTGCTTCGCGATGCAGTCATTAATATGGAAGGCGGAGGTATTAGTACCGCGAGAAAAGGAGATTCGAGAGCGTCGTCACCTCCAACGGCGTCTCCAGATGGTTTACGTCGCCGACGTACCATTACCGTCCCTGCGGAGGAAGACGTATGCTTTCCATCGGAAATAGCAGAAGATTTTCAACCTCAAACGCATGACTCGGAGACAGGGGAACGACGGCGCCGGCGAAGGCGAGAGTGGCCTGATCTCTCTGTTCTGGAGGAGTGGAGTCGTGAAGAAAAGGAGGAGCGAAGTCTTGAGTACCGCGTGAAGAAGATCAGCGAACCTGTCCTCGTTGGTGGACGTTTACGCCCACAATACATCGGGTGGCGGCGAGAGGAGGAGGATGCTCCGTATAGATTTACGTACTTCAATGAGGAATTTCAGAGTACAATACACGCGCAGACGATATCTGAGCTTATCCAACCGGGAGGAAGCTTTAGGGATCTGTTCATTCCTGATCCACCAGAACTTGAGGACTCTTCTGATGACGAAGAGGATTTGATTTCGCTGCATGAGCCACCTTCCAACTCCAACTCTAATGCCAACCGCAATAGTCAAAGCAATTTAAGCGGCAATTATTCCGGTTCTGGTGTTGATAATGGGGTTATAAACAGTCGAGGGACCAACACCCCTGCTCGTGATGCACAGCGAGAAAGCGGAAATCAGTCGAACAACAATCGCAGCAGCAGCGACAACAACAACAACAACAACCGCTCAGATACACAGACACAAACATCAACCCAGCAAGACACAAACCGGGAATCAAAGCCCAAACGCTACGGACCGCGGCCAACCTGGTGGCTTGACGTTCTATGCCCCACCGACGCTGAAATGCGCGTCATCTCCAAGGCATTTGGGATCCATGCCCTAACCGCAGAGGACATCATGATGCAAGAAGCTCGTGAAAAAGTCGAGTTGTTCCGAAACTACTATTTTTTGAACTATCGCACCTTTGAGCAAGATCCCAATAGCGATAACTATCTTGAGCCTGTGAATATGTACGTCGTCGTTTTTCGAGAGGGGTGTCTGAGTTTCCATTTCTCGCAGACGCCGCACCCAGCGAACGTGCGTCGGCGCATTCGACAGTTACGGGATTATCTGATTCTAAGCTCGGACTGGATCTCGTACGCGTTGATCGACGATATCACAGACGTATTCGGCCCACTTATTCAAACAATTGAAAACGAAGTCGACGAAGTCGACGACACGATTATGCAAATGCACAACACCGTGGACGATTATACAGGTAACGGTAACGGCAGCAATGACACTAGCAACAATAAGAACGACACACAACCCGCATCCTCAATAGCACCCGGTGAAATGCTACGACGAGTAGGCGAAGCCCGTAAGAAGGTGATGGGAATGTATCGACTACTCAGCAACAAGGCAGATGTCATCAAAGGGTTCGCAAAACGATGTAATGAGCAATGGGAAGTTGCGCCGAAATCCGAGATTGGGCTTTATTTGGGTGATATTCAGGATCATATTATGACTATGACCAGTAATCTTACGCATTATGAAACGTGAGTTTCCCATCGTGTTCCAGTCAATCTATTATGCAAAACTAATACATGGATAGTCTCCTCTCCCGAGCCCATTCAAACTACCTAGCCCAAATCAACATCCTCATGAACGAACGCCAGGAACGAACAGCAGACGTGCTAGGCAAACTGACCGTTCTAGGAACCATCGTCTTACCCATGAACATCATCTGCGGTATGTGGGGTATGAACGTCAAAGTCCCTGGTCAGGAGGTTGATAATCTATATTGGTTTTGGTCCAGTAAGTGCCTTCCCCTTCATCCGTATGTTGAGCTGACTGACGATAATAGTAACGGCTGGACTTGTATTCTTTGGCGTTGCATCGTTTCTGATTGCGAAGAGAGTATATAGGATTGTCTGAGGCATTATCTTGACATCTTTTCTCTACCTATTTTTGGATTCGTGTATATCTGTCTATACATACATTCTCTCTCCATTTTGCATGGCATAACGGAGTTTTTAAGAGGTATTTTTTGTTCATTGATAACAGTTTCAAGTATCAAAACGGTCTTACCGTCAGGTCACAGATCAATTTCTATCTTCTTACTTCCATCGGAGCATTATCACTATTTGGTAAGTATCCCATTGACAACACCTCCTTACAAAGCTACAAAATACGTAACCGAAATCGTAAGGATGATATCTTATCTGCGTATCTGGTTGACTGTCTGTTTATTCTGTTCATAATTCTGTCGTTCACATGAGTAGGTGTGTAAGGTATAGGGGCAGTCAAACCCCTGAGAAGGGAAGAGGGTATGGTCGAACAATCAACCATCCATACAAAACTCGCTTTTTTAGAGGGTCGTGGTCACATTCATCATTATTAAAGCAAACATTCTGATAGAAGTGCAAAGGAAATTGAAAAGAGAGAGACAAACCGAACACATCGGTCCGAGGTTGGGGGAATAATCAATCAATGAGTGATTAGACATAAAATAATTGATTCTCAAAAAATCAATCGGATTGCTCCAGTGCTTTTCTTCTTTGGGTTCTGTTGCCTGGTATTCGCTCCAGGCGAAAATGGATGTAAAAAGTTCGACTTCCTTTCTGTACAAGTTCCATGTCAAACGCGAAGGGGTATTAGAAAAACACATATCAGAAAAACACAAGGCAAATTCAAGCAAGAGGCATGAACGGATAGAAGTCGTCGTTTTGTACAATGGGTAGTAAGGTCGGTGAAAGCTTGATGGGATCATAGGGGATCATGATGAGAATGCTCGGCTGATCAGGAGGTATCCCTCGTCGACATCAGATGTACGTACACGCTCGTTTCAATTGATGCGGACAGTTTCGTTTCTTGGGAGACCTGGGATGCCGCTGTTGCCATCTTCGCTACCGTTTCCGTCACTGTCATCATCTTGGTTGGGAAGAACTTGAACTCTGGCACTAATTGACGCAGATCGCTCGCCCGATGTCAATGGCAGTGAATATTTAAAGACACCACGCACAATCAATTCAAATGGATGTTGTAATACTCGCTCCCAGCGCTCAGTTCCACCCTCTTCTGTCTTGTTCCCCGGCTTCGGCAGCCGGATCTCTCCAACAGATTCAGAGGGAATACGTCTCCAAGGTGAGGGATCAATTATAACAGGAGAATCAAAACTAAAGACACGACCAAGCAGCATTGTCTGGGCATCGCCGGACGGATCGTCTGGAAACGGTAATGGATCTGTGCCGTGGTCGATGCCGTCCATAGTATGAATTTCAGAAGTCGATACCTTGGAGTCGCCCAGCAAAGGCAGCCGAACTAGCCGTGCTAATGACGCGCGAATCTTGCTACGTTGGACTCGAGGAAAATCTGAAGCGTGGGAGCCGTGATCACGCCACAACTTATCGCTACCGACGTACCGACTCCGGGCAAAAATGTTGACATCCATATTTGCAATGGAGATAGGGAAGATATTAGGGTTGATAGCACTGACATGCACATCAACCATAATCTCCTGCTCTGAAGCGAGAACATTCGAAAGTTTAGTGACTTGCACATCCAATAAAGGTCGCATCAAAGCAGCAAGGAAAGTCGCTGCGCCGCCGATAAGGATCACTATCAAAAACGTCGCGATAACACATCCCCCATACCGAGAAAAGCAACTTCGTTGACGATTTTCAAGATACTCCATTTGTCGCATACTGGCACTTCCCGGTCTACGACCGTTGCGGTTACGAGACATTCGAACTGAACTGACCAAAGGTGTGCGCTCATCATCGGCACCATCAGCATCGAAGTCGTCTGTGTACTCGTCACTCATACTCTTGGGACCACCAAGTGTACGATAGTTTGGATGTGAACGTGGCCCGTTGCCTCGTCGACTTTGACGGAATCCATTGGTGATGTAATGGCGAGGAGAGCGAGGTGGTTGTTGAGATTGAGGAAATGGAGAGTCACTATCAAATAGCGAAGGGTATCCGCCTCCTCTGCCATGACGGCCGATATGATGTCGACCAGAGTGTCCGTTGGACTCACCCCTTCCACTGACGCCTCGTTGATCCATGTCTCCCAAGTCGCTGTCGAGGTTGTTATTATGGTTATTCGTGAATTTCATGCTTCGCTTCACCGTCACCCCAGTTCCGTCTCTACCGGCAAGACGAGACCGGCTCGCAAATTGCTCGGCTTGGCTGGCCATGGACGTCGCACTCGGAGTTCGGGAATGATAGCGATGTCGGTTCGGAAGTGGTTCGGGAGGATTGGACTCGTATACGAAAGTCTCATCGGAATCAGAAACATCTGCGTCATCAATGGCACTAGCAACTTTGGCTTCAAAAATGTCGGCCTTTGACGAAGCTGCACCAGGGGGGTTGGCTGGCTTGCGGGTAGTTCGTTTCTTCTCTTTCTTAGGGCGAATGGTCTCAACACTGGGCTTCATTCTGATAGTACCGCCTTGGTCGTTGCGAGCCGAACTGCCCCGTTCACCGGCACCAACGCCTAGAGATACCTGCGGAATAGAACTGACAGTTTCAGTCTCGACGATCATATTTCGCACCGAACCATCGCTTGGTTTGCCTCGACCACTGTTAAGCGACGTGAAGGATTTTTGCGGCAAGATAGCAGCAGTCGGTCGTGTTGTTACAGACGATCGGCGCTTGTCTTCCTTCGAACCAGAGCTTTTGTTTCCACCACTCTCGCTACCACTTTCCACTGCATGCTGAGCGGTATCAGTGGCTTTAGACGGTGCATTTTCTAGAACGGAGCTTGCTGGTGCCGAAACAGGAGTGGACGGGACACTGGACTCTTGAACAGTCTCTAGAACCGTTCCCGGCTGGGTGGCACCCCTCCCAGAGGGACGACGCGAGCTGATCTCAGCATCATCATAGACTGCCTTCACCGGCGATACTCGGTCCTCTTCTGGACTTACAGAAGTTCTTTTCGTTGATATGTTCGCAAGGGACTCTGTCGTCGGGTCTGAGCGTTTCGTGGTGGTACTTCCTAGGGAAGGACTCCTGGAACCATTTGTAATCGAACTTCGCCGTCTGGATGTGCGCGGCGGTGGCATACTCGCACGATCTGGGTCGGAGGCATCGAGGTTCTTGTCAGTAATGGCAGAGCGTTGTAAATCGGGTTTCCCGAGCTGTGCAAATGCCTTTTGCACAGCGGCAGGAGACAAGGTGGAGGTAACCGTCGACGTAGGGTTAGGTTGTGTGCCACTGGCGCCACGACTGGGGCTGGGGCTGTTACTGTTTTTCGTCCGCGAGAGAGATCGACTTGGACCAGTCTGATAGTTTGAATTGCTGACTACACGAGAAGTGAGGCGGATGGGGGAGGTCTCGCGTGACGAGTTGGTAGAGTTGTTTGCAGACGCCGATGCAGAGACACTTCCTGGGGTCGGTAACCGCGGCACCAGGGACATCGCTGTTCCTGTCAAACGTGGAGGTTGGTATTTTGTGTCAATATCCAGAGCAGGACTGCTGCGACCTGTCCCTGATGACGGACTCGCCCGAGAGGAGGATCTTTGAGCAGGCCTATTGGCCGGTGTTGGGGAGTCATTGGATGGCATGATGGGTGGAAGAGGAGGTGGAAAGGGTACGGAAAGGCAGTGTGAGTGCGATCATCCAGTCGAATCAAGATGCTCACGGTGATTGAGCACGAATAAGAAATGCAATGTACCAGGTAAGGGCATCCGTGATGGGCGATGAACTGTTTGTCGAAAAGGTCGGTAAGCGAAAAATCGCAATTGGAGGGTTTCGATATGCGTAGACGCCCAAAGGGGCCCCGTTGAGCCGGTCAAACAGTATGTTCACAGTGATTGTTCGATGTGTCAAGAGGGTAAAAGTCCACGAGCAAATGAACAAGGGCCACAAATTCGGAAGGAAAAGGTGGGAGAGTAGGGCTGGTTGTGTCTGGATCGGCGAGAAGCGGCGAAGCGGCCAGGCGGCAGTTAGCGGACGGTCGTGCGATCTAATCGGGGGCTAGGCACGTAAGCACTGCAGTCACTGTGCTGGCAGCAAGGCACCAACACAGGTAATTCGACACAGATGGGGTAGTAGGCAGTTCTAATGTTGACCGAAGCGATGTCTTGCAGCAGATATGAGCAACAGAGGAAGAGAACACGAGGAGAGTATCGAAGTGCAAAACGGGAAGTTGGCAGAGGTGGATTCCTCAGGCGTCAACGTCACCATCTGTTTTGTTGGGCCTGGCCTGGCCGATTTTATGACTAGGCCAATGAAAGTTTCCCACGTCAGGACTATATACACCTCTGTGTTTACATATCTTAATTTACTCTTAGACCATCGAGTGACTGTGACTGTATGGAGTAATGGAGTATATTGTAGTGTATTATTCTACCCTTCTTACAAGCAAATTGGATGGAAAGTAGGGAGCAAAATTCTAAACTCCGTGAGCCGAAGAGGACGTAATCTGGAGAAGAAGAAAAATCCGGCTTCTGGAAGACGGCTAAATTACGGTGACACCGGTGTGACGCTCCATGGACCAATCATTAGTGACTAATATAACGATACACTGCGAATTTAGCACGATCCGGTAATGTATTACCATCGGCATACAATAATAAAATACATCGGGTGATTCTAACAGTCTCATATGGAAAAACGAGTCCTGTTGATCTTATTCCTCTCCAAGCCCGCGTTTCCTGTTGTTTGTTTGGTCCATGGAATAGAAAAGGGAATGATCTTTTCACACAAAGTAAATCAAGTTTCGATGTTAAATCTGGAGAAAACAAGGAACATCGTATGCTCTCGATTGAGTCGATTCATGGCCCTCGATTTGATTAGAGGCAAACACTACATAGTACGTGCGTAAATTATAGTAAAAAGGAGAAAACATTTCAAAAAAAAAAAAAAAGGCCCCTCCTTCCCTAATGGGAGAAGCACAAGAGGTGAAGGGAAAACATAAATCAAAAATAAACAAAAATAAATCATGACCAGTGCCGGGCTCGATCCGGCGACCTCATCGGTAATTGCTGTACTGCTACAGGCTGTTAACGATGCGAGATAACCAGCTACTCCAACCGGCCATTGATGTTACTTAGCCTAAATTATGAACTCATAAGGCATATTCAGCTACCAGATTGTTCTATTTGGCAGATTTCTACGAGTATCTGCTGACTTATAGGAACAGCCACTGGTGTTAGTCTCTCGACGGCGAAAAAATATCCACGGGTATATAGCCAGCTATATCAGAAAAGGACATCAGTACACCTGTTTCAATGTCAACAATGTCAACGGGTTGAATTGCCAGTGGTCGACGACTCACTCCGTCTGGAAATATATACATATATTGATACAGCATGAGAGTTGCGTGTTTTTCGGATTGTTTGATAACCAACCCTGCATGGACCGAGGTAAACTATACACGACTCAGAATACATACCATTACCATTTCGTCTCGTTACCAGACGGCCCCTGCCGGAGATGAGACTGACTCGCCCTTCAGACTGAAAGAGAAGGGTCATCCAGAAACTCATACTAGCAGGCCCATCAAAACCGCCAGCAATGATACAGTCAAGACAAAACATCAAAGGAGCATTGAATTCACTTCCAGTTGAAATTCATCTCGGCATCATCGATTATCTAGACTATACTGCTTGCACTGCCCTGGCATATACAAACCGCTACTTCAATCAGATCGTAATACGGCAATCGCCAACGGCGAGAGAAGAGAGACTGAAATTCCTCTGCGAGGTAGAGACATGGCCAATGTTTGTCTGAACTTTTCCATATCAGATGACTTGTTATTTTCCGAACTGAATGATCGTAGATACGCCGATATCAACTACCTTGCATGCAACCAATGTCTAAAACTCCGCCCAATCCACGCCTTTGCAGACAGGCAACTACGCGGTAAACGGTCTCGCGGTCATTCTGAGAGCAATCGCCGTTTCTGTCTACGATGCGGCATTCAGAAACACATATATCTACCGGGCCACGTCATACCTATTGTCAGACCAAGTCCTGCAAATGCCCACGGCATCAGCATCTCTATCTGCTCGTGCTGTAAATTCCACGGCAGTGAATCTTACTGTCTAGCATTTGCCAGGTGTGAGAGTTGCGAAGAAGTGCCTCCTATACTGCACTATGTGTCGAATCCGGGCTATCAGCGTTGCATGCATCATTTTTATTGCATTCTCTGTGGACGAAAAGGTAGTATTGACCAATGGGAGCAGCCTATTTGGGGTCAAATTGACTATATCGTGCGTGAATACAGGCTCTATTGGCGGATTGACCATCCAGCCATGGATGAACCATCTTAATTGCACTCTCTGTGGACTGGAAAGGAGCATTGGTCTACCAGAACGGCCTTTTTAGGGTCAAATCGATGGTGTTATATGTGAATACGGAATCTGCGCGCAAACCTCATAGTATTACTACCCACGTGACTGCCAACAATAAACATCAACCGAAATCAGCAACAGTATATCCGAGAATACCTGTGAACGACGAAATACAATCACTCATCCCGTTTCACCCAAGAATGTCTCTTCCCGGGCGCCTGCACAGTCCTATCCAAGCGATCCCTCAAACCGGTCTGATACCACAAGGGCATCGAACGCAGATTAAACGTAAACCAATTCGCCGTAGCCGATACACCAACATATCCACTCTCCGCCTTCAAGACCTGATCAACCACCGCCTCAGCAACAGTCTCCGGTTCCAACAACGGACTCAAAAAGCTGTCCTCGGGAATCAAGTCCCTTGTCACGAAGGTCTTCGCAAAAGCCGGCGTAACCAACACGGTTCGTACACGGGGCGCATTATATCTCGTGACAAGCTCCGAGGCCAAACCTTCATGAAGATTGATAGAGGCAGCTTTACTAGCGCAATAAGCCGTCATACCGGGTGTCGTGCAATTCCCACCCTGCGAAGCAACAGTGACAATCATACCATGATTCCGTCTCACGATCGCCGGCAGGAACTGATGCAAAAGCTTGTATTGCGACAGGGTATTAACTTCAAACATCTTCTGAATCTCTCTATCCGTATTCTCCAATATCGGACGCGCGTATATGATGCCAGCATTATTGATCAAGATAGTCGGATCACCACCGAATTCCCTACGAATATCCGTCGCAGCAGCCGCAATAGCATCAGAACTGGTGATATCACACTTGAAAAACCTTACTCCCCCCGGAAGCACATAATCGGGTGGCATCACATCCAAAATCGCAATTTTGGACCTCGCCCTCTTGGCCAACATTAACACCTGCTCTTTACCGAACCCATTACTACCACCCGTCACAACGATGATTTCGCGTGGCCAGTCATATTCGTCGCTGATGCCGCGATTGATAGCTCGACGACCGAGAAAGGTGTTCACTCTTCGAATCACACCCAGTGCGAATGCAATACGTAGCCATTTTAGGACTGTCTCGCGGTGTCGTGGTAGATATCGAGCGTTTGGCGGCGCATATTGGAAGAGAAGAATGGTGAGAAAGGTTTTGACGGGGTCGAAGACGGTTTGTCGTAGTATTGAGCCGATAACGTCGGCTGTAAAGCCTGTGCATATGTCTGGTTAGATATTGCTCATCCCTGCGGAAGTGAATGTGATGAAGACCTTCTCTGGGCAGGATGCGATTCGGCATCTTCTTTCTTCTTAAGCTTTTTAAGCAGGTGGATTGAGCCAGTAAATAGAGTACAGCCAGTGACTTACAGGACTCTACAACATAGTTATATGAAAAGCAAGAACAATAACCGCGTCCTTCCCAGGGCTCTGGAGAAGCATGTGCTCAACCGACAGAAAAGCTCCAACCCCTCATTTCCATACTTGACAGGGTCTAAACTAGATAAACCACACAAAACCACCACTAAAGAAAAGGATCAACCTCGGTTTGTGGAGTGTTGATCCATAACTAATTGAAACCCTGATTATGCTTTTGGTTTTGCGGGGTATGTTCGTTCAGTCTATGGTTCCAACGTTGGTACAGAGTACGTACATGTAGTCTCGAGCTTGTTCACGAAGAGGGGGTTGTGTACGGAGTAATTATCGAAAATATGTTGTTGTCATACAATCGTTCTTTGAGGAGAGGAAATATAAATTATTTCCTGAATATACCTATATACTCTCCGGAGGTCTTGTATTCAGGTTAAGATAAACATCCATGCAAATATACAAAAAAAAAAAAAAAACAAAAAATTAGAAACAGAAAAATCGCCGCGCTGATTCGATGCTGATAGAAGGCTGTGGTATATCTTCCCAATTCAGAACAAACAATTGCCGCCGAAAACAAATTTCGAAATGAATGCATAAGACTAGAAAAAAGACCTCCACGCTCTCGATGATTTTTCAAATTTGCCGCCCATGGGAATGTATATATATGTGTGTATGTGTGTGCGAGTCAGGGGATGAACGAAGCGAAGCGTCATGGTATCATATATAGTAAACCGCCTGGAGATCTCCTTTATCCGTCTTGAAAACGATCGAAAGTCAAAGGAAGAAAAACAGATGCCCGCCACGCCAAGATAACGACAAAAGATAAAAGTATGAAATGGTATTTAGATGACTCTGGTATCAGTGTCAAAGAAAAGAGCGTATGCAAGTGGTCGAATCATGTACTGCCAAAAGATTCCGTTGTGAAGCTCGTCTGGAGTGGTTTCTTGAAGATCTTGTAGTAGATTCCGGACAGGATTTGGGCATCGGCCATCAGAGTCGGGGAAATATCTTTGTACATGGCGAGGAACTTGATGGTGCGCTGGAGCAGGTACTCGAGATCTTTCGCGTTGACTAGCTCACTAAGATTAGACATGTAAGTAGCGGAGAGAACAAGCATATTGCCGAATTGTCTGATCTAATCGTTAGTATGCGACGTTATGATAGTTGGTATGAAAGACTTACGCATGAGCGGTTCCAAATATATTAGTCACAATGGGCCGACCCTTGATATTGTGGAACGCTTTGGTACTTTGGATAGCAGCTGTGATGCATTGCTGGCAAGCACGTCGTGTATCGTCATCCAGCTCATCAAACTTCAACGTGTCCGCAATGTCGGATTTATCTCTCAAATCTTGACGCATGCCCGGCTCACTCGACCAGCGTGCCATATTGTGAGCTTGAAAATCGTGTGCCTTGAAAGAGGAGACCGATGGTTTCGAGTCGTTCTCCAATTTGCCTTTCCCTTCCGCCGCCTTGGGTGATTTTGAATGCAGAGCAAGTTCTAGGACAGGTCGATAGATAATGTAACGAGCGCCGTAGTATTTCGCACGGAGTCGTGCAGTGTTGATATCCTCAGATGGTTCATCCTCCTCATTCCACTGCATTTGTTCTGGCAGACTTGACTTCCAGACGTCAAGATTCAGTCCGAGAACCGTCAGAATCTTATCAGGCAACTTCTTGACGTCCGTGTCGTAAAGATCGCGGTGAACCCGGTTCAGGACTTTACGAAGATGGATTTGTGCCGAATAGAAAAACATCACTCTCGTTTGGTCGTCACTCATTGGCAGTGGTTGGTCCATGGTAAAAGTCCCGGTTGGAAGAGACACTCGTGTTTCGGATTGTGATACCCCGCTAGCAGTAAAATCCAGTTCGGCAAGAAGGTCACTGGAGACGCACATCATTAGTTTCTTAGATTTTTTATAAGCAAAAAATGACATTACCTTTCATGTTGCAAACAAGTCCAGTAAGCAAACTCATATAATTCCTTTAAAGTGCTTGGTTGCATGGCAGCATATTCGTCTCTTTTAATTCGCAATGTTAGCTCATGTAAAACGGGTGTAGGGAGCAATCGCACAAAAAAAAAAAAAAAAAAAAAAAAGCAGCCAGAACTTACTTTCGAGTCAAAAAGGAACATGCTCTAGCAGCCTGACAAATCCATCCATGGCTCTGAAATGGATGAGCTAGTTGACCGGCATAGAAACTAGCAAGAATCGCAGCTTGTACAAAAGGCAATTCGCATCCACCCTGCATCTCACCAAGAATACCCGCAGCATACGCATAGTACGCTAGACCTGGAATCACATCTATATTTTTCAAGGTAGATGCTTCAACCATGCCCTCTGGTCCGAGTCTAGAGTTCGGCCTCTGATTCGGAGTCTTCCATTCCCATACAGGGTCCGGAGACTGGACACCGGGAGACTGGTAGTATCGACTGTTCATACCTGATACTGGCCCCGACGGAGGCGTGAGAATCTCATTGAGCACAGATTGAACTTCCGGTGAGGACGCGAATGACGGCTTGTCTCGGTGTCTTTCATTGGGATCCGGGGGAAATCCAGGTAGGGGACCTTTGTGTTCACAGATTGCACCCAGAGCAAGGACTAATAGAATAACTGCGTTTTCAATGGAATGTTCAATCCTGCGCGACGACCACTTCTCCGAGCCAAAACTTGGTGAACGGGACATGTCGATCGCTTCTGGGTGCATGGACTCGGCGGAGCGTTTCCGCTTCATGCCGCGAGCTTCATTCTGGATATTGCCAATATTGCCGTGATACTGTCCATACTGTTGGATAAATCGTTCCACTTTCTGAGGTAATGTGTTTTTGTTCATGATGGGATGGAGGATATGCATGTTACTCATGTAGCTGTGAAGAAGGCGCCTGACGACGTCGGGATGAGCATTTAAATAACCCGACGGATCGATACCACCGTAGTGTTGTCCTAGCCGACTTTGTGGAGGCATTGGTAGTCCGTAGCCCCAACTTGGTGAATTCGCGCGGGAATATTCTTCATCAGATTGGGGAGTTGCTGAATCCGTCGCAGGGCTACCGCCGGGATAGGGACGATTCTGACGCCAGTGGTTCTCGGTATCGTGATCACATCCTTCACCGCACCCATAAAGTCGAATTAACCCTCTTCTTCTCTCATTTCTCAAAACGTAGTCAGTGTCGATGTTACGATCCAGCAGTCGCTTGATGGAAGGCCAATCAAGTAGTTTGTGAGCAGCAGTTTTATGGTTTTGCGGAACGGCCAATTCTCCGTCTACCTCTCTGTCTTCGTCCTTCACCAAGGGCTGCGACTGCGCATGCTGCACAGTCTTCAGATATCCTGTTATTCCTCGAACATCGCTCTGTGATGAGCTCGTTGCGGGAAGACTAGAATTCAATCCCCCCTGGGGTCCTTGTGGCGCAACGGGTGTCGACGGTTTCGATTCCAAGAGACCATTTGGTGAGGTAGCCTTCTCCTTGGCGGGTTTCATTTTTTCCTCAGGTGGAAGAGGAATTTTGCTTTGCGTGATGAAATATTTGACAAGTTGTTCCAGCCCTATAAACCTCTCCATCAGGGTGTCAAATCTTTCGCGCTGATTGTCGTCACTTTGCCGGACGCCATCCAATACCAACTGTGTCGACTTTTCCTGCCTGGGCGGATGTCAGCTATGTACCAACCTCGAATTTTATTCGTAAACCCACTTTTGAGGAGGTATGTCCTTGTATTTGCATTCGATGTTATTTTCTCTACAATGACTACATGCCGGACGGCCCTCATCGCATTTAGCTTTGCGTGCGCGACATTGATCACAAGCCTATCAACAATATATTAGAAAGCGTATCAAAAACATAAAGAAAACTAATCATACCTGTTGAGCTCTGGCGGCTTTGCGCTGACGTGGATAAGGTGGAACAGCACCGTCATACATAGCGCCTGGAGGAGGCTGGCCATGAGGACCAACATGTTGCATATACCCCGGCGGAGGACCTGCGTGATCACCATTAGTAACTCCCGGTGGTGGAGGCTCTCCCGGGCCAGTGTAAGGTATGCGCGCCGTTCTGTAATCACCGGGGGGAGGTGCAGAATGCGGGATAGGCTCGGGTTGCGTGCCATTCATAGGCCTGTAAGTGCGAGGGGAATGAGGTTCTGATACTGGATGAGGTGGTGCCGGAGCCGGTAGGCTGTTTGGTCGATGGTATGGGTCTCCAGGAGGAAGTTGAGGTAGTTCTCGACCTTGAGGCTGGGCGGAGGGATGTTGTCCTGGAGGAGGGTAAGGTGCGTGAGGATGCGAAGGTGGAGGACCGGGAGGAGGTGGTTGCGACTGTGGTGGTGGGGCCTGGGCGACCGGATTCGAGTGACGACGTTGAGCAGCAGCTTCATAATGTGATGGAGGATACGGCTGACGCCAAGGTTGCTCGTAGGCGCTAGTGTGAGGTATTGGTGCGGGCAACCCATGAGGCTGACCGTCGTGCGGTGGTGGTGGCGGTGGTGTTCGTTGGAAACCGGGAGGTGGACCGTGAAGCTGAGGTGGGTGGTGATTGAGGGGCGGCATCATTCCCCCGTAAGGAGGGAGAGTCTTTGGTTTGTTGTCCATGGGGATTGGTGCCTCCATTGTCAGCACAATGGATGAGGTATCAGGGAGATCCGGCCATCTGCTCAGTGATTCTCGCTATGTCCAAGCTCCAAATAAAGTTATATGTAGTCTTGGGTTGAAGGACTTTCGTATCTGGGAAAGACTTTGCGATTTTGAACCGTCTATATCCACGACATGTCTCTAAGGTGCAATCGTCCGACAACAACGCCGTATCGAGCGTTGCGCAATGATGCAGAACCGAATCCGTCGGTGAGAGACCAAAGACAAACGAACGAACAAGCAAACAGCTGCGTATGGAACAAATGATTTGGGGGACCGGGGAAAACAAAATTTGTCAGTGTCGTTTTCCCTAAGCCGAGGAGCATTAGTCTGATGTTTCTTCATCTTGTAAATCTTTCATCGCGCGCCTCATCCGAACTTGACCAAGCTATCGGACTGCAGTGTGTCGTAGGTAGATAGAAGAACTTTCTTACTGTAACTAAAACCAAGACGACAAAATAGTTCCTGTGTTTACTGGATAGAAACCAGTTGTGGCAGAAGGGTGTTGGAGGTGTTTGGTTGTGGTTCTGTGCCAGGAAATTGCGGACTGGCGGAGCTTCAGAATGAGGAGCAGGGTTCCTTCCCAGCGCGATAACTTAGTATGTTAGTTAGTTGACTAACTAATAGATCCCGGTAGGTTGGAGGAAAAAGAAAGGAAAACCGAACGGGTCGGGTCGATAGGTGGATAGGGAAAAAGAAAAAAAATAAAAATAAAAGAAAAAGAAGAGCCACCAACTCCGAGTAATAGAATATGGAATTAGTGTGCTAGATGGTGTCTCCGCCAGGAGTAAAAGAGCAAGAGAACAAACCGTATAGAGAACAATCGATGTGATGAGATGCACGATTGGGTTTGAGCAAGTGGGAGGAAAGGGAAAGGAAGACTGGGACAGCAAGGATGCTGTATAGGGTAATTTTGACTTACCAGAGGTAGTTAGTATGAAGACAAGAGAGCAACGACCAAGTCGAGTAAAGTCAAGCTACCACAAATGAGTGTGGAGAACAGCTTAATAAGTGTTTTGAAAGATTCGTAATTACAGCGCTGGTATTACATTACCATTTCGTATTGTTCGTTCCGTCTATGTGAGTGACACGGCCGGTTCGAAACATGGCTATTTGTAGCCAGGTTGAAAATATATACGCAGTAAGGGAATATATTTGATGGAAATCTGTACTATGACTACTCCTTAAAGTTGAATACCTGCCCAAGGCAGAAAATACTCGTTCGCGTTTGCTCGCTTCGTTCATATTTGCGATTGATTGAGCAAACGGAACTGATAGAATCGGGCAACCCGGAGATAGTCTGATACCTAGCCTTAAACCAGACTGGGTTGAATCCACGGCCAAATGACTAGAGGAAAAAGAAAGGAGGATAGTGTTTGTTTGCGCTATGCAAGACTCCGTATGTAGATTAATAGCCGTCGTTTGCTCTCTGCTCTTTAGGGATATGGACCGAGATGGACACTCAATGAACCGAGATATGATAATGCTACTCTCCACGGCGTAAGGAGTTCATAGTGTATCATCATATCATGTAGCACACAGTCTGCCCCCACTACCCCGGTCAACTGGAATCAGGACCCATGGATGTGTCATCTCCTACTCAATTTAGCTCAGGCCCCAGACCAAACACTCGGGTGTGCAGTCCGTACCTTACGTGCTGCAAGATGGAGGTTATGGAATAGCGGGGAGCCGAGTTCATGGACGGAGTACTATATACGAACCAACGTCTGTGTTGATCTCACTACGTTATATCCGAGTCAGTCAAAGAACTTTATTGCTACTCAATGATAAGTTAATGAATGGATTAGCATCTTATGGTTACACCTGGGAGTGGCTGGCGCTCTCATATTGCGGCCCGATTGTGACACTACCAGACAAGAAAAGCACGTGGGACAGTGTGACAGTTTGATAAAAGGAAGCAATAAGCCAAGCTATCTACTACTCTGTACGGAGTAGAGACGATTAATCAATATGTTAACAATGTCTTTGTCATGATATCCGGTCTATTGACCATGTCGTGGTACCATGCTGTATTTCGGTTAACTGATAAGTACGTATTGAAATGGCCATCTAACCCCCAAGGTACTGTTGACTGAACACCATCCTACGTACGTACAGAGTACCGTATAAATACTATTATTTAAGCTATCCCCATAATTATGTAACTGGATCGCCAGATCTTTCATGTCAATCTGGCTATCTGAGGAGAATCGGACATTCTCGACGAGTCAAATCCAACCCAAGGGACCCAAAGGATCACAGCAACATCAACTGTCTCCCTTTCAAGTTTCTCGGGATGCCAAAAGTGGAGTAGACTAACCAAGAATAAGCCTAATTATGTATCAATTTGAGAAGCTGACAGGGGAGTGACGATCGGCAGGGATTATGACATTCTTCAGATGGAAACCCCAGAGAATTGTAGATAATTGCCTGTGTAGAATATAGGTGAACGTTCCATGCGAGTTACCGGATCTTAGAAGAATATCAAATTGATTTCTAGAGCATGTTAACCCTAATAGGCGGTTACTCAGCGTTCAGAAGAGAGAGACAAGGCTGAGTAATAAATACACCAGATCCGAACAGCGAAAGACGTACGTATCTCATCTCGCTTAAACCATCTCCCATACCTTTGATTGGCTCCAAGATTACAGTTAAGAGCGGGGATAAGGCGATATTGTCGCAACACCATTGGGTATTTCGCTAATTACAGTACAATGATACTAGTAGTATTACAACTAGTATGAATGAGGGAGGTAGTAATGTACCTGGATCCGTACGTACACATATGTAAGGCGACAGTCCCGATATCTTGGTCCGTACTAATGCCTACAGTAGTAGTTTGATGGTGAAGAACTATATCCTTTTTATTTCGATGATTGGCTCGAGACTTGAATAAATTTACGGCCAGGTTGCGACTGGCAATCCTCTTCAGACTGATTCTGGGCAGACGCATGAACGTTGGTTTCTCTTTTTTCTCCGAAGATATTAGAGGAGGCTGCGCCCTTTTTCAAGTGGCGCGCCTAGTAAACGGGCTGCCATATGGCATGGCAGACTGCTAAGGCCGGACATGCAGCTCATTCTGCGCTTTAGGCCGTAGTTACTTATGAATTAGCATGTTGGTCGGTCGGAATATAGAAAGAGTCATGTTAATTTTGACATTGATAGAATGATGTCATTCATTGGTTGGTTGGTTCATGTCATCCTGGTTCCAAGGCCCGAACCGATCCATGATGATTAATTCAGGGGTTTATATACAAATTGCCACCATATAATATCTACAGCCATGGCACGTCTTACCTAGAATTTACTATGTACACATAAACCCAGTCCATATTGCATACGGAACATTCCGTAAAACGCTAAGCGATAATCGGAGGAACTCTCAGACAAATGATACTGTAAAGCCCAACTCTATCCACAATGTTCAAAGTTCAAAAGTGAGACCAATTTTTGAGGGCACCATGGTCATCCGGACAATCCGCTCATGTCAAGGAATTCGGCTCGTTTCCGGGCTCGTCTTTCCTCTTTGGGGCCTCTTCACTGACATTCAGAGACAAGGTATCCACAGAATATTCCGTTCGGATGACCAACTGGATGAATTATTGGTTGCGAGGACCAGGGTTAGCAAGTTTAGGGTTTGTTAGGAGGGCTGTTTACCATGGCATTGGTGACGTTCCCGCGTCTAGCGTGCAGGAATATCGTACACTTTATTTAGTTACCGCGTTACAGATATCGATTCGGGATTTGACAGCACGTATTCATACTACGCTGTACATGCTGTCTTACTCTACGACTCTGCTTGGATAGATAAAGATATGTCTATGAGATATACTTATCTTTGTTCGTGACTGTTGTCATACAGACAAGCTTTCTAGCTCTGGTCCAGGATAAAATTTAACGGGACATCGATACATATATCATACGACACAAAATACTGTAAATACAGCGTACCGCGTATACGTATCCTGGAAAATACACCAGTGCCCGCCCATGGAATCAGATTCGTCAGGAGCTGTATGTCCAATACCACAACACGTATTCATCAATACGGGCTATGGCAGAAATAGTAATATGTCCCCACATAGTCGACCTACTAGTTCCCCTTTGCTGGAAGAAATTTGATGGGATGTGATGGTCATCTGACGGGGACAGAGATGTCCTAAGATGATGAATGCGATTTGCATGCTTACTGTAGAGTTGCCCCTGCATTCTTTCTGGCATCCCAGAAAGCTGGTTGATTATCATTCCGGGTGTTTTCTTCCTGGATCGTCCTCGGGCGTGATGATCATAGGGTTCTCGGATCATCACGTGTTTGTCCACATACCTTTCTTTCCCATACTTAATGCCCAACTCGATAGGCGGGATCACTTTATCTGATCTCTACGTACGTCTATGCACTACAGTTTCAACATTCAAGCAAGGTAGTGTACTCAATGAGATGCGCTGCTCGTCGCCACTCTAAAGGCTTTTGTACGTATGTGATACCATCTGAATGATCTCATATGCATCAAGAATCGCTTGGACGAGTTTCGTGTTCGAGGGGTTTCCCCGATGCACTCTACTAGATCGGGTATTCTTTGTCCATTCACCGATCACTGCGGTCAGGCTTTACTGCTCAGGACTTGAAAGTTGAAGCCCCTCCTTGACACATTTAGCCTTTTACTCCCAAAGGCCGAAAGAGTGTCTATCAGACCTGAGTGACACGGGCCGAGTCAGAATCCCGGCTTTTGAGAGATGTTGGTTACCACATCTGATTTACATTGCATGCGTAGCGCCTCAAACTGTATAGCTCTACAAGCCGAGATTCGATTAATATCTGTCAAGTGCGTTTCCTTTGTTATGAATCCCTTTGTTGTGAGTCTTGTGATGTCTTGGAATTGGGAGACCAAAAGATTTGTCATTACAGACCAGCCAATGACTTGACTCAGCGTCTGATCCAATAGAATAGACGATCGTGAATTGAATCGTCTGTACTAATACATTCTTTATCCAGATCGAGCATGCAAGGCGGTGCTTGGATCTGATACACTCTGTCGGGAATGGATATCTCTTTAAATCTCTGTTAACTAAATGTAACCTCCTACATCAACAATTTATACGGAAATATTATACATTCTCTTATTTTCCGATGTGATCTGTCGAGTTTGAAGGTGTACATACTACGTATGTGAATAACTATTCGCACAGTATGCCCAGGTTATCTTAGCTGCGTAAAAATGACCGATACGGATTGATTACATACGTATTCAAGCATGCACGATATTCGCAACCCGGGGTATCCCTGTACTCTAAACTAACACTCTCCGAAATCGAATAAGATCAGGATCTGATCCTTATGACCACTCAACTAGACTAATCGCTTTGACAGCGGGAGTGCAGGCTGACCCTGGTGCTCCGTACCGCTTCCTTGATCGCTGGCAGCCATGGCGTTTTTTCTCGTTTCTTTTTCCTGAGAACTTTGAAAGACAGAAGACTAGGAGGTTAGACAGTTTCATAGCCATGCAATTTTGATGTCCTAACTCAAGCCTCGTGAACTTATATTATAGTGCTAATATTTTATAATAATAATGCCCTATTATATTCCCATTTTACCGACCTTAGCTCTCAAAAAAAAAAACTCGAACCCGTAAAACCCTAATTCAACTCATTTTTTTTCTCTTTCTGGCCGAGGATTTCCGTATCGAGGGTTTAAATGTTACTGGTCGAATCTCAGTGTGTCCAATAATCATTTAGAGCTTTCCTGCATCACTGACACCGACAGGGATGTACCCTGTAGTTTGTTGCGGATGTCGTTTGTATCTACCTTTTTTTTTCTTTGCTTTTACCACCCGCTCTTCGCATCCCAGTGGTCTGACGAAGCGGGACGATCAAAGAATAATTATTTATTATCTATTTATCTTAAGGCGAACGATGTATGTAATTCGCGGAGAAATGTTTAGGGACCACAGTCGGTGCTGCTCGCTTGAGCTCAGTTCGACAATCTGCAACGACTTGGATGTGAGGTATGTAAGGATTGAGATCGGCTGATTCCATATCCAGTAGAGAGCGATGTCTATCGATATATGCATACCTAAGTAGATAACACAGTGCGGTTTGATAGAGTCGTACAAAATGAGGGGAGCATTTCAGCGGGGTAACCCTAAATCCTCACCCAGTTCAACTAGTTATGCCCGTGTATAACCATTATTTTGATATGGACTGGAGTTGAAATGTCATGCTGCAATGCATATCCCAGATGAAGAGGCTTGTGTGTCTATACTTGCTGACCGCCACATATCGGACATGGCCACAATTTGCGGATTGCTTCACATGACACGTAGACACCAGGACAGCCTGGGGATGAACCACGACCTTGATTCTTGCCTATGTACATACACATGATGTATATCTATCCAATCTTAGATCTGATATAATGCGTCAGATATGATTTCTATAGCCTCAACTACGGGAGATTATAGTTGGACGTTGTTACCTTACCTACCTAGGAAGTAAGTTATGCTTTACCTTAGGGAACGCCAACCTGCACACCAGATCAAGGATATACCATGAGACATTCCCACCAAGCTAAAAGATTGTTCAATTGCAAACAGCCAAGTGTCGAACCCTGCATGAAATGTATGTATACATATAAGTATGTAAGAAGTATGTACGTACATGTGTCCTAGATATGCATGAGATGCTTCATGCGCCTCAATGCAGCGCGTCATTCGTTTTCTACCGAATGAGAATACAAACAGGTAACGGATACTGTAAATAGAAATAGAAATGGAATATTCAAAAGGGAATTTCCTCGGTCTCCTGGTTCTCTTAATTTCCATGATAAGCGGATAGAGATCTCAAGGGTACTGATAATGAGACAAATTCCAGCCCTCGTTTCTCCGCGGCAATGTAACAACTTGTCCTAGGGCAGAGTGTGTATGTAGTTTAAAACAGAACTAAAAGAGCGGTGATGATGTTGACCGTAACATACGTCTCCTGGACGAGATCAGACTTTCTCGGAGTATACCGTTCAACATCGCATCTAGATAGATACTCCAGACCACATTACACAATCGGTGAGGATTACTAGATTCATTTTTCCATGCGTTCCGGGCTACCCATGCTGTTGAATCTTGGGGGGGAATGTGGACTGCGCCGCAACCGTGAACTTGTCCGATCTAACCGTGTATTACTGTAGGATCTTCTTCAGAAAGACGGTATGGTATATATGTACTCCGAGAGCTAGACGCCAGCCCTAACGCACCATGCTGATGAGCAAAAAAATTACGGAGTACGAAAGCGAAACAAACGGCAAAGGGCATAGTTACTTAATCTGGTAAGTAAAAGTACATGACCTACTTCTGAGTGTTTGTCAGACACGCATCAAACGATCGGATTATCGTTCCGTCTGCGTTTAAACACAACCATCGCCTTCAGGTACATTCAAACCTGTTCCGTGATTTGTATCGGTGTGTAAAATGTTGTCACGTATAGACAGAGGCGAATAAGTATCATTCCTACGATTCCGGGATTCTGACTATTTGCCAAAGCAGTCTGTCCGAAAATTCGGGGTTGACAAACAGATGGAAACACATCAAGAACAAAACAGGGTGAAAGGAGAAGAAAAGGATGGGCAGCGATCAAAAGTGCCATCCAGTATTAGACACCCTACATACTGGAAGTATTGGATGACATGATGGACTCCAGTTTGGGGATTACTCATGTGAAGCCTCGAGCACATTGCTTCGGCTTGATTGATATGCCTGATTTGAGTACTTCACTCTTCAGGACGTCTCGTTCGTGGTATATTTTAACATTTTAATATCTATATCATGGCAAGAATCTCATGTACCAGCCAACATAAAGGGGTAGACGTCTAGTCTTGAACAAAGTATACTACAAGGTCAACTATGGATGAGTGAGAGAACAAGCTTGATACAAAACACTGACGAACTCATCCTCCAGAGTTGGGTAGTAGAGAATGACTTTTATTCATTGCTAATCATCAATGACAATTGTCTGTGATATAATCCTAGCTATGTACACTGTTCAATGTCATTTGCACGTCTCATCATGTCTATGGTTTGCACCTCGTGTCTCCCGATTCGGTAGATTCTGTAGACTCATCTCATTAAATAATGATATAACCTCCAAAGACTGTGAAACACTTCTAGTCGATGCTCGGAATCCAACAGATCGTACCACTTGGTCCGACGTAATTTGAGGACATTCCATGGCTGTTCTGGAGTACCCCGCTCATCAAGATCACTGCTACCCGTGGTAAGACATTCGATATATCGTCGATGGACTCTGAGATGCAGGATTGAGACGTGATGGTTGATATGTGAAAGCATGTAGATCTTTCACAAGGACAAAAAATTGTTAGCCACTATCGACAAAGTGATGTGTCTTGTATGAGACTTACATCGTCATATGGACTGTCACTCTTTTTGCCAATCTGCATATATTTCATCTTTCTGTCCCACAAATGCATTCCGGGTTCGATAATCTTCCATTTCTCGCTAGGCGTCAACCTTCGAGATCTCCCTGACCGCCGCGACGGTATTAGCGGATTCGCATATCGAGAACGCTTATGCATACTCTGATTGTTGGTATCGTCCTTGTCGTCTTCTTTCTCCTTTGCATTATTTGAATTCGCTGCTTCGCCAGTGACACCTTCATGATCAGCACCACCGAACCGAGGCACCGTAGTCCACCATTTGCCTTCCCCGGGTCTGACTTCAACGGTACCTTCACGAGCACGTTCTTGAGCTAACAGGAGCATGGCGCCGATTTCACGGAATAAATCGCAAAACTCCTTGCTACAGAAACCCGGTTTTCCATTGGGTTCGTTAAAATTCGTCTCATCCCGGCATTGAACCCCTATTACTGGCCCTTCTAGTATCCCGCTTCGTGCTGTCTGGCGGTCTTGAGGGACTCTTCCAGAGACTAACGTGTGGCGGACGGGGAATAGTAACCCTTGAACATGTAACCTGGGCATGGTGGAAGGTACAGTTACTTGGCATTGGAATGGCCAGGCTACCATTTCGAGGAGTCCCCTCATCGTCTCGTCGCGGATATCAGCTGGCATTTCACTGCCTGTCCCGAGGCGACGTCCTTTGTAGACACGTTCATAATTGGTTTCCCCAGCTGACGAGTCACCTGTGTCCATTGGATCACCAACACCTGTGTTTGTAATAGTCTGCTGTTGCTGTGGACTGTTGACAGTTTGAGTCCCCTCTTCCGGCCTGGGTTCCCTGACCAGTCGATCATAATAATTGTCCCGACTAGTGTCCCAATACTGAGACATTCGTTCAAGTCCTACCCAAAATTTCCTCGACTGGGTCAATCTCACCCTATCCCGCCCAGGTTTAGGAGGCATTCTTGAAGCCTCCCTGAATGCATCATCGCTGTCCAACAATAGCTCCTTCTTAACGACGTCGTATTTCTCACGGGGTGGGTACGGAACACCATTCCCCATCTTATGAGCTTCAGAGGCTTCGTTGTCATCGCTACTCTTGTCCCAGACTAGTGGAGGAAGACCCTGTAAAAGCTCATCAGGTACAATTTGAAGTCCCTCTATATCAGTCTCGACTTTCAAATTGAAGGCCTTGACGTGATCAATTGTGATGTCTTGAGGTTTTCTGAGTGTCAACAGATGCCGGTAGATGACATTGAAGTCCGTTACGGTTTGTGTTTGTTCGCCATTAATTCCAACATATTGTGGAAACTCTAATGGTGTTGGGGGAGGTGGTGCATTCCGTTCTTCGTCTGGGTCGATGCCCATCGACTGGGCTCCTACTTGGATCTGTTAGTGCTCCATGGAAAATTCACGCCGCTGTTTCGTGATTGTGTATCTGTATTATATATGCCAGGTATACGCCAGCATGCCCGCCAAATCAGGCAAACAGAGAATGCGTCTACTGTTGCTTTCGTAGGAATAGGTAACTTTACCTGCACCTGCCCACGCGAACATTCTGAGTGTGCGGACACTCTCCTCATGCAGGAACTCGGCACGGGTCGCGACAGGACATGAAGCCAACAATCAAGTTGTGCAAGTGTCCCTTCAGCTATTGTAACATTCAGAAACAGGAACCCATTCGTTGTAACAATTTTGGTGGTTTTGGAAGTCGAATGACGGAGGACGTTTGTCTGGTGGGGAAGCTGCTACGGGCCGTTGCCGCCTTCCCGCCACTGTGACTCTGGAGTCTCCACTGATTGATTATCTCATCATCTATTTTCTGATCTATAACTAACTAGTTATCAATAATCAGATCAGATGTCGTCTCTACTTCTTTTTTATAGATCATTCTTAAGCTTCTTATGTTCCTGGAAGCGCAGCTTTGCCCATGGCTTGACGAGTGTATATTCGTCCTACATTGGCCATTAGCATCCCAAACAGCCTACCAACCAGATCCCGACCACGATAACAGGTTCTCCCCAGGAAGCAGTCTTCCTCTTTTATTTATGTTACTCTTCTGTAACTACAGCTGAGTAACTAAGCAAGTGTGATTGTTCGAGCGATATGCAGGAGAAACACGTGACAAAAGCCCCGAAACGTCTGTGGTTTCATCCTACGGCCTGTGATTGGCCAAAAACAGAATCCATAACCGCCTTCCCTGCTCTCACAGCGAACATGCCACCTCCAGTCAGCCATGGCCAGCAACAGTCAGCATGCTGTATGCGCTGAGCTACGGTGCAGTCACAGGCTGGGTGCTGGCTACTGGTCAGCCATCGTCACGGTGTTACCTCTCCAAAAATAGTACTACAGCGAGGTGATATCACTGGTCAATAACAACACTGTGACGGCCGCATGGTCGCTGACACCCCCTGAGGATCTCCCAATACTCTCCGTGCTTCACTATGCCGCTTCTGAAACATCATACCTACACGCTCACAAGTATGTGAGTTGAGCCAGCCGTGTCGTCATGTGTTAGGAGTTGAGCCGGACTCGACCGTCCAACAGGATAATTAGGCTGGAACTGTAACAACAGTCCCCGGATCACAACTTTTTGTACTCAACAACAATCTAGTTTTCGAGGCATTGGCAGGTACTCTGTGATGTCTCTTCACGCAATATGATCGAAGAGTGATCAGGATCACCTCAAGCGCGATAGCTGATTCGAACTGCCCGATATCGAGACTAGAAATGGCAACTTCGATCACAACATTCAGTGGATTGAGATGCACCAGGATTCCGAGGACGCAGTTCTTTACGGCTACGGCGACGTCGACGTCGACGTCGGCTGCCACGGAAACCCCTGCCGCTGCACTTCCTGACGTCTTATCATCTTTCAGTACGACTACCGTTCAAGACACGTCTAGTACGAGTCTTTTATCTTCAATAATTTCACAACAGACGGACTCAAGTCCTTCGGAGCCCACATCAAGTCTCGCTTCATTTGTGACTACGGCTGTAGCCGCGTCCAGTAGTATGCTCTCTCTACTAATCCTTGGGCATTCGTTGACCATGGCTGATATCTTATAGCGCTCACTGCAGCGGCCACGATTCTACCTGCGGTAACATCACCAGCAGATCCTTCATCGTCAGATTCTTCATCGTCAGATCCTTCCTCATCAGATAACAGCTCGGCGGATTCATCGGGAGACTCTTCTAAAGGAAAAGTCATTGCAGCTGCCGTTGGGGCCTCTTTAGGTGCCGTGGCCATTGTGGCATTGTTCATTCTCTGTGCATACATCACCCGACGTAAACGACGTACCCCATCTCAAATAGGTGATAGAGAAAAGGATCCTGGAACGACCGGACGGTTTTCGGGGATTACACAGCTGATTGATAAGATCAGATCGGGACCAGGGACAGCATTCATACCTGCTGTTGTCGATAAAGTTCGACCGGCTTTAGCACGCGTCCGGAATTTTCGATCTACGAGTCGAGAAGCACCTAACGATACACCAGCTGAGCAAACACAAACTGAACCTTTTAGAAGAGGATCATCTCCTGGCTGGCCGTTTCCACATCAAGATCGAATGCAGGAGCAAGACATAACGTCTGCTCCACGGATAATGCCAGAACCGACCAATCCTTTTGCAGATCCTCCTGCTTCAGTCAACATAGCAACAAACAGAAATGATTACAGACCAGAGAATCCATTCACAGATCCTGCAAAACTTCCTCCAGTCAACATAGCACCAAACCGAAATAATAATGAACAACCAGAAAACCCGTTCGCTGACTCTGAAGACCCGTTCTCTCATTCGGATTATGAAGATGAGCCTGCATTCACAATGCCGCTGACAATACGCAATGGTGATGCGGACCGCAACGATATCGTAGATGATAATACCAACGATAACGACAACAATAGAGGCCAACATAGCAATCGAAGTACCCTAAGCGGCTCAACCTACATACCAAACAGTCGTGCATCTTCACCCTTGGTGTACGATTTCAATTTCTTAACCTGGAAGTCAGACGGAAAACTCGAAGATAGAAGCAGCACATACAGCGATCCATTTGATTTAGAGAGACCACCCACAATTCACTCATCGGCCTTTCCGACACCTATGGTGGAACGACAAAAGTCTCAAAAGGGGGGATATTTCCCGGAGATGAATCAAAACATTCCACAGTATATTTCGTGAATAATCGCGAAAATATGTGGTTGTTATAAACGGAACGATTTCTGATGACTTGTTATTTGTACATATCGATCATTTTATGTGGTGTTATTTGGCCTTGTATTTGGACACGGAGGTATTCTGTTTTATTGTTGACACTCACTTTGTACGCCTAGTCAGCGTTGAATATGCAATAGCTGAAGGTCTGATCAGACCAACAGCCCTAACCTTTGATTCCTAGTTGGAATTGATTTTCCGGGTATTCCATTTTACCACCATTTCTGCAATTTGTCTCATGGTTGATGGGATATCCTTGGCTCTGTTCTCTCTCGTTCCTTGTAACATACCGTCCTCTATATAGTATAACTATTTAACTAGTTACGTCTGTTGGATCAAGTTTACATCATCCATCACAGCTCATAGCACCATATATCAGTAAATGGAGCAGCTATTACGGTCAGGTTAATGCCTGCTGGAAAATGGTTGCAAGTTTCAGGTGCATGATGTGAGACCTGAGAGGATTTCATATCTTCCTGATTTGTTGCCTTTTCTGGATGAGTGATACAAATCGAATAATATGCTGCATCACTCTTGACATTTAGGTGGTCTACACTACAGTAGCAGTAGGATGGAAAAAGTCTCATGGCGTTACTTGTGGGTAGAGAAAACATCTCATCTATGTATGCAGTCTTCTCAATGAATAGAGAATCGATGCGAGTGCATGACTGAATCAAGAAAAGATACTTTCAAACAATCGGCGCATTCTTAATTCTCAAAACCTCATAGATACTCATGCCCGATATACACAGGACGAGTACTTTATCTTGGAGAAGATTTCATTTTGTTTCATTTCACTTTTTTGCATTGGCTGTAAAACAAAACAAAAATCCCAAATGCAAAGAATTTCCGATCCCGCCGTCGTTAATAAAAAAAATAAGATAAAGAGGTTTCCTCAAATGGAAAAGAAGTTCTAGCGATTTCTTATCGCGACTTCTTCATTTGTTTTTCTTGATGACGAAAGTATTTTTGCCATGAAGTGTAATAGCTTCCATATTGAAACACTTCATGGAAATTTACTTCGTGAGTATCTTGTTTTCCCACTCGCCTTAACTTCCCTCTATCTCTCGGACACAACACACACACATCACCCAGATGCTAAGGATATTTACTCCTGGGCTTCCTCTTCACCAGTGGCAGCATTTCGCTTGGCGAGGATACGCTCCTGTCGTCGCTCACGGGCAGCCTTGGTCTTAGCACGCTTGGCGTCCATCTCCTCCTTGAGGATACGCTCACGTTGCTTCTCAGCCTTGGCCTTGTGGATCTGTGATCACAATGAATGTTAATAACTCGGCGTTCATGTCTCGACGCTTATTCGCAAGTAAAGACAGGACTAACGTGTTCAACGAGCGCACGCTTGTGCTTGAAGGTGTTACCCTTGCTCAAGTGGTAGAGTTCGTGGTAAAGGTGCTTGTCGATCTTGCCAGAGGCACGGTACTTGACGAGGAGACGACGGAGAACACGCTGACGACGCATCCAGAGGACTTGGCTATAAGCAGACCATATTAGATATCTCCTCTTTCCCACACAAATATAGAGTAATCCCTCCAACATACCTAGGCATACGAGCATCCTTGGTACCCTTACGCTTACCCAAACCACGGTGTCTACCAATTCGGCGGGCGGCGTTGAGTTCACGGGCACGGGAGCGAGAGTGCATAGTGACGGGCTTGCGGATGATCAAGCCATCGCTAACCAACTTGCGGACAGTTTGGCGGGAGTTGGCGTTGGAGATTTCGCTCATCTCATTGGGATCGAGCCAGACCTTGCGTTTACCGCAGCCGATCACGGACGCCGCAAGGCGCTTCTGGGTACGGAGGTTGACCCTGTAGGGAGAAAAAGAATCAGTCTCGGCTGCATTCACATCGACAAGAAAAATGTGTTGAATCCATCGATTTCATCGACTTATTGACGGAAATGCATCGGCTGAAAAATCGTGGACAACAGTCCTCGTCGCAAGGAACATTTTCCTGATGAATATATACTCACATCTTGATGTCGGCGTGTCGACGGTCGTTTGGCGTAAAAATGTTCGTCGGTCGGATCGATTGACGGCGGGCGATTTCAGTGAGGAGTTTGAGGATAGCCTTGGGAGCGGGAGCGGGTGCTGCTTAGGTAATCGCTAAGCGAACCGCTGAAGCATCCACTTTAGGGCTTGAACCCACCCGCTAGACCTTTTTGGGATGCTGACAGTTAAATCTAGAGTCTTGCCATCCTGGGAGTCCTTCATGATGAATCATTGTGAGCAATTCTTACTCGTATCCCCATCTCTCTCGATTGAGATACATGATTCTGATACCTATGATTGATCACGATTTTTGAACAAAATGATCTAGCCAAGATACTTCCGCCAGTCATACACCTTAGTCTCACCAAGACTCCAAGAGATGATCTAAGTTTGTTGCCCAGGTGAATGCAGATAGAAATTGAAACGAACTTTTGCCTCATATAACCAATGTAAAAGAATATACACTTATCAGAGTCATCATCATCACTCAACCCCAAAACTATCTTCTCCCAAATCAATCCTTCCTATGCTCCACAATTCCCGTTCATCTTCAACCTCGTCATTGGAAAGGCCTAACCCACCTTGGCCGCCCTCGGCTTCTCGTCGCTCGCGGGCCTGAGTAGCTAGTCGTAGTGCGACACGCTTGAAGTAGTCTGAGATACTTCGTTTCGGGCCTGCAGGTAGATTCGCTCCTGGTCCAGCCATGTACTTATCGAAGACAGCAGACTCTGACTCCACCACATCAAATAGCGCAAGGAAAGCAGCCTCAGCGGCCAATTTAACAGGGATAGTTGGATCACGAACGCTACCAAAGATAGGCGGCACAAGTAGTGCCAGGTGTGGCCTGGTATATTGGGGATGGAGGCGGCTTATGGTACGCAACACAACAAGAGCTAGACGCCTCGTATCTGCTGGATGGCCTGAGGGTATCACTGATGCTAGGCTCTCGAAGACCGGCTTTGTCGATTCGAAGTTCTTGTTCTCGTTCTCAGCAAGAATGTATTTTCCTGCTGCCAGGACACTGTTGTCGGATACGTAAGGCTGTAGTGGGTTAGCACTTGTAGTCAATGATTTCGAGATATGGAATCACGTACATCCGAGTTTGCAATTCCTTGACAAATTACTGATGGTGTCTCAACCGTGAAGTTTTCTAGTAGTATCTTCGGAGCCTCCACAAGGAGTGCGTTCAAGCCTAGGATAGAAGCATGCGAAAAGTTCGTAGTCAACACCCGGGATCTAGTTTGTAGTTAGTATAATCTGCTTTCTCGATTCGATATAAAAATGTGCATACTTGATTAGTGGTACAGCTGTAGCAGGCGGTAGATTCTTCACCAATGCACCAAGTAACTTGGCGTTGGTCATAGCCATCGCATCTGTATAAATGTTAGAAGAATCGTCGACTACATAGACTTAGAATATATACCTGTACGATCGCTGCTGTCGTCGTCGATAAGACCTAGCACTGCATTTCTTGATGCCTCACTCATGCTGCCACCAGCCTTATCCACAACCTCGAGAAGTGCCTTCATCATAGCATTCTTGACTCCATCGTCATCTGTCTTGGAGCCGGTGACCAATTCTGCGGGCAAGTCAGTAACACTATGGCAACTCTGTATTCAATGGAACATACCAGCAACAAGAGGATCCACACGAGGTGTAAGAGTGATCAAAATACCCAAACCCTTGGCAGCCCGATTTCGTAGGGTTTCGCTGGTGGTGTCTGCCAAACCTCTGGCGAATGTGCGCTGAAGTTGAGGTAAGAAAGGTTTGACAGCTAATGGTATCTTATCAAGAAGCTTGTTGAGTGCATAAAACACCGCTGCTTTGATATCAACAGATCTTTCGGAAACAACACGAATAAGCGGACCGGTAATTTGAGTGACAAATGGTTTAAGAGAATCTGCCGCCGTCCTATCAATGATATCGGCAATAGCCAGTGCAGACTGCGTTCGTTGTTCCGTATTTCCATTCAGTAAACCCTGGAGGAAGATAGGGAATATCGCCATGATACCCTTTGGCAAACTGAAGCCTGGAAGAGCAGCTCCAGGGACACCGACCTGCCGCAAAGTCTGACGAGTAGAAACAACCAATAGCTCCATTTCTTCTTTGCGCATATGCGATGTCAATTGACTTAAAGCGGACCATGAGGCCTTGACCACATTCTTGTCCCTGTCGTCAAACGAAATGAGGAGCACACGAATGAGATCCTGGTGATATCTCGAATAATCAATCTCAGCGTCCGCGAAGAATTTAGCTAAACGTTCAGCAGCGTTTGCCCGTCGACGGTGATCGTCATGTTTCATTAATGTCATCATAGTGTTCATGGCAACGTTCAAACCATCGAATTCATCGACAGACACGAGGATAGTATCGAATGAAGAGCTGAGTTCTTCCCGGAGTTCTTCGTCCTTGGTCGATATCATTTCGTCCATAAGGGCATTGAGTATGGCAGGTATACGACGATTCATTGCGGAGCTGGCAACTTCTGCCAAAGATGCGAGGGCTCTTGCATTGAAGGCGGTGATAGGAGACGTGAGCAGCGTGGGAATAAGGTTGGGAAGTATAATGTTAGCACGCGTTGTTTCGGTTAGTAGAGTAAGAAGTGCAGATAGAGCCTGTTCAGCCTCTTCTTCGTTTCTAAGAAGAGACAGAAGATAAGGCAGAACTTGATCAACTGCTCTCTTGCCCAAGACGCGCTGTAAGGCATCAAATGCTTCAGCTGCAGCCTCTCTGACATCCGCATCGTTGTCAACGAGCGCAACCCGCACAATGGAGATGAGCACTTTATCGTAGTCTTCCAAGGCCTCTGGGGACGCTGAAGTAATCAATTCCCGAAGTGCGATACATATGCCTTGCCTGGCATCCACATCGGTTGATGTTCTGAGCCCATCCTCAAGGGAGGGCAACAACGTGGCCAGAACACTCTCACCAGCTTTCTTGATAAGGTCTCCCAAAGCATTGCCCGCAATAACTTTCTGTTCCATGTTGGATGACCCGAGACGGCGGATAATGAGTTGCGTAAGGGTAGGAACCAGCTCCTTGAGAGTTCTAGGCGTGGCGACAAGTGCTTTCCAGACTGTGATTGCTGCACTTCGTACCAGACCAGACGTATCGCAACGGCAGATATAGAGAGCAGATAACACTTTGTTTCTTTTCTCTTCGCCGAGGATTGCAAGCAAGGATTGACCAGCCTGAGCTGCACCTTCCTCTTGCTCCTCAGCATCGACCCTGTTAGTAATGCCAGTAAGATTGAAGAGCAGGTCTCCAACAAGTTCGACTGAGCTCAATCTGATTCTGTGGCTGTCGTCTGCTAGACCGCGCTCCAATTCAGGCAAGAGAAGATCAATGGCCTTCGAGGAGAAATTCTTGACCAAGAGACGACCTGCTCGCAAGGAAGTCTCGCGGATTGCCTCAATGTCATCAGCCAGACCCGCCAAGATTGGTGGAATGATCTTGTTAAGATAAGCAGCAAAACTGTTGCCGAAACAAGCTGGCAAGAAAATGAACAATGACATGAAACCTTCTCTGACAGATGGCTTGGAACTGGAGACATTCTGTAAGATAGTGGGCAAAGTTTCCTCGAGACGTGTTGTTCCGAGCCCAGCAAGGACTTCTGAAAGAGCTTGTGCAGATCCCAAGCGGTCGCCTGCTCCGGTATCTGACTTGAGAGTAGCCATGAGACTCGGTATGAGATCTGGAAGAGCATCTTCTCCCAATTTCTCGATAAGAGATCCAAGAGCTTTGGAAGCGGTAGCACGAGTAGTCGGAACAGGGTCCACTACAGCCAGACGCAAGCCAGCGACAAGAATTGGCAGGTGAGAAATAAGGTCCTTTCTTTCGGTCAAATGAGCAAGACTGCCGATAATCTGAGCAGCTTTGCGTTTTGTGTTTGATCGGTCACTGAGCCCACGCTCCAATATACGAACAACAAGAGCAAGTGAAGGGGCGTCCAGGTAATGGATGAATGAGACTTTGATAAGCGAGTCCAATGCTTCGTCTGTGTATTTTGTCGGGTCACTGAGAGCTTTAAGAAGGATTCCAACCAGACTTTTAACTTCTGGGTTGCTGATAACCTCACCGAAACGCTGCAAACTGCGATTGGCGGCATTGCGGACATCTTTGTGGCTGTCATTTAGCACAACGGTTAAGGGAGGAATAATATCCGGTAAACTGATGGCCAGTTGCTGAGGATCAAGATATGCCATGGCACCTAGAAGATCACATGCACCCTTTTTGCTACGCCATTGAGTGTCATCGAGACCTTCCAAAAGCGTTGGAAGAATTTGTTTCACTCCGTAAGAACTCAAACTTGCAACGCACGTCTTAGCAGCGTCGAGGCAGGCATCTCTCACGTCAATACTAGGATCACCAAAGCTTGTCAGTAGATGGGGTACGATCTGAATCACGTAAGGTTCAAAGACTCGTCCTAGCACAGCAGAGAAAAGCTCATAAGCGAGAAGAGCTCCTTGACGTTGATTCGGATCCTTCTTATTGTCTAAAGCATCTGTGAGAGTTGACATGATACGGTACTTCCGAAGAGCTGCAACACCTCTGCCCTGAACAATACCAGCCAGACCGTACGCCGCTCCACGTCGCGATGCATACTTCTTAGAATGTAAAAGCTGATCTAGGAGCTCATTAACGTAGCCTTCGGTTTCCAGACCACCGGATAATCTGATCAAGGGAGGAAGGCACCCAGCCACGGCAGACTGTACCATTTCGGATGGAGTATGAAGAGCGGCAAGTAATTTCTTGATAACCGTATCTAAGCGTGAATCCCCAGATTTCAGATGTCTTGCTAACGAGCCGTAAAGTATGATGACTGCCTCATTGAGCCAATCAGAGCTTTCGGTAGCCTTGTCGGAAGTTTCGAGCGTCTTTTCGAACAAAGTCATTAGTTCTTCAACCTTCTGTTGTCCTCGCTCCTCGATGATCAATCTACCGCTATCTGCCATTTGCTCTCTAACCAAAGCGTTTTTGTCAATTAAGGGACCATCCTCTATTAGGAACCTCATGAAGGATACAATCTGATCTTTTTCGAAAAGCTTGGTCATGGCTTTGAAAGTCAGAGCTATACCACTTCTGATTTCCCAGACATCAGTTAAGTCGGCTTTCAGTGGCATTCCATACTTGTCTTTCCCTGGGGCCTTGGGCTTGACTTCATCCGAGTATCTGGATTGCAAGCCGGATAAAACGACCTCGAATGTTAAGGGATTTAGCTCAACAGAGTGTGCGAGAGCCCGAGCTGCAGCGCCTCGAAGCTGACTGTCCTTTGCATCCAAGTATTTAATAATCTTCAAGTATGACTTTTCATCCACGTCAAGAGCGTTATCTTCCCAAATGGCCTCCGCGATCTCCGCATTCTCCTCAACCTGGTCATGACAGCATAGCCAAATATGTTCAGAGAATTCCAAGTCGGTCAAATCAATCTCAGCTTCAATTGCTTGTAAAACTGCGGTTCGTACTGAGACATCCCGTGCAATTGTTCCCTCAAAAAGGACTCCGAGCTCTTCTGGTAAAATATTCTGAGAAATTGATCTGCAGAGATCCAACAACGTATCTTTGACCAACTTGTAGTGTTGCGAGTACTTGTGTAGTGACGTAATGAGATGTTGTAGAACCTCGGTACGAGGAAGTCTGGTGTCGGAAAAGGAGGAAGAGTGAAATGATAGGAACTCCAATGTTAGTAGAACTTGTTCTCCACCATCCTCCCCTTTTTGCTCTTCGATGCCATCTCGACTCAATACTAAAGCCGCCAATGGCAGAAGGTAGGCGAGTGATGTTGGTTCAAAGGGCAACTGTTCAGAAGTGAAGCGCAATCTGTACAGAATCCTTGTGACGAGATCTCCCAGTGGTTCGGCTTCCAGATCAGGAGATAAGTTAGTATTACCTAATGCTCGAAGGGTCGCGACGCCGATAAACGGTCGTAGCAGGCCAAGTCTCGAAGAGACCTTCTCCGCACAAGCAATATACGCCCTCGAAACGGCATCACCTACAAAAAGTCCGGCATTAAGACGCGCCAGAGAAAGAAGAGTCGTAATTGCTGTGTTGATCCATCCGTCGGTGTCAGTCGGTGGTCCGGTAGCAAGTCCACGAACAATTACACAGCCTCGCTCAATCCTCTTTATTTCATTGAGCACACTTTCTCGGATTTTAGCTTCTTTCGCCAACTGTGCCTTTACCTTTGCTTGTTCTTCTGTCGTTAGCTTTTTCTGGGGTTGTCCTTTCTTTTGTGCAATCTGCGCTCGGAGTTCCTCTTCCCATTTCAAAGTGTCATAATCCTTGATATTCTTGTCTGACAATGGCTGGGCTGATTTTGTGTTGAGCACATCAACAAACGTCGTGCCTTCTGGTATACGTGCAATTGCAGCATCAGTAGGCGTAAATTTGGAGATACGATCACTTGCTAGATCTTCGTTGATGATCTTAACAATACGCTGTATCATCGCTTCTGGGGCAACGAAAGCTAAATCTGCTGCTGCACTCCCAACAGCGTCACTTGCGAGTGGTATTTTTGACTTTACAGGATCATCAGATACCTGTACGAGCTGCTGAATGGAGACTTCGGGATTCTCAGATACAAGTTTTCCCGGGTCTAGGCCTGTTCTTAGACAGAGATCTATCCAAGAGACCCTAGGTATCAGTTCCTGACGGCATAGGACAAGAAGTTTGATCATCTGATCTTTCAGCGCAGATTGGACGTTATCTGGAAATTGCTCTGACCCTGATGCACTAGGACATATGGCTTTCACTACAAAGTGAAGTAAGCTTTGACTACCCTGGCCTGCAGCTGCAGCAGCAGATTCCTTGTCACCAATTGACAGGGCAAGCACCCAGGACCATAATGCCTTGACGATAACATCGCCAACTACCGCAGCATCACGCAGGAAAGCCTTCGTCAGAGCCCGGCATGCTTCGTCTCTAATTTTCCGCGGCACGCTCGGGCTAGCAATCGTGAAGATGAATGCCTGACCCCATGCGTCCCTACATGCTGCATCATAGGTACGCAGCGTAGAACCATTCGCAACCGTGGCAAGTGCTCTTACTTTCCATCGGAAGTCCTCTTCGGTGGTCAACTTGCTATAAACCTTCGGGTTTAATAGGAATGATGGCTTGGGTGTTAGTGAAACGGATTGCTGGATAATATTTTTCCATTCTGATTCCGCAATTGTCCGCAAATCTTTCAATAGACCGCATAATGCAATATAACCATAAGCGGCAGAAACTAGACCACTCTGAGCAGAGGGAAGGGGATTCGTGAGGGCTTCTGCGAATGAATCCTTCCCTTTTGAAAGAATAGAATTGATTAATCCCTGATTCGGCGAGCTAGTCAGTCTTTCTGGCTTGGCCTCCCAGAATAAGTCCGCAGTATGTAGCTGCCACAGCTTACGAAAAGGCACACGTTTATCAGCAGATGCCTTTGCAATAGCTGTGACTGATTCATCTTTGAGAGGTACTTCGGAATCGATAAGATAGCCTAGATGTTTGCATACGGCTTTGACTTCTGATACCAGAGCGACTTCGCTCGATTCCTTAGCAGCCACTGTTACCAAGGTTGTAGCCACTTCCAAAGATAGAGCCTTATAGCAAGGAATCGCCGCTAAGACGTCAACGTGTGACGCACGTTGCTCAGCATTGGATATCTTCTGAGACTTCAATGGATTTAGAATCTCACTAGACACCTTTAAAAGAGGGTCTTCGATATTGCATCTGGATATCAAGGCTTGGAACGACTGCGCGGCACCTTGTCTAATGATAGCATTCGTAGATTTTAGACTGGACAAAAGAGGCTTGGAAAGGCGAGAATTGACGGGCTCGGAAAGATCAATTGCAGCAGGAAGAGACAAGCACAGAGAGGGGATTATGCCATTGAGTATAATCTCGGGGGATCTCAATATGGATTTCTCTAGCGTTGGGATAATGTCGGCGACTAAATCGTCGTAGGTGACAAAAGACGCAAAGAAATCCGATAGCCCATTTGCTATATGTGGTGGTACTTGGCTTCGTGAGCCCAGGATCTCCTTGGTATAGAAAGCCAATATCGGCTTCTTTAGTCCAGCCAAGACCTCTCTTCTGGCAGAAAGACGTGCACAGACTCCGGAGATCACGCCAATAAAGGGTGCGTTTCTCTGCGCCGAAGTGCCTGCAGCTAGCTTTAGCACTGACTCACGTACGGCCTGCTCACCCAAAGTCTGGCTCCCAAAGGTCGCCCTCAATGCACGACGTGTAATTCGAAGAGCTGATTGTCTCACAGTTGGTCTCGAATTCTGCCCTAAACACAATTCTAATACGTTCGCATTGGCAGATATAACATCGAGGACAGCCCCAATAGGAGCCTCTATGCTGCTTAAGTGTTGGAGGAGAATGCAACACCACTCAATAAGGACGAACGCAGACGTAGCTGAAAGACTTGGTTTCGCACATTCCTTTTGTATTCTCGAGGCCAAGTACTTGGTATCTTGCTCGGTTAAGGACTTCAGGATCGTGCGAAGGCATTGCTGGACGGCTAAACGAGAGTTTCGGTCGACGTATAACGGGTATGTTTTGATAAGAAGATCGAGGATAGGTTTACTGTTTTCTTCTGACAGGATCTCCCCTATATAGTTGTAAAAGAATATCTTGTTCAGCCAAATCTAGCTTTAAATTTGTACAGTGGTGAGCGCCATACCATTCTTTTCTCGGAGTGATTGGAGGACTCGCACGCGGCGAGAAGTCGAGCTCGACAGAACAACGCTTTCGAGGGTCTCCAGGTCCCCGTTATGTATAGCATCCCATTTCAATTCATCCATTTTGGGATGGAACTAACATGTCGAGCTGGATTGAGGTAGGGCTGAGAGAGCGGATAGTTCAAGGTTGTCCCGCAGTTGTGTCATAAAAAGATTTTGAGGTTTATTGTGGGGAGCTTCCTTCCACTGCCCGCACCGCACCTACTGCGCAAGGTACAAAGACTCCAGTGACCATCAACCTCGTCTCTTCTACTTCTTTTCTCTCCTTACCAGATATCTTTCGCCCTCGCTGATTTTTCTGTGTCTTGCCTGCTCTAATATCTGGTGGAGTCTCATCTTATGCGTTTGTGCGCCGAAATATTACTTATATAAAAAATGCCTCCTAACAAGAGGAAAAAGAAACCGGCTTCAAATCCAGCCAGAGGTTTTGCTACCGTATCAGTACCTTCAAAACCAAAAGTGGCTGAGTCGAGCACGGTCTCGTCAACGGTAGATTCTTCAGTAGTTGTATCGGAAGACGAAAAATCATCGAAACAACCAGAGACCCAACGGCCGCAAACTGATAGCTCCAAGGATCAAACCCTCCAAACCCTTTCTCCAGAGGAACTTGAGAGACACTTCGAAGAAGCAGAGCTTCAAATTCTGGTCGATAAATACGGATGGAAGTCTAAAAATGAAGCTAGTCGCCAAGTTTTCAAATTTGAAACTGAGCGTCGCGTATTGAGGTCTCAAGCCAATGTCCTGAGCTTGAACGAGTGGATCCCCCAAAAGATACAGGATCAAGTTCTTGCTCTGGCCCAACTTGAGCAAGATCACCTTGACGCTCCTCCTGAAGGGGATCTTGATGCTGGGAAAGAAGAGGAATTGATTACTAGACTTTGGAGCCTGAAAGATGCAATCCGAGGACTTGGATTTTCAGACAGTCGAGTAGACTCACTGCTGAGACATATTATAACTTATTACTCTGGAGTTTCAAACAGTTCCAAAAACGTAAATTGGAATCTTGAGGAATCTTTAGAATGGCTGGCATTGCAATGCGACCCTACTGAGCTGGATCCATATGACAAGAAGAAGGACCCGTCGTGGACACCGGAAGAAGCTGCTTCTTCATTCATCGGCAGTAAGTACCCTATAATTTATAAAAAAGGAGTTCATGACTGATGCCCTACTGTAGGCGAAAATAAGAAGTCACCTTCGAATCCTTCGCTTGCTGCCCAGGCCGGAAATCCGCTGAACAAACCTCCATCTAGCCGTACAATAATTGAAGTTGAGCCAAATCTCGGGAACGAATCTGATAGCTCTCTCGATCCGGAAGACTTTGCTGACGAGTATGTCTCTTTGAAAACTCAAATATACCAGTTAAGCCCTCAATTGTTCGACCAAAACTCGGGAGGTGGTAGAAAAGGACGAGCTCAGGCTCCTAAAGATGTTTCTGACCCCAGGATCAAGAAACTTCAACTGAAAGTAGCAAAAATTGAGAGTGACATTCTCTTTGACCATGACGCGGCGGAAATGAAATGGAGGGAGAAGTTAAATGATTTGCGGAGAGAGTTTACGTTCAATCGCGAAAAGGGACGTGCAGTTCCTGTCGCAAAGAATGTGCCCTCCAAAGAGTCACAGCCTACGATATCTGAAGATACAGAAGAATTTGTCATGGTAGAAGCTTCCGAATCCGGCGACGAACTCCTTCTAGGTGGTATCTTCATAGAACCAGATGAGCCTCTATTGGTCCGCGATACACCTGACAGTATTAAAGTCATACGCAATTTTGCTGAATCAGTTGGCGGTACTGAGCCTGACAAACTTCTGCAAGAAGTATGCAAAGCTAGGTAAGCTATACTGCAGATAACTTGGTTACAAGAGAACAGGCTAATTATATACCTTAGAGACCCGGGTTTCAAGGTTGTTCTGAGAGATCTAGCGGTCGCATCCTTTTACAATCGAAAAGGAATAGAGATAAAGTGGTCCAAGCCACAGGAAGAGCCGGTTCCATTATCAATCGAAGGCATAACTATCAAAAGCAATGCATTCACTGTATTCGTTTCTATGGATTCGATTGCCGCCGCTAAAGACGAACAAGCGAAGGGGTATATCTCTACTCTTGCGCTCTTCCTCGTTTCTGCGCCAGCCTCGAACAACAAGGAGAACAAAGCTTACATGAGGCTTCCGAATGTATGGAGGGAAGTTTACCAAGAATTTTCTGATTTGAGAAAGCAACAAGAGGATGAATCCGACAAGCAAACAATTCGATACCTGAAGAAGCTAATTGAGGAGAATCACGGAAAACTTGAACGCGATGTGGTGCTATCAGATAACTTTAAGAGAAGAAACGGTAACAATAGACAGCAACTTCCAGGGAAAACTGAATCTACAACTCCAAAGATCGATGCCGATAGTTTGAGAAAGCTGTGGGAAGAGAAAATGAACACTACATCATTTCAGCATATGACGGAATCTCGCAAGAATCTGCCAGTATGGGCTTATAAGCAGCAGATCCTCGATACTCTGGCAAATCATCAAGCTGTCATCATTTGTAGTGAAACTGGCAGTGGCAAAAGTACTCAAATTCCGTCATTCATCATGGAGAATGAGCTCGCGAGCGGTCGCGAGTGCAAGGTATTTGTTACCGAGCCTCGCAGAATTTCAGCTATATCTCTAGCACGACGTGTGAGCGAAGAACTTGGTGAAAGACATCAAGATCTCGGAACGAATAGGTCTCTGGTGGGTTACGCGATAAGATTGGAAAGCAAGATTAGCCAGAGCACAAGACTAATATTTGCGTATGTTCATCCCCCCCTCCTTTCACGTTGAGACGCTAATACGGTGTGTAGCACCACTGGAGTTGTTGTCCGTATGCTGGAACGGCCAAATGAAATGCAAGATATCACACATATCGTGCTTGACGAGGTGCATGAAAGAAGTATTGATAGCGATTTCCTCCTGATCGTTCTTCGGCGATTGTTAGCTCAAAGACCAGAGCTCAAGGTGGTGCTCATGTCTGCCACTGTGGATGCCAAAAAGTTTGCGAACTATTTGGGCGGTGTTCCAGTACTCAACATTCCTGGAAGGACATTTCCTGTGCAAGTCAAATATCTTGAGGATGCAATCCATTTGACAAATTATCGACTAGATGATTCATATCCAGCATCTACAATCATTGACGAGGATGAGGATGATAAATCGTCGGATGAAGGGCTAACTGATGAGATGGGTCGAGGTTTAAGAGCAACATTGGAAGGTTATCCGTACCAGACGAGGGATACAGTTCTGAAATTCGATGAATATCGTCTCGACTATCGCTTGATTACAAGACTTTTGACGGCCATTGCGACGAGACAAGACTTGAGTCAATACAGCAAAGCAATTCTGGTCTTCTTACCAGGTCTAGCAGAGATCCGAAGGCTCCACGATGAAATTGGTTCCGATTCCACTTTCAATCAGGGATGGATTATTCACACCCTCCACTCGTCTATTGCTAGCGAAGATCAGGAAAAGGCTTTCCTTGTACCGCCTGAGGGAACCAGGAAAATTGTGATAGCTACTAATATTGCAGAAACTGGTATCACGATTCCAGACATCACAGCTGTGATTGATGCTGGAAAGGAGAAGGTTATGAGGTAGGTTTTGCACAACCGTATTGTGAAGCGAATCTCTGACTCTCCAAGATTTGACGAGAAACGTCAGTTGTCACGGCTAGTAGAGTCATTTATATCTCGCGCCAATGCAAAACAACGTCGTGGACGAGCTGGACGTGTCCAGAAAGGAATATGCTTTCACCTCTTTACAGAATACCGACATGATAATAAAGTACGTATCTTCAAGGTCCTTGTGTGTGCCAGCCAGCCTAATAGACTATTATAGTTATCGGAGCAACAAACTCCTGAGATGCTAAGACTTTCACTTCAAGACCTGGTACTTCGTGTCAAGATATGTAATTTGGGAGAGGTCGAGAACACTCTTCTCGAGGCAATGGACCCACCGTCTTCGAAGAATATACGCAGGGCTATTGAATCTTTGAAAGAAGTCAAGGCACTCACGAGTGCCGAGGGTTTGACTGCCTTGGGAAAGCAGCTTGCGAAGCTTCCATTAGACGTGTGGCTCGGTAAATTGATAATATACGGTGCCATTTTCAAATGTCTGGATGCCTGCGTTAGTATCGCGGCTATCTTATCATCAAAGTCGCCATTTGTCAATACAATTGGTTCAAATTCCCAGCGAGATGCCGCTCGACTATCTTTCAAAAGAGGTACGTCTCTGTAGTACCCCTTGGAGTACTAAACTTACAAGAGATAGGTGATTCTGATCTTTTGACGATTTATAATGCTTATCTCGCATGGAAGAAGATCCGAGAGACTCCAGGGGTAAACGAGTACACATTCTGCCGGAAGAACTTTCTCAGCCCTCAGTCGCTACTGAACATTGAAGATATCAAAACGCAACTGCTTGTTAGTATTGTTGATGCAGGGTTGCTGAAGCTGGAAGCAGAGGAACAGACTGCGCTGCGAAGGTTCGTTATCTAAAGACTACATTCAGAACGCACACTGATTCGGTGGCAGGGCTCGAGTAACCGGCCGCAACCGACAATTCTTCGTCATTCCCGAACGAGTTAATGTCAACAGCGCAAACGACTTGATAGTCAATTCGGTTATTGCATGGAGCTTCTATCCTAAACTTGTGACTCGTGAAGGGAAAGGCTGGCGCAATGTGGTCAACAATCAGAACATCTCGCTCCATCCAATCTCTGTTAATAAACAGGTGGATTCGTCTGTGCAATGGCTGTCGTATTATCATATCATGCAGACACGTAACAGATACTACAACGCTCATGAGACTAGCGCTGTGGAAAGCTTTGCGGTTGCCTTGTTATGTGGTGACGCTGAGTTCAAGGTATGTTATGGGTTATCTTTGTCTACCATGTTCATTATTAACAATACAGCAGATGTATTCCGGCATTATCTCAATTGACAACAATCGCATACGGTTCTCTGTTAGAGACTGGAAACAAATGCTCGCATTCAAAAGATTCAGCATTCGTGTCCGCGAGATCATGACAGAAATAGTACGGAATCCACAGAAGATGCTATCACGCCGGCAACGAGAATGGATGGAGATCTGGCAACAGATATTCTTTGGCAAAGCTGCAAAGGCAGCTGAAAAGAAATAGATTTTCGATACCATTGCATCACCTGGGAGGTGTTCGTTGGAACGGACTTAGGACTCGGTTAGGAAACGGATTTGGCATGGCAGGATTGACTTAGGTATTTGGAATTAGACGATTGTATTGGATACACCTATAACGGGTTGGTCAGAGGCTTTGCCCCAAGGTTTAAAGATTGAATGGTTGATGCCTTTTGATAGATGGATTCTCTATTAGAAAAGCTAATACACAATTGTCGTTTCGATAACATCTGTCCGCCTGACAGCCTACTGAGCAACATAGTAAGTTGCACCATTGCAAATCATGATAATCTGCCTACCTGGGTTGTCCATGAAGTCAAAATGACCACCCAGACTGCGTTTAGATACCATAATCAACGCAGCGACCCTCGGCCGTGCTTGAAACAATATCAAACGAAGGGATTCCCAATTTTTCTCGGTATCCTGTACTATTAGGGCTGATCCTAGATCCGTAACAATGGGTATATAATCCGAGGATCATTGACTTTTTATATATTCGGATCAGACATGTCATACAATAAGCCATAATTTTGATTGAAAACCATTTCATCCCTTAATGCCAGACTCAAATGCGTAGGCGAAATATACGTAATGAAATGTTCTCCCAATCCCGTTGACCCGCTCGTTGTGATATGTCGAATTGTAGTCAGATATCACAAAGTTTAGTTATGTTGCCAGGAGGATCGGAGAAGTCTCGAAGCTAATTTGCTTTATTGGCTATGTTCCGGTCGAATTGAGATGATTTTAAAATACTAGGGACTAAATATTGACGGCCGAAAGTTATCAATCCAGGATTTTACCAGGAATGGTGACTTGAGTATTCGATTAAGGTCCGTGGATCACTTCTCAAAGAGGGGCCGTAATGATAGCCAATATCGATTTGAATCATTATAACTATGAAACTGACTATCGATGTTTAGGAGCAAGGCCATAGCCGACCACAATTCTACTATCCAGAATACATATATGATTTCAATAACTTCATAGCAACAAATAACTCTTAACTATCTAATACTAACAACATGCCAGATCAGGGTAATAATTACTAAGCAAGCTAAGTTTTGCACGCGCATACACTTTAAGATTCTCTTGGTTTAGTTCAATTATGCGAAGACGGGTTGTTGCAGCTCAGGGTCTACTCTTGACGCTGTTGTACATTAATCTACATGCGCCGAGCTCAAATGGTAAAACGAGCCTAACGAGGGGACCAAACGGAGTTACCTTCTGCCAGTTGAGCTAGTTACAAGACTTGCGTATATATGAAGCGAATTTTGCCGCTGAGCAAATGCAAGGGGGTTGAGATGATAGGCTGTCAGTGATTCGGCGAATGCTATCCTACGATTCTGATGGTTTCTTGGCTATCTGGGACTTGATTGGAGAGTGGGTGTTCTTCTACGGCTGAAACGTTGAGAAGGAATGGAGGGGTATGATCTGGAGCGGTCAGCCGGTCAGTAGTATGTTTGTATGTTTGTATTGATATTAACCTAGTGTTAGATAGCAAATCAGATTAATTTCTGAGGAAGTAGACGAGGAACAACAGTAGTTTAGTTATGTGACTGGATTATCACGAATGAATAGAAGAATGAGTATCTAGGAATGACTCGGCGAGTTCAAACGCTAAGAAGAAAAAGTAAGAAAACAGGCTAAAACATCGTCAAGCGCAGGGGCCAGCTGGCAAAGGCCTCATTATTCCGTAATAAACAACCATTCGCCCACAAACGATCTGAAAGATATGAAGAACAAGAATGCTTTCGGTGTAGACTGTAACCAACTTTGAGTCTAAGAAACTTAGCAGAAGGATACTAAAAACTTAGTAAAGAGGGGGTGACGGTCTACGTGGTCGTGCTATCCACCAGTCAATCCCGCACCTCGGCGGATCCCCAAGTGGAGTCGACCGCTGGATGTCATTCCAATAAGATCCACGCATCACAATCGAACTAGACTATGCGTTGTACATCAGGCGAGTTTTGTCTTCTAGACTAGACGGAAAGAAGTAGTGAGTCTGAACTCTAGCCTTCTACAACGAAGGCAAAGTACCTCTGTCAGGTCAACTTGTATGGAGTTTACATACATACATACATATATACAAGTGGGGCTTCCCGTCGGCGGAAACGGGGGACGGGAGCTTGCCGAACCTCACTTTGTTAGTCTCGATATGTCCTAGCTGTATTTTTTGAGTAATACAATATAATACGTAAATACCCGTTTACTCGCCGAAATTAGATTGCGAAATCACGAGCGGTTACGCGGATATAGACAAGGATAAGTCACAAATAGTGAACTACTAGAGGAAATAGGGCTATGGATTTGCCATTCAGAGATGAAATGACAAATCTCAGCTTACAGTCACAAACAGATTCTATACTAAAAAGAGGCGGGTTATCTAAAATTCATGTCTCGGAGTATTTTCTCTTACTGTAATACCGTACGTACGACCGGGATATGTCGGATAGAAAAGAACCATACCTTGTAAAGACCTAGAACCATTTCCCGGATACGATACTTAAACCTAGCATAAAGACGTGTACAAATACAGCTGAAGATGTGTAAACATTAAGATCTACTTCTATACAAACCTACTCATGTATGTAAGATGTAACCTACATGCGCAGTAGATTAAAGCAACAGCGCACGAGCGAAATCTGTAGCCACGATTAAATCGTTCATCAGATGTAACGATGGAAAAGCGAAGATAAAAACTAAGCATGACACTAATTTGACACCGCTGCGGGAGTAAGTACGGACGGGAATGCAATGCGAGGTTAATCTATTTCCACCTACTACGTATTGGAACAAGTTGAACTATTTTCTTAGGAATGGATATGCAAGCTATCTGATTGAACCATTCATGTACACGGTCAGGATGGAAGCCTGAAAATACGACCAAAGGAATACGGTCGTAGTACATAGTCGGTGATAATGTGGAAATTAGTTTCCAGCTATATCTACCTATCACTTTCAAGAACATGGGAATTTCAACTGATCATCAAGAAAGGGAAAAAACCACGCAGCCAGCCCACAGCTCGGCTCCGGCTACTTGCATCAGTGCCGTGAGCCCTTGCCGCCGCCATGACAAGTACAGTGGACACAAAGGATGATGGATTTAGAAAATCCTAATACGACTTTGTAGTTTGGACTTTGAAAACTGATAAGAATGGGCTTTTAACGGGTTTGTAATTTGCTGCATTGAGTAGTTAGTCGGTTAGTTAGGGTTTAATGGGTGGCGTAGTATTTCCATCTGAATTTAGTACGTATTTGGTCCTGTCCATTGACGTTTGATGTTACGATAGTATATTATTTCTATTTGTACGACCTTTTCGTTAGTTATGTGCGTACCATCGGACCAATACGAGCTGAAGTACCTGACTCGGGAAGGATGTAGTTACCATTCGCCGAGATAAATACAAGAAAAGTGAATTAGCACAATCCTCTGCTAGACGATCCAACGTTTGCAATGTTGATTGGATATGCATTTCGACAAAGAATTAATTTATACAACTAAATGAATTAATATAGATAGATAGGTACATCGGGAATTTCTCGCATTAGTATCGATACTATCATACATACACTTCATCCCTGTACAAAGGAACAATAATAGCGACTCCTATAATGACACGCCACTATGTACTTCCCCTCATCTTTCCCCTCGTCTTTCCTTGTATCTTGACTATCTAAGTTCTTAACTAAGCGGTATCAGATTGGTTCAAAAATGAACAACGGAGCTCGGTCCGCAATGGGATCATTTACAACTTAATATACGAGTATTAAGTGCTAGTTTCTAGTTTGTCAATAGTACATGTGACATTAATAGACTGATTTGCCAGAACCGTGATTGGATTGGCTGACATGTTCAGGGTATGGTTGTCTACCATGATATGATTTTAATTACGTATTCAATGCTAGAGCATGTGTAAACTGTGCAGCCATTAGCATGCTAGATGTCATGTCATCGGTGATCTGAAAGTTTATGCATGTAGCCGAAGCTACCTACATAGACAGGCATGAACGATCTCCTTATCTGACATGCATACCCTAAGCAGTAACATGCTCCGTTCCTACCGAGCGCCGCTCGGTGCTTGAGACTTTGAGTGTTTGTAACCTGAAACAATGAATTGTCATGTAGCTGCCAGATATCTGTATGTAGTCTGTAGCCGGGTTTACGAGGGTCTTAGATGGATGTACCTGCAGGGTATAATGTTTGATTGTACATTCTAACCAGTTCACCGGTGTTTAAACTTGTTCTCACGTCAGATGACACTAGTAGAAAAGCAGTGGCACAAGAATCCCAAATCCAGCCGTGGAGTCATACAGCTGACGCATTCTGTAAAAGGTTGATTGTTGAGGCTCGATAAGCAATGTCATCGCGATTCTCGTACATACATACGCAGCACGTATCTAGTACGACCAGATATCAGCCCTAGGTCTTGCATGCGGAGAGCATAAGCTCATAACGACGATAATAATAGAATCGGAAAAAATAAGAACCATCGAGCTCCGGAACGTGATCGCGGTGTGAAATCAATATTCAAAGTCACACGAGGACAAGGTATGCTAAGGTCAACTGTTTCATATAGTAATCAGAGCTGACTCCGACTGATCCGAAATTGTCCATCAGTCACCGAGCAAAAAGCAAACAACAAAAAGCTGAAGATAGGGCCAAATTTATTTCCAATCTCCCCCAAAAAGGCAAGTGTCAGAGAAATCAGAAAGAACGGTGAGCAACTGATCTAACACAAGAGAAGGAGGATAACGTTACACATACACAAGCAGCGAGGAGCGATAGCCAAAAAAAATGATGTGACATTAATTGGATGACCACCTACCATACTAAGTCAATTTCCACGAAGATCATTAGATCTTGGTTTCAGCGGCAAAAAAAGGAAAGGAAAAGATCACCCCAAGATGATTTAGTTGGGAAGCAAGGGGATAAAACCGGTGGATGATGGGTTACACGGGCTTGGCTTGTAGGGTGCGTCTTCGTCTAAAAACCTACATGATGTATGTCTAGGTGTCCCTGTTCTTACGGTTTACATGCATATATAAACGTTCCTTGTAAGAGCGGTGAGGAGATAAAAAAAGAAGGTTGAGGATTGATGAAGGGTTTGTGACTGATCATACGTATTCTGTTGTATTGGATAGGCTGGGTAGATGAGAAGTTAGGGTTTGGGATGGCACGGGTTCAGGGTTCTTCGTCATACAAACAAAGTAGTTAGTATGTACTAATGACTTTATACTTTGAATGACTGTTTCATAACGTCAAGGGATTGACTCGTTACCTATTGTTTCCGATAGCCACTGACTGTGGATTAGCCTCGGCGCAAGATCAAAAAGTCTCTTGCAAGTAACTCCTCTATATGAGTAATGCCTACAAGTCTAGAATTCTCAAAAAACCTTCCCAGTCCTTCTTCACCGAGTATTCATCACCCAAAAGGAGAGAAAAAGAAAAGAAGGCTAATTTTATAGTAAATCGCATTTTTCTGCGTTGGTCACTTGTGAACCAGTGGCCTCCCTCCTATAGAGTCAAGCGGCGAAAGGCTAGAACAGAACCCTGCTTTGGCGGATCCCCTGTCTTCGCCCCACAATACGTACGGAGTACATAGACTAGAACAGGGTCGTTCCCTGTCTGGTGTATGAGATAGCCGAACCAACAGGATCACCCATTTTGGATGAGTTGTAATCTATGTTGGAGTTGACAGAGAGATTAATTTGTTCAAGTCAAGCGATAATTTGAGACCATGCCACGGCGGCAAGTGAAACAGCTCAACTAGACTCAGTTCAATACACAAATCAAATCGTGTTTCATCTGACATCCTTACTGCTCAATACAGTCGTATGATTGGTCGGTAATGATCGTCACATAGCCGCCCAGCAGACAAGAAGAGAACAGACAGACTAGGAATAGGAACGGCCGACCATATGTCAAGTACGCATACTGCATACCCTCGTGGCATTGCCATTCACCTAGTATATATCACTACTTATTAGACTGTTGACCTTCCAGTCGTACGTAGACAATTACCCGAATAAGGTAAAAAGAACGAAAAGGGAAAAGCAGTGTCCTTCCCCAATGTTTTTCGATTCCGACTAAGGTTTACTTTTTCTTCTTGTTCTATCAACCAATCAGGGTTGTGTCTGGTAATGTCCCGGGCTCTCTCCCCTTCGAATCAGCACCGGATTTGCCCTGACCGCTGGTTACTGGTAACCCTAATGGCTTGAACGCGGGGAGGTCCTCGGAAGGGAAAACATACAACATCCCATGAATACACTGATATAACGATGTTCTCCAGGATAAAACTTTTTACTGCAGGATCACTGAATACCAGCATCTACATCGAACACACTACGTATACAGATACAGACAGATCGTGATGCACGATGCGGTTCCGCCGTCGATCAGCCGTCGGCCTAAAATATCTCGTACTCTGTACATATGCTCGTACGGAGCAGTATCTATATTAACAGCTGACTAACATAAATGCGTAGTAGTTAACTAAGTTAAGTACTAACTAAATAAAGATGGCAGTATGAGTAATATTCTATTATTTCTTTGCAAGAACCACACATGGTACGTCGAAAGATCGTGTTACAAATAGCCGGTGATACAAGATGGTAACTTAATTACCGGATATACTAGATGATACACTCCGTTCAGTGCAGGTACTCTGCGACTCAAGAGTACAGTAGTTGCTAGTAATAAATACCCCTCAACGCCCCGAGTAAAAGCCCGATCCAGCCCAGCCCCGGCCCGTTCAAGCATCCCTACGTAACCGTGTAACACGACATATATTACTGTTCCGTGAAGCTGATTCAGTTTCCTAGCCGAGGATGTACTGCCAGTGTCTGGTGGTTGGTTGTATGGTTAATTTGTTTGATTGTGCAGGCAGAGATTAGTTCTGACTGACAGTAGTAAGGCTGCGTTTGCAGCAAGTGTGTGCGTCCACTTGACGAGAGCTAGTCCGTGCCTCTACAGCCTAGATAGCGTCGTTATCTCCGCTGCCAGTGTCAGCGTTCAACTTGCAAATACGTAGCGAAGAAACAAGAGTATCTCCTTACCTCAGCCTTGCCATCACATCAGTGCTAAATAGTCTGTGGCTATTGGATACAAGTACGTCCCCCATACGGCATAGCGGATGACTTAGTATCCGAGTTAGGGTTATCTTTGTCCAATGGCTCCCGTCCGACTAACGCCATCCGTCCAGACAGACAACGCATCTTGAGGGTTTTCATACGTGGTCGTATGTGATTTTTATTCTTTAATTGTGCTATTTATTTAGAGATTCGAAGTCTAGTCTTTGATTCTTGAGAGCAATCTCCACCGAGTTAAGAGTGTTCCGACCGCGCCCGGATCGTATTGACTATTTCCACATGTATGTATCTGTATTTCAGTATTTTACGACTAAAACAGAGCTCAGACCAAAAAATAAAAGATCGACTGGTCTTTTCCCTGTTGGGTTTCTGCTTGATACGATACGCTCTGTTACTACGATAACCAACCACCCCACCTCTCTTATTATTCTGTCTTAGCAGTTCCTCCTGCATGCACTCGACCAAGGGGGTTCCCCAGAAGCACAGATACTTTTTTTGTCCTTATGTTTCTTAGCAGCATCATCATCTTCTCGCTTCGGGCACTCTGATGTGATATATTCTTCTCTTTTTATTTTTTTTTTTTGCCATATCCCCTGTTTCTCTTGCCTTGCTTGACACTTTTGGCAGCTGCGTCCTGCCCGCCTCGTCTGTTGCTGCTGCTCCTGCTCCTGCCCGCCCGCCGCCACAGCCGAAGCTTCTTTCCTCTCAAGATCATTCATCTCAAGTGACCTCCAGCCTCTTCTTCTCTTCTTCTCTTCTTCTTCTCTTCTCTTCCTCCCTTCTCTCACTGTCTTTCTCTCAATCTGTCTCTATTCTCCCCACTTCCCATGTATTGATTGATTGATCATCGATCCACTGGATTCGTACATCCAGTTCCTCCTGCCAGGGTACGCTCCATTTTTATTTTCGTCTCTTCCTGATTCCGATTCCATCTGCTCTGGACCCTAATCATCCCTTCATCCAAGCCATCTGATTTTTCTGCTTGATGTGTTTCATTTAATATCTTTATTCGTCCCATTAATCTCGCCTTCCCGCTGTACATGCATCTACCCTACCCTACCTACTGCTCCACCGTTCGTGTTTTGCGCGGTTGTTTTGCGCTTTCCATTGCAGTTTATTCACGACTTACAACTGAAACAAAGAAGAAAAAAAAACATCGCCGTCTTTGATTCATTATTGTTGTATTGCCTTGTCATCCGTGTCCATATGCTCTTCAATTCTTCCAACTTACCCGCATCATAGAAAACTCAAACCCGCCGATAAGAGGAGCCCCAAGGAAGAAGAGTCAAGGGAGCTGCTACCCCGATTCTCCCCTCTACACGACCGCTACGACCGTTACGACTTGCGCTTACGATTACTGTCGTTTAATCTCTTCGTTTTGTTTCGATACATCGCGTGTTCTTGCTTGTTTGACGAGCTATAACTTTGACTCGCATCGTCACCTTAGAGTTTTACTTGCCCTACGAGCCATCGTTACCGACTTTCGATTCACCATTCGGCCTGCCAGTTTATTGTCACCACGAACAATAGAGACGAAAGTCCGAGTTGGCAAGAACAGAGGACTTGACTTTACGACTTGAATACGAGAATTAACGCCATCTCCGTGTGGTATATACACATATATACATATTCTCAGGCAGCGCAGTGTGATTTGTTTACGAATGTCTGCTTATTTGCGCGCTCTTCGTCACGATACCAAGGAACTATAGCGTTGAGAACGAGATTCTCCGCAAGGAAAAACAATCAATCCGCCCAAGAAAAGTCTTTTTTTCATTGGCATCTTGCGATTTTTTGCACTGCTTTTCAGCGTTCACGTCACGAAGACACGGACTTACTACGACCCGTCGATTATACAGCATTGCATTGATAAACCATCTGCATTTATACATACGTCCAAAGGAACGAAAAAGAATTTTACCCTGGACCCCCAATATATTTAAGGATATAACTGAGTTTCACAAAGAAGCCGAAAAGCTGGAGCTTCCGTCGATTACCCAAGTTCATACTCGTGGTTCCGTCGACATACCTTGGTTCAATCCTCAAGAAAAACCTAACTCAGTCAGATTACCATCTGTCTCTTTTCGACCAGACCTACCTCGCGGTACCGTGACTGACTCTGAACAAATATACCCTTCGTTCCCCCCATCTGAGACACCAGAAGACCCCAAAATGAACCAAACACAATCATACATGGACGTACATACGTCTCACTTTTCATCGCCTCAACCCTACGGCTCGCATGGGGCTACTGCAGGAGGAATGGTGCCATACTCGCACTATCAGCAACCACCGCCTCTTCTCCCGCCGGGATCTGCTGGGTACCCTTCGACTCCAGGCTCATATTCTTACCCATATTCCAACGGTGTTGCCTCGACTACACAGCCTGCATCGAACTCTATTAGCAGTCAGGTACCAGCTCAAATATTGCCGTTACCAGGTAAGGATCGTCAATTTTTTGAGTTTAGATCTACTTGCTAATGGTATCTTTAGCCATGACTACCCACACAGTAACGCCACATGGATATGTCGGCGGGGCAACCCCGGCTCAACAAAACGCTGTTCATGATCCAACCGGTCAGACTTGTCCACCAGGAGCAAAGCCCAGAGTAACAGCAACTCTGTGGGAGGACGAGGGCAGTCTATGTTATCAAGTTGAAGCTAAGGGTGTATGTGTAGCCCGACGTGAAGGTGAGTATCGATTGTCCTGGAATATCGAACATGGCTAATTTCTTAGATAACCACATGATCAATGGTACCAAGCTGCTAAATGTTGCTGGTATGACTAGGGGTCGTCGAGATGGTATTTTGAAAAGCGAAAAAGTCCGTCATGTTGTGAAAATCGGCCCTATGCATTTGAAGGGTGTATGGTGAGTTGAATGATTATCGAATTATATGGGTTATATATGCTGACCGATTCAGGATCCCATACGAGAGAGCCCTCGATTTCGCCAACAAGGAGAAAATTACTGACTTGCTATACCCATTGTTCGTTCACAATATCGGCGGTCTTTTGTACCACCCAACCAACTCTAACCGGACCAACATGGTTGTTCATGACTCGCAACAACGCAGACTGGAAGGTAGTCAGAGCGCCCGAACCTCTCAAGGACCTCAAGCTCCTGCTCTACATCACCATCACTCTATGAACGGTTCAGTTCCCACTCACATGTCACAACCATCGACTTCTTCTGTGGCACCTCAAGCAAACGGTGGCCGACCAGAAATGAATCGCGCTCATACTTTCCCCACTCCTCCAGCCAGTGCATCCAGTTTGATTGGCATTCCTAACCAAGGTAGTACCTACGATTGGAACAACCAGAACATGAATTCCACTGTTCAGACATCCCAGAACGTACCGATCGACAATGGATTGAACAATACCAGGTCAATGCCCACGACCCCGGCCACTACGCCACCAGGAAATAATCTGCAGGGCATGCCGCCGTATCAAAACCAACCGGCTTATGACAGCACCAAGTCATACTACTCAGCGGCTCCTTCATCACAGAGCCAATACGCCTCCCAGCCTCTAGCTGCACACTCTCTTACCAGCTATGGTCAGCCCATAATGAAGGATCTTGGTTCTTCGGGTGGAAGACCGCCTCTTGGTCCTGGTGAGCAAGACCATGATGACAAGGTTGACCGATACAACCAACCCAGTGGTCAAGTTACAAACGGTACGGGTGAAGAAGAGAACGGCCAGCAACAGGAGCCCGAGTACGTTCAAGACAATGTCGCTGGATCCTATGCCAACCGCAACTCTTATACCTACACGGCTAATCCGTCTGTCTCTTCGCTCGCTGGAGACCATTCTCAGCTGGGTGGATCTCCTTCGCATCAGAACGGAAGTGACAGGATGACACCACGTACTGCAACCACCAACCCACCGCCACAATGGACCCAGGGCTACAACACCCCTCCAAGGGCTCTACCAGCAGGCAGTATTTCCAACATTGTCAGTGACACGCGGGGAGCTCCCAATGGCGATTCGTATGCTCCTAGCACTGCATATGCATCAAATTATTCCGGATACTCGTCGGTCAATGGGTCATCGATGGGCTCCAGCAAAAGAATGCGAGATGATGACGACGATCATCTGTCGCGATCCGATGGCCGTGATAACGACTACGAGACGAAGCGTCGCAAGACTTTGACCGAACCCGCCGTTGGAAGTGCTTTTATGCAAATGCAGCAGCAACCCGTTCCAGCAGGAGGAGTGATGCGACGCCGATGATCCAACAGCAAACCATCGACTTCATTATAATCAGTCTAATCATGACCTTATTTATGGGGAGCACAAACCCGGGTCTACTAATCAAGAACCGGTCTTCCGTTTACACCGTTTACATTTCGTCAGTACTCTCTCAAATGAAATTTAGAGGGCAGATTTCCTATGAAGTTATTCCATGTTGGCGTTTTCTCTTTGAGAGTTTCGGCTTTATTTCTGTTAGTTTATTGAAAGTCTGGGTGATGGATGTGTGACACGATAAAACGCTGAGTATTCACCGATACTGCCTTGATCATGTCGATGGGATTTACTATTGTCAAATTTTCGTTTGTTTGTCTTTTCTCTCCTTTTCCTTTTCTGGGCAAGTCTCTGACTTGTTTACTTTAACGACCATGATGATACGAATTTCCTATGATGTCTCTCTCCATTGGGACTTGATGACTTGATTGTGTGAGTGTTTTCTTTGCTGTTTTATCTTGAAAGACGTGATGTGATGATTGTGAAGATGAGACGAGATGTGCTAGTACTAGGTTATAAAGATACCGAGTACCTAAAACTCCATTCTTTATTCACTCTCCTGAATTAATTAAACGATTGTAGGTCAGATTGTGAAGTAGAGTATCCCAGATAGGAAAAACAGAAACAATAAGGGTTCAAGTCTTGGCAGAACCGCATTCTTCATTCAAACTTTGGTTCGGGACATGATCCCTTCTTAAACTTCAATTTCAAGTGGCCTCTCTAGAATCATGTCCTTATGGAGAATTGTTTAGTCGCGTTTGCGATATACAGAAGATTTGGATCCTTGCGATTACGTTGCCAGGATTATCCATTGTTTGGATTCATCGGATGCACAAACATTAGATGACTGAGAGTGGCACGTTCAATCAATCCAAATCTTCAAGGTCCTACAACTAACAATATTCCCGAAACTTCCCTCGAGACACATCATCAAAATGAACCCTCCCGCAAAAAGAAGCGAAACAAACCCCAAACCCAAAAACAAACATATCTTCGACCCCTGGAACTCCTCATCAACAGGCCACCAACGCGCCGAAAACCCGTATTCGAGGACGACGGACTGGCGTGATACGAGAAGAGACAAATTGGCTAGACAGTTTCGCTTTGCTTCTAACAATGGAGATGATGGATCGTTGATGAGGGATGGGGGAGGGAGTTATATGACTGAAACCAAAGCTGATGGAGGAGGAGGGGGAGGAGAAGGGGAATGGAAATGGATGTCAGCGCAGGAAGCGAAGAGGAATGAATTACGTGTGAGGGATATAAGGCGATATATGGGTGGGATATCGAAACCACCACTACAGCCCTTAATGACTACAACGACAACGACAACGACAAAAGAAAAACTCATTCTTGAGCCTGACGAGTCAGACCCTAAGAACAGGAAAGTGAGAGAGGAGAAAGGAATATTCACCCATCTAACATTCTACATCAACGGATCCACATATCCTACAATATCAGACCATAAGCTCAAACATCTCCTCGCCGAGGAAGGGGGGAATATCTCTTTATATCTTGCTCGAAAGTCAGTTACACATGTTATTCTAGGCTCGTCTGCTACCAGCAATATGTCTAGTGCTGGTACTGCCGGAAGGAAAACTGGCAGATTACTAGCATCATCAAAACTGCAAAAGGAGATTGTAGCAAAAACGAGCGGGTTTGGGAGGGGGGTAAAGTACGTTAATGTTGAATGGTTCGTTCCCTTAATTCTCCTATTTATATGGATGATGCTGATTTGGTGGTAGGGTTATTGAGAGTATCAAAGCGGGGAAGAAGTTACCTGAAGCTAGGTTTTCGCCATCTACATTTTCATCTATGAGTAGACTAGGAAATTTTACTCGAGTGGGAGTACCGGCTGGACAGAAGAGTGTGTATGATACGTTTAACAGGTCTACTACTACGACTAAATCTATGGATGAGATGAGTTGATTCGTACAACTCATCATCAATGCCGTAAATTTATAAAATCACATTCAGGGTATATGTACATGATCATCAAACTCTATATGCCATCGTCATCATAACTAAATAAATGCCCCATCGCGAACTAATCGTTGCGTTCCAGCATCATTGCTTGCACCACTACTCGTGCTACTATCGCTGTTACTTCGTGGACTTCTTCGTTCACCCGTGATATTTCGACTATCACTGTTACTACCAGCCGTGTGGTTATGTCCAGGTCGTCGATAACTATCCCTATACCCCCGACTGGCGGACGGCGATGGTGGGGAAGTTGTTGATGATGAAGGTAAAGATACCACTCCGAATTCGGCGGGGTTGAAGTCATTATCGTCGTTGTCTGCGCGACGACCGCTTTCGGGTGAATAAGCGGGTGGTGGGTTGTCCCGCATCGGGACCGGGACGTGGACGTATTCTGAGCTTGGGTCTTGGATTGGACTGGTTATGTCTGGGATTGGAGGGAGGGGGTCGTTCATCCTCATTTTACCGGATGAAACGGACGATGGTCCGGTATTCTCGTGTGTAGTGGGGAGAGAAGGGGGAGGTGGTGACGAGATTCGACGGATTGTGTGATAGCCACCAAATTGTCCAGACTGAGGACCGTGGCCGTGTTGTTCATAATAGTGATGTGTATCTTCGTATGCTGGGAAAATCGTTGTTGATATTGACGATGATGTCGAGACTTGGTGGGGTCGGGCAGCGTTATACTGCCTCTTGACGTCTTCCAAAGCCTGATCTATAGCGGAATCAAACATCTCCGGTGACGATGAACGGATTATTTTCTCATCAATACTTTCCAGATCATCTTCGTCGTCGTTATCGTGCTCCATATTTGATGATTGCGGATCTCCCTTGACGAGTCCCAATCGCTCTTCCTCGGTAGCAGCTTTCACTGCACGCCGATAATCTGACAAACCCGGTCCTTTCGGCGTTGCATTTCGCAAAATCCCACGTCCAGGACTGACTGGAGAATGCGGCACATTCTCATTCGACTTCTTACGTCCAAACAATGTCGTAAACGAGAATTGCCGTCGTGCATACTGTGTTGGTTCAGGTGCGAGGTGACTATTTCGAACTGGTGATCGAGTTGGCGATGAATCTGGCCGCTCATCTGCCCAGACTATCGACCTGGGAGTGTTGCTGCGTTCTCGGCCAGTGTGAGGTTGGAAAGGTGGTTCCAAATGTCCATCATTGCCATGATAAGCAGTGTCAACATGTTTGTTCTTTTTGTTAAGAGCGATTTCCGTCAACGCCACTGGATGTACAGAAGTCTGCGGTTCGTCATCATGCAACTGTCGCCAGTGAAGAGGAGTATGTAGGATGGTAGATGCCCGACTACGAACGTCGCTCAAAAAAGAGTGGTTACCACTAGGCGTGCGAGGAGGCGTCCTTTCTTCTTCAGTAGGAAATCGAGACATGCCCAAAGGCGGATGAGGTGTTCGAACAGAGCGGTTAGATCTAGGTGTCATGACTGGATGGTCTCCAATAACCGTCTTCCGCCGTCTAAGTCCGTCCCATTCCACGATTTCGTTCTCGGCTGGTTCGCTTAACTGGTCCTCGTGTTTCTCTCTGAAGTATCGCTTTGCCTCTTCCTCTTCCATCTTTTGCCTAGAAACGGAAATTCGGCGAATGATTGCTGCTGCTCCTCGGATGGCATCTGCCTTTGGTTCAATTTCAGACGCTTCTTGCTCGCCGACTTCTCTGATCTGATCCAGATCTCCTTTAAAGACGGCTGCATCGGGAACATCCTTCGCAGATTTAGACAACTGCAGCAAGACCACGCCCGAACAAATGGTCAAAAAGCCCATTACCATAGTCACTATAGCCATTGCAGAACCAGAGAATCCTTGGAACAGCACAGCCGACGTGGCAATAGTCGAACTGGTGAACATGACATAGTAGGTAGGAGTGACGAGGGCGGCGTTGAAAATATTCAAAGCTTTCTACAATCATGATTAGTATATTTCCCGTAAAATGAAGACAGGTACTCACATTAAGATAGACAATCTCGGTCAATAGCGAAACAATGACAAAAACAAGCAGCACATATAAAAACCAGTGTTTGAATTGCGATTCTCCTCGAATCTGTGCCAGAATCGAAGCTCCCAACCCCTGGGTTGCAACCACACTGAGACCACCGATCAAACTGCACACCGTGATATAGACAAACATGCTCTTTTTTCCGTAGCGGGGACCAGCCCACAATGCCACAAATAAGCAGCCCACTATAATTACTCCAGCATACGTCAAGAATCCTGGGGCAATAACAAAATGCTGCATTCCCTGGATATCGGTGACTGAGGCTTGCTCAGGGGCGTTCAATGCGATGATGGTTGCACCAACGATACAATTGAAGCAACCTATCTTGCCAACGAAACTCAACCGTTCTTTCAGGAAAATCGCAGATAATACTGTAGTTACAACGACGGACAAGGCTCCCATGGGAGTGACGAGGATAGCATCGACGAAACAGTAGGCGACGAAATTGCAAGTTTCGCCGATAATCATCAGAGTCATTCCAAGCCACCACCAGAGGTTCTTTAGATATCCATATCCCTCGCCTGCTTCCTCATTGTATTTGACATTGGCTTTCAGCAGGCCAACCTTTTTGATAACGAACGACACACCGATGAAAAATCCCGAGGCGATAGCAAGTGTGATACCGATCGCCTTGTATACTGGAGGCTGGGAGGACGAGGATTCGGTGCGAGCGTACAAGACCTGGGCCTGGTCTATAGCCGCTGCTGTCATATCCATGACAGCGGAGTGCGGCCACTACCGGCGGTTGGATAAATTCGAGTGGGAGCCGTTGCAAAGTTGAGGGCTATAGACGTATCGCCAGCGATATTGACAAATTCAAAAAATATTGTAAAAAAAGGGAATCGACAGCGATCAGTTTAAAAGTATCCTGTGTATCCTTAACCCATATGTTCTTCGTCGAGACCTGTCACATCTACCACCTGCAAGGCAGGTTCCGGGCGGCTATACGTGCAGATCAGATAGACCGGGAGACAATCCAAAGCGATGCGATGACTGAAATCACAGAGCAAGTTGACTGAATATACAGCGCTCTTTCCTTCTTTTCTGTTCAACTTCAAGTCGATATGCTGGATTATCGATAAGTGGATGGTAAAGGTGATACTTCGGCCGCAGTCGTACAGTGGGGAAGAAATCGTTCGTATCTAGACAATTGGCTGTAACAGCTGACGAATAGTCAAAGTCGCAGGTTCTGTTTGGGACGATGAGACGAAATATGCCGAGCGTAAGGAGGCGAAGAACTGAATCAACCGATTGAAAAAGAAGTTATAGCAAGTTGTTCCGCGGAGAGGATAAATGGGTGAGAATTGTTCGTGGAGAGAAGAAGTGAAACAGAGTGTGTCAGATCGTTAAGACGCCGAGAGGCTGTACCTGTACGTACGACGTCGTGCTCAGGCAATCAGGTGTCGATTCTGTAACTTGACTCGTATACCGACTGCATGAACAGTTCGTACGGAGTAACTCGTTAGTAGGATGTTCAGATCAAAGAGGAATCAAGAAGATCGATTTATTAATTGATCCCCCTTAAGTTAAGCCTTACGTAGCTTTTACTGCCAACCACCTTAACTTCCCCAAAGTCTAGACATGTTCCTGTGGTGATGATTCAGCGATATAAGGAACATTACATCTCCGCTAGACTATATTTGGGTCTATGGATCCACTGTTCCCGCCTTGGGTCAATCACTGATTGGCTGGTTTACGGCGTCTGATGTCGCCGATTTTTGCTGATTGGTTGAATATTCACGTGGCTTGTGCGATCTTTTCCTTCTTTGAGTTTCCCAGCCACATTTCTCCTGCACGCTTTACCATTTCTGGTTAAGTCGTTATACAGCCTCGATGGGTCTGACCAATGAGAGGGATCAACATTTTAATTTCCGATGGTGATTGTGATTCGTATCCGATTTCTATGTAAGGCACATCGGTCAGAATCTGGACTCGTTGATCCGATGACTGGCTCTAAGCTTTAATGAGAATGGGTTGGACCTTCGTATACCCTGTTATCATTATCTAGATACATTGGAAAATGTGCAGCCTCAAAACACCAACACCATCATAACAACCTGTGGTATCACAAATGCAGTTTATGAGGCAGTAAGCAGGAAAAAGTTCATAAAGTCACTGACCAAAATCATCAGGTCGTAGCAGACATTATACACGAGTTAAAGAAATAGGCATCTTATCGAAGTTCATACGGCGTAGATCATCGCACGTTATACGTCGGCTTCCGTAACTTATCAACCACTGGAGGCCCGTCGACTGGATACGGCGGCCGGTATCCTCCCACAGGAGCCTGTAAAGGTCGAGGGGGTGCTCCAGGAAGAGGCATTGTAATTCCAGTACTGCCCCCGTCATCAGGATACGGAATCGGCGTTTTTGGTGGGAGTGGCGGAGGTACATGGCTCTGTTCCAATTCGCCACTACGCCGCGGTGAGCCAGAGGACGCGCTGGGTAGGTGCTCACCAGATCGGCGTGGAGCATTCACATCCGTGGGCGATACGAGGTGGTTCTGGTGTTCTAAATCATCGGGACCCATGATAACAATCTTCTCATCCAATACCCGAGGAGGGGTATTGGCGGGGATATTCATTCGATGTCCTGCAGGAATCTCGTCCGCGGGCAGTTCAATCGCCATGGGGTTAGAAGGCGGAGGAGGGGCCACAACGACCGAAGCGGGAGGCGCTGACTGTTGCGGATCAGCCAACGTAGACCCTGCTCCCGAGCGCGATGCTAGACGGCGATGCATCCTTTCAATCCTTGCCAACTTCGATGCAGCATCCAATGTCATTTGCTGTACATCCGGTTTTGAGAGGTATCGACGTGTGTTTGTGCTGATATCAACAAGACGATTCCATTCGTTCATCCCAAATTCACCAACCCCAACTTCGACGTTCAATCGGTAATAGTTCTCTTTCTTCACGTTACGCTTTGCCAGATGTTCCGAAAGCATCTTCTGATGGATATCCTCACACCCCTCGATTTTCGAAATAAGTCGTCGTCGAGCTTCGGCAAAGGTTCCTAGAGCGTCACCAAAAAATCCTTCCCACCACTCATGTTGCTGATGGTTTGTTCCCGATGGGCGCTTTCCAGTGCCAACACTGACAAAGACACCGAGTTCTCGGCCGGGCCACTCATTTACAACGGCTTCGTCAAGGGCTTGAGGAGCGGGGTTGAATGTGCCAGCACCTTCGTCAATGAACACATATTGACCGATTTGAATAGGTTTGAAAGCGAGACCTGTGGCTGAAGTAGCGCGACCGGCCTGCCAGATCGTGCATTCGAATTCGGGAGGCGGCTCTCTTCTGGAATCATAGGAGCGTAGCAAAACTGGCGGCGTGCCTGGTCTTGAGCCTTTGTACACGGCGGTCACAGCACTGGGATCGCATCAATAAAAATTCTCAATGTCTAGGAGGAACGACTTACGTTTTGGTGCGGAACTCTCGATTGTCATAGAGGGCGGCGTCTGGATTCCCAAATCTAAACCCGTATCCAGCGAAAGAAATCGAATTCCTTTGACTTGTTGGTGACGGTGGCGCGCGTGACGTATTGGTCGAGCTGAAGCTTGAGCGACTCAGACTGCGCTGAGGCACACCCTGCATCGGACTTGCAAGCTCGAGAGTACTGTCATTTCCTTCCGATTCATAGACTGTATGCTGACGAACACATTGCCTAATAGCCTCTTCAAGCCTTGATGCCTTAAAAAGCGTCGACCGATAGGGTATCCCCGCTATCGTCTTATCGGTTTCGAAAACTTTCTTAGTCATGCGAACGTATACCTCTTTACACGTTTCCAAATCTAGTCGCAGTCGGCCCAGCATGATAGCAATCAATCCACCGGTTCCTGTACCGACAATCAGATCGAAATAGTCGCATGGTTTCGGGATTTGGTCTCGCCGCGGCGCATGTCCTTCACATTCGACATAGGTTCGGTACATCAACTCTTGTAGCAAAATAAGCATAGAGTAACCCCGTACGCCACCACCGTCTACAAACGCAAGAGTTAGTTTTGATAACTATCAATGCAGTAAGAGTCAGAGAATAAAGTATAGGTTCGCACCTAACGACAACACTCTTAGAGGCGGGCCTTTTGTCGTATCTTTCCGCCGTAGCGGTGTGTTGTTTTCCATTTTGTATTTGTATTGATGCAGCAAAAGCTGCCAACCACTGAGCGACCTCGTATACCGGATTCTTGCTGTATTCCAGATGTCCGTAACTGATGAGGCGAATGTGGAAGTGCGCGGAAGAATCGCTGCAACCTAAGGTGTCGAGTCGGCAAATTCGGGCCACTGAGGGGAGAGGGACCCGTGACTGTTGGTGATCAGACGGACCAGGCGAGGGACCAGATTCCAAGACTTTCACAGGGCGTAAGGTATAATTCTGAATGATGTATCCGATGAAAGTGACTTTTCGCTGAGGTATCTAGAAAAGGAAAAAGAAAAGAAATCAGAAGCCGATCCAAGTGACGTGATGATGTATCGGAGAGCAGTGTGGGGTGTGTGCCTGGTGAGGCAACAAAACATGAACTAGTTTCAAGTTTCAACCACCAAGTCAGATCTCAGCTGAAGAGAGTGATTTATCATCCTGAGTAACTGACTAACCGTTCATTCAGGATTCTTCGAATCTCTTGAGTGGATATTCTACGTAACTAACTTAGTTAAGACGACAAATATGGATTATGTAATGAGGCGCAGTCTAGTTATGTTAACTAACTTATTCAGCCAATGATCTGGTAATGTGGCGGTGCAGTACCTGCGTCATCAACTTTCCCTTCTCCTCTTCTTCCTCATAACACGAATATCAACATGAGTATCGGTAGGTAGGACGCTCTCTGTCGGACTTTGTTATTCACTCGGTCCCATGGTTGGCAGTCAATCAGGATCCTTTTGGCGGTTCGCAATGGATGTCCCCGCGAATCTTCCATGGTTCTGGCCAGCGAATAAGGATTGCTATGAGCATATATACTAGGATCTATGTTACCGTCTGGTAAGTGCTCTGGAAGTTGTTCCGTTATTACAGGAAATTTTCCAAGAAGATGCATTCAACGATATTGCCAGCCTCCCAAGTCAGCCAGAGCTTGCAAGCAGTATAGAGCAGCCATATGATTCTCGCACTTATGACTCGAATCATTGAGGATAGTGGCAGGTTGTGGAAAAGCATGTATAAGCAGTATGGAGAATAGGCCAGCTGTATTTGTCCATACGGCGCAGGTATCTGAGGTGGTGTGAATTGTCAGTTCATTATCCCCTCTTTTTTACTTTCATCACAGCTTTTGGTGCTCTCGCACAAAACCTCAACAAAAGGATAATTCGACATCTATAAGGAACAAGCAGATACCGTAATGGTGTACGAAGGCTTTTACACTTACAATCGGAACTCGGAGACGACGTTGTGGTATCTGGACTACGAGATCCAGACGGCAACATCATTTACGAAACCTACTACGATGCACTTCTCGGGCCTATCGTCAGTCTCAACGACGTCGCCACTCTGAAGAAATATATTGAAATAAAACCTAGAGGCCCCCTATTCCCTAAAGAGGCCTATTGGTGGGAACCCCGTTCTACCTTGCTGCGCTTCACGGAAGCACGGAAGCACTTAGCATACTTCTTGATCATTACAACGCCCAACCCTATACTTCCTAATCCTCCCGGTAGAGAACCTAAACCGACAGAGGAACCCAACAAGCGAAGATTCTACTTGCTGAATACTGCATGTTTCGGGGCCAACCCAGAGACGGCGTGTTTCTTGATGGATCGCAAACCTCCATTAGGATCGGTCAACGACACTGACCCATTTGGCGATACAGCACCATTGCATGCTGCAGCTTCTTTAGCTAAAAACAAATTTTCTGGATGGATGAATCGTGATAGTGGTTACGACGGGTATCGGGGAAGGGAATTAGTATTGGCATCCGATAGTAGGGAATCGACTTCCTGTTCGCTGGGCCACCGTAGGCCAAGACCCCTATATTGAGGATATAGTCCCGGAAACAGAGCCCCAGGAACATATCATTGATACATTCAAGCTGCTCTTAGAGGTCAATCCCGATTCAATCAACGCCCAGGATAAAGAAGGTGCTACGCCTTTACATTACGCCACGGCATCCCATGTTAAATGTGGTGCCGGACATTCTTACGCTGTGATCAAATTTTTGTTTGATAACAAGGCAGATGCAAATCTTGCGAAATCCCAGGGGCAAACAGTGCTACATATCTTAGCTTCTCCTTCTTTGTCCGGTGTACCCATTGACCTCACCATGATTGATCTTTTGCTTATGCACGGCACCGACATAGGCCGTACTAACTTGGATGGCAATACTGCTCTTCATATCATAGTTCGGGCCCATCCACAGACCGAAACAGTACGATATTTACTCAGCAAAGGGGCCGATGTGACAGCTATAAATTCCAAGGGCAATACACCATTACACGAGGTAATGGGAGGATGGTTCCTCCTCCTAGAAGATCATAAAGGGGGAGCCTGCAAAAGATTGGCACTAGCAGATCGATTCAAGGCGCAAGACGATATGATTGCAGTCCTAAAGGAAAGCAAAGATTTACAGCAACAGCTTGACGGAACAAGTGAATGCAAGCGGCAAAATGCCACAACAGCTGCGTGAGGAATCGAGAACCAAATGGCGTGAAAGGGAGGAGCAGAACAGGGTATTCAGAGGGCGGAGACAGCGGTCTACCCAATAGGCTATGAAGTTCTACCTTCGCAATTTTCTTTCTCTCGCTCGAACCAACAACGACGACGCTGAGACGGTTGAAAAAAATGAAAGAACTCGGTGCCTCACTTGACCCCACTGCATGCAGCACTGTGCTTCAGTCAACGAGGGCAGAGACATCCAGATCGTCGGCGAGGGTCCGTGCCTCACGAGCGGCATAGTGAATGACCAAATCGCGAAGTAGAGATTTTCCACCAGGCTCACCTCGCCCAGAGTGCGCGTAGGTGAAGTCCAGCAAGTCAAGAATAACGGGCGTGCTCTCACGTTTCAGTGAGAAGCTACAGAGGTCTCGGTGAATAAAGATCAGGCATTGTTTGCGTAAGGGTTCGATAAGGTATTTTGTTGCGAAAACATATAGTTTCGCATGGAAGAGACCATTGGGATCCGGTGAGGACGATGCTGGCTCACTGCGAAATTTCAGAGACGAAACTCTTCCTAGAGCCGCTTATATAAGAGTAACCTGGGCCGGTGGAGGTTCATCGCTGGCTTCTGGACTCAACAGATTCCTCTGTTTCTTTTTATTTTCCCTTCCGAACAATAAGTGAATCCCAAGGGTCTGTGTCAGCCACTGTGGTTGTTTCGGCGTCAGGAAGGGGTCCATGCTGTGCGTGGCAAGCAAAGTGATTGAAACCCGGCTCTTTCGCTCTCATCAACTGACTGACCCAAATGTCGACCTTCATCATCTTGAGATAAAGTACGGTCAGGAGTAACATAGGCACCGGTATACGCATATTCGCAGAAGCCCATAAAAGTCTCTACTTCCACATCCTCAAGAGCCGCATTTCCAGTATTAGACTCCTTCATATGACCATTGCTGATAAGAGCGTACAACGGATCTGAATTATTTTGCACAACTGCTGTGTAGATTGTCAAGGGAGTCTGGTCCTCGCCAACTAGAAATGTGAAGTGTGATGAATGAATGATCCTAAAATCTCGGCATCAGTGATAGGGACCATGCTAATCCATCCGGAACGGCCTTACTCTTTGTAATCCGCCATTCTTCGGGTTTCCAGTACTATTGATTCTGTTTGCTGATACGATCGAATACCGTGGTAGTGGATGGGAGAGTCGTCAAATTGTTTAATCCGAGGAGAGTACGAAGAAGTGCACCGAGTCTTAACTCCTATCAGTCTCTTAATGGATACAGAGGGCCTGCATGTACAAACCGGCGGCTCGCCGATACCCCTGCATGTATTGCCAACACAAATTGTAGAAAAGACTGGCTCCCTATTAATAACTGTCAACAGCCGCCTGTAAACGTCGGCGTACGTCCAGCATCACAGCGGATGGCCCACTAGGATGAATGCAATGTGAGGTCAAAACAGTAAGTAGAGAATCCTTATCCATTTAGCCCTGCGCTCTGATTGTCTGTTGATTTCTACATCGGACAATCGGGCAATGGTGCATACTCCGACACAAATTCGGAGAAGATGGAGAAGTTTTCTCGCTTCACGGCGGCCTCGTATTTTGCGAGATACTTAAGGAACCGTGGCGTTGCAGGGTTCAAATCGCAGACCCAGTTGCCATTACGCCGGAAGTTGACTTCTTTGAACTCCGTGGCGAACCCGGGACCGACCATGAACGCTAGGACGCACCGTTTGCAGATGGCGAATGCATCGCCGGTGCAATCCTGTGGGGTGTACCAGGTGGCGTTGCGCATGTCCTCTGTACTGCAGGGAGGGGACTTGAGGATTATTCTGGCCAGATCCTCGAAGCCGTCGTACTCGTCGGTATTTTCAGCGATGCTGACTCGTTTACAGGCAACCCAAGCGGAATATATTTGAACTGTATGCATCGCACAATCGAGTTGCTGCTGTTGCTTCTCTGCCGTGAGGGAGAGGAGCTCCCACGACCTGGCGTGGTCCAACACGAAGTGGTCCAGGTAGCATGTCGTGCACACAATCAGGTCGGGGACCGCCTTAGAGCCGTACCAATGTGTCGAGCGAGCCTGGAGGTTCTTCATCTCCATACAAGAGGAATACTCCATCCGTCTTCTGAAAAGGAGGTGCAGGTCATCCCAGAGGTTGGGTGACGTGGTCGCCCGACGGAGTCCTTCCTTTATTAGCGGCACCGCCGCATCGCACGTCCATGATCCCTCGTCCGACTTGATCGTCGGCGTCGTGGTGAAGTATCTCCTGAGCTGACTCCACGCCACCAGATCGTGATAGCACGCATCACATATCACGAAGCCCTGGATCTCCCACGCGCCGATCATCCCATACCACCGGGAGCCATCAAGCCCGGTGTGACCTGCTGGGCCTTTGCAGGCTGGGATTTTGACTCGCTCGACCATGAAGGCGTTAATCGCGTCTCAGTCATCGGCGGCCAGATGCGACATCACCCGCGGAGTATTCCATTGACAGTTTAAGCTGAAATTCCCGTCTACCCAGGCAGCTTCGAAAAGGCCTGCGTGGGGAGTGGATTGGATGTGTTGGTCATAGCAATAGGAACATACCGGGAATGAGACGGCGCTGATGGGGAAATACCAGATGGCTGGCAAGGAGATTCCGTCCGGATTGACGCATCGAGAAAGGGTCTGTTGCTATTGCATTAGCATCTTTCCAGGCTCTGGTGGCATGGCGTACTGGGATCTCCTCTTTGGCCCCGCGGGCGCCGTTGGCTGCTGCACTTGCACCTGTTTGAATGGGCATGTTGACGGATATAGCTGAAGATAAAAGAACTGGGCCCTTGGATCTTCCTACATTCCTATTTATCGTCGTCGTGGATGTGGTTGAGTGCTTATGATGGCTCAATGCTCTCCAGTCTGCTGACAGTTCCTAAATCTGTCTAGGTTCCAGCTACTCGCTTCAAATTAACTAATTGGGATAAGCCGACAGCGGGCTCGTATACACTACGATAAAGACTAAGTAGTTGATCACTAAACTAAACATAAAGCAGCACTATTATTGACAAGCTTTCCAGCTTATTGCTTCGACATATGATTCGCCCGGACAATTTACTGCGCAGAGCTTGATTAGATCCACTATCTTTCATCTCCTTTCGTCCCAGCCACGCTCGAAGATTAGGGCTAAGAGTCCAATAAGAGCTAGTACGAACTTCGGTATAAGCATTTGATAATGGATCTCACCGCGATTTCACCCCAGTACAAGTCGACTATACGCCCAACCAGTATCAGACCTTAGCGATATAAGCAAGCGCCATCGCAGAAATGGCTACCATTCACCCCTATCGAGACTGGATTCAATATTGTGTTTGGTTAACCTTGGCGACCATGAGAGAATACTATTTCCAAGGCTCTCTACCTTATTTCGAGGAGCTCACTCACAACCAGAACACAATCGTCATGGAATGGATAGTGCAGAGGAAGGACAACCCGGCACGTTTTCGAAGGACGAGACTACCGAAGTAGCGTGCCGTAAAAAACGAGATAGTTCCTTGAGCGCGCCAGACCCGGGAATATCACCCAAACACAGGAAGATATGGACCCCCAGAGGAGGATGCTCGTTTAGAAAAGCTCGTAGAAAAGGATAAACTATCATGGCCTCAAGTCAAAAAGCACTTCCCTGACAGGACGGAAGGAGCACTTCGTACCCATTATTGCTTAGCTTTCAAGGATTCAGCCACCAAACCGAGCGTTCCTAATCCAAGCAACGATGCTGATCAGAATACCAGCTTCTCGCCATTCCCGGAAGCAGGTCTTCAGAATCGTCCACCACATTCTCTTGAAATCGCAACACAGCGGACGATTCGCTCGCGGCCGGCTCGGTTTCACCGAGCTGTGGTAGCCCTTTCTGGATACGACATATTTATATCAGATGTTCGAAAACCAAAGTCTTGGCACTTTTTTCTTTATAGTAGGGGGGATGTTACTGGCATAATGCGATCATTGGAACATTATTCCGGGGCATTGGTTGATGGAGGTCAAGAAGAAAATATTGATGGGTTGGGGAGAGATTAGACTGCCTATCACTATGTTTCGATGATTACCTTAGGTAGTCATTAGGATATAAAGAAATGCTGACATGCGGCCATGATGCTAATACAGCCTTGGAACTAGATAAGTTAGATGGTTGCATTTGATATAACTTTCCCTGGAATTGTGGCTCCATGAAGTTTAGCAACATGAGTCTAGGGGAGTATAATATCTCTAGAGCTGTGCTAATAATTAGGCTTATGACGGCGTTCCTCGAATAATCAACTCATTACTGTAGCTTGTCAACAGACTTCAACTTTACTGCTGGGGCAGGCATAGATCTGGATAGCGGCTCTTTAGACTGTGGCTAGCTATTGTGGGTATATCAAATCTACTACTACTACTTTTACTACTACTGATGAAGTCAAAGACTTATTGAAAATTCCTACCCAAAGGATAGGTATATATATATTCTCCTTTATGTTATCTGCAACGGATTGGGTTCGTTATGGCTCATTGTTTCCTGACGTTCGCGGTCAAGGTATCAGCGCAGAAATGATTCTTTAACTGTTAATCTATAGCACCAAAACTTGAAAAGTCTTGGTGAGCTTTCCTTTGTGAACAGCCCTTTTCATTGAGGGCTTTATAGGATGACTTGCTTTATATATACTAACTACAACCACAACAGCGGCAAATTCTAATAATCAACCTTGGAAACATCTTCAAACGTCACTTATGAAGACGTCCATGTAGCGTCCGTACATCCTAGGCACCCTAGTAGGTTCCCAGGCTTCTCCAGCACCAGATCGATTGTCTGGAGAAGTACTATGTCTGTCTTATTATAGATAATGTTGTTTCGCAATTGGATCTGGGGGATTCCCCTTGACCCAATCCCTTGACTGGTAGACAGGTGATCAAAATATGAATATTGCTAGACGGAAGCTTGTAGCAGACCAGTTAGAGACAAAAAATGGTCACATGAGTTGTCCAGCGCTTCATCTAAACTGCTATATGTTGTTGCCAGGATAAGCTTTATTATCAACATAGCGATCAATACCGATTTCCAATGGTAGGTTTGGGAAGTCAGACGGGATCAGTCTGAGCGCAAGGGCTATTTAAATTTGTTTCTTCCTATTCTTATCATCCAGTTATCTGGGGAAAATTGTGTATCTTCTATAGTATACTGGTTCCCAGATATAATTGGCTGCAGGAGATATCTGGGCTTGCGTCTCTTTTTACCCGTTTCTGGCATTCTGATCCGAGCAGCCCTCCAGGAATTACTTTATAGACTTTTGTCTCGGTACAAATTGCATTCTGGAGATATTGTCAAGAGATTTTGAAATCATCGAAATGTATATCAGCGAGGTATATTTGAGAATGTTTCCATGGAGTTAGATCAATCACTGATATGAATAGTTATACGTCTACCCCATCAAATCACTCCAACCCACCAAACTCAAAGAGGCCACCATTACTCGTCATGGGATCCTCTACGACCGATGTTTCATGCTGTTGAAAGTCATGATATCCAATGAAAATGACAAGAACGATACCTGCATCGAAACAGAGGGCAATAAATCCAAGCCGACATTGAAAAATATGCATGTCCCGCATTTCCCGCAAATGTCCTTGTTCCTAACAGATCTCATTCTTCCTGATGATAATGACGACAAGACGCAGCAAGAAAAAAAAATCATTGTCACATATCAAGAACCACCTGTATCTGAGAATAAACCCCGGAAAACATTAGAGGTACCACTGGAACCAGACGTGGATGGATTAGAAAAAGTCCACGTGACGATGCACCAAAGTCCTATGACGGGTTATATCATGGACAAGAAATACAATGACTGGTTCAGCGAGTGTTTTGGATATCCCGTTGTCTTGGCCTATACAGGTCTGAACCGGAGGAGAGTCTTGGGATCAATGAATCCGAATATTGTTCGCCAGTCAGCTCAAGGAGGTGGTTGGCTTTCTACATTGACAAATTATGTACCTCGTCTTGGAACCGGGACTACGCAGGTGAAGGATGAGGAGATTCTCACCTTTGCCGATTGTGCTTCGTATATGGTTGTGAATGAAGAATCAGTCAAGGACGTCGCCAGCCGACCAGGCCAGGGAAAAGTCGAAGTTACCAGATTTCGACCAAATATTGTCATCGGTGGTGCTGAGAGTGCATGGGAAGAGGATTTTTGGTCAGAGTTAACTCTGGCTAGTGCTACAGATGAAGTACAGCTTATATTAACATCGAATTGCATTCGATGTCGCTCGTTGGACGTCGACTTTGAGACCGGCGATTTTCACAAGGCGGATGACGGGATTATCTACAAGAAACTGAACAAGGATAGACGCGTCGATCAAGGTGCCAAATACAAGCCTGTCTTTGGCCGGTATGGGTTTTTGAGGGAAGATGTGGTGGCCAAGGTGCGAGTTGGAGATGCTGTGACTGTTTCGAAGAGAGCCGATGAGCGGACTGTTTTTGGTGAGTTGATTTCTCTTGTTGAAAGGCATATGCTGACACGTATAGATTGGCCGGGTTTATGAATGAGTATCATGGAGAAGATATTGTATATGTCAATAGTAAATATGTATAGCCTTTTATTTGATGATTGAATATAGATGCCGTCAAGGCATTCGCGTAGAAATAACACAACTTTCCAATCGGATAGTCTCAAATTGTCCCTAATAGGATGGTGCGTTAGGCCCGGGACATGTCAGCATCGCCCACTTGACAGCACTACTCGGTAAAGAGAAGGCCGTGGTTGTGAGAGCTGCAATTGCCGAAAAGGCCGTCTCTTCATCTTGGATTTAGTTGTGTTGAAGAGAAGAAGAAGAAGAAGAAGAGGAATTTCGGAGAGCGAAAGAAGACGCTTTCTTGTGCGGGCCGATGCACTAACCAAATCAGGAACAGCTTCTGCGGTCCGTGAGTTTTTCCGGAGATTTTCCGCGGAATACGCTCAGGTTGGAATGCCTCAGGCTACAAGGCAGGCCTTATCTCATGGTACTCTCCGCGGATAATCGCATGACTTCTTTAACATAAAGTACCCATTGCTCGTACTGGGATTGATCTAAGCTGTGTTACCATCGGCAGTTGCTTCGACAATACACAATGTCTTTCAACCGTTGCAGCCGCCAGGTATCGAAGCTGTTGGTGACGAACGGAAGCTCATTCAGAGCTACGACCCCGACGCTATGTCGTTCTCACAGAGCTGCGAGCATCCACCCCTCGCAAGCGGTCTCGCAGAAACGCAATGTATCTGATGCTAATCAAGATAGCCAACAAAAGGTTTGCAATAAGCATTCTCTCCTTGTAACTCAACTCTGTCGACTTGCTTACTGACGTACGTGATCCCCGCAGTTGCTCTCCACACACCTCGAAGAAGCCGATCCGACGATATTTGCCATTTTACAGAGAGTGCGTTATATTGAAGCATAAGCAAGGTCAGGAAATTGCTTACGATGGCATAAAAACAGGAAAAACGAAGACAGAAACATTTCATCAACTTGATTCCATCTGAAAACTTCACCTCCCAAGCCGTTCTCGATGCACTCGGCAGTGTGATGCAAAGTGGGTTACTGCAATAGCATTCAAGTACTATGTTCTAACATATTGGTCTTAGACAAATATTCCGAAGGATACCCCGGAGCTAGATATTACGGCGGCAACGAGTTTATCGACGAGGCCGAATCTCTATGTCAGAAACGTGCTTTGGAGACTTTTAGGTTAGATCCTGAAGAATGGGGTGTAAATGTGCAAGGTTGGTGATACACGTCATTTGACAAAAGAATGCATAATTGACAGTGTTAAACAGCTCTCTCGGGATCACCCGCAAACTTGTACGCCTACTCAGCTCTACTCAACACTCATGACCGTCTCATGGGCCTCGACCTGCCTCACGGTGGACATTTGTCTCATGGCTACCAGATACCCAACAAGAAAATCTCGTTTATCTCCAAATATTTTGAAACCCTTCCTTATCGTCTTGACGAGTCCACCGGTCTGATCAACTACGACCAATTGGAAGAATTGGCCAATATATACCGCCCCAAACTGATCGTTGCAGGAACATCTGCTTACAGCAGGCTGATCGACTATGCTCGAATGCGCAAAATTACCGAGTCGATTGGTGCATACCTACTAAGTGATATGGCTCATATATCGGGCCTTGTTGCTGCCGATGTCATCCCCTCTCCCTTCCAATACTCGGATGTAGTCACGACGACAACACACAAGTCACTGCGCGGTCCTCGTGGTGCTATGATCTTCTACCGAAAGGGCGTTCGCCGCACTGATAAGAAGGGTAACAAGGAATTGTACGATCTTGAGGGTCCTATCAACGCCTCAGTCTTTCCTGGACATCAGGGTGGTCCCCACAACCACACCATCACTGCTCTTGCGGTTGCTCTAGGACAAGCTCAGACCAAGGAATTCCGCGACTATCAACTCACTGTACTTGAAAACGCCAAAGCTCTGTCTGACCGACTGGGCAACTCAGTCAATGAAGGTGGATTGGGATACAATATTGTCTCTGGTGGCACAGACAACCATTTGGTACTTGTCGATCTCAAGAACCGTGGCGTAGACGGAGCACGCGTCGAGCGAGTCCTCGAACTCTGCGGTGTTGCCGCAAACAAGAATACCGTCCCAGGCGACAAATCCGCACTCAAACCCGGTGGTCTCCGTCTCGGAACTCCCGCCATGACATCCCGCGGTTTCCAGCCTGAAGATTTCCGACGAGTTGGCGATATCGTTGACCGTGCAGTCACAATCACACAAAAACTCGATAAAGCGGCCAAGGAAAGTGCGGAAGTTAAGGGACGCAAGAATCCTGGAAGCCTGAAGGCGTTTACAGAATATATTGGCAGTGGAGAAGATATTTCCGAGATTGTACAGTTGCGACAAGAAGTTGAGGACTGGGTGGGCACATTCAGCGTTCCATGGAAGAATGAATAGATATCTTCCTTCTTTATGGATATGAAAGTATGATCTTGTACGTTCAATCAATACGGAGTTTGGTTTTGCGGGTTTGAATCAATATCAATCATTGCTTCCAGTTCTTCTAGTTGTCGCATAGGAAAAATTTGGTCTATAGCTTAGCATCCCCCTTAATCACGTCTCGGAGTAACTTCAACCCTTCCTCCGCGAATCCAACCATATTCTTCTCTCTATCCTCGCCATATCCCGTATCAACTTCCCTAGTGTACGATCCACTCGGAGCTGCCACGGCAACGAACACGACGCCTCTTTACATCCAAATTAATAAGAGATATCACATCCCAATAAAGACAGAGAAGATAAACATACGGCTTCCGACTCCCCTTCCCACCACCCGGTCCCGCCGTCCCACTCTCGGAAATGGTATACGTAGACTGAAGCTTTGAGCGAGTTGACTCTGCTAACCCGGCCACAATACCGGTTGTCGGTCCTTTGTAATTTGTTATGAGTTCTGGTGTCCAGTCGGCAAAGGCAATGCGCGATTCGAGGGTGTATAGCTTGATTCGTTTGAGTATTCAGGGATATTACTTTTCCGTCCCAGAAGAGACTAGACGTACTGTTAATCCACCTTTGAAGTATGCTGATGCGCCTGGGATGGAGAGGAGAGAGGCTGATATGATTCCTCCTGCGGCCTGGAAAACATGCCGATTAGCTTTTCGTATTCGTGGTTTCGAATAGCAGAAAGGTGATATACCGTCTCAGCTACGGAGATAGTCTCCTTCCTTTCCTTAAGAAGAGAGCTGATTTCCTCAAGGAGAGGACGGAGCGAAGATGGTGGGAATGTTGACATGGTTCTTCTTTCTCTTCCTGGGGTTCAATTGATGATCTTAGTGTAACTTCTGTATGAATCTGAAGGTGAAATAAGATCCATAGAGGAATTTGATGACGATTTGTAATTCATTCTAGCTACCCCAAAAGTAAACCGGATTACCCCGCATAGTATCGGCGCTGCAATTGAATGATGGATACATCATCTACAAGTTATCTGCAAATCATAGATGTGATACGCTGATTGATGCTTTCTCATATCATATTCTCAGTCTCAGTCTCATCAGAGCGTCACCAGTCAGGTATATAGGGGTAACCCTAAAACAACCCTAAATGCAACATATCAGGGGACAAGAAGGGCATCCCACAGAAGACTAAGTCACTATCACTTATGAGCATCAGATAAAGTAAATGGGTATATAGTGAGTGCCGTGCAACTGTTTGGTCTCTGGTCTGAGTGGTAGGTGTACATCGGAAGAGTATGATGGGTACAGGGAATAAATCGTAGATACGCGATATTGACCTTTGTTACATTAACTTGTACGTTGTTTGAGATGCCAGTGGTTTAAAGAAGAGTACCAAAGTAAACCGGAAAACCAGTCTGTATGTACCAAGTCGTGGAGTCAAGCCTTTCCTCCACAAGGCTACATGTATGCTATATAAGCACTCCATATCACCAACAAAAAGTCGAGAACCTATTATAATTCCCCTATAAGCGCTGTGTTGGGCTGTATTCTTACAACAAAGGCTTTGTGGCACGCGGGTTTGGACTGTAATGGCATTCTAGACAAAGACAAGGGGACCCCAGATTCTGCATGTGAGATGCAATCAATTCTCGTCTGTCGTCGTCATTCCTCGAATAGTGTTCAAACCCGATTCGTTAGATAAAACATTCTACGTAGGAATTATACTGTCCCATGACTGGGGTTTTAGCCTACCTACCACCTAGCTATTTGATATTTACTTCTATACTCCCAACTCTCGAGGTCAGAGGCTAACGTTCCAAGTACGTACTTCTGTACCCTTCTAGAAGAACATATCAAACCCAGCTCGGATTCCGGATGAGTCACGGCTATCTAGCTAAGTTACAAGTCAGATGTTGCAATATATGAAGCTTTTGGCTACGTTACCGCCAACCGGGTCTCCGGCACCCCTACTATTTAACTAGGACTCCACATCATGTATTCAAACATTTAATTAATATATACGTATTCCGTTGAGCTTCCAGCATGGAATAGGGGGAGAACTACTCCGTTCATACGTACAGAGCACAGGAAGTTAAGGGATAACTAGCTGGGTTTGTAAAGTGTTGGATAAATCGGACCCAGGAACCGCTGGACCCCTTGTACCTGTGTCCTGTATGCACAGCTTTCAACAGTGATTTGAGGCTAAACTCCCATTCTCCGGAGGCCCTTGTCAGTTACCGAGATAGGTAGTAGGTACGTACACACGCCGGTTAAGCAATTTGCATACGCAATCCCTGTTGGATCTAGGATTACAGCTTGACAAGTCAACTTCCACCAGATGTATCAGGGGGGAGTGTTTGGATTGTGTCCCGGCATCCTGGTTGACTGCTCTATTTTCGAGTTTCCGTAACTGGATCGAATACTAACCGCAAACGGCGTAAGAGAAAAGATAAGCTAGTGAACGTTGGACTAGTACGTAACTAGTAGTAAAGGACTCGAAGAATAAGAAAATTATTAGTTGAGTATTGTTGATCTTTTCCTGAGTAAACCAACGACGATTTCATGTAAAATGGCTTTTGTCGAGATCATTCCGTTTTTAAAAGAGTGGAACTTGAAGGCTCGCTCTCTGAATTGTCGGATGGAGCCTGTAAAAAGTTGCCCCATAAAGCTAGCTTGTACTATATCACCCTAGACCCCAGCCAGGCGGAAATAATTACGGAGGACGTGCTCCATAATCCGTCCCTCCGCGCACTGTGCGGCGTATGCAAGTTGGACCTGCTGGAAATGGGTTCGTCGGGCTGCAACGTGCAACATGCGAGGCAGCTTGTATGGGATATGGAGCCGCTAAAATGTTATTACCGTACGCACAGAGTCTTATGTGGTCCGTTCGCAGTTTGGAAATTTGACCTCGAGCGGCACAGACTGGTCCACATACCGAAACATTTCAAGTAAAAGTTGAAGTGTAGCTACTAGTTACTAGTTACCGAATTTTCGCCCAACGTTTAATCTTCGATATTGGAAACTGCTTTCAGAATTCTGACTCCAGCCAGCCATCGTTCCGGGGGAGCTAAATGTTCTATTAGTGCGGTTAGTCCTAGGGGTTAGGGCGTGTCAAACTAGTTTCTAACCAGATTAGTGGACCATGGTTTGGATACTAAGGGTTGAACCCTTTTCATTCCCAAAAGGAACTTGGGACTTGAGAGATTGTGGTGTATTTCATCCGGACTACAGACTTCTCGGTACGCCGAGTGTATATCAAGAAGACCGCATCTTCATCCACCGATGGGCCCAGTCGGCACGTATTGAAACACGTGAAGGCTGCCCAATCCGTAGGAACACGAATAAATTTTCTTCGCACAATAGAAGGACTGCCGATCGCCAACGTCCCGGGCAAATCCCGGTCGCCGGATCAACATAAGATGGAAGGATCAGTGTCGCAGAATCCGCGTCCATTGACGTGCTTTTGTAGAGCAGCTCCCAATTCTTCAAGATAGAATTGTTCTTCAGAGCAACTGATTTTGCCGTGGGAGCGGTAGACCGGAGCTTTTGGAGCATTTGAATGGTTGATACTGTACGTAGTGCTAGGCTGAGTGGGAACGCGGCCCCTGGTTCGTAGGTAAGCGATGCTCGTCAGCACGGCAATTCTCCGTTTATTTTATCAGATCGGGACTCGAGAGCAAAGGACTCTGGGTGGGACAGGGATGTAGGAAGCTGATATTTTTGCTGTCGAAGCTCAGCGTTGACAAATGATAATCTGCGGAAGGAGCCACCTAGGAATCTACCTGCCATGCCACGCAACTCAACGCCAGGCAGGATATATCAACAATCGATATCCTTCGCTCGATTGCTTGATCACCTCCGCGGCTGTAGTAATTCTAGCCATACGTTTGGTGTAGAGACTGATGCTGGATGAAGTGCATAACTGAGTCTGGCAGGGTCCCTAAATAAGCTAGGCACAAGTAAGAATCCAGCCGGTCCAATCACAGCGAGAGAAGCGGAGCTATACTATCGGGATATTCCCCATCCACGGCCCCCCGTCGAACGGTGCGTGGCCGACGGTATCGTCCTCCGCCCTGAGCGTGATGGATGCGATGGATATATCTCCTAGTATATATATAATTGTATACTCCGTAATCCACGAGGAAAAACTGCACAGACAGACAGTAGATAATCTGCGTATTGAAGAAGTCTGTGCCATTGACAAAGTTTCGCCAGGCTGGGCAAGGTCATTCTTTTCCCCGCGGCTAAAACAGTCCTGGCCAATCAGGCATCGTGCTGCGATAAGTAATGGTACCATACCGTACCAGACCAGCCCAGACCATCGCTAGCGTCTCATAATCTCCTGTACGGTACTGTCACTTCCGCCATAGCTAAAGGTGTAACAAATAATACAGCGCCCCCTCTTTCCCCCAATTATCTGCATGCCTTCTCTTCTTCTCTTTTTCTTCTCTTCTTTACTACTCGTGAGTCTTGACTGCTCTCCTCCTCTCGCTGAGAGATGCTCATTTTGAGTCTAGCGTGGTTTGCTGAATCGCTACGGTCTAGTAACTATCACTAATCACCTTTCTCTTCTTTCTCTCCTTTACCTCTGCACGTACTCGGTGCTTCTAAAACGCGGCCCTTGTTTTATACGCCTACCTATCTATCTTCCTCACAAACCAATCATAATCACATTTTTCTCTTTCTCGATGAATACTTCATCCTTGAACAACTGCCATCCGACTCTGGCACACGCCGCTTGAATTTCCGCCTCACAGCAGCAAAATATATCCTGACCTTACGACTCCGCCGGCGAACCACTCATTGCCGCCGTGTCACCCCCTCACAACCGAACCCCACCGGTCCTCGTTAACTTCCTGACCTGCGACGATAGCTGTCAGGTTCTCTATCTTCATCACGGATTTTATGCGATACAACCTATCTACGCAATATATTCATTAATCTATTCAGTTTTATATTTCCGTTAAACGGAACAAGTCACAACCATGGCAGGCAAAATGACATTGTATAAACTGGTGGTCTTGGGCGACGGAGGTGTGGGCAAGACGGCACTCACAATTCAGGTATGAGGACCTATCCATCTCATGGTCGCAATTAAATGGCATTCTGACGAGAAACTCACCCCGCAGCTCTGTTTAAATCATTTCGTCGAAACATATGACCCAACCATTGAAGACTCGTATCGGAAGCAAGTCGTCATCGATCAGCAATCGTGCATGCTCGAAGTTCTCGACACCGCGGGGCAAGAGGAGTACACTGCCCTGCGGGACCAGTGGATTCGCGATGGAGAAGGTTTTGTGCTTGTTTATAGTATCACCTCACGCGCCTCGTTTAGTCGCATCACCAAATTCTACAACCAGATTCAGAGAGTCAAGGAATCGGCCAATTCCGGCTCTCCCACTGGAGCCAGCTATCTTGGCTCCCCTCTAACAGGGCCGTCTTTAGGCGTTAATTCCGGTCCCGTTCCGGTGATGTTGGTTGGCAACAAGAGTGACAAAACGGTGGAAAGAGCGGTTTCTGCGCAAGAAGGAGCAGCTTTGGCAAAGGAGCTGGGATGCGAATTCGTCGAAGCATCGGCGAAGAATTGTATCAATGTGGAAAAAGCGTTTTACGATGTCGTCCGGCTCTTACGTCAACAGCGACAGCAACAGCAAGGTGGTGGCCGATTACAGGAGCGACGAACGACGGGTTTCCCGGGCCAACATCGTGATCGCGACGCTAACCCAGAATATCCCAGAACTTTCCGAACTGATCGCGCGCGGCAGCATCGGGGTGGCATTAAATGTGTCGTTTTATAAAGCGGAAGATCGTATGATCAATGACGTTATTTATCTTCTTTTTTTTTTCCCGTCGTTTACCCCCTTGCATCGTGAAGCGTGGCTCGTGTTCTCTTCTCACTTCAAATTTGGTATATGCATACCTTACGGCGATTGACCCTTTTGTTGGTACCGATGGATTTTCTCTTTGGGTCATCTTTCATGTTTGGGACAGTCGACTTTCCGCAGCTTTTCTCGTTCAAACTTCCCGCCATTTGCCTTACATCTTCCATCTCCGAACCTTTTCTCCCGATATACTCTCTTCTGATCTATGGATCTGTTTGACTTGACTACTCTGCCTTGTCTTATAATGGCACCATAGGGCCGGGATTTTGTTATTACCCCTTATGTGCAGGGCTGTCGGAGTCTGCCGGATTGTGATTCACCACTTTTGGATTGGACCAACTCGTGCATGAATACATGCAAATTTATGTTCTGATCGTACGGAGACGAGGCGACGGAAATACACGAGGATATACCACGAAGTATCACACCTGAGGCTTTCGACACCAAAGGCGCAAACCAACAAATACCGGGAAAAAGGAAAAAGCAAGCGGTGCGAGTGATGACTATTTCATTTAATCATGCAAAATGGATTAAGGGGGGTGTTGTACGCCGCAACAAAAAACATATACATACAATCTATTCCGAATGAGATACCCTGTTGACTTGAATGCTTATTGATAGCATGATTTCTGTTTGACCTTCTTTCACTGTTCCTAATTTATTACATATTATACACTTGCGGCTTTCATAGTGATTTGTTTCTTGTATGTCTGAGGAGGTATTGTTTGTGCAGATAGAGGATTGGATTATTTTGAATGAATTTTGAATTCAAGTTACTACTCGAATTTTCTAGTTGTCTTCATGAGAGATGGTTAATGGATAGTGCGTCTCTGGACGGCATTCACCTGTACTCTATCAGACATGACTTGAGAATCCACTGGGAGTGCCACGACAAATTTTATCTGGTCTTGTTTCGACTATGACTGTATGATTATCTCCAATCGGCCGAGTGTATGACTAGGTTAGGGCATGCCTGATCACATGAGATGACCAAACCTAGAATTGATGTCATACTGATCTGATTGTACCTAAACATTCTGATATCTCCTAATCTTTAACTAACTATTGATATATCGTCTGATTAAACGGATAGACTCAATGGCTAGCAAACGATACTCCTAGCTACAAGCTCTTCGGAGTCCCTGCAAACACGCCAGAATACAGATTTCGAAACGAACAACAAGGCACTCGCCTCCTTGCCCACGAGCACGACCTTTTCGAGCAAGATCAATCTGGCCAACAAAGCCAATATGTAATCTTCTCGAATGTCGATGACAAGACCTATAATCGCTACTTTATCTACTTTCACGACCATGACCGTGGCTCTGAGCGTACTCCTCAGAAAAGACTGGCATTGGTCAAGATGACTATCAACGAGTTGGGAGTTGCCACTGAAGAACTCAACGTGAACCTCATGAGGAATTAGTTCATATGGACAGTAATCTTAAGGTTACGCACACAAAGCTTTTCCTTTTGCATCATCTGAGTATGAAACAGATAACAAAACCTTCACGAAGAAACCTGATAAGTCTTATATACCCCGCCATCTCAACAGACTCCATGGCCTACCTGTATCATACAGACGGGGTACCGTTCGTTATCAAAGGACTGACTTGGAATGCGAGATGGTGGCTTACGGAGTCTCGGGAGAAGGTAAAACTGGTCTTCGTAACCTCTATCCAGTCCCGAAAAAGAGAGATATTGTTCCAGAATTGGAGTCTTATTAATCGTAAATATTTGACTAGAGCTAATCCGCCAGATCAGGTTCCGGCTGTTACATGGGAACTTGTGTTGTCGAGGTCGGAGCCTAAGCAGCCGATTAGAGTCCCCTCGTCGAAGGAGGAGTGGTCTAGTGATGTCTCTGCTCGGGAGCCACGGTAAGATGAACTGGGTATTGTAGTTGAACTGGATAAGCTCAAAGAGATTGCTCAAAATGTTTGGCATTTCCAGAGTGGTGATCCTCTCGAGCCTCGAGGATAAATAGAGTGTCTTCGTATGACGTGAGCCATGATAGGGAAGAGCTACATTTCTGGAGAACAGATGTTTGATTAAATTAATATGCAAGATGATTACTAGAGTAACCTCTCAAAGTGAATAAAGAAAAGATTGTCTTACAATTCGAGTGAAGTCTGGTCCTTTATAGGCGCTGTCGAAAGTCAGTCTTCGGCATCTTTTTGTTTCTTACTATCGTATTTGTATTGTACGTAACTTACCGTACACAAGTAGATATTGTTATTCACGCGTCAAATACAGAATACGAATCTCCAAGAACTTACCTGTATCTATCAGTAACACTGCTGCTTTTCTTGCCAGATCCAATTGCCTCATGTTATGATGTTAGACTAATGGGCCACCGACTTGACACAAATGGAATATTTTCAATAGTACCAATCCGTCATCTGAAGTAACGAGTTTGAATACACTGATTACTTATCCGGATAAGCGGTAAAATACTCTCTGTATTCGATTGTAATTATACAGTAGCTGTTTTTTAATGCTTTTTATACTGCCCAGGGCCATCTGTCCTTATAATGTGCCGACCTCCAGTTTCATATATTGAATAAGTCTTTGTGGCAAATCCAAGAAACCTCTTTTATGCTGGTTTGCTGTGTTTGCATGTTATTGGAAAGAAGAGATCTCACATATAAATAGCCTCGGCATCCCTCCCCCGACCTTAATCTTGTTCCAATAAAAGATTCGACCTAAATCCCACAACCCCCCTTAGGATTCAAGTTCCATATGGATCGATTTGAACCAGTCGATCCGCCTTCATTCAGATATCGTCCAGGAAGCAAGTCCCGAGTCTCTTATTTCTATGACGACGATGCCGGACAATACGCCTACTATCCTGGGCATCCGATGAAGCCTTTTCGTATACGATTGGCGCATGAATTGATCACTACGTATGGAGTTCATCGGAAAATGCAGGTTTATGTACGTGATGGGTTTGCATGCTTTTTCTATGCTGTGGTTGTTTGTCCCCCATTTTCCGGATCACCGGCAGTTTTTTTGTCTCAGCCGGGTCTTCCATCCCATGGTTTTGCTTCTGACCTTGCTACTTGGAAAAACTGACGAGAACAAAATTTAGCGTGCGAAAAGGGCTACTGCAATGGAAATGACGCAGTTCCATACGGATGACTATGTCGATTTCTTGCGTCGTATTACTCCCGACAACATCCGCCAGTTTCCTTCGGCACATGCGGAGTTCGGCATCTGGGAGGATAATCCCGTCTTCGAGGGATTGTACGAATTCTGTTCTATTAGCGCTGGAGGCAGCATGGAAGGTGCTGCACATTTGAATCATGGCAAATGTGATATTGCTATTAATTGGGCGGGTGGTTTACACCATGCCAAAAAGTCAATGGCCAATGGATTTTGCTACATAAATGGTAAGTTGAATGTAACTGCGACTTAGCTCGCCCGTTTTTGGGGGTTATGATTTACTTATTTCGGAATAGATATCGTATTAGGAATACTGGAACTCCTGCGATTCCACCAAAGAGTTTTATATATTGATATTGATGTCCACCACGGTGATGGTGTAGAAGAGGCATTCCTCACTACGGATCGGGTGATGACAGTTTCATTTCATCGTTTTGGCGATTTTTTCCCTGGTACAGGCGATATCCGCGATATTGGCGTCAACCGTGGACGTTACCATGCCGTCAATGTCCCTCTACGCGACGGAATTGATGATGCCAGCTATAAATCTATCTTTCAGCCTATTATTTGCGGCATCATGAAACACTTTCGCCCGGAAGCCATAGTGATGCAATGCGGCTCTGATAGTCTATCTGGCGACCGCCTTGGGAGTTTTAATTTGAGTATGGAAGGGCATGCTAATTGTGTCAGTTTTGTCAAGACTTTCGGCATTCCTATGCTTGTGTTGGGTGGCGGTGGCTATACCGTCCGCAATGTAGCTCGTGCGTGGGCCAACGAGACAGCGGTTTTGGCTGAAGAAGAGTTATCACCGGTTATTCCGTACAATACTTTTTACGAGGTACGTATTTTCAAATCTCGGACAGATTTTTTGTCTCCCGTCCAGCGTGAGATCTAACTGGGACATGTAGCATTTCGCCCCCGACTACATGTTAGAAGTGAAACCATCAAACATGGACAATCTCAACACGTACGAATACCTTGAGGGTCTCAAGGTTGAAATCCTAGAAAATCTGAGAGAAATAGACTTTGCACCCTCCGTGCAAATGCAGGACGTTCCTTTGACCCCTCTCGGGGTATTTGATCCACTCGAGTGGCAGTTAGAAAATGAGGAGAGTGAGCGACAAAATGAAGAACACCAGGAGAGGGATTAGTTCAAGGGCATTGGAATATATTATCAAGGCTTTGAAATAGGGGTGTTACGGGTTCTGTCTCCGCTGACGGAGGACATGGTTTATCTGATTTCAGGGGTTTATATATGAAGTTTTGAATATAGAGTTATATTGTAAAAATCGACCTGGAAATATGAGCTCTAAAGCGAAAGAGTCGAAATAACCCGGCCTCAATATTTCGATGGTTTTATTTGATATGAAGAAATATCCAAAAGGAGTGGACAATTTATAGGGTTAGGGTTATGCACTGGCTAATCTGTATACAGTCTAGCTCGTACTTGGATCAACAAATCACAGCCAACTATAGCCAACTACATCACTCCCTCCATGCATGAATTCCTGAAGGGATTGATCCCTAAGCGACAAGCTCACAATGAACCCATTAGTCGTCAAACTAAGCTGCGACGAATGCCGTCAACGCAAGACAAAATGCGACAAGGGATCCCCATGTTCAGCCTGCAAACATGCAGGAACAAGCTGTACGGCAGTCCAGCGTGCGCGCCATCCTCGAGGTCGAAGTGGCAATGCCAGGAAGCAGACGGTCTTGGAGTCAAGAGTCTCTCAGCTGGAAGATCTAGTTAAGCTACTAGAGGTGAGATCTGCTCCCGAACAAAGTCGGTTTGCTCTACCTAAACCCTTCAGTAGTCCCAAATTGAGAGGAATGATAATACTAGGATGGAATTATCGACCTCTGAGTTTGATCTGCCTAACCCACTGCCGATACCTGTCAAAGCTAATGCAATGTTGGCGAAGGATTTCTTTGCCAAACTTTCACATGAGGTATGCATCATCTGAGAACTCAATTTGCTACATGACAGGCGTCTCGAGCAATGGGAATGGATATCAAGTAATTGTGCTGATAGCGCCATTAGGTAGCAGGCATTAGAGAGGTCCTTGACGACTCAAATGAAGGCAATAGCAGCTTCATGTCACCAGAACCGTTAGGCAAAACGGGACCTTCTTCAACATCAATACTATTTGGCTATCAGCCTTCTATAAGCGATGATGAATTACTGGCACCCCCGGCCGAAAATGTCAGAGAAATCCTTCTAGATATCTATCACGACCGCGTCGACTGTCTTTTCAAAGCTACCTACTGGCCTGCAGCTGAGACCGCTATTCACAGAAAATATGGACCGGACAAACAGTATTCGCCGTCTCCCGTTATCCATGCTGTGGAGCGTGCTGTTTACTTCATGGCAATATGCACAATGACTGAAAGCGAATGTGATGCTATGCTTTCTGAAAGTAAAAGCAGTCTAATTTATCGACATCAGCGATCTGTGGAAGTTGCTTTGGCTCGCTCGGAGTTTTTCACGAATCCCGATAAACTTGCCTTGCAATCTTTTGTCCTTTACTTGGTATATTATACTTCTGGGCGAAAGTAAACGGGGAAATGCATTTCTAACCAGTCAACAGATGGGACTAAGAGTCTGCTCACAGTATGCCATGTCATGGACACTATTGGCACTCGCTATCAGGAGTGGAAATGCCTTGGGTCTTCCGATAACGGGAACTGAAACTGGCCAAGAAAAAGAAGTATGCGAACACAGGTCAGTTGGTGACGACTTGAAAATGCGTCTCTGGTATTGTATAGGAATGCTGGATTCTCAAACCTCTATTGATCGCGGCACTCGGCCTATGATGACACTCAGGGACTTTGAGATGAAACCGTTAATCATCAATCACGAAGCTGGTAAATATGCACAACCTTCCAAGCGCCAGGAATTATCCTGGGACATGGCATTCTCGCATGTGATTCACGAAGCCACTATATGTTCTAGGAGGTTGATGGAATTCCCACCGGATGTGGCTGGTTCATGGGAATCGTGGCCCAAGAAGCTTCAGGTTATTTCAGAGTTTGAGACATATATACGACAATACTGCTCACAACTTGAGGGCTGTCCGCACCAGCTTCAACGCTTCATACAATTTACTGCGGAGGATATCGTGTTGAATATGCATCTTCTCCTTCGCCGACCACCATATCCTAGCAAAAACAGTCCTTTCCCTCCATGGGATAAGTTTGATGTTCTGAAAGTCACCACGGAGATTATGGAGCGAACTCTGTGGAAAGCAAGTGATAGTGCCTTTGCTCCATGGGCATGGCTTTCTAAAACGTGGCTTAAATGGCAGGTTCTGGCAGTCTTGCTTGCAGAACTCTGTACACCACGCTATGGAGAACTTGGCGATCGAGCTTATCGAGTTGCAAAGAGAGGGTTTGACTATTGCTCTTCATTGATGGCAGAAAGCGACCTCGCAACGGTACTGAAGCCACTTGAGAAGCTCATGGCCAGGGTAAATAAAGTCCGGGCTGGTATGTTGAGCGAGCAGAGGTCTTCAAGCTTGTCAACTGTTACAGGAATAGACACCCCAGGTCACATCCCGGTTGAGAGCAATTCGCATCTAATACTTCCCTCCGGTGTATCAGGCTCAACTGGATTTCCGTACAATGATAACAACACGAATTCCACAGAGGCATTTTCCACCACCGACAAATCCGCACAAGCTGCATCGTATATGAATGGCAATATCAGTATTGATGCATCTTGGCTTAATTGGAATGATTTCTTGAGCGAAATGGGTGATGTTTGGACCGCCGACCTTAACACAGAATACTATAACAGTGTGGACTCCTCGACACTGTGATTTGTCGATCGCGACATGAACAGCATCTTTCCTCACGAGGGTTAAAACCATCATTGATCAATATTGGGTTCCAGTCTGACATTCCATCCATTGGTCAGGAATATTCGGTAGTTTCCCACCAACCATCCGGAGTCGTCGGTACTGATTACCTAAAAAGACAAAAAGTTAACCATACATCGATGAATAATTACGTGGCATAAAATATGTGAGACTATCATATCCAGAGTGTGTTGCGCATTAGCATACCTAGCATCTCGGACTGCTAACCATCTATCAACAGTGAAACACCATGGGTAGCCTATCGAAGCCTATCCTGTTGTGAGTTGATCAGCTAGCCGAAACTCTATCTTACTGATTAGGGTTAAACAGGATATGTGACGTGCAAACAAAATATCAGCACATCATCCATAGATTCGATTTAGTGTATGTACGCTGTTGTGGTTTTTGCACATGAAACTGTTCCGGGATAAGAAGCTGATCCAGCACAATTTTAGCGAAAAGTCCATTTGCACTCTTGCAGAGATCAGTACGCCTCCTCCTTCTCAGGACTTTTATAGATGGAAATACTGACTTGAAGCCAGTTAAGCCATTCGGAATCCCAGCCATAATAACGACTCAGTGTGTACCCAGGTACGGGCCATGCGTTCCAAGCATCAAAAAACACCTAGGAGATAATACACCGGAATTCGATAAATCGAAGTTTTCCATGATGACCAAAGAAGTTTTTGATTTTCTCAAGAGAGAGAAGAGAGATCATGTCGTTGTTGTCGGGGTTGAGGCTCATATTTGCGTCTCGCAGACTGTTTTTGGTAAGTGACGAACCTCATCTTTTTGCCATTTTTCCTGCTCAACGCAACGAGTATAGAATTACAAAAACATGGCTACAAAGTTGTAGTCCTTGCAGATGCTGTTTCGTCAAGTTCCTTTCAGGAGCGAAATCTGGCGTTGCGGCGCATGCTTGCTTCGGGGATCTCTGTCAATAGTCTAGAGGGTTGGACGTTTGAATTGCTTGGTTCGTCGGACCATCCATTGTATGACAAGTCCGAATCGTCTCAATGTGGATTGTTGGTGTACTGATATCTTGATTATAGGTTCAATCAGACTTCTGCGCTGTTGAAACGGACGAAGAGAATTAGATCTCAGATTATCGAGGCTATGCTTTAGTTCAAGGGACAAGTGGCATCTAAGGTTCACTATGTATTGGGTACATTATTGAATAATACGTGCTTGAAGCACTTCAAGAGGTTCTTCCTGTGGTCAAGGCCAGATTCACCTGTTAGTAGTTGACAGTCAGTGATGCGCATATAGTTTACACTTGACTGATCAATATTTCACCATTTTACATGCGTAATGGGACATGATTCGATACTCTCTCAAAGGATGAGAGATAATTCGCAACCTTGTTCAGAATGGATTGCATGCACAACCTTGTGTGTCCACCATAACCCCTCACCTGTGCGACTGACAAGCAGCCTGAAAGACCTGCCAGGAAAATCAGATCATTTATAAATCATTAAGATTACGCGAGTATTCTCTGTTATACATACTTTTTCTTTACTCTACGTTCATCTCAGCCAGGTACGATATCATTTTCGCCCTCCGCTGTCAAGTTCCAAGGTTGCTCTTGATTATCGCTCAAAGCCCGACTGTTGCTTCTCAGAATGAATCCCCCCGAACCACCTAAGAGGTCTGATACGGAATTCCTTACTGAAAGCGTTGATACGGACTCTGATTCAGACTACGATGACCGGACGACCTCAGAAATCAAGCGTTTGCATCAGAGAATCCAGCTCCTGGAGACAGAACTTGAGCAAAAACGGTCCAAAGCAGTACGACCGCAGCCTTCGAGATACCAGAAGCTATATCGTCTACACGACGATGTTCGCTCGAATGTCCAATATTATTCCAGTGATGATGATACCGACAGTGGCAGCGACAGCAATACCAATTATCGAAATGGACGACGCAAAAATCGGAACTTTTGGCGAAGCCCACCAGGGTGGAATTCGAATATCTTCATGGACCTGCCAGTGGCGATGTACGACGAATATGGAGGAGCATCGTTGCAATGTACCCATCGAGTGGAAAATTTGGAAGTTTTCCTGGCATCAAATCCGGACATATCCTTTGTCATCTTTTATGACTACAATTACGACCTGGAACAGAGTTCCAGCGAACCAGACCTAAACACGAGAAAGGATTGTGACCCAACTCCACGTGCTAGAAGCATCTATCCAGTGTCGAGGGAGTTGAAGAAAGCCCTGCGGATACTAAGCAAGAAACCAGGGTACCAAGACATCTTACAGGAATATTGGGAAGGTGGAAGTGAGCTTTCTGTGCTTTCCTTATTCATCTACCATACCCGGCATGAAATGTCCAAGATCAAGGAAGATCTTCCAAGTACAACTCGAACTCAATTCGATATTCTTCTAGAGTTCATGATTAAGGAGTTTGGCGATGAGTACGACACGGTTGATTCTCTCCTACAACGCAAAGAAATTCTACCCCAGTACGTTCAGTACCTTATCAAGCCCGGTGATATCGTGGTTGAGAACAAGAACGGCGAGTACACAGGGTATAGGGCTCAATCATGGCCATTAGAAATTAGACGACGCCCATCCAAAAAGTTGGAGGAGCATATATATGGCATATCAGAAAACGAGGACGAGTCGCACCACTTACCTAATGTTACTCGTAAGTTGACTTTGGCATGCTTCACATGGAAATTCGACGGTTATTTTTATGGGGTTTACGAGCAATTGAAATTCGAGATACCTCCAAATGCCTCTTCTTCATCGGAAGATACTCACCTGCAAGAAGCGAGAGGAGGGGATACCCAAGTGGCTCAGTTGAAAGGCCAATCGATTGCAACGCTGAGAGTGTTCCCACTTTGCTACGCGCCAGATCACATACGGAAAATGCTTTACCATAGGACTGATATATTATGGAAATGTCGTGTGCAGCGACTGGTCTCCTATAAGACTGATGAACCAGACCCAACTGGTAACGGGGTAAGCTTGTGTGAAAACGCCTGAGCGGGAATAATCTCAACTAATCAATTTCTTCTTCTAGATGGAAGAACATTACATGGTTGACATGAAGACATATTACAGAACTGAGCCCGGGAACAAATCACTTGGCCATCTGTACCCGTACCAGCCGAGGATAAAATATCGACATAATAAGGTCGACATGGCCCGGGACGACCCTCCTGAAGACGAATTAAAGGCATTAATGCCTCCAAGGGTGAAGGGATATAATTTCTTGAGAAAGAAATGGGACGACCTCAAAGTCGACCACATCTCAATTTCAGATGTGCGTTGGAGAGGAGAGGCATCTCAGAGTCTGGAATTAAACAACGAGGCAAGAAGTCTCCTTGGAATGCTAGTCGTCAATCATTCGAAGACCGCAAAATCAAATGAGCCCAGGGTTGGGAAAGGTAAAAGCCTCGTTGTTTTGCTTCACGGTGGTCCAGGAACAGGAAAGACCCACACAGCGGAAAGCATTTCCGAACTGGCAGAGAAGCCGCTTTACAGGGTGACCTGTAGCGAGCTGGGGACAAAAGCTGAAGCAGTAGAGAAAAACCTAGAGTCTACCCTTCGTCTGGGACATCTCTGGGATTGCGTGATGCTCCTAGAAGAGGCGGATATCTTCTTGGAACAAAGAGGCCTTCATGACTTGGAGCGCAATGCATTGGTGTCCGTCTTCATACGAATGGTGGAATCCTACGACGGTATAGTGATTCTAGAATGCAGTCACCTCAGCACATTGAACGACGCATCCCGGTCTCGAATTCAATTTGCGCTTTACTATCCTCCCTTGGACCCGTATCTAAGGTCATCGATCTGGTGGAGGTTTTTAGAACGGCTAAATCGTTCGAATGCGGACTCCATGATCTCGAATACTTGGGAAATAGCAGAGAGCTTGAAACATGAGAGATTGAATGGGAAGCAAATTAGGAACATTATCACTATTACTCATCGAATTATGACATGGAAGAATGAGCCCCTCACTTCTGAGCATATCAAGGACGTGATTAGGGTGTGCGGACATTCTGATACTTGCCTTGGTAAACTTCATGGTGGTTATACAGAGAATGAGCCAGAGTATGATGAGTGGTTGAGTTGAGCATGATGAGGACTCAGACTGACATTTCTCCTCTTCCTTCTCCTTTCTTTCTTTAGTTATTTAATGTCTATGTTGATGTTCAATGATACGGCCACTTTGACGATGAATGCCGACTACCTATTTTGGTAGTTAGGTCTGAAAACCATAAAAATCACTCCTTTCTTCAAGTTTATCCATGAAATGAACGTAATCTCATCTTTACAGACTGAATCTCCGTTATATCTAGTTTAAAATGTCCTCTAGAGACTAGATCTAAACAAGAGTAGTGATATCCATAGTTACTCAGATTGTACACACACACCTTCCAGGCTGTAAACACATTCAATGAGTAAGAGTAAGACAACTGGTGATCCATCTTACAACCTTCTTAATCTCAATTCTCCTGGAGTACACCCTGTTCCAAAAAGTAATGACCCCATTCATCTTTTCATCTTCCTTCCTTCTCCATTCTTTCATTCTCCGGGAAAATTCCATACTGCAATGGTATGCATCAGAGTGATGTATCACGTACCGGCAGAAGGACCTTAGGTGTAAATAGCTAAGCAGTTCTTCCCGAGGTACTTCTCCGTGGGGAAGGAATATGCGGGGGTGGGGCCTGGCAATATAGACCGGGGAAGTACCTCCTCCAGCTGACTAACCTTCGGAATTCCGGTAACCTCATGGATATGTCAATATATTCCAGCTAAATAAAGGGACAAACAGCTCTAGCCGCAGAGCTGCTCTGGTCAGTCGAGATCATAGTACCTAGCAGTATATTACAAACGCAATTTGGTTGGAAGACCGGCCGGTTGTTTAAACAGAGCGCTCCCCTACCTGCGTCTTGTCTCCTCGGTATGAACTTCGGACCGATGGAGCTCGCTTCTGCTTAAGGGCAGCTATCTCATATGAACAACGTTGACTGTGAAGAATTGTTCAGTCATCATCGCATCTTTCCATCTATACTTACACAATTGCTATAGAAGTTATACAGACGTTCAGAGAAAGGACTGTCTCACAATGAAGCACCCCCAAGATGCTGTGCAGGAGCAATCTCTTCAGGACCCTGAATCCTTTTGGTCCCATCATGCCCAGTCTATCCACTGGCACAAACGGCCCTCCAGCGCACTGGGGCACACTACCAAGCAAATCACTCTCAGAGGAGGTAAAGGCACCGCCATTCATGACCATTGGAGCTGGTTCCCTGATGGTATGATTTCGACAACATACAACTGCGTTGATCGACATGTTGAAAATGGCAATGGGGACAATGTGGCCATTGTCTGGGAGTCGGCTGTGACAGGCGAGAGCGCCAAGTATACATATCGCCAACTACAAGATGAAGTCGAAGTTCTAGCAGGTGTGTTGAGAGAGGAGGGAGTTCGGAAGGGCGATGTTGTCATAATATACAGTATGCCACCCTGTTTTCTTAGAATGGAAGCACATATAACTTACCCTTGCTTTGCAGTGCCAATGATCCCCGCAGCTCTGATTGCAGCTCTCGCTATCGTTCGACTTGGAGCTATCCATGCCGCTGTCTTTGGTGGCTTCGCATCGGCATCTCTCGCCCAGAGAATCGAAGCTGCAAAACCACGGGTCATAATGACTGCATCCTGTGGCATTGAAGGTTCCAAAGGGCCCATCCCCTATAGGCCACTCGTCGAAGGTGCCATTGAGCAGTCCAAATTCAAACCGGAGAAGGTGATTATATGGCAGCGCGATCAACTACGTTGGAATCATCCGGATAAGGTCGGTGGGCAGCGAAATTGGCAACGCATTGTGAGAAGTGGGCAGTTGAGGAACATTCGGGCTGCTCCAGTACCGATCAGGAGCGATGAGGCGTTGTATATTATCTATACCAGCGGTAAGTCTTCTACCTAGGTAACTCTTTGCCTAACAACTATCTGGGCAGAAGCTGACTATATTTAGGAACAACCGGACTACCCAAAGGTGTCGTACGCGAGGCGGGTGGACACGCCGTCGGCTTGAGCTTATCAATTAAGTATCTATTTGATATCAAAGGACCAGGAGACGTCATGTTCTGTGCCTCTGATATTGGCTGGGTTGTGGGACACTCCTACATCCTGTATGCACCTCTACTCGTTGGAGCAACGACAGTCCTCTTCGAAGGAAAGCCTGTAGGTACGCCGGATGCAGGCACATTCTGGCGATTAATCGAACGAAACAAAGTCAATGCACTCTTCACAGCGCCTACTGCCCTCCGTGCCATTCGCAAGGATGATCCAGACAATAAGTATTTCAAGGGAGTCGGGGATCGCGGAGGACTCAAGACCTTGAGGGCATTGTTCCTGGCAGGTGAACGTAGTGAACCTAGCATTGTGCAGAACTTCCAGGATCTTCTCACAAAGCATGCAGCACCTGGTGCAGTGGTGATTGATAATTGGTGGTCGTCAGAATCAGGATCACCAATCACAGGGTTAGCACTGAGAAGTGATCTGGGCTACACATTAGCACTGGGGAAAGTAGAGGACAAGCCTCATCTGTCCATCAAGCCAGGCTCCGCTGGAAAGCCCATGCCGGGCTTCGATGTTCGCATTGTCGATGACAATGGACAGGAAGTCAAGCGAGGCACAATGGGCAATATTGTTCTAGCCATTCCGTTGGCCCCGACAGCTTTTAGAACTTTGTTCAATGATGATGAGAGATTCTACAAGAGTTATCTACTACGATTCAATGGACGATGGATTGACACAGGTGACGCTGGCATGATTGACCAGGACGGATACGTACATGTCATGTCCCGATCTGATGATATCATCAACGTCGCAGCACATAGATTCAGCACAGGTGTGCGCCCCTTTTCTTCAGGGTCATAGTATATACTAACAAGATTCTTCAGGTGCAATTGAACAGGCCATCCTATCCCATCCCCTCATTGGCGAAGCAAGCGTAGTTGGCATCCCAGACCCGATCAAGGGCCACCTTCCATTCGCATTTGTGCAACCTCGCCAGGCATCCAACGCAAAGGGCAATGATAACGGCAATATACCCGCAACCGCTCCAAGAGAACTCTTCAACGAAGTCAACACTCTTGTGCGCGACCAAATTGGCGCCATCGCCTCATTGGGCGGAATGATTCAAGGCGTAGGCATGATCCCGAAGACACGGAGTGGAAAGACATTGCGTAGAGTATTGAGGGAATTGGTTGAGAATGCAGTCATCAATAATGACTTTGAGAAAAGGCTCCATGTGCCGCCGACAATTGAGGATCCGGATGTTATTGAGGTTGCCAGGGGAAGGGTGAGGGAGTATTTTGAGGAGAGGTCGAGAGTGAAGAGTCTAGAAGGGAAGGCGAAGCTGTGATTTCCGTGCCTACTTTAAGCATTTCGTTTCTGGTATATGAACTATGTGCCTAGATTTTCTAGCTACATTGATCTTAGGATTGATGAATAATGATGTGATAGTCGTTTCTAACTCGAGGTTGATCTACATTGGACTAGGACAAGCTGTCTACTTGACTCCGAGGCTATTCGATTGGCAGCACGTTGCTTAGACTTGCCTAGCAGTAAATATGTTCAATGCTATACTTAGTTATGCAAGCCACGGACCTTAATTTCCTTCTCAATCCTTATAGCTTGGTGTGCCATATGCCTATTTCTCCCAGTCAACCCTAAACAGGAACTTCCCTTATCAGGCCGGATCTACCCACGTAGATAGTCTCTAAAATCAAGTATACAGCCAAGATCATGAATTTGAATCCAGTGATCTTTCGTAGGAAACCGCGAACTTGTGTTCATTGACACTGCCTGTAGAGAAACCCGCAAATTGAGCTCGATGCGTTTCAGTGACTGTGTCTGGAGTGATTCGATTATATCAAGTAAAGCCCCAAACACATCTGCGGGCATCAATTGGTAATAGCAATGAATTTTGAAATGTTGTAACGTCCCAGCATGCCGAAGCAATCCCTTCATCCAGGAAATTGAAAACCAAGGCGGTGTTCGTGCCGCGTCGCTGTCAGTATAAGTGATAGAGATAGATCTCAATGGGGACGTCATAGAAGCCAACACGGCAGCTGCTACCGCGAACTTCTGGGAAATGTCTTCGGCGCTTATGAGATACAGTTGTGGTGACATATGTAACAATTCCAGTTGTTCCAAATTGGTCAATGAGTTCATGATCTGGAGAAATCGGTCGGGAGTCGTTTGAGTATAGCCCGAGAAGCGGAGATGACGCAAATTGTGGAAGCTTTGTAGGAAATCGACATGCAGGATGTTGGAAGAAAGGTCATGGGAATCAATGTTTTGCATAGTTAGGGCTATCATGTCGACACAGAGTTGTTGTTGTGTGCTGTATTGCTCGCTTATGGTGCTTCCTCTCTTCAACCAGGCGTCATCACAGTTACGGAAGTCGAGATGTAGTGTTTGAACGTCATGCATCCAAGCAAGACTAACCATAAACGAAGAAATGATAGCTGCATCTAACCTAGTCTCCCGTGTCAGCGGTGAACATCCTCGAGATACTTGCAACATACTTGCCATGAGTACACATCTTTTCCCAGCTCCTTCCACTGAATTCGAAGTAAACTTTCCTAACAAATCCAAGGACATAAGGTGATGGAGCGTTCCTGACCCATGTGATGAAGTCTACCAGACTTCGGAACCGATGACGGCCATACTCAGCAAAAAAGTGTGGCCAAGCTTCGCCATGGATTTGTTGACATAGTTGTAACACTTGCAACTCGAATTTTCGTCGTGAGTTTGATGAGATGATGAAGCAGTAGAGATATATCTGGAGGCGTATCTCAACAGGTATGTACAGCAAATTGTGTTTTAAAGGTATATGTATAGAAACATTATCCGCCATATCACAAGTCAGAGGTTGATAGCAATTCAAATCTGCCTTGCGGACGATGCCTGAGAGACACCATATCCACGTTGAAAATGGGACGCAAAGAAAGCATGGTATTTATGACCAAATGACCAATCCTCCCAACAGAGAGTCATATGAACAACTTAGTGCTTCCCATTTAGTCTATCTCGGAAATGCATCAATATCCAATCCGTGCAAATATCTGGCCATGGTTATGGTTTCCTGCTCGATCCAACCAATCGACATGATCGCTCGAGCCCAGTAGCTATTCACTATGCTACTACCAACGAGCTAATGTACCCCAGGTTTTCTGGGGATCCGTATTCCGGAAACGGAAGAACCAGGTTGGGCCATGGAGAGGGTTAGACTCGAATCTAGAATCATGAAAGTTTGGTTGTGTGTGCGAATAGACACATACCATACCGGTACTCCTTTTCAAGTACGGAGTATCAAGCTATACCCGGGTACGAGAGCACATGATTATAGAAGCCGCTACCAGAAGAATCCGAACAATCAGTCATACACTGCAATTTCGAGGATGAAGATTCCGGGGTCAGACACCCCCGCAAATCACAAGGCATCGACCTCAGTGAGGAGTGTCTTCGCTGCCTCCGCGGAGGTATCAAACCCCTCATGAATCACAATATTGAGTCTTAAAAGGACTTACAGTGAAATCCTGATTAGAAAATGATATGTGATTGAAAGAAACTAATTAGAATCCATCTGCAACAATCGAAGCCAGCAACACGCCATGGACCCAATGAATATGAAAAACTGAAATTTCAGTCAAGTTAATGATGATCAATCATACAATCGTCACAATCATAGCAAATCAAAAAGAGACAGTTATGCTAGGTTAGCGGCATGAAAGTAAGCTGTTTCGCTATTTACCGTCCGAGACGAATGACGCCAGCAGCGATTAGTTTCTGAATCTGGCTCCGGACTTGGGCGTTCTTCATGTGTTCCTGTAGAGCGGCTGGGTCGCTCTTTGCTTGTTGGAGAATGGTTTGCATGATGGGGTCTTGGAGGATGGACATGATCTGTAACAATGTTAGTTTCTACTTGTCCAAATAAGTTGTGAAAGTAAAATGGAAACGTACCTCTGGATCGTTCTGGATACGTGCGGCAGTCTGTTCCTCCGTTTCGCCTGCACGAGCACTGTACTGCGCTTCTAGGATTTTGTTCTGCTGCTGCTCGATTTCGCGTGCGTTCTTGCCCGTGGTATCATGGGTGGATGCCTCTGTCAACGCATCAAGAGCCTTGCTGTACTCTTTCATAGCCTGCAGAGCTTGGGCTTTACGGATATAAGCCCGGATGAAAGATGCGTCACGCTTGATAGCCTCGTCGCAGTCCTGGACGGCCTGAGGGAATGCCATAAGCTTGATCAAAGCGGCAGCACGGTTCGAGAAACCACGAGGATCGTCAGGGGCACGCTTCGTCATCTCAGTAAATGCATCGACGGCACCTGGCCAATCTGCCTCTTGGAACTTCTTCTGGCCGAGCTCACGAGCCTTCTCGGCTTCTTCGGGACTGATGTAGGCATCCTTTTCAGCCTTGATCTTGGCCTTTTCGACGGCACGGAGCTTGGTGAGGACATCGGCTGTACGGTGCTCGGTAAGGGATCGGTTGTAATACTCAATTGCTTGAGTGAGGTCGCCAAGTTTTTCGTATGCGCTACCAATACGAGCAAAGGACCTGCTGTTGTCAGTATATACTACAAGAAAGATGTAGTTGATGGGTACTCACTTGGCAATGGTCTTGAAATCCGTACGGTGTTCACGGCCCTCTTGAACCGCTTCTTCGCAAATCTCAATAGCCCCCTTGTAATCACCGCTCTCAAACTTGGCAGCACCAATATTGTTCAAGTAGGTAACATCCTTGTTAAGTTCCCAAGCTTTCTGATAATGTTCAATAGCCTCGGCAAATTGCTTCTTCTTGTAAAAGTCGTTTCCAATCTTCTTTTCCGCATCACCGGCTTCTTGGGCTTTCTTTTTGGCAATAGTTTCTTCATCCTCTGGTTCGGGTTCGGGTTCAGGTTCTTTCTTAGTCTCTGTGGGCTTGGGACGGGCGTCTGGCATGGGTACATCTTCTTCGGCCTCAGTGGCTCCGGACGGTCCACCAGCACCTGGCGGAGCGCCAAATTGCATGTCGATACCGAGCAGGACACTCATGACCTGAAGGAATCGAGGGTCACCCAGTTCTGCACCGATACTGTTTGGGTTATCTTTGAGTTTCTGCAACTTGGTCATGAATTCGTGGTCGGCGAGCAAAGGGGCCGTCTTGGGATTGTTGGCCAATTTCTGGATAAGGTTCGGATCATTGAACATGCTACCAAGACCACCTGTGTCTCCTTGGAAACCATCTGCTTTTGCCTCAGCATCGATGGCCCGCTTGACTGCGTTGAAACTAGCCTTGAACTGATCGTTGGTGGGTTCCAATTTAAGCGCCTCCTCGTATGCGTCGTGAGCCGCAACTTTACCGATGTTAGCATGCAGAACTACCAATAACTTGGAGAGTAAAACATACGAAGGTCTCCTAATCCACGAGCAGCAGCTCCCTTTCGGCTCCATCCTTTGGCCCAGTCGGGCTTGATCTCAGTCGCTTTATTGGCATCATCGAGAGCCTTCTGATAGTCATGAGTCGCAGCATAAACAGCTGAACGGTTGGAATAGAGGACGTGATTTTGTGGTTCGATCTCAATAGCCTGGGTGAATTTATCACTGCATCCCGATAAAATTCCAAGTCAGTTTATGAACTGTATGATCGGGGTCGGTCAACTGTGGAGCGGGGATATACATACATTGCGGTAGTATAGTCTTTTGCAGAAAAGGCCTTATTGCCCTCTGCTTTTAGTGCGTCAGCCATGTTGATAGGTCGTAGAAGAAATCAACAGAGGAATACAGGAGCAGAGAAAAAGGTGATATCCGTAGTGTCTGTTGATGGGTGAATGCTGGCAGTTGCGGTTCTTTAAAGAGAGGATTGGCTGAGCTTCTGGAAATTTCGAGCTTCAACGCATTCTGATTGGCTTAGCAGAGTGGGGAGGGTACTCTAGTCCATGCCTGAGGCAGAGTTTCTCAGAGCTGGCCAGCGCTAGTCCTATTTCGGACTGATAGAGGAAAGCATCCCACGCTTTTTATTTTATCTTTTCATCTATCCTCGTTCTTTTTCCTGATCCAACAATAGCTGCGTTCGGTCTGCTTCTCGGTCATATCGAGCTGTTCATTCGAAGATGCTACACTGCAGGACATATCGGTGATAGAGAGACGGTGCATCAACTGAATACGAAGAAGAAAGAAAAAAAAAAAACAGTCATCGACTGACTAAACGACCACAATGGCGGCGAGCGGTACAACCGACGACATTGCCAGTAAAATCTACGCGCGATGCCGGGAGCAGTTCTCTGGCAGTCAACTGCTCTACCAGCGCGATATTTTGAGTCTGGGGATCATACCTGCAAAGAATTTGGAGATTCTGCTTGAATGTACTCAGAAACTAGTAGACCAGAATCTCTTCCGAGTTTATCAAGATAGCGACAATCGATTAGCTTGGAAAGTCATAGCTGAGGAAGATGCAGAAAAGTGAGTGCTCTTCTCTCATCTGACGTACCACCGACAGAATCTAATCTTCGATTAGAATCCAGAGTCTCAACGACACCGAAAAACTAGTATACAATGTCATCCATTCCACAGGCCGAACAGGTATCTGGATCCGCCAACTGGGCAAACGAACCGACCTCCACAAAACCAGCTTAGATAAAGCCCTCAAATCCCTCGAAGGGAAAAACTTTATCAAATCAATCGTCAATGTCAAACACCCCGGTAAAAAGGTGTACATGCTCGCGGAGCTCACGCCAGCCGAAGACGTGACGGGCGGAGCATGGTTTACCGATGGAGTGCTCGATGCAGAATTCATTGGTGTCTTGTCCGAGTTTATTGAGATAACGGTTAGCAAGAGAACATGGTATGAAATCGTCGTCAAATCCGGCACTAGCGGCAGCAACAAGAGACAAAAACTCAACACTGGAGAGGTTGTGAAACAAGACGAAAAGGAAAAGAGATATATCCCCTATCCAGCCGACTATAAGTACTATCCAACGGTAGGAGAGATCACCACCGAAGTGAACAAAACCGGCATCACCCCTGTGAAATTAGACGAGGGGAGTATCAGCCAACTTCTTCGCATGATGTGCTTTGACGGGAGACTCGTCTCTTTAAACGATCACGCAAATTACAAAGCTGTCAGACGACCTGATGAGATCATCAAGGCTCGTGCGGATGCAGACCGGACTCCGGAGGTTCAACAAAAGATATTCTACAATGGGAAGAACGGCATGACCGAAGCGCCCTGTGGACAATGTCCCGTGTTCAAGATTTGCCAACCGGGTGGAACTGTGAGTCCGGAGAACTGCGAGTATTTTGACGAGTGGTTTCAAAAAGCTTTGGGGTTCTGATCCTTTCACAACCTGGAAATTGGGAATGGGAGGTTGTGTGCATTAGTTTGTTTTATACATTTGCATAGCGGCCGGAGTTTTTGTCGGAGATGAATCTATCTTGGGATTCTCGATGCATAGCTGTTACATGTACCTCATTGCAGAAGTTACCTAGATAAGAGACTACGAATGTCGAAACTATAAGAATTTTGACATTGATTGAACGAATAATGGGTATATATACTAAACAAACAGAAACAAACGAGTAGACTACTTTCCCAATGTCTGTCTACACTCCACACAATACCAAGTCCCCAAGGGCTCCCTCGTCAACCCAACACACTTCCAATGGAACCACTCATATGGACAATTATCATTATCGCAGGCCACCATATCTCCATGACTGACACTGCGACAAGTACAATAAACCTTTGTATCTTCACCGCCCTCATCCTCATCTTCGTCCAACTCTTCGTCAGAATCTGCCATGGTATTCGGACCATGTCCCGCCGTACGTCTAGTAGTTGTCGTAACGCTCGCACCCTCAGACTCAGAGACCTCGGCACTACTGAGCATTGAATCATCATCGTCATCATCTATATCCCCCGTAGAGGGGGTTTTCTTATGTCCACTCTTCATCTTCATGCCCACACTAGACGAGCGCTTGATGATTTTTGCAATGTTGCTGCCGGCTTTGATTTTCTTGATTTGTTGATGCGGGGCTACTTTCTTGGTAGTTGCTTTCTTGGTGACGCCCGTTGCGCGAGGTCCTGCGCTTCCTGCACGGCTTGCTACTGGTGTTCCGGGCTTGGGTGTACCAGGTCCTAGGGAGGATTGACGCAGATTTGAAGGTGCAGCAGGGAGTGTGCCGAGGGAGGCATTCAATCGTCTTCGTTTGCTATCCACTGCACCCGCTGAGGATTCTCGTTGCCGTTGTTGAAGATGTAAAGCTGCTGCCGTTGGTGTCGAGGGTGCCGAACCACGGTTGCTGGGGGTCTGGTGGTGTCCAGCAGTAACGCTGGTTGCACGGGAGCCTGCCTGGCCTATTCTCTGAGCAGCCGATACAGGTGTCGCGACATTCCCAGACGTAGGATTCAGTGGTGTATACGCAGTCGAAGTACCGGACGTCGACGCCGCTGCTGCCGCTAAATCTTGCATAAACGCTGCCGGCAGCTCCGCATATTGACTCTTATTATCCAGCAACGACGGCAGCGGAGGATCATTTGACAATATCCCATCCTTCACCAGTTCACCAATCTTTATATCCAGCTTCTTAATCTGTCGATCCAGCAACACGCAAGCCTTTTCACTTAAATGTATCTTCTCATCTTGCAGACTCTGGCATCGGTCAAAGTTTTGTAAGATGGTCTTGCTGTATTGTTCCTCCTTGGGGTTCGGCGCAAGACTGCCGTTAAGTTTAATGAATTTCTGTATGCTGTTGTCTCGGGAGTTGATTGTTGTGCGACATTCTTGGATAATTTTGTCTTTGGCTTGGATTTCTTCCATTAGATGCGTGATTTCGGCCGGTAGATTTGCGACTGTCTTGTTAGTACGACGTAACCATATAACGACTGTTTGGCTACTTACCATCGTGAATGAACTGTTCGAGGACAGTTGCACAGTCTTCCGATGTCATTTTGATGAATATCGATAAATTTGCAACTCTTATGATGAGAGGTGTATGAACATGGTCTCCGTTGGAGGCAAGTGGCCGATTTAGTCATGTGATCTATTCCCAATCGGGGAAAGCGCCATCTGGTATCTCATTCTGATTTTGGCCGCGTCATCAACTTTTTTTCTTTCTGAAAACAATTGAAACAATCATGATGTGATAATACATAAATTCACTTTTTGTTATGAAGGGAGTGTAACTGTAATCTAGGGTATATCAGATCTGTTCCATCCTGCAGTAGAATATAGCAATTCTGTTCATGACAAAGGATAGAATATGTCTACTCTTGTAGATCCCAGAAATTCTGTCCTGAATGGTTCCCTTAAAGCTTGCATAAGTTTTGATAGCGGGGTCCTAATCTTATCAACTTACAAATCTGTCGCAACAACTCCCCGCAGTTAGCGACTAAAGTACAACTTCCAACTTACAACCTAGCATCTTACTATAAAAACTGCTTTTTACACGAATTCCTCTTCCAACATCTAACATCTTGCAAGTATCAGAGAGTTGGAAGAGAGCAACATGGGGGATGCTCCAATCCCAGAAGGGATTTCCTCCCTTCTCGATACGGATTTGTACAAATTGACGATGCAATGCGCGGTGTTAAAGTATTTTCCAGACGTTGGTTAGTATTCTAATTTATTGATACAGCTTGACAGTGCTGATGCAGAGTTAAAGAGGTTACCTATGGCTTCACAAACCGTACTCCGGATATGAAGTTGTCGCGCGGGGCATACAAATGGTTACTAGAGCAGATGAAGCGTGAGTTTTTTGACCCTGGTCGATGCAGAGAGACATTTGACAACTAACAAACCAGGACTCGAAAATATAACCATCACACCTGACGAAATCGACTTCCTTCAAAAATCCTGCTCCTACTTCAACGACGCCTATCTCTCATTCCTACGCACCTTCCGACTCAAACCCTCGCAACAAATACAAATCAAATTCACACCTGACGACAAGGACAATGATAACGACAACGACGACGTACTAGGTATACTAGAATACACCATCGCAGGTCTCTGGGTCGAAACCATCCTCTACGAAATCCCCTTACTCGCGCTCACGAGCGAAGCATACTTCAAATTCTGCGACACAGACTGGAATTATGAGGGTCAGGAAGAGAAGGCATACGCCAAGGGTATGACCTTACTCGAACACGGGTGCATATTCTCTGAATTTGGCTCAAGGCGGCGACGCGATTATCATACCCACGACCTTGTGATGAAGGGTCTTGTACAGGCGGCGGCGGACGCGAAACGGCAGGGGTTTCCGGGGACGTTGTCGGGGACAAGTAATGTGCATTTTGCTATGAAGTATGGTGTTGCGCCGGTGGGTACGGTAGCTCATGAATGGTATATGGGGATAGCGGCGTATACGAATGATTATGAGAATGCGAATGAGATGGGGTTGAGGTATTGGTTGGGATGTTTTGGGGAGGGGGTACATCATCCCCCCCTTTTCAATTTTATGTTTTTATACTGACATGGTGAAGGTCCTCGGAATTGCGTTGACAGATACATTCGGCACTCCGGCTTTCCTGGAAGCATTTAGCAAACCCATCCCAGATTACACCACTCCCAGTCGGGGAGTAGACACAACCTTCCCATCCAGCGCTGCAATAACAGTCAACACCACCCCCGAATCTCTAGCAGATATCGAACCACCCATTAAAGCACCCCGCCACCATCAACAACCAGAACATAAACCAAAAACATACGCACAAGTCTTCACAGGCGTCCGCCAGGATTCCGGCGATCCGCGCAACTTTGTCCGACTCGTCCGCGACTTCTACGACAAACAGGGCATAACCGATAAAAAAGTAATCGTGTTTTCTGATTCACTCAAAGTGAACAATTGTCTAGAATACAAGGCTATTTCGGAACAAGCTGGGTTTCAGCCTACCTTTGGCGTGGGAACGTTTTTTACCAGTTCGTCCCTCTTCTCTCCTCTTCTTTTCTTGTGGTTGATAACTGACTTGAGAAGATGACTTTACAAAACTCTCGACAAATACAAAATCCATCCCGCTCAACATCGTCATCAAAATCTCTTCTGCAGGTGGTCGGCCCGCTGTGAAATTGAGTGATAATCTGGGTAAGAATACAGGCGATAAACAGTTGGTGCAAGAGGTTAAGAGGCGATTGGGATATGTTGAAAATGTTTGGGAGGAAGGGAATGAGGCTAATAGATGGGGGAAGAGGGGTGATTAATCTCATTCTATTAGAGGAGAGGGATAGAACAAATTGTTTGAATACACTTGCTAGAAGATAAATATATACATACTCGCTCAATATAACATTGCATCGACATGGTATACAGATTAATTGCTCAAATAAATCCTAAATCTCGCTCCAAATCTCCTGTAATGGTTGTCTCTTCACCTTCCCTGGATATCGTGAGTGGTAGATCGGGATTTTGTGAAAGTTCAATATCATCGTTATCGCCCTGAATCATCAATATGTGCGGCGGAACCCCGTCACCCGTATTATTAAAAAGCCCATCTGAGAGGAGACCAAAATGGCCGATGTCCAAGTCATTGTCAAGGTTAATGGTCCAACAGTCGTTGTCTTTATCGCTTCCATCACGATGAAACATATCCTGGTCTTGCTGCCAGTCAAAAGTCCAAGCTGGGCTTTCAATAATCTGAGATGGTTCACGGGGTGGTCTTAGTATTGACAGATCCAGCTCCGTCGTATTGACAAAAGTAGGAGCCCCCCGAGGACTATGAACCGTCGCATCTTGCATCACGTACACAGACTTCAACATGCGTTGTCCATGTTGTAGCTGGAATGCCTTTTCAAGACATTCGGTCTCATAGTCAGCTGCTGGGTAGATATCTCGCAAGCCGCTTATAATCTCGATGCACAGACGAAAGTTCCATTTACTTCCATCTCTCACTACTGGATTGGCAGATTTCAGATCAGTCAAGTGGGCGACAGCGGCCGGTATCATAACAGTCAGTCCGTATGTAGGCAAGTACGGCGTCAATCCCAAAGTGCGTAAGTGTTGAACAGTATCTGCAATGTGCAATGCCGCATCTCGGATTATTTTTTGGGCTGCGCTTATTGACGTTTTTGAAGTCGTCAGTGTGGTTGTGATATTTGAAGATGACGCTCGCGGTCGATATAGAACAGTACATGTAGCGTGATATATCATTTGCAGCATTGACGCATGGAGAAATAAAACATCGTCCCCAGGTTTGAGATCCTTTCTTTCTCTTGGCGTTACACATGTCGCTTCCTCTGGAAGATTGCCTAGCCAGGCATCTAGTTTCTGACCACAACGTTGCAACTCCGCGTCGGAGGCTTGCCTCGGGACCAACGTGATTGTAGTCTCTTGCGTCACGTCAGAAACAAAATTCGACGGCGTGTACTGTGCAAACAGCGCTCGGCCTAGACATTGGCACAGTTTCACAGTTTCAATAAACATAATGGCCAGTCGCCGCTGTAGGTATGTGTCGCTCATATGCCTACATTCCGGCAGGATCTGGTCCACTGCATCGCCATAAGGCCGTATATCGAAATCAGTCAGTGTGATCAATGGGACATTGCAGATTCCTTCGTTTATCTGGGTTGGCCGTCGTAATGCAAGGGCAATTTGCCGGTCGCGAGAATACAGACACCACCAGAGCCGGATCCGGAGCCGCTTTGTATGCTCGTTGATGCTAGATTTGGAAGGATCTCGGTGTAATCCAATTGACTGTGCTTGAGTATAACACACGCCAATCCAATGCCAGATATCTTTTTGAAAAGTCTCTTCTTTTTCGTAGTAGTATGTCATTAGCAATATAGATTGTATAATGGCGATACGATCATCCTCGTAGTCAAAGACGTATAACAACTATACAGTAAGATAACATGAGCGGAGGTCTAGAACCACAGAAACAGAGTACTGACCCGTGTGTTGTTGAAAAACGCTTTCCGAGCTTCTCGTCTCGTCTTAAAACCAGCCGCCTGGAGATGTCTGATATCCACGAACGCCGTACCGGCAAACATGATAGCTTGAAACAGCAGTAAGCTTATATTTGCATCTGGTTTATTTTGAGCCACAGATGCAAGAAAGCTGTGTAAATCCAGTACTGGCAACGAACTGTACACCCATTGCACATATGCTTTAAGTAGTTCGTTCCGCAGCGATGGTTCTGGGATAGTGAGAGCACCCTTCGATCGCAGATATTCCACATCTTCAGTAGCGATACGAGGCGATACAGGCTTCAAGAACTGTGGTGATTCGTCATCAAATAAGAATTGCTCGAGCTCAGGATGAAAGTCCGGATCGATCAACTCTCGAACAGCGTCAGTCAGGTTTGATAGCGGGAGAGATGAGGGGACAGCATTGTCGCCCATGACTCTCCACGACGAGTTCCGCCTATCTACATTGCGACCGAAGCTGCGGGATTTATGGGACGGGGCGTCGTCTGCGGAGATCACCCCCGTTGAGTACATTGCAGAGGAATCGACATCGGAGAACTTGCGTTTGGGCGACATTATGCTGTACCTGATGGCAAGAGAGTCTGCCATGGGATGAACTGACAGTGACGGATCACTGAAGAGAAAGAGGAGTTGGGAGTGTATTCTGACTTGTCTGTCTGCATGCACACTAATCTGGGGTAACGCCGAGCCTTCCCCGCGTGACGCCGTTGGCTCTTGGCAGAGCTGTCTGACTAAGCAGTGATTAGTAAGCGTCAAGCACGTGTTGCGTCGCAGGACTCCAGGGTACGAGTTTCTCAACTGTCGTTACACTTACAGCTTCAATAGTTTGCATACTCTGTACGATCAATAGAGCCTCCGACCAAGCCGCTAGAGTCTGCTATTTTTATCTGTGGTTCAGACTCATCCCATAGCCACCACCGCCTGTAGAATCATTGGCAGGAAAATATTCTGCAGCCTGGTGTACTGATATGACATGGCATGACCTGACATGACGATCAATGGCGAACACTTGCCTACCGCCACATGAACTATCATGAACTATGGACATGAACACTGAACAGCCAGCTCCTCGAAGTTCGCAGCCTCAATTGACAATCGCAGGGTGAGCAAGATTACAGTTTGGTCGGCAAAGCTAACAGGGCTGAGTCAGTATGGTGTGCTGAAGTAGCTCAGCCGGGTGTCCCGGTAACGCCAGGAATGTTCTCTCGGACACCACATATTCATCGGCGATATACCAATTATTTCTGTACTTGAATAAAGAATCTCACGATATCGCCTTCAATCAAAGCCAAGTCTCGAATAAGACACTCAGGGAAAGGGGCTGATCGTCAGTGGATCTAGACGCTTAGTTAGCTTATGATTGTCTTAGATACCTTTTGAGGAGACCACCATGCCTCGAGCTGCGACAGCTGGACTGAAGATGAAGCCATAGTGGCCGTGGAGTAGAGGATGGAGCATTCTGCAGATAGAGCACTGCTGCTTCTGGATAGTAATCAAGCACGATGTAAGAAATCAATTGAAAAGCGACAAGAATAGACCAACTGACAGTGGAGATAAGCCAAAGGGCTGTGCTTTCTCCGCTCAGCCAATAATCGGGCTAGCCGCTGGCCGCCACAGTCACGGCCTCAGGCTCGTTTCACCCTGCTGCTTTCCCTCCCAATTATTATTTTCCCTGCCCCGTGTTACTTCACTGGCTGACTGCAACTTCATCCTACTCCGATTACACGTCTCTTCCTCTTCTTCCTCGATTTTTCGTCCCGGTGAACTCTTAAATCGATTCTAAATAGATTAATTCCGTATACTTTAATTGCACTCAGTTTCTACGCAATTGGAAGCTCCCTATTTTACGTGCAATCGTCATCCACCAGCCAGCTTGCGACTGCTGTTGCCTCCACGCAAAAACTCGTTACGACGTCGGGAAACAACACCACCTCGAGTCGACGTTTTTCGAGTGTCTATACTTCAATTAATACACAGTCAGAATGAGTGTGAGTCATCACCCACCGACACCGATCTGATCCGATTCGATAAGATCATCCACGGGTTGCGTGCCGGGAGAGAGGTTCAATTACTGACCACGATAATATGTATAGAACTACGGCAACCAACAGGGCGGTGGCTACGGCCAGTACGACCCATACAGCCAGCAGAGCAATCCGTATAGCGCTCCGCAAGCACAGCGGTATCAAGATGTTGAGGCGGGAAACGGTGGCTATGGTGAGTCTCTACCAGGTCCGGTCAATGATTTGTGATTACTAACCGGTCGGCGATAGAAATGGGCCAGGCAAACAACACTACCAGCATTCTCAACAAGTGCACCGAGATCAACGACGGTCTGCGGGACCTCAAAGCGAAAAGAGAAGGCCGACTTGCGCAGGCGCAGCACGAGCTTCTCGATTCCAGCACCGGCAAGGAAGACCAAGCTGCTCGCCAGAACTTGGACTATGTGGAGGACGACATCAACAACACATTCCGTTATCTCCGCGACCTCTTGAAGAAGATCAAGCAGACCCCAGGATCCGGTGATGCGCGCGTTCAGACCCAGGTCGATGTTACCAGCCGTAACCTGCGAAAGGAAATCGAACAGTACCAGAAGGCTCAGTCGGATTTCCAGAAGCGACTCCAGGAGCAGGTCCGCCGAAGATATGAGATTGCCAACCCAGACGCTACCCCGGAGCAAGTCGAACAGGGTGTGCAGAACGTCTTGATGGGTCAGGAGCAGAGCTTTCAGGTATGTCACCACATTGGCTTGTACGCGCATATCATACTAACTGGATTAGTCTACTGGCTTGCGCACACGACAGGCAAACGATGCCAAACAGGCAGCCTTGGAGCGATCAACCGCTATCCGCAAGATTGAGAAGGATATGATCGAATTGAGCCGTTTGTATCAGGAAGTTGCCGAATTGGTTCAGCAGCAAGAACCCGCCGTGGAGCAAATTAACCAAGGTGCACAAGATGTCGTTGAGAATGTCGACAATGCCAACAAGCAGATTGACAGCGCTATTGTCAGTGCTCGAAACGCCAGACGGTGGAAGTGGTACATTTTGATTGTCGTTAGTAAGTTGTCCTTTACCGTTTCGTATTTCGGATTTAGGGCTAACTTGTACAGTTCTCATTATTGCAATTGTCATTGGTGTCGCAGTTGGTGTCACCGAAGCCAACAAGAAATAAACGCGCCGAGGAGCTGATACATAATGGCTCAACGAAGCGTGCAATGACGAATATCCCAGGCTTTTTGCTTTCCTACCTTATTAATTCCTGTCCTGCAGTTTGTACAGCTTCCAAAATTTTTGTCCTTTTCCTTAATTCCTCTCCGTATCATCCCTACGATTACTGTCCCTTTATTCCCACTCCCCTTCCCCTTGTACTCGCCGATATTCCCCCAACTGTAGTCTACCGTGTTAGTATTTTTCTGTGTTTTATGCAATTGCAAAAGCTTTTTTTTCCCCCTTTCTGCATGACGCCCACCAGCTCGTCAATGACCCTCAAAACCAACCGATCAATGGCAACCTTTGAATAATGCTTGCTGTTGTACATACCTAGATTTGCTGCTTCTGTTTTGTCTACCTTGTCTTTTCTTGCCGTTCGTTTCGTTTCGTTTCTTTTGGGCGCTAAACTATCCTACTAATAAATGACTACTCTTTTATGAACTGATTCCGTAGATTGCTGTTTATATACACCCGTCCTTTTAATCACATTGGAGAGACATGCCCATTTAGTCGACTAATTCTGCTCCCTTTCAGCCTGTTTCTTCTCCTCCTCCGGCGTCCTCGTCCGTAATTGCAACGCATGTATCCCGCCCTCTCTAGCCATCTCATCCTTGAAAAGTAAATAGACCATTCGATGACGTGCCGGTTGCGATTTGGATTGGAATGCTTCTGATGTTATCGTTACACTGTACAAATAAAAAATCAGCCTCTGTATGTCAAACAGGCGGAACGAGGGAAGGACGGACTGGAAATGAGTCTCTTTCGAAGTACTGCCTTGCATCGGCGCATGGTGGGCGTGGAGGTGTGAATCGTTACGGATTTGGAGGGTTGTCGGTGTAAATGCTGCGACGAGCTGTATTTTCAAGTCTGTTAGTTTGAAGTAGTAAGCTTGTATGATTGGAGAGACGGACCTTGTCGCGCATCGCATCCTCGACCGGAGTCGTCGATGAGGCTGTCGTCGATGACATTCTGGTTGTTATAGATCGGTAGGGTATTGTGCTTGTGTGAAGGGTCGCAAAGATGCGCCTGTTGAGTAGTTGGGTACTCAGTGGTTGCATTTCCGTTACAGGTTGTGATGGTTGTGGTTTGGACAGGTGATGTCAAATAATCTATTGGGAGAAGGTCCAGACTCCACTTGACATTCCCGCGGAAGTTCTGATAGGATCCAATCAACGTCTGTCTATTTTCACTGCATCGTTTTTAAAAGAGACACGCGCCATGATTGATTTTATTTATTCTCGACAATAATCAGGATGCTCATCCGTGTATCGTTGACGGCATGCGCGCATGTCCGCTGCCATGCATCACGCAGCAGCTTCCTGCTTAAGCAAATTATTTCCTATAACCAGACCCAACATCGAAGACTATCATCTCTCTCCAACTCGAATCAATTAGACCTAAAAAATGGATCAAATCTCTTTCGAGCTCTTACAACACACAAACCAAGCAGTCTAGCGGTAAAGCACACTCAATCAGGCCGCAGATTCACCTACGCCGATTTAAACAGAGATATCACTCAATCACGAGAACGACTTATACAAAAGTCCAACACAGCTAGATTATCATCTCTGAAGGGTGAAAGAGTCGCCTTTGTAGCGGAGAATGATTACGATTCTGTGGGTACTGTATTCTCTTCCCCCAATAACACAAGAAATTGACTAACGAAAAAAAAGTAATGCTATTTTCTATCCTGGCTAGTGATGCAATTGCATTACCGGTGTCACCTTCATTTCCATACCCGGAAATTGAGTACATACTCAATAATGCAGATGCGAGGATGCTACTTTCTACGGAGAGAAGTGGGAGTATAGCAGATTTGTTTATGCGTCGGGATGACTTGATCGTGGATGTGAGAGAGGCTATAATGGGAAGCAATAGTCAGCGGGAGGAATCGTTAGGACAAATCGATTTTCCTGATGTGCAGGACTCGAATGGAGGACTTATGTTGTATACTTCTGGGACTACGAATCGACCGGTATGATCTTTTGTCTTGGGAAAGTGATGGATACTAACTTTTCGGTAGAAAGGTGTCTTTATACCGTTATCGGCATTACAAGCTCAAGCGCAGTCATTGATTGAAGCATGGGAGTACTCTCCGAAAGATCATTTACTGCATTTACTTCCATTGCATCATATCCACGGCATTGTAAATGCGCTCCTCGTCCCTGCTCTCGCCGGCTCAGCGATCGAGTTTATGCATCCGTCAAGTCCGGATGCAATATGGCGTCGATTAGCTGAACCATTCTTACCGAACCAAAAGCCTGGACCGGAAAAGATAAATTTCTTGACAGGCGTACCTACTTTATACACACGACTAATGTCGTATCTCTCTGAATTACCTACCGAGGTTCAAACCGCGGCAAAGCAGGCTATTTCCCCAGATAATCTACGACTAAATATCTCTGGATCAGCGGCGTTACCAACACCCACGAAAAGTGCATGGACGGAATTGAGTAGTGGGAACGTTCTACTTGAACGCTACGGTATGACTGAAGTCGGGATGGCGATTAGCTGTGGATTAGATTTTAAAGATCGTGTTGATGGTAGCGTGGGATGGCCGCTACCGTCTGTTGAAGCTCGGTTGTGGGATACAGATAAAGAGGAGGTTATTCATCCTGGTGAGGAGATTGATAAGGAGACGGGTCGCGAGCGAGTAGGAGAGATACAACTACGAGGACCGACGATTTTCCGCGAGTATTGGGATAATCCCAAAGCTACTTCGGAATCTTTCGTCGAAGGTGACGATGGCAAGGGAGCTTGGTTTCGGACGGGTGACGTTGCAGTGCGGAGAGTAGTCAAGGACAGCGGGAAAGGGAGCAGTGGTGGCTGGGCCCAGGGACCTATGTATTTCATTCAGGGTCGTTTGAGTGTGGATATCATCAAGACAGGAGGAGAGAAAGTCAGCTCCCTTGAAGTTGAGCGCGAGTTGTTATCACTGTATGTTCCGTCCTACTCCTTGAAATACAAGTCTAACGAGTACAGGCCTGAAATCGCCGAAGCAGCTGTCGTCGGTCTTCCATCTGAGACATGGGGACAGAAAGTGGCCGCAGTCATCGTCCTGAAAGTTCAGAGCACAACACAAGGGAATAGCAAGGACAGTAACAACAAATACAAGCGAGGGGGTATTATGCATCTGCGTCGAGCCTTGAGTGATCGCCTAGCAGCATATAAACTGCCGCAGGAAGTCAAGGTTTTGTCTGGACCGATTCCGAGGAATGCAATGGGCAAGGGTATGTCTTTCCTTACATTTGTTTGAGCAAATGCTAATGGCATGATAGTGAATAAGAAGATGCTTGTGAAGGAGGTTTTTGGCAGTTAGTGTGATGTACGATGTACAATAGTGAGAATAGATGTTGTCTGATCTAGAATCCTGAACTAGTTAGGGTAGTTAGTCAGATCCTTACTGATAGCGATACAGTACAAATACCAGTCCAAAGTGGGCCTTGTTTAATCAAACACTATTTTACAACAAATGATTGGCTTGTCCCTGGAAAAACAATAACCGCTGGCGGGCTTAGCCTAAAATCAATACAGTCTTGACGTATTATATACAAGAGATCAAAGCGATCCCCTGACGATCTCTAGCATCTGCAAACAACAAGAACACCCCGGGCAGAGACTGATCAAGTAAGGATATTGGATATTCAGGAACTGTCCTTGCTTAACTACGAATATACTGAATATCAAAAAGACAATAATCTCGCAAGGAGTAAAGAATTATTGCCCAAGAGCGCCTAACCACACGGAGATTAAGCAGGCCCACCGCCAACTCAGGTCTTGTTTAGTGTTGTATATTTAGTGTCTCCTTTGCCGCTCCCCCCATCTTCTTTTCCCTCCCTGTTCCTCTTCTTTCTCTCTCCAACAACCTCAAGAACCAACCGTTCAATTCACTCTTTTGAATCCAACCCAACTATCCCGGTCGTTCCTTACGCCGATTACATTCGTTCTTTACCAGCAAATAACATACCACTCGATTTACGATATCTTCTTGTTAATCTTTTTCTTCAACCGTCGAAATACATATTCAAAATGCGTTTCACTGCTGCTTCCATCGTCGCTTTCGCTGCTGGTGCTCTCGCCTCGGCCAGCTCCAGTGCCCCCGTCATTACGGAGGTTATCACTTCCTACGAGACTTACTGCCCTGAGGCTACCACCTTTGTTGCTGGTAGCTCGACTGTGCACGTTACTGCTGTATGTTCAACAGCCGAGGTGGATAGAATGAATGCTAATATTGTCTAGCCTGGTACCATCACTCTCACCGGCTCTTACACCGTGACTCGTCCTCTGTTATCTTCCACCGTCACCATCTGCAACTCCTGGTACGTTATCATCAGCTATATATACGCTGACGGACAAAAACTAACAACATCACAGCAGCGCTGGTCCTACCGCCCCGGTCCCCGGCCCCGTCGGCACCGGCTCCCCCAAGCCCTGGTCCAGCAGCCCCGTCGTCCCTGGTGCCCCCGGAACGACCTCCACCACCGGCGTCACGCCCGCCTTCACTGGCGGCGCTTCCCACGTTGCTGCGGGTGCGGGTGCAGGTCTCGCCGCTGTTTTCGGTGCTGCTGCTTTCTTGCTTTAAAGACGTACAATCTCGATCTGTATAAGAAAGGAGGGACAAGCACGATGAATGAACAAAAGGATTGCCGCTGCTTCGATTCGCATTATACCTATCTCATTTGACTTGTTGAAATTCTTATACCTACTATTTTCGCTTTTTTGTTTCTAATTGTAATATAGCGTTTTCATCGGGGTTGGGATTATTTTATTGATTTGAAAGATGCACTTTCATTGTAGTTCTTATTATGTAGTTTGAAGAGAAGGTGGTTCTGGGAAATTTCTACTGTTCTAGAAGTGGAATGTTGCATTCCAGCCTTTGCTCCGCTAGATGTTGGTTTGTGGGGTGTATCCATCCATGAGTCAGATATCAGCGTTGCATACAGATAACAATTCATCTACATTAATCTGACTCCGTCCAATCTTCCTCTATAAATGTTTAGACGGCACTATATCACTCATGGATTCAAAAGGATATACGCACGATCCTCCCTTTGATCGGGGTTACTTATCCGTAGGCGCAATCCACAAACTCCATTACGCGCAATACGGCAACAGAAATGGGAAGCCAGGTACACCTTCCCTTTTGACATGAAAAAAGCTACAGACTGACTACAAGAGAATAAAGTGATATTCCTCCACGGTGGCCCAGGAGGAAACACCTCCTTCGCCAACACCACCTACTTCAACCCAGACATCTACCGCGTAATCCTCTACGACCAACGCGGTGCCGGCAAATCTCTACCCACTGCTTGTACTGAGGAAAACACAACCCACCATCTGATAGAAGATATTGAGGCTCTTCGTAAGCATTTGGGTATCTCGAAATGGTTTATGCTTTTTGGGGGCTCGTGGGGTGCTACTCTTGCGTTGTTGTATGCGCAACGATACCCGGAAAGAGTTGGCTCGATGGTTCTTAGGGGGATATTCACTGCTAGACAGCCTGAAATAAATTGGACAAGGATGCCAGATAGTGGTGCGGCGAGGATGTGGCCTGCTGAATATGAGAAGTTCTTGAATTTCCTGCCTGAGGAAGAACGCAGAAATCCACCGGAGAGTTATTGCAAGTATATTCTGAATATCTCGACTGACGAAGAGACAAAAAGGAAGAGGTATGAGGCTGCTTTGGAGTGAAATAGATGGGGATTAACGATTGGGGCGTTGACGCATACGTCGTCGACATTCGATAAGTTGATGGATGAAAATTGGGTGTTGGCTCATGCTACGCTGGAAGCATATTATGAGGTGAATGGGGCTTGGTTGGAGGAAGGACAAATCTTGAAAAGGGAGAATATTGAGAAGATAACGCATATCCCCGGTACTGTGCCCCTCTGTAAAACCGCAAACTTTTGGGAAGTACTAATAGCAGATTGTGAAGGGACTATAATTCAAGGACGGTATGATGTCGTCTGTCCACGCAGACGGCTTGGGAGTTGCATAAAGTTTGGCCTGGGTCGAGATTGTTTTGGATTCCGGATGCGGTTCATAGTCCTTCTGTAAATAATCCCTAATGATTTTCTTAGAATCTTGAGTGTAGACTGACTTGGAATGGTAGGAACCTGGTACGAGGAAGAAGCTCGTTGAAGTATGTGATGAATATGCCGAGATGGATTTTTGACCACCACTTGCGCCGCTGTTCGTTGAATTTGTGTTCTGGATTACAGATCATGATTGATATGAGTAGATGACTCAATGAAAACATAATATCAAACACGTACCACCGAAGTGCCTCTGTCTAGGCACTTGTACGTTGGTAGCAATTAGTCTGTTGTACATCTAGGGCTGTACCCAGGTTTTAGGGTTAACCCTAAAAAATTAGTTATACAGCAGATCCTGGCTACAGCGAACAGGGCTTCTCAGGGCCCAGGTGAATATATCCATAAGTGAGTTCGATCTAGAGATGAAGGTAATTTCTAATATATTTGTCCATTTTAGTAGTAACATACTGAATGCTCTTCAGTTCCATGTTAAAGTCATGCAAGATGATATTAGTGGAGATATGGAGCGGCCTCCCGATCATCGTGCTGACCATAATTCCCACAAACTATCCACTGACGATACTTAGGGGGTAGGTGTATTAATATAAGTGTTGTACAATGTTCATTGAAACAGTGTTTGCTGCGGTACGGATCATGCATACTGTGACAAGGCTACAGAAGTGATCGGCTGGGTCTTGTGACAGTTGGCAAGGCGCCAGCTGGCACAGCTTAAGTTACTCGCAAGGCAGTTACCCCAAGGACATTACAATGTTCCCTCTATTCATCAATATCCACGTCTCTCTTTTATCTCCAAATAAAGTAGTCTCTCCAAGGCATTCGAGAATTACGGTCAATACACAGCGTACAATGGCCGCCAGGCCCCATCGATCGCACGATGATTACACCGTTGATTGGATCTGCGCCTTGCCGCTCGACTGGATGAGATTTACGAAGACCTACCAGTGTTGTCTATAGATCATAATAACTACATTCTTGGGAGGATACAGGAGCATAACATTGTGATTACCTGCTTGCCAAGTGGCGACTATGGCATCATATTGGCGAACACGGTCGCCATGCAGCTGTTATTTCGTTTCCCCTCGATCTGTTTCGGTCTAATGGTGGGTATTGGAGGAGGAGTACCCAAATTGTGCGGCTGATATTCGGCTGGGCGACGTGGTAGTCAGCAAGCTAGCAGATATCTACGGCGGAGTGGTGCAATATGACTACGGCAAGGCTTTCAACGGCGATGAATTTCAACGGACTGGGATGCTCAACCGCCCATCCCAGGTACTGCTAACGACACTTGCTGAGTTGCAAACGAATCATCTCACCGGGGAAAGTAGATTCGAGGATTTTATTGCTGAGGTTGGACAGAAGATCCATGGACAAGCGTCTATATGCGCTCGCCCCAACGCAGGAAGATCGTGTATACCTTCCTGATTATACTCATGTTGGTTTGCTTGGCTCCATGACTTGTAATGCTTGTGATCCCACTCGGATTGTCTCACAGCCTGCTCGAGGCCATAACGAACCTTTGGTGCAGACCGTTCGAGATTCCCTATCAGATTTTGGTATGTTTGGATCATAGACTGTTTCAGAAAACACTGGACAAGTTTATATTAATTCGTAGCTGCGCTCTAGCTGGTAGATTCCACGTGCCATTAGATCTTACTTACTGGAGCGCCAGCGGCTGAGGCTTTCTGAGGAAGACACGAAGAACGTGAGCGTCTATGGCAGTTACTTACAGTCACAGCATACGGACTCCCGGAGAGATACTATTCTTCACAGAATGGGCAGTATTGGCAAGATACAATTAGCGATCCACTTTGCACCGGATCACAAGGACCAGTTAGGCTATCTTCTGGTTAACTGCCAAAAGCCGGGAAATACTGCTGCAGTCGTTAAACTCGATATTGTCTCGTTTATCTGACCAGTCTAACAATCCTGCGGCCATTAATGAAGAAAGTGTGGAGCAAATTACGAAGCAAGCGTTGAGATGGCTCGCATCACCGGGAAACTCACGCTGGCTCCTGATTTTTGATAATGACGATCAGTACCATCCTAGTATTGATGGTAGATACGACGTTCAAAAATTTCCTGCAGCGAGTCATGGATCGATCCTGATTACTTCCCGACTCCAATCATTAACTGAACTCGGGTAGCCTTTTCCTGTTCACACATTCGATTTCGACGAGGCTGTTTCACTACTCTGGCAGAGCAGACATCTGTCGGCCCAGATGCTGCCCCAAAGCGAGACGAAGGTAGTCATCTCTCCCTTATGAGTCTTTTAATGGTGCTGATTGGTATAGATGTTATAAACCTGATTGCTCGTCTTGGAGGGCTACCATTGGCGATTACTATTGCGGGACCATTCATGCATGAGACGGGCACCGGCATAAATGAGTACTTGAGATCCTATCATAACTCCTGGCATGATCTACAGTCCCGTCCTAATCCAGGACGTCATTATGAACATGGCAACGTATTACAAACATGCTGCGCTTCATATACAGAAATCCCAAAAAGAGATCCAAGTATGGCTGAGCTGTTGCTACTGCTTGCTTAGTTTGACAATCGTGATATCTGGTTTGAGCTAGTGAAACATGGAGAATATCACAAGAGCTGACCCATGTGATTGTCCCGTGTCCTTTCAGACAGCCTTACTTAGAGATCACATGAAGACTCTGATTGGATTCTCATTGATTGGATCTAATCCACAAATAGTTAGCTATGCGATGCATCCAGTCGTTCGAGAATGGTGTCTTGACAAGGCTAGAATTGAAGGCAATAAATATTGGGATGAACTGGCATTGATAAGTGTTAGATTTATGGTACCAGGTGATGATGAACAAGCTTCTTGGTGGCTTGAACAACAATTACTAGCCCATACAGACTTTGTGCGGCAAAAATTACAAAGTAATAGACTGACAGGCGATACTGCTGTCTGGAATGCATGTTATCGCCTCGGTCATCTCTACCGTCGTCAAGAAAAAATGAAAGAGTCAGACCACGTAACAACGAGCAATAACAGGCAGAGAAAGCACACTTGGGTGAAACCATATATCAACCTTAAGTTCTGTTAACAACCTTGATATTGTTTACTGTTATTAAGTAAAACCGAAAGAAGCAGAGATTATGTTTCACAGAGCACTAACAGGCACAGAAAATGTGCTTGGCCCACATCCCAGACCTACCCTGGATATTATCACTAATCTTGGAGTTCTCTACAAGGATCAGGGGAAATTAGAAGAGGCAGAGACAATGTGTCAACGAACAGGGGCAGGTTATGAGAAGGCAGTAGGGCCAGATCACATCAACTTTGGAGTTGTCAATAACCTCGGAATGCTCTATGAAGACCGGAACAAAATTAAAGAGGCAAAGACCATGTATCAGCGAGCAGTGGCAGGTTATGAGAAGGTACTAGGCCAGATCATACATCTACTTTAAAGGCTATCAATAGTCTCGGAATGCTCTACAAAGAACAGGGAGATTAGAACGGGCAGAGATGTTCTATCAGCGGGCACTTACAGGTTTTGAAAAGACACTGGCCAGACAACTTAGACACTTTGAGCGTTATCAACAATCTTGGAGTTCTCCACAAAGACCAAGGGGGACCAGAAGAGGCGGAAACATTTCTTCTGCGGGGAGTGGTTGGTCTTGAAAAGGAACTAGGACCAGGCCACCCATACAATTTGTATGTTATCAACAACCTTAGAAGTCCCTATAAAAACAAAGAAAGTAGAGACAGGGAATTTATGAGCAATATATACTATGTTCAATTTGTCCCCTCATAGTTTCCAAAATGACTTTGTGGTTGCCCCTGGCCTACCTAGGTAGTATCATCCGGTTATTCAACTGTGTTATATCTGCTCTCGAACCTCGGGAACCTCTTCCTCACTTAGGTGCAGGAGGTTCGTATTGCAGTAAACTAGCTGTAAGGATCCCATGTCCATTGGAGTGTTTGGGGAACTACTTATATGATTTATTAATCTCAGGATTCAACGGATGTTCAACAAGAAGACGTGTCTTTACAAATTGTGAATTCTAGTCCCTTCGTAGAAAAAGACCCTCTCCAGAAACTCCTCATCCATTGCTTCAAGTGTCACAGAGGCATAGTAGATCTTTGGGGGCAAAGACGACTGTAATGTCGACCGGAATCTTGAGATAAGCGGTGAGAGGGGTGATTTTAAGGGCTGGGCTGGGCTAGCTAGTAGTCCAAGATAGCAATCTTCATCTATGCTGCAGGGCATTTTATCTATGAATGTCACTAGGATAGAGAGTCAAGACCAATTATATCCAGTCTACCTCCACTATCCGCTCTATTAATGTGGTCGTTTGGAATCTGGGAAACCGTGCCAAGTACAGGACGATGTATGCCTGGAAGACTGGTGGATTCTGATTACTATAATTTGGAATATCAAAAGTATCGAGTCTATCGACACTACCTTAGAAGCGGAACAATCTAAGAATTCTCTTTAATCATAGCACTGCACCATCTGCATTAGCTCCAAATAGTTCAAAGCCAACGAAAATACTCCAATAATCTTCAAAAGAGTGATAATATTTCGAAAAGTGAAGGGTGCGAACAATGAGGAGTGCCAGGAAACAAAAATTTCCTAATATGGAAGCTACCGGAAAGAGTAAGGCCGGCAT